AACTGTCAGCGTTGGACAAACAGCCCGAAAGGCGCCATTGGAGCTTTCACCATCGTCTACCCAGCCCAGTACGGCGATCTCTTCGGAGAAAAATGCATGGCCTTCGGTCATGTCGAACCCCGAGGATATTGAACAATATCGCGCAGAACTGAGCATTTCAGCGTACCGGTCCTTGCTCAACACCCAGCTCAAAGCAGGGAGCCACATGAGCGGAGGCGGAAGTAACAATGGGTCACAGAGTAACACTTTATTGTCGGCAACAACAACAACAACGTTATCTGGCTCCAACATTCCGTCCCCGGCTTCATTCACCACATCGCCTAATCTGACGCATAGCGGCTCGCTTACAGCTAAAGTAACTGAGGTAGGATCACTGCCGCTGGTTCATTCGCCTAGTCGAGTCTCTGCCAGTATACAGGACCACAGCAAGCCTTTATCACGCGACAGCTCATGGCATCTATTCATATCGAGTAACAACAATGGATCGATACTCTCCAACTCAACTTATGGATTTGACGATAGTCTGGATCAATCGGCGCCCAGTCCTCGTGCCTCATTACATGCTAAGAGGGGATCGATCGGAAATGCTACTGCTACTAAGCTTCGCTTATCGCCCGTCAACATAAAGCAGAACTCAACCAGTCCGGACCAATATCAGTATAGTCCTAGTGCATCTAGTGACTCTGGGTCGCCCTCTCCGAACTCAGGATCGCCGCTCATGTCATCCGCGTCGTCCATATCATCACCGCACTCGAGCATCAGCTGGAAAGCGCGGCTTCGGCGGTCCCTATCCAACCAGGAAAAGCTACAGTCACCTCTGTCGAACGTTTTCAACCCGGGTATGACTCAGTCGGAGAACGGGGACGGAAAGTCGTCTACGGAGAACCTCAGTGTGGACGCACACTCAGGCTATGTGGCTCCACACGAAAGGAATTATGACATCGATCCGGCAAGCGGTGAAGGATCAGGCGATGAGGATGATTATCCAGAAGAACATCAACGCACTATTACCTCAAATTTTATACGAAGGTCCCTGAGCGATAGGCCCAGGTCGTCCGTCGACAGCACTGCCTCAGGCGCTGGTACGGGCGCAGATATGGATACAAGTAACGCTGCAGCGCAACAGTATTCGTCCACACCAGTCCGCGAGGAGGCATTCGATCGATTCATTCCTATTATTCAGCCGCAATCGCCACAGTCTGAATCAAATGGCGTTGCCTTGTCAGCACCCACCAGGTCATCTTATGGCAATTCGCACCACTATCACCAGTATCTTCCTATTCACATTCACGGAGCATCACGGACCAGAGCACAGGGAATAGAACGGCAGAGGGATTTCAACAGATCTATTGACTTCCACAAGTCGTCGTCTCAGGAGGAGCAGGACTCTTCGCCACCAACCTCTCCCGTGACTCTCAACATCCCATCTCCTTACTCAGCCACCAGCTCGTCGCAGCCTACGGAAATACCGACCGCCAGAAAGACATCATCACTAGCATCCTCTCCCTCGTCTTATCAGCGGCATCACTCTGTTTACGTGTTGAGCGGACAGATGTTCAAGGACTCCCCCCAAGGATCACCAAAATCGCACTTGGTTCGCGTGCTGGCTTCAGATCAAGAGAACTATTACTCGACCGATAGCGACTCTGATTGCTGGGGAGGAAAACCAGCGAACAGGAAAAAGTCGGTCGACAGAGTATTTTCAGATTCTGATGCGGACGATGATGGGAAACAGAAGCGGGCCCCAATCAGAGGGTTCCAGCTAGCTCCACGTACACCGCTCCGCCTTGAATACGATTCGGATCCTACGACTGCATTGAACACTGGACATGGATCAGGAAAGCTTGACAAGCTGCTGTCGTCTCCCTCACTGAGCGCATTTGGTGGCATATCTATTGCGGCATCAAACTCTTTGCCTGCATTCTTTCCCGACCTATCAGCCAACGCCCCACAGAACCTGGTCTCTCAGATCGGATTTATGGATGACACCAATGAGCTTAACGCAGCGAACGCTTTGATTCAGGAGATGGTGCAGGCGAAATCGAAAAGTGATGCCGAAATTCGTATCGTCCTGGATGGCTGGTACGAGTGTAAGCGCGACAGAGACATTGCATGCATCTCTTTCCAGCAAGAGATTCCGGAGTCTTATGGTCCCAAATGCGCAGACAACGGATCCAGCCTGGATTCGCCTAACCAATGGAATGGTGAGGATCTTCGAGGATCTTCCTTTCAGCAACGTACAGACAGCATCAACTGGTATGAGGCCAATATCGGACCCCTGGACAGGGTACCAGCCATTCATCAGGAGACGGCAACGATAAATTCCTCTCGCCACAATAGTGTCAGTGGCTCTGACCAAGGCCAAGTAAGGAACGCGACTCCTCGTCCTATTGTCAGTTCTGGAGAGGCGTTTGAGGGTGAGAGGAGCGCCAGCGGGCAAGGCGATTCCGTCAGGGTCAATTCACAGGACAGCAAGGTTGCACCGATTGACATGCCTGTGTTAGGCACTGGTGTCATGACGGAAGTGGAAGAATCCAGTCTAAGGGATGTATCTCGGAAGCGCTCCATTCTTTCCCGGCGAATCATTGCATCCAACAGTTGGCCACCCACGATTCTTGCCAGCTCCCACACGACCCTGTTGATCTCAATCGAGTGTATATCCCAGCAGATCCTACACACACCTGTCGCAGCCATCATTGCACACCCTCTCAAGGCAGTGGACATCATGAAGTCGCTCCAAACACTCATGGATCGTCAGCGCCGAATGGCTGTTGGGAATGCAGAAGCCGAGGATCTTTTGACGAAGCTAGTATATGTGTTTGCTCCTGTCTGTCGCTTGGCAGAGCGTTTGGTCAGTCGCCTATATGGAACCTATAAAAAAAATCCTGTTCTTTAAAATGAGCATCGTCCTAACGCCAGATTACTCTTTTAATTTGATTCGTTTCTAGCACGAGCAACATTTAAGCGAGGATTATCAGCGATCGCAGGCGGAACTACCTTCAGGCAACTTACTGCTGGAACAAAACTCGCCTTTACCGTATGCAGACTGGTCTCCTCTGCCTTCGCCTGCCATGCCTGTGCAGCTGACTGACGACGAAACGCCCAACGCAGCCACAACACCCACGGAGCAGCCCAAGGAAGGTTCACATACCGAGGTCAAGACTCAGACATCAATTACAACTGAGCCACAGGGAGTCAATGTTGTACGTCGGTCACCAAAGACATCAGCAACGTCCAGGTCTTCGTTGGAGCAGCGCCTCTCTGTTAAGAGCGAGGGATTTGCTCCTTCGCAGTGCGTTGTCGCTCAGCATGCGAACTCATTTTCCACAGGCGAAATCCAGCTGCAGTCGACCAGATCTGTGCTGAACTTGCCTGTGATGTCTAGCAAGAGGTCCTCGGCGCCGCCTTTGTCCAGGACAGCAACATCAGACATCAAGCCCATCATTGCATCCCCTCCGACTAGTGGTTCATCGATCACTGCTTCAGAGGCGACTTCAGCACCAGGGCCAAAGCCAGCATCCGACGCTATACTTGCACCGTCCTCTCTGCAGCGTTCGTTTACGATTGCAGCCCCAGCTCCGAGCTCAGCGTCTTTTCTGTCATTTGACGCAAGTCTGCATAGGGTAGAGAGCAAAGACGCTGCTAGTGAGAGTGACAGTTCAGGTATCACAGGAGCTCCCAGCAAGCCAAAAAAGGTTACGGAGCGAAAGAAATCTCTCAGTTTATTCAAGTCCATCAAGTCCATGTTCAACCAGCAGCAGCACCAGCAGCAGCTTGAAGTTCAAAATGAAAAGTCAATGTCTCCCCTGTCGCCTTTGTCTTTATCTCAGCTCTCGCCAAATTCTCCCTCGTCTTCTGGGCTATCATCACCTTTGGCAACAAGTAACAAACCTGGCCCTCTTAAACTTCCCCGCCGTTCGTCCGTAACTCCAACCTCGTTGATAAGATCCCATACTATGGACTCGTCCTCTCCGCAACAGATAATGAGAGCAGAGACCTCTCAACAGACCTTGGCTACGAATATGACTGACAACGACATGAGTCTGACGGTTTGCAGGATCTGCGATGAGGAGATTTTGCTGTCATTGTTGGACAGACACAGTGAGACGTGCAAGCTACAGCACGAGTGCAGCCAAAAGCTGGAGAGCTGTAACCACGCGCTCGGCAAACTCAGCGTGTGTGTCTGGCAACGTCGGGAAGTGATTGCAGCCATGAACCGACCATACATGGATTATCACAGCCTAAAGGACTCTGAGAAGATCCAGACCTTGTCCGAGAAGGCTTGCCTCGTACTCGAGTCCAACCCTCGTCATGCGCTCCGCAAGCTAGAGAAATACCACCACAAGATCAATGGTCTTCTACAGGAGTCGCGCAACTCTGCATATGATGGCGAGCTCTTCAGCATCTCCAAAAAGATTGCACATGTCATCCGCGAGAAATTGTTGACGATGCAGACCATCCAGGACCAGCTGGCTCTACTTACCGCTCGTGATGCTGGGGTGGATGCGAACGGATTTATTAGTCGGTCCCAAAGCGCGAGCGCTATTAGCTCCCAAAGCGAGGTGCAATCAGTTTCGACGTCCTTTTGGGGAAGTAGAAAGAAGTCCAAGGCAAAGCCAAAGGATGGCCTAAGTCGCTCTACAAAGCCGCCCTTGTCACTGCCAATCTCTCAAACGACGATGGGCATCTCTGGAAAACGAACAGGCCTGAGCTCCCGGGCAGATCAAGGCTCATCTTCCAACCACACGCGGCGGGAAAGCACAGGATCAAGTCTCTCTGCCCATGGTAATGATATTGATATTGGTTGAGAAACCATGTTTGCATACTATCGTTTATTCAAAATATTCGTAACACTTTAACCGCGTCCCTAACCATTATATTTTGTGCATGTAGAATCAGAGGCCGCATCATTCGGACCCAGCGGAGGAAATGCTGGAGGCATTCCAATCCAGTCCTCTCTGTCTCGAAAGGGTCGTTCTGTATCAACTCCAAGTACATCTATGCGGACACCCCCAACATTCCCAGTTACGCCTTCGGAGAAGCCCAGCAAGAACTTTAGCACAATTTTTGCAGCTTTTCTTCGAGTGTCTCGTCAACGCATCAATAGCTACAATAATCTGGCAGGTCAATCGAGGAGCAACTCTGGAGATGGTGAGTCCAGTCGCGGTGGCTTGTTTGGTAATGGACCAGCTGGGGTTCTATCCCCACCTTTCAACAGTTCGACGCCTCCTTACAAGAGCCGGGTGCCGAGTATTCAAGATTTTGAGATCATAAAGCCTATCAGCCGTGGAGCCTTTGGGTTAGTTTTTTTTTTTTTTTTTTTTTTTCTATGAGCATGATATCAGAATTGATGAGACTGTAACAGTAGCTTTAACACGACTTTTTTTTTTTTTTTTTTTTTTTTAATGTTACTGACATTCATAGCAAGGTGTATCTGGCTAGGAAGAAAACAACCAAAGATCTCTACGCCATCAAGATTTTGAAGAAAGCGGATATGGTGCGTAAGAACATGGTCAGCCATGTCCTGGCGGAGAGACGCGTCCTTGCCCTGACGCGAACGCCATTTGTTGTACAGCTGTTCTATGCCTTTGCAAGCAAGGATTACCTCTACCTTGTGATGGAATACGTGATCGGTGGAGACCTCAGTTCGCTGCTTGCTGTCTTTGAGTCTTTCGAGGAGGATATGGCCAAAATGTACATCGCAGAGTGTGTCCTTGCTCTTGAATATCTGCATTCGAACGGCATCACGCACCGCGACCTCAAACCGGACAATATGCTGGTCAATGCGGAAGGTCATATTAAGCTGACCGACTTTGGTTTGAGTCGCATTACTGTCCCCGATCAGGATGATATGTTCAGCTTGCACGAGTACAAGGCGCCATCCCTAACCCGTAGACACAAATCCAGGACTACGACCAACTCTTCAGCAAAGGGATCAGCCGCGAAAAAGTCGTCTACAGTCGAAAGCACTCATGGAAGGAGCCAAGGAATTGGACCGAACAAGGGCGCTGGGTCCCCTGTATCACCTCTGTCGTCCGCTCACCCCACGAGTGCCATTCCTGGGAGGGCTGCAAGGAGACATCGCGGGAGCAGCAAAGCTCTTCTTGGGACACCCGATTATCTTGCCCCGGAACTTTTATTGGGTATTGGACATGGTCCCGCTGTGGACTGGTGGTCACTTGGAATCTGCCTATTTGAATTTTTGACGGGATATCCACCGTTCATGGATGAAGCACCCGAGGCAATATTTAAGAATATCCTCAACCATGGTACTGCACCAAGAGCACCCCCTGTGGGAAAATATGTGATTACGATGAGAGTAGTTTAGCTAACTGTTTCTGTTGTAATGTATCGCATCTACATCTAGATATACAGTGGCCAGAGTATGGGCTATCGTGGGAGGCTCACGACCTGATCAACAAGCTGCTGAGCAGAGATCCCTCGCAACGGCCATCGCCTGCTGAACTAAAGGCGCATCCGTTCTTCCGGGGTGTTGACTGGGAGAACATCAGAAACCAGGAGGCGCCATTTATTCCCGCACCAAACGACGACATGGACACTAGCTACTTTGATGGTAGGAGGAACATCCAGACTCGGCCTTGATCGCGCTACGAGAATACTATGATATCTAACTTGGCCTCGACATCTATTCATTTATAGCGCGAAACGCCAGACCTGATATCAGGCGGTTATCGAATGGCAACATTGCAGAGATCTCTTCAGGCCAAGTCTGTGGAGGAAGCACGACAATGTCCATATCCCAGATCATAGATGTCGATTTGAAAGCTGGTTCGAAGGTCGTAATGAAATCGACAACAGTCTTCTCTGAATCGCCTGCAGCGACCCCTGTGACAGTGACGCCTTCAGCGTCGACCATGTCACTGGATTCTGCAGCGACTACGCCCACCGCAGCCGACCAGAGTTCGATACAAACTGTCCGGCCCAGATTGATGAACCATGGCCGATCCAAATCTGTGTCGAACCGGATCTCATTCTCACCTGGATTCGGCGTTTCACCGCTTTCATCATTGTCTCCATCCTCTTCGATCCATCGCATGAAACCCGCCTCGCCAGTGAACTCTCAACCCGGAGCAGGGATGCCACCGTTCTTAATTGAGCAGCCGCTTGGGTCTCCGCTTGCAAAGCAGATCGAGAATGGGCTTCTGACACAGCACCGGTCCTTGGCTTCAACACCTGCGCCTCCTATAAGAACTGAAAATGATAGCGTAGGAGATGGAGATGGATGTGCTTACTTTGCACCACACGTCTATGAAAATCCGCTTACGAGTCAAGAAAGTCGATCGGCGCTGGCAAGCGCGTATGGACAAGAAAAGGGCCTGGATCAGTTGGCACTACATGGCGATTTGTATCGACAAGCAAATGGAGTAACTGATCTACGGGACTTGTGGCCAATAGATAAACCTTTGCCCTCGCCACCTGATGATGCTGATTCTAGCATCGGAGACGGAGGTGAGGTTGGAGCAGTATTATCACAGCTGCAATCTGCAGCCCCAAGCCGAAGGGCTAGCGAATGCAGACCACACCAGCAGCCGACCAGCCAGGGTCTCAAAGCCAGTGGGTTCACTTGGTCAGCACAGTCGCATCTGCAGCAGCAATTGCCGCCATTGCCACCTCTTTTGCCAATGCATCCGTCATCTCTGGCGCTCAAGAACTCCGAGGTCAATCAAGATATGCAACAGCCGCAGCAACAGCAGCAGTTTGAGCAGTCTGTCGAGCCATTGGCGACCTCTGGCCAAGAACAAAGATTCCATGATCTGAGCCATCATAATCAGGAACAGAACGAGCTCAACCGATCTCATCCCAACTCTGGCAAAGCATCGCGAGCCCGAGAGGTCGAACCGGAGTCTGATCATGATATCCATCATGATATCCCGGATTATCACCATGATTATGACACCGGGGGTACAGCTATGCAGCGTTCGCTGAGCATCGATTCTGAGTTTGAGAGTTTTTCGTACAAGAATGTGACGCTCTTGAATGATGTTAATATGGAAGCGATGATGAATCAGGGTAAGATGCTTGCAAGTGCTTTGGCAGCTGGATTGGAGAGTGTTTCTACAGGCAGCGTGCAGGGGCAGAACAACTTTTCGGGGAATAATGTTTCTGAATCTACTTCTGGCACTTCTACGCCAGGAACGATTAAGTCCATGATTCAGTCGTTGGGAGTTGGAGGTGGGGGCCATGCAAAGCAGACCAGTAACTCCGAAGCTGGTGGCGCCAGTGCAAATATGAGTGCAGTGAATGGGACTGCTCCGTCCAGCAACGCGTTGTCTAATGTGGAGAGCGGCAAGAAGGAGCGATCGAGAGAGCCCCGTCGAGAGGGCAGCTCTGGGTATTTGTTTGGACTAGGATCGCTTACTCGTTCTCGGTCTCGATCTCGATCGCGTGCGAGCTCTGCGGCAGCGAGCGGCAGTAATCATGGAACGTGTCCAACAGCGCCCGCGGCTTCGACACCTCCGCCTCTGCCCACAATGTCGGCGACAGCATCCCAATACTCCGCACAAGTGACGGCGATGATGACAGCAGGAGGTCCAGGTACGGAGTCATCAGCACAAGTGGCACCATTACCAGTATCGACTACCAGCTCTGGTCACACGATCTTTGGATTTGGGAACGGCGCATTTACTAAACTGACTGGATCCAGATCCGAATCCCGGTCTGGATCGCGCAACGGGAGTACAACGAGCTTGACGCTCCAGTCAATGGGCCCTGGGATGCTTTCAATGATGCTGATGCGGACGAGTCCTGGAGCGAGTGGCAGCGGCAATGGTGGCAGCAGTGGAGGATCTGGGGCGCTGACGCCGACGAAGAAGTCTAGCAATAGTAGTCTTAGCACCACTGCTGTTGCTACGAGTGGACGCCATCACCATGGTCTTGTGGAGGATGACTTGGTTTCGAAGGGTGCTGCGAGTCGACGGGGCAGTGCGGTCAGTGTCGTATTTGGAGGCGGAAGCGGGAATGAGGGATCATTGTATGTTCCAGGAGGAGGGAAGCAGAAATCGTTGCAGAGTTCGCCATTGGCGATAGTACCTTCGACGACGGCAACAGTAACAGTAACGGGAGGAGGAGACGACAGTAGTAAGGGGATTAACAGCAATGTGCCAATGACACCACTTGTATTGGAGCAGTATGGGGAATTTGGGCAGGGGTTGAGGATGGGATCGTTGTTGGGACCCATGCTGCAGACTTCTGGCGCCAACGACGCGGAGGGCAAGGAAATGGAAAAGGAGAAGGAGGAGCAGATGGACAAGCCGACGCCTGCTTGAGTAACGACGTGTTTCGTCAATATACCCCCAAGAAAAAGAAAAATAAAAGTGAGCATCGATTGAGTAGTAGAGGAGAATCTAATTGACAGGCTGAGTTGCTGTTTCTATTCTACAACCCACACGGAACTCCATGCAAGATATCACTGACAACCAACAGGAAGAATATAATCTCACCCCCCCCCCCCCCCCCTCCGTAAGATTTTATTCTTACACCCCCCGTGAGATTATTAATCATAGAGCCTCTTTTATATGCCCGTGAGATTATCTTTGTTTCGCTATAAAATAACAGGGTGTAAGACTAGAGCTCTGACGGAGGGTGTGAGAAGAACATTTCACTTTGTGCTTTGGAATACCTGGGTTTCTAAGTGCTTAAGCACCTGACACCCCGTTATCGCCGCACTGCGTCGCCCAGGTATGTCAAGAGTGCAAACTTTAGTACATCTCTCTCTCTCTCTACCAGTGCACACTTTTGTACATCTCTCTCTCTATACCAGCCCGCACTTTTTTCCTTCTGCCCCGACCACGCGCCACCGTACTCAATACGTAATTGTTAATAGGTTGCTCTTGCACCTATCACACATCACCCCAATTCGCTTCCTTGATATAAGCTGTAGTTCAGCTCCGTTCTCTGATACCAGGTGTGTTACATTCTTGACACACCTGAGCGATGCATTAAATTGCTGACTACCAGTAGTGCGGTGATAACGGGATGTCATACTAGGTCTATATGTAGATTCACATATCAGTCTCCTCGTCGCTGGAGAATCTACCCCTTTGTCCAGTCCAATAAGAGGCAGGATTGAGCCAGATTCCATTCCGAAGCTGAATGACGAGGTGCCATGGAAAAGAGAAAACAGACAGTCGTTTGTGATCATATTGGAGTAGTATTCTACGACTCAAAATAACTATCGTGGATCTTTGCAAAGGTTTAACGCTAGATTTAGTATGCTATGATGTCGTCAGTGCTTCGCCCAGTTTCTACAATATATCCAACGCACTGTTGAGAACTAGATAGCAGCGTCCGCCCAATAAAATACCCTTTTCACCCTAGATCCTTCGACACCCCAGATACTCCAATCGTTTGCAAGCATGCCGACGCATAGGGAGTTACCTAGCTTTCACTATCGTGGAAAATGATAAGCAAGGCGAGACCATGCGCTTTCCCATTTCTACATCTGCCCAATTTTTATATCGATCTACACTCGCTCCACCAAACCGCAATTTTTATTTTATTTATTTTCAGTTGGAGACATACAACTAGGGGGCCTAAATGTTCCAAAATGAGGGACGTCAGAGCGCGTTCTTTTTCTACTTGTAGAAACCGGATTGGAAGGTCCGGTGTCAGAAGCAGATGCAGAAGCAGAAGCAGAAGCAGAAGCAGCTTGCGCAGCTTGCCCCTGCCCTTGACCTGCTGCAATCTGGGCAATAGAGCTCAGGATCCGTTGCTCCATGGCCGTGATCAGCGTGCGCTGTTGCTCTTGAAACGCCATGATTTGCGTGCGCTGTGCATGTTGCTGTTGAATATTTACAATGCCCAAGCTCCGCATGAACTCTCGGATAGCTGCACCAACCACTCTTCCTGAATCAAATGTCATTGAAATGTCGTTAGTGTTGAATATGAGTGCATTGCTGCCGCTAAACGCCTCATCGCCTTTGTCGTTCTCCTCATCAACCTCGTCATCAGATGTACCTGAGGCATTGACGACCTTCAAATCATCAGGGAGAACTTGAGCGCTGTCAGTAAGTTGAAGCCCTGAAACGTTGATCAGGATGGTGGAATGGGCGCAGACCCGCTTGTAATGCTTGCTCAGGCTATCCCCTACCAGGAATGGCTTTCTGCAGACGCAGATGAAAGCCATGCTTCTATCCTCGCGCCTTTCAAGTTGAACGAACACATTTAAAAGGACGTTTTTCACTTGAACTGGCACCGTTGAGTGCAACCGAATCAAGTGGTTTTTTTTGACTTGGTCAATGGCACAGGTCTGTCCTCGTCCCTGACCGGGAGACCCTGATCAATGCGACGCTCCTGTGTTTGGATTGCCGCTTTCTTATCCAGCAGTCCCTGGACACAGTTGTAGAATGTACATTCGTTTCTCTGTACCATGATCACTGTAGTTAGCGTAGCGTGTAGTGGAATGCTGGCGAGGAAGGTACTTTGTAGTGATGTTGGTTGTAGAGTGTTAGAGTGTGCACAGAGACAAAATTGCGAGATAGAGCACATTGCACCATGTCCTCCACCTTGCATAGAATATATAACTCGCCTCATAATCTACAGGTTCTCTTCTTGACCATATCCCCCATGACCAAGGAATCTCGAGCAACGGCCATGTTGTGTCATTCTCTCTCTTCGTCCAATTGCTTTACGCCCATCTGCAGTTCGTCCTTTTGGAGCTCGTCCTCTTTTCTTTTTCGAAATGTGCAAGGCTGTTTGCATGCAATGCTAGACTTTAAGTCAGGATGATTAGGGTCTGCCTTATGTAGAAAGAAAAGAAGAGAGAGAGATTGCTAAATCACGATGGGTAATCAATGGCCATAAGCATCAGCAGCATCAGCAATACCACATATTCACCAGAGTCCGTTATACAAGGCTATAGTCTATGGTCTATTCAGACCGGGTATCCGGAGAATATCCTGAGATACGTTTTACTCATAGACTAGATACTCATAAACAATTGCTCTCAGTAAGCCCTTGATGCTCGCCTTGTGCATTGTCCAAAGCGCCTTTGTAATTGAGGAACATTTGGAGGTATCGTCACGCGTTTGCTTTTTCAACCTTCTTCCATGATGGTCTGAGAAGTGCATCTGGACTTAACTCACATATTTAACGCTCCAAAACTAGGAACTAAGGAGATTCATTCAATTGGGTTGTAACCGTTGGATTATTTTCGATGCACAGGACAAGAGCGACGCGTATGGCGCTGCACAAAAGGTCGTTTGTAGCAACCGGCTTCTGAATAATATCTCTGATTGACTAGCAGCCTCACTGCCTGCCGTGGCAAGAGGCAACAGAGTAACTCCCATATTCGAAGCAACAGCCTCTCAATCTCACTGAAACAGAAACAGGGGCTCATGGAGCTACAGGACGCGTCTGACAACGAAGCAAGTCTTGGTGTCACCAAAGACCCACTTGTAGTGAAGCCGAAGGGGCGTCCAGGAGCCAAACGTATCAAGAGCAGCAGCGAGATGTCGCGACCATCCAAAGAATTCTATCCTGCTGAAACAGACCTTGAACAATAAACGAGTGCTTTTTTTTTTTTTTGAACGAGGCCCTACAGACTATCTCCGTGAGAATATGGCGCTCACCTCCCCGTGAAAAAAAATATTCGAATTATTCTTACCTGGGTGTGAGAATAACCGGCTTACTTTTTTTTTTTTTTTGATAATTAGAACCCACGAGGGATAATCTCACGGGGTGTGAGATTATATTCTTCCATTGAATCGCATCTTACAAGTCCTGCAACCCATAGTAGATTATGCAAAAAATGAGCAGCGTTAATCGAAAAAACAATTAATTCCCAGTCCGGGGATCGAACCCGGGCCTTGTCGGTGAGAGCGACAAATCCTGACCACTGGACCAACTAGGAATTTGTTCGGGTGAATGGGTAATTCTCGTGAACTATATATTTCCATTTTACAATAAGTAGGAAATCCATTCATCAAATTTAAGGGTAAATCCATGCAATTATTTTGAAAAAAGGGCTGTTTTTAGAAATCCAGCGTCTCGTTTCAAGGCCATTGCGGACCAAGCGTCTCGTACTCTCAACAACAACGAGAGTTGCGGATCATCTTTGGCGTTGTTCAGCTACCTTGTGCGACCAGCGACAAGAGTGGAGGGACGCGGTGGAGGAAGTGGAGTTGAATGGATATCGTGCATGGAGACAGGCGGTGCGAAAATGGGAACAGGAGAGAGAGGAGGCCGAACGGAAGGACAAGCCCTTCACTGCGACTTGTCCCAACTTCTCGGCAACAGGAACGAAGGCTATCTGGGAGTCAATGCAGTGGATTCAGGGGACGGCGGAAAGACGAGGGACATATCGGGTTGCGGAAGGAGAGGAGCCGGAGAGTGAGGCAGATTGGGAGGTCAAGGACTTATACCGAGGTTTGGTGCCAACGGGACTCATTGAGACCTGGAAGCAGCTATTTACCACCACCAAGTGGATTGCGACGATCATGGTGACAAAGTTCCTGAGCAGGATCGAAGAATTTGGCAGGACCAAGATATGGAACAAACGATGCGAGGACACTGTCGCCTGGGAAAAGTCAGTTGGAATCACCTTCATGAGCAAACGCGCCGGAGGACGCAACGGTGATCGGGGACACCAACGTAGTGTTGGTGATTTCTCTGATTTGAAAGGGAGACGGTTACTTGCAACGGAGATCCAGGAAGGTAGACGGACCGCGGATTATAGGGTGCTACAGCATTGCTTGGGGCGAGGGAAGTTGGACATAATGGAGGAGTTATTCGGTTTAAAAACAACTTTATTAACATTGGATCTGGATTAGGAGACGTGTATCGCGCAACAGGTCACGCAGGAGTTAGGTTAGGCTAGCTATGCGACATGGGTTATGAATTTGACGCCTCAAGCCAACATAGTTGGTAGGGGATGCGGCTCTGCCGTGCATGGAAGGCATCTATGGCTTCAAGGCCTTTGCGGACCATGCGTCTTGTGCTCATGGGGATTTATGTTAATAAAAAAAAAGGAAAACAGCACCATGAACCTTTCTGCGGCTGGGGCACCTCGGAGTGAGTAGTCCACCTGTACTCAACGTTCAAGGCGTGCATGCAGGCTAAGACTTGAGCATATACAGATCCAAGAGCTAAATGCTTATATTTTTATATCATCAATAGGAACAACTCAAGGAAGATGGGGGCCTGTGATATATTGAGAGTTGACATAAAGTATAAGAGGTAAACTTATTAAACTCAATAAAGCGCACTGGACTTTGGTAAAATATGCGGCGACAGAGCTTCTAATGGTGCTTGTACGCTCAAGAGAAAAACGAAGGCATGAAAGAAGATGCGTATTTTGAGAAAAAGTGGTGTGCCATCTTTGTAGGGGTCGGCCATATCTTGACTTTGCTGACCCCTTGCATAAATACGACCATATTATGCACCCACCCGCACTCCACACCACACGCACCATGGACCATAACTCTATTCCCACCAATACATCCAGACCAAGCGACAACGGAGAAGGGTCTTCCACAGGTGTCTCTTTCTCTGCCAATGGAGTCGACATTGCACATGCCAGTCTAGGTGATGGCATGTTCTGACATTACCCAGCTGAAACGCTAATCATCACACCGACTGATACATCAGCTTATTTTTCCTTCGTATCAACCGGTCGTATATACATGTATATAGCTGCTGCCGCTTCGTACCAGGCTTTCGAAGACTCAGTGGACACGCCAGACTACGCCTATGCATATAGCGACGTGCTCGAGGGGTCGTCTGGTAATGTCTATGTCGAACAAGACGACCCGACGTTTGCTGAACGCGTTGACAATCAAAATGACGACACGGACGACGATACGACAGAAGCTACGGATGAGGATACAGACTACGGCTTAGACGACGTCGATAGCGCCGGTGTTGTAATGAGTGACGAGGAAGAGTGTCAGGAACGACTGCTGGATAGGCATAACAAGAGAAAGGCGAAACAAGTACCAGGGAAGGCACGACCTGCTCGTAGGAGGGCAACAATGGAATCCGGCGACCAGACTGCACAGCAACTGTCCACATTCACTTCCAAGGCCTTTGTCCAGCAATACTCCTCATCTACACCCAAGGCCTCCAGCGCAACCAGCTCCTCCAAGTCCTTCATGGCCAAGCAGCATAGATCGACAGAAGCTCAGCGGTCCAGAGACTTAGCACTCAATGAATATCGCGTCGAAATGGAGCTTCAGACACAGCGTCATAGTAACTTGGCTACGAGTACGGAAAATATGTACTCGCGGTACCAGTCCCATTGGAGGGTAAGTGCTGTACTAGAGCGCGGTCATGTCACTGGAAAACAGACGCTCCGCAATCGTACTAATCTATCTATACGGAGCTTCTCCAGGAGTGGTGCACTCGAAAGGGATACACGGATCATCTCGTACTCTCAAAACGATTCCAGGTTTACATGGCCGAGAATTTGGCTGAGGAAACGGATGAAGATGAAGGTGTCTATCCAATACGTGTCCTACGAAGAAAGAACAGGAAAGCTACATCCGGCGCGCAAGTCGATCCCTTGGAGAAGACCGACAGACTTCCTTCTTATGAGACCGTGGGTGCTTACATCAAGGCTGCTTGCGATCTATACGAGTCTCAGAAGGCGGATCCTTCGAACACCGCCATGCACTCAGAACCGCATCCACGATCCAGAAACATCAGAGGACTTATGAAAAGCTATAGGCTAAGGATTGCGAGTACCAGGAAGTCGGCTCATGCGGCAAGCTTGACAATCGAAGACGGGTACGAGCTCGAATCACTCAAGCAAGTCATGCGGAAAGGCTGGAGCCATAACTACCAGCGATTTCGAGGTAGTCGGCGCCATAAACTGGTGGGACTCCGTCGACGACTCAATGCGTCCTGGTCCCATTTTATGATGGCTTGCGACGAGAATATGAGGATGGCGACATTGGGAGATATCTCATCACATACTTTTCGTCACAACTCTCAGGACGGGTACTTTGCCTTAGGGGTCGTTCTTTCGATGTTACGAGGAAAGACCAGTTGCGAAGGCAAGGAAAATTTCGGAGTTGTTGTACGCAATAAGGACGTCGAGATTTGTCCTGTCAACAGCCTTGCATTCTACTTGTTCGAGCAATGGATGGTACGGAACGCTTGATACTGCCTTCTGCGCAAAAATATCATCATTGTTGCCGGTAATAATACTTAATGATACCTTTCTGTCTCTTCCTATCTCTCTATAGTATGGTGGAGCGCCTTTCGATGATGACGGATGGATTGCGTACTATCTAATGCCTGGGAAGGATAACAAGTCCAAGCTGTTGGCTGCAGTCCACTACCAGGTCTCAAAAAAGCTATGGGAGGATGCAAGGGTCGTTACCTCGAAACCCACTCATGCACATCGCGGCGCTAGGGCTTGCCATACTCAGGATGCTGGTGTAGAGATATCTGCGATAGAGCAACATGATAGTTGGGATCATGGCCGCGTCTCGACACATTATCTGACCAGAATCCCACACAAGGTTGCATTCCAGATGGCTGGCTGCACACACCCTAATGAACGTCTATGGCTGGCCCGGAACACTGTAATACCACCGCCTGAGCTTCAGCGGCAAGTTTTTCCGTTCATCGAAGATCACTTCAAGGAGCGTGAGGGACACGAGGATTGGCTGCAGTGGCTCGAAAATGTGACGATGGACAGAAACATGTATCATAAGCGGCAGTCGACCAAGCGAATGGCAATCTCGTTCTCCGACATTCTTAAAATCAGGATGCTGCTGCTTCTGGCTCACCTACGCAAAGTCATTTTGCAGGATGCTGTCGCGCTTATGAGCCTCACCAATGAGCCGTTCCTGTACGGGGACCACCGCATCTTTCAGCACAGCGTCTTCAAAGGGCCCCTGTTTTTGGAGTTCAAGGAAACCTTGCTAAGGAGTATGGAGACCGCAAGATCCCCAATGACGGGCAGTCTCTCCGTCAATGCCCCAGCTCTCCATAGCGAATTCGGCAGGATGAACAACAATGAATCGAGCCGAAAGCGAACTTCGCCATCTCTTTCAAGAAAGCAACAACCAGACAGCCCAGCAAGTAAAGCGCCTCGAACACCTCCTTGTCAACCAGTTCAGCAGCTATGTCACCCACAACAACAGCTGTAATAAGGAGCTAGTAGCTCGGATGTTTGGAATTATACAAGACATATCGACTTCGATTAGTCACACTGCTCACCTTGGACTGCAGTCGATTATGGGTCATCAGCAGCAGCTGGGGCAGCAGCTGGGGCAGCAGCCGGGGCAACAGATTCCGCCTGTAGCACCAACAGCACCAGTAGCACCAGTAGCTCCTAGACAGCAGTCCTTGAAGGAGAGACGGATGGTGCTCGAAGAAGAATTAGGGTCCCGGTATGTACACTATCCACATAATAGTGTGGATCTCGTCGACGTTACAATGCTGCCGCGCAATGAACCACTTCAACGACAATGAGATGAATGGTTCAGGGGCGTAGACGGGCGGCCATCACTTTGGATCTTGAATAAGACGTTTAAATCCAAATGGCGCAAAGGGCATGGTAACACGCTGGCGAAAACATTCTCGTTCAAGAAGACAATCGTGTACTCCATCTTGGATTTGATACTGAACACCGAAGGGGCGACGTTGGAGGCAAGGGAGGAGTCAGCCTTGCAGGTCGTGGAGGATCAACTGAGGGTCATGACCTTGAACAGATATTACCTGAACGTCGCTAAGGGTATGGGGCAGCTGGGGCAGTCAGGCCCACAGCTGGAGGATGAGGAGGAGCAGGAGGAGAATACCTAGAGGAGCACGCGACATAGAAACTTGAGATATACTAATGACAATACTCCGTTATTGCTACATTGCTACATTGCTACATTACTACATTGCTGCATGGTTCATTGCATGCCACCTTCTCCCTCCATTGGATGAACACTTTGTGTTATCCAAGTCAACGCCTTTTGCTTGCCATTCATCATTGCAATTGAAAAAGAATTCCCAAACCCGCGCTCGGTTATGTATCACATCCTTACGAGTTGGTGTACACCTTTAGCCAGAGAAAACAAGGAGCCCACGAATTTTTGCTTTTCCAGCACGTGCTGGAGGAAAAATAGGCACAAACCTCTCGAGAAACAGCACAAACCTGTTGGTGAACCAGCACAAACCTGTTGGGAAGCAACACAAACCTTTCGTGGAAGCAGCACGGACCTCTTGGCAAAGAGCATTAACGGCTTGTTTAAAACAGCACAGCAGAGTCTTGTCTTTTATCCATTCTCAATAAAATCCTTCGTGTCTCCTTTTTCCACACAACACACGCAAGTCAGAACGAATATGACAACGATTTCTCTTTTGACAACGATATCGACGATGATTGCTATGATGAGGACCACCAATGAAAGGCCCATGGACGAACACTTAATGGTCAGTGAGGACGAAAACGGGAATGACAAAACTGATTGTTTAGTTGCAGTGCAATGGTTGACAGTGGAAAGATGAGAGGAATGGTGAGTCGGTGAAGTGTTAACAAGCAATGTGAACCAGCATGTGCGCTGATTATGCTCTTTGCTAAGAGGTCCGTGCTGCTTCCATGCTTCCACGAAAGGTTTGTTTTTTTGTGCTGCTTCCCAGCAGGTTTGTGCCGCTTCTCAGCAGGTTTGTGCTGGTTCACCAACAGGTTTGTGCTCCTTTTCAGATCACTGCCTTCAGTCTTATATCAAATCTGCTGATTTCTGACCGAGAGCGGTGCACTGCATTGTACAAATGAATGCAAAGTATCACTCAAGAAGTGAAGGCTATGCAGCAAATGACATTCTTCTGACAGTTCCAGGATCACGACACGTAGGAGCTCGTTTCATTGTGTAAAAAAATACTGCAAGCTTCTCAAGATCTACAGAAGAAACACCTTTGCCAAATCACTGTACACGATTTCTTCACAAGATAAACTAGTCTCCCTATTTATGCACAATATCTCTGCTTAAAGGAAATATTTCATATGGTCGGGGCCAGAGAAGAGTTTCCTTTACACTTTATAGAATAGTTTCTTTTATTATTAAGTCCCAACCTTTCCATTGTAGAGAAATTTCCTTTATACAGATCCCCTTTAGAGAGAGAGTTGGTTGTAGTATGATTCACGAGCTTGTTGTTACAGTGGTCCAAGCAGCTGTGCTCTACTTCAAGGAGGATTTGAGTTGCAGAAGTAAGTACAAAGCGAACGGAAAAAACAAATTTTCCAGTATAACAATTGGTAGTGAAGGAAATTGGCATCCACAAAAAAAAAAACTAATAGAGAAAGAGAGAGAAGGCACATATATACAACTGCAGCAGACAAAAGCAAGCAAAGATTCTGCGGTCAAGGCCCTGAGATTGTCTGCCGTGTTTGCTTCCACGTTTTGCGTGTCCAGGCTTGAAAGGTACGTAGGTCGTACCCACCAGGCTGGCCAGCTCCAAGGTGTGCAGCAATCATATTGACAGCCTTCTCGATCAAAAGTATGATATTCGGATAGAGGACACTATTACTGTCCAGAATATGATAGGCTGCATGGAGAAAGAGTATTCGAGCGCGTCGAGGACCGCGTTGACAATGATCGACACGGCCTTTTCGAGGGGGTTCGGCGGGAAGAAGACCTCGACGAGTCTTTGGAGTATCGAAGCATGAGCCGCTGATGATAGTAAAATCCGCATAGCGTGTAGTTGCTATGGTGGTGGTGGTGGTGGTGGTGGTCAAAAGTGTTGAGGGAAAGAGTGAATGAAACTTTTTTTTTTATTGACGCAAGATCCCCCAGGCGTGCAGGCGTGCCAAAGGCTGCATTGTCCAAGGCTCGCTTAGCGTCTCGTGATTCAGATCCGTGGATGCACCCTGCGTGTCGGGGGGATCTGGCGTCAATAAAAAAAAAGGTTCGCACCATCCACCTCTAACACATTCCCCATCAGCAACTCTTTCGAACAATGGCTGACATGCACCCCGAGGACATCAAGGAGGCCTTCTCCCTTTTCGACCTCCAGAACACTGGCAGAATCGAACCCTCTGCCTTCCAGAACTTTATCAACGTTAGTTTGCAGTCCGCATATTACTCTCACGCTGCAGCTACTCTCTTCACCCTCCCTCCCTATAAACTCAGTATCTGATGCTGTGCGTTCCGTTATTGATTGTTACAACGCGCTTTATTCTATCTAGAACTTGGGGGATGAAGAGTTGAAGCGCTCGATCAACGTCCCCAATCATGCCATCGACATCAAAGAGTTCAGTGATATCATGAACCGCTACAATCGCAACCACAACAAGGATCCCGAGGAGCCCTACCGTCGTGCGTTCAATTCCATCAACAAGGATGGCTCCGGCGCTGTCTCTGCGCAGGAGCTCCGTGTCGCCATCCAGTCCCTCCTGGGATCCAGCGTTCTTTCGGAGGTATGTCAATGAAGGCACTATGGACTATGGTGTTCTTTATGGTGCGCGCTTTTTTTTTTCTTTATCACATTTAAAGACCCGTGCTTGCATTCTCGTCTTTTGTGTTCGTTAGGCCGATGTAGACGAGATTATCATGGAAGGGGATGTCTCTGGAGACGGTCGCATCACCCTCGAAGAGTTTTTAAAAATTATGCAAAAGAGCGAGAAGAAACGTCGTGGCGAACACGTTCTCTAAATAGCAGCAAACCCCCGTCGCCCGTCGCCAGTAGAGGCGAATGCAGTAGGCGATAAAATACCATGCTGAAAAAAAGGACGATTTGGATAAATCAGTTTATTTCAAAGAGAAGCGTTTTGAAGTTGCTCCATCAGGATCATGGCCTCAGTCTGGGACCCAATTCGCTCCACATCCACCGCTCGGAGCACAAGCGGAGGACGGACGAGCGTCATTATCGTCGTATGTCTATTCATCTTCACAAACGATGTCCTCAGCTGTGTATTCTTTCCTCCTGTGGCCGTCGATACTGCTGGTGTTACAGCTGAAGACGAACCTGCCACCGTCAAAGACTGCGCTGGAGCACCTAGACCAGGGGCGGTTGTAGCGTGTAACAAGAACTTGTCTCGCGTGCGAGGGCGCCCGGAGCAGATATCGAGCCACAATTTTTCTTCTGCTTTGGCACGATGCGATTCATCTTGATCGATACTCTCGACAAATCCACCAACGGACGTGACAGAGGGAAGCGAGATTTGACCAGACATTGGTTTGATGGCACTTTTGGAGCCTCCCTTTTGATTATTGATCGTTTTTGGCAGAAGAGGGCCCGTCCTAAATGACAGCTCGCCTCGTCGCGCGACAATCCGGAGTACCTTGTTCCTCACGTCCTGATATGCGTCCGTAAACTGGGATGAAGTCAAGGCAGAATTTGTGTGATTCACCAATCCACCTAAACTTGCTCCATTTGCGTCCTCTCTGCATTTGTGCTCAGTTGCTCCAGACGCAATATCAAGACTGGATCCGACTTGACCTGAAGGCTCGTCAGTGGCCTTCTTCATGACTCCCAGAAGGGTCCACATCACATCCTGCAGATCTTTCAGCACCAGCAGCTGTACCTCGGCTGTTCCATCGGATACCGAGCATTCCATTTGGATATCAAGACGCCATTTCCTTGATTGGCAACCAAACACGCACTCCAGATTCTTGTAGACATTCGAGCATTCCGCACAGATGGCTCTGAGAAGCGCGCGGTCAATCCTAGTCAGCCAACAGATGTGTCGCGTAATGGTCCTGGTACTGCCGCTTGCATTGTGCGATCCGGTTCGGCTGTTGCTGCTGTCGCTTGTTGTTGGAGCTTCGGATCTCGGATGAACAGAGGTCGCAGCAGTGATGGGTGCCTCGCACCAGAGCGTCGAAAAGTAGTCGACCTTGGATGTTTTGTCCTTGTTGACCCGACAATTGGGATCACCGTTATGCCGATTATGAATTGTTGGGACGAGAAGATCGAGCGCGTTCAGCCCTCGAGCACGATCCTGACGCTGCCTGAAATTCAAAGCAGGTGTACTGTGTCGCCCAGACCTGGTGGTTTCCTGGCAAACCTTCTTGACACCTTCTGAATTGATACCACGGTTCATAGGTGTGTCGGGACTTGGGCTACTAACAGATATCCGCTTTTTGGATCCCTCGTTCCGCTGCTGTTGCTGTCTTTGTCCGCTTGCGAACAGATCTATTACCTGTACACCTTGGCTGCTCTGCTCGGTCCTTGGTCGCTTCATTCCTCCTCCCTGCGCTTTGATTAATTTCGTCCGCTTCGCTTCCTTGCTCGGAGATGCTGGCATGATGAGAAATTTTGTCTTATCAGGAATCCCCACACAGGAAAGCACCATATTTGAGTCAAACTCGTCCACCAATACCAAGGCATCCGTAACAAAGAGTTGGTCTCCTGGATTGATTGCTGATATTGAGAGAGATTCCACACGGTTGATCCTGTTCTGATCAAAGGCGTCGCTTAAAAGGACGGCGACAACGCGTTCAGGGATATTCTGCTCCTCGAGATCATCGTCAGTGTCGGATTCGGAGGAGGATGCGTTGGAGTCGGACCAGGAGATAACAGATGAATGATCGCCCGTATCAGAATAAGTGCCGTCCTTATTGGAACTCTCCTTCTTTGGCTCCTGTGCTTGCTGATGCTGCTTGCCCCTCTTCAAGTGCTTTTCGTTCTCCTCATCGTCTGAATCCAGAATTAAAAGGACGCGATCGTTGGGCTCCTGTACCTTGACGTGCATTCCATTACCAAATGAGTGATTCTCCGTCAATGTATCCACCTTCCTAGCTGGTTCATCCTTCGGTATCGCTGCGGAGTGTTGCTTGGGATTTATTGCTGGCCGTGTACTGCCGGCCAGCGAGGAAGGCCGGGGATCCCTCAACCATACGATATGATCAAGTGAATGACCATTAGATTTTTTTCTGAAAAGCCAGCGAGCCTGTTTATGAAGAGGAAACCGATCCAAGTCGTGTGAACTAGGCAAAGACAGCGTGTTCCTATCTGCAGGGTTGACGATCGTATGAGATGTGTTGCTGAGGGTATAGATGACTTGGCCGGTAAAGCTGAGGATCCTTCCGTGATTGGGAGAGTGTCTTGAAGATGAGGACGAGGCAGAGGAATCAGGGTGAGGTCTTGTTTTGAGAAAGAGGTCGTTGATGGTGAGGAAGGAATCTGATGCTAGCGTGGGACCCATGGAGAAGGGGGAGTGGGGGGGAGATCCAGTCCTTCCCACGTTTACATAACACGCCCAAAGGTGTGCTGTGCGCGTCAAAAAATCGGATTAGAATACGTGGATTCAATTAAGCGAGCGAGCGAGAGATTCTTCCTGCTCGCAACATTCGAGAGCTCAAAGACCCATAGCCGCCGCAAATAAGGTAAGATATGCACTGCTCGTTGTCGTGGAAATCATTCTTATTGTTATTCTTTTCCCCCATTCATCTCTATGTCCTTCTCTTAGACTTCTCCTTAATCGTCGCTCTGGTGGTACGAGACCTTGCGCATCTCGCCCAGGACTCTTCTCGCAAGCGTCAACTCCTTCTCTAGCTTCAAAATCTCGACCTGCTGCGACATCTCCTTGATCTTGAACTCGTGCGCGTTCATGTTCTGGTAGTCCACCTCGGCCTCGCGCTGCTTCATCTCTCTCTCCATGATCGCCTTGACCGCACGCACCAGCGCCCTCGATGCCTCTGTCACATCCCTGGACGCTCTCTCCAGGTTGTCCTGGGCCTTCGACATAAAGTTGGCCTTGACACGCGAGGCTGCAACCAACTGAGCCGTCGCAGCCGCGACCTCGTTCGAGGCCACCAACAGCTGCTCCATTGAATGTGTCTTTGAGATCACACCATCCGCAGTCTCGACCAACAGTGTTGTTGCCATCGCCACAGCCTTGGCCGCCGAGATCAATCCCTCGGTCCAGCGATTGTTCTTCTTGTAGAAGGCTGCGTTCGTCGACGTTCCTCTGCCCTGTGCAACGACCTCCTGCTGCGAGATCGTAGCGCATTTGATCAAATGACCAATTGCCCGCATCATCGCCATAGCACTCTCCAGAATCGAGGCGTTGACCTGGAGTTCGACCGCCGACAGTCCATCGTTCTTGGGCTTGGCAATCAAAGCCTGCAGACGTGCCGTTGCCTCTTCAATTGTCCTAGCGGCGTTACCCATCTCCACCTCGACCATATCACCGAGATCCAATTTCGAGGGACCAAGCTGGTTGTTCTTCGGGATCAAGTTCTCAGCAGCCTTGGCCAGACGTTCCAGAATCGACTGCACATCCTCGTTCGAGCGCGTGATGGTCCTGATGCTTCCCTCGGGAGAGAGACCGCCCAGATGGGACGACATCACGTTCTTGAAGAACTGCTGTGTTGCCTGTGCTGCTTCCTTTGCCTGCTTGACAATGTCTTCCGCATCCTCGTCTTTCTTGGCAAGGCGCGTGATGCCCTTGGCGTTATCCGTAACATCTCCCAAGGCCTGGGACAGATGGAGAGCAGAGCGGATGGCCTCGATCTGGTTCACGTCGTTTGAGGACGATGTACGGAGATACTGCATCAACGTCAGCTCGAACTCTGTAGAAGCTGTCTGCGCCTTTTCGATGATCGAAAGCGTAAACTCAGGGGTCGCGTGCTGGTTGCCAGGCTGAGTGGGCGTCTCCAGGTTGTAGATGCTCTCCTCCACCTTGTTGTAGCATGTCTCCAAGATAGAATCTATACGGAATGAAGTCGTTGTCGTGTTAGACGATTTTTTTAAAGATGCGAGAAGAAAAGAGAAAATGCAAGGTTCCTCGGCTATGCTTACCCAGAATCTCCTGCAGCTTGCGCTTGTGAGCATTTATCATAGTGTCCAGGCGTCCTTGGAGGACTGAGGACTGCTCATTCTGACCATCCCTCAAGGTCGCCAGCTCCAGCAAAGTCTCATCAAGACCGCTCTCGAGCACGGCCTTTTCTTCCTCGTTTTCGATTTGCATGCGCTCAATTTCGGCCTTTTGGTCCTCCACCTGGCGAATCAGCGAATCAATCTCGCGTTGACGGCGCTATAATGTTGGCAGCAGATATTTTTCGCTATCAGCGCTCATAAAAATATCGCAAATAATTAAAACAGGCGTCTTGACGCCATGGTAAACATCAAGCACTTACGTTGGCTAAATCCTCCAGGTCCTGCTTCTCCCTGTTGAACTTGGCGACCATGGCTCCAACTTCAGAGCTCTTGGAGCGTCCAAGGTCCTCAACACGGCCGTTGGCCATCTCGAGATCCCTCTTCAGTCTCGCAATCTCGTCGTTCTGAGTGTTCTGCCACCTCAACAGCTCGTTCTTGGCACGGTCGCGCTCACGAACCATGTCGGCCATCTGCAGATTCTTGTCCTTGATCTCCTTCTGCATCTTTTCCATCTTGTCGACAGCTTCCTGAGCAGAGTTGGCCTTGAGTTGTACAGTCTTGAACTTGGTCAAGAGGTCGAGATGCTCCTGACGAAGGTGGGAATACAACTTGGCAAGTGCCTCATACTTGGACTTCCAGATGTTGATTTGCTCTAGTAGACATGATTGAGCGAGGTTACCAAAATGTAAGATACAGTGCCCCTGCAAAACAACTATAGGATTGCTTATAACCACTTAGAGTTCTATATGTTACCCTGGATGCTCTGGATCATGGCGTCCTTGGATGCGAGTTGTTGCTGAGCATTCATGTTGATCAGCTGGTTCTCCTGCTCCAGTCCCTTGACTCTCTATTCGATTAGAGAAAACCAACATGGTTAGTGCTGTTCTTCTCGTCCAAGCTTGTTGTGACTCTGTAGATAGAATTAAGACTGGAGTAGCATGTTGACATACTCGATCATACTGGTCAATCAGCATCTGGTCGCGCTCGTACTGTCCACGGAGGGCCAGGACGTCCCGCTCCAGTTCTGCAAGACGTCCCTCAGCCTGACGCTGCATCTGCTCACGAGCCAACTGCTCTCTCTGCTGACGCTCGCGCTCCATCTGCAAGTGCTGCTGTTCCTCAAAATTCTGCTGAAGACGAAGGGCTTCCATCTGCTGTTGCTGCTGCTCCATCTCACGCTGCTGCTGAAGACGGTTCTGCTCCAGCTCGTACTCGCGCTGTTTCTTGGCAATCTCCCGCTGCTGAGCCGCCCAGTCCGGCTCAGGGGTCTGAGGAGGCGTATCCTTGACAATCTTCCGTTGAGGAGTGAGTGGAGGAGAGTCTGAGCCGAGCAGATTTGGTGGGTCCTGAGGCAACTTGGGCACGCTGATCAGACTGGTCAGGTACTTCAAATTGGAGCACTCATAGTAGAACTTAATCAAGGCGTAGTGCTGTGCATTGTAGCGCTGTCTCAAAAGAATTAATCCTTCTGGGTCGTTGGTGCCTATACGTCGAATACAGGCCATTAGGCGTGTGCGTTAATATACTACTCGTAGATGCTCACAATGCGTTTCTAAAGGACAAAGGATTTTGACTTACGCTTGTGCATGGCGCGCAACATGCTGGTGGCAAACTTATAGATGGCATAGCTCTCCTCGACCAAGGGGACCAGAGCTGCGATCCTGCACTCGTTGTTGGAAGAAGGGCGAAAGTTGGCGAAGACAAGTTTCTGGAACTGATCAATTTGATCCTGCAAGTTCATTAGATCCGTAATCGTCTCGTATCTAATAATACCTCCCCTCCCCGTTAGTCGACGTACTTTTACTTTTACTCATAGCATATTATCTTGGAATTTTCACCGCCCTGCTCTCATCTGCTTACCCTTCGTTAGGGTCGTCAATACCCTTCAACGAGATGTATTCCTTGTAGTCAAACGTGCCGTTGAACTCAGGATGATTGTTGTGGTAACGCAGCTTTGAGTGCAAGAAGTCGACATAGTTGCGGATCAAAGTGCTGTAACCTAAGGATAGCAGAGCATTGTAAGGGAGCGTGGTCGGAGGCGACGAAGGTTGGTCGAAAATCATTCATTTCATCAACCTGTTTACCTCGGCCATCGTACTGAGAAGTGGAGCGGGCGCACTGGTCCAGCCAGTCTGTTTCCTTTTGAGCGTCCTTCAAGGCCTATTTTCCACATCATGGCAGGCGGGATGGAAATAAAAATGGAGCCGCGAGGTGAGCAACCAAAGACTGAGGTGTGAGCGCTCCTTGTACTGCCGAATTGTCGGCGATCCTCCTGATTACAGTTATTTTTTGCTGGAATTGAATTTGAGAGTCGATGATCCATTCCCGAGCTCTTCATTAATGTATACCAGTGTAACGGCTATCCAGTTGGGTTGACTCAACCCAGGTCCTGATTGTACGATGGAACAAGTCATTAGATTCCAGCGATTTGAAATAATAAAAGGGAACGTACAGTTGGATGTCCATCACGAATAATCTTGTGAACCGAAATCAGAGCCTTGAAGGTCTGCACCTCGTCGCCCAGCATGGGCTGTGTGCGGAATCCATGCCAGACTGAGGCCGAGGAGCGATAATCCCAGGTATAAACGATGCAGGCTATATACACAGGAGAATGGACCAGTAAGGTTAATAGCGAAGAAAGATTGCATTTAGCGGTATGTACCATGGTACTGGGAGGGAATTTTCTTGGCAGTTCCTTCCACTGACGGCAGCCCCATCGCTTCAATTACTTCAATTGCACTCCAACACCATGCTACTACAGCTGCTTCCCATCCACAAAGACCAATCGGCGCGCTTTCTAATACCTCGAACGTGCTTCTGCTTGGGGGCAGTTTCCTCAGGACTTGTGGCCTTTTTGATGTGAAGCAGGAGCTCAGTCTCAGCCTTATCCCTGTCAACGGGACGCGTACTGAAGGACATTGGTGGTTGCTGTTGATGGCGATGAAGAAAAATAGGTCTAGAGGAGTGTGGAATCCAATGTTCATCAGCTTTATTTCAGGCACGCGAGAGTGGAACACTATAAATAAAATAAGGGCAGTGTGCTATTTTCAGTCGGAGCAAACGATGGTTACCTCTCTACGAAGGATGCACCAGGGAGATAGTATGAATGAGGAGAGGAATGGGAGAATGGGGAGGACGAAGTGGAGTGGAGCGGAGAGAGATGAAGAAAAGAGAGAAAGAGGGAAGCGTGATGAGGGACAACAACCGTGTGTATCTGCTGTAATATCATTTGTCGAATAACCTTGTTCCTATATGCGTGCTCTCTCTCAATATCAATTACCAACAGCCATCAAGCGTCCATTTCCACAGTCTATCTCGGATGTGCACGCGGCATGTAGAAGCATGCGGATGAGAATTGTTGGTCTTGTTCATTTATTCTTTTGGGATTGGTTGGCCATGTGTGGATAGACCAGACATCATTACTATCGGCAGTCCAAGGAGCAGGAACCCCAGCGTCATCATGCTGGAATGCCGTGCGAAAAAAAGCCAGTTTGGAGCATGTGTTACAGTGGAGAGCGGCAGTGGAAAACAGCAGTTAACCGATAATCCTGTCGTTCTCGTTTCCTTGGAGATCCAGTAATCGGACAATAGTGCGTGCACTCTCACTTTGACAGCCCTAGAAGGGACCTCATTGCAAGTTTTCTGCAACGACCTCCCGAAGAGCAGCAGCAGTCTTGCTGTGTCCACGTCTGTCTGCAGTAATGGCTTCATGGAGCCAGGCGTCCTTGGTGACCTTAACACAGTGCGCACCTTGACCTGCAGGGTTTCTGAAGACGATCACGCCTTTGGTGAGCATAGCTTTGAGCCTGACTGGGTCTGCGCCAAAGACCTCCTCAATCTCTGCAGCGAGTATGTAGAGCGGGTATGAGCACAAATTCGACTGACGAGCGTCCGCAAAGAGTCGACGGCGCTTGTTGGGGTCAGACTCGCGGAGCGATTTCGAGTAGAATTCTTCTAGTGAGATTCCTGAGCGAGGGAAGCCGAATTCAGACATGGTATCGACGAAGGTGTGGAGGTGAAGATTATGAGCAAACGACGAGAGGAATGCGAGGGAGCCCTTTTCATTTCTCTGACTTGACAAAAGCAGTCCGTCATCATGGACCAAAGGCGAAAGAGGCCAAGCAAACAGCGCGAGGGAAAAGATCGAATACAGGCACCATTCACTTTGCGGATGTCTTTAATGAGCAAGATACGACTGTTCTTTACGGTATGGAGTAAAGGTAGACAGTCGCAGGTTTTTTTGGAGTGATATTTGCATTTTCATACCACGCTCTGTCGTTGAGCAGCAGGTCCATAACGCACCAGTGCGGTCGGTATATCGCTTGCAGTTTTGACCTGATAGAGTTGGTAAAGTGGAGCAGAGTAGAAGTGTCTGCTGCGGTGAGTACCGCTGCAAATGATGATAAAGCATAGCCTAAAAGGAAGGCAAAGGTGGAGAGGTCAAGGAAAGGGTGCCAGAAATAGCTCGTCTCCTTTGGAACACTATCACTCCTTTCACTCCTTCTCTTCCGTCCACACACCCACTCCTAGCCTCCACCCGTCCCTACACAGCGCATACTCAATTAAGCTACGCACTTGTGCACAGTCCATATCTCACTCCATACTGTTCACATAAAAACACATCCCCAATGCCAACAAGGCGAAAAAAGTCCAGGCCGCACCGGCTCTCTCTCGCCTCAACCCCTGTCATTGCCACCACCGCCACTCCAAAGGCACTTTGCATCGTCGAGATTCTTGAGCACATCCTCTCATTCCTCTCCCAGCATGTCCTCCGCAACGTCGCCTCGCTCGTCTCGCGGCAGTGGTATAATGCTACCTGTCGCTCCCTCTTCAGCGAGGCTCTTTGGGCGTCCAATTTTCAGCCCGATAAGCGCCTCGAGGCCATGAATAATTTCCCTAAGGTCCAAATCCTCACTCTCACCCCCGACGCTCCAGAACGACGGTCCCTGCCTTACATGTGGCCAAATACTAGTCACGCCCAGCGCCAGATTGCTTGGCGCGAGGTTCTGATCCGCCTCCAGAACGCGTCAAGCAACAAGGGGCTTGACAAGGTCCGCATCCTCGATCTCAGAGGCTCGCTCGATGTCCGTGTTTTTTGCAGGGTTGTCGAGCAGTGTTTGGCGCAGCAATTAGTCGTCCTGCAGCTTGAGGTACTGAAATCCGGCGATTATTATTATCTAGAGCGGATCCTCAAGGGCTGTCCGAGATTGGAGACCCTTAAAGTCGAGCGTCATTCAGAGCTGGTTCATGGTCAGGCCATCCCTGGATCGAGCCCTGAAGATCCTGGATCGGAACACGACGCCGTCAAGGAAGCAGCTGCGGTGCTTCGAGAGCGCCAGTTCATCGAGCCACTGGAATGGACTGAGACACTCAAGCTCCGGACCCTGGTCCTCTTTCGCCCCATGGTCTCGCAGCGGGTCCTCCAGGCCATTCTTCATAAATGCCCAGACATGCGCGTCCTCAAGTTGATCTCGGTGATCGAGAGAGCCTCGTACGCGGAACTCAAGTCCGCAGCCTCCGCTCTTGGCCAGGAACCAACACCGCATCAGAGACTTCATGGCACTTCACCCTTTGACCTCAACACTCTCGTTCACCACATTGCCCAGTCCTGTCCAAGACTCCACACCTTTCATCTTTCACTGCATTCACGGAAAATTAACGCGGAGACACTGACAACGATCCTGGATCGACTATCTAATGTTCGGCACTGGAGTTTTGTCACGCGCGACATGTTCGCTCCCGCCATCCTGCCGTTGCTCCATGATAAAACCGTGCTCTCGAATCGCATGACAACACTGGAACTGAGGGGCGCAGGCTTCTTGAACCCTGATAGATCGACCAGCACTTTGAGTAAAGCCCTCCATGAGTTCTTGTGCACATCTCCGACACTTCTGCATCTTATTGCACCTACAGTGACCTACTATACCGAGTATCTGGATCTCAACCGAATCCTGGTCGGTTCCAAGGATACCCATCCCGACACTCCACGCGCAGACGGTCGCTTCTGGGCCTGCCGATCCCTTAAAACACTGCACCTCGAAATCCGCGCGAGATATGAATCCGATACCCTACAACATTCACGCGTTATCTTTGGATACCTCTCTAAGGTATGTCCCAAACTCGAGGATCTGCAGCTCCGTCGGCCGTATCTGTCTTTCTGGCTAGCGGGCGGGCTGTGTCTGCTATCGAGACTTCATAATCTGGAAAAGATCAAGCTGTGCTGTCGATCCTATACTGGTTTTTGTGAGTCGGATGTACTAGAGTGGGTCAAGAGGGAGGGCCATCCCTGGGGCAAGGTAAGCCCCCACAAAATTGCAGTGTCATCAAGTTTCATGGACACGGCGCGGTTGGGATGTAAGATGGCGATGATCAAGGCGGGCTTGATCGCTGCACCCTCACCTGTCCATCCAATGATGTCCTCATCATTATCTTTGTCGTCATCGCCACCTTCATATTGGGACTCATTAACAATCACGGAGCTCTCAGTTGCGAACTTTGTCACGTTGGGCGAGATGAAGGATATTGAGGACCTGCAGATTGAGCGCATGCTGCAGTATCAAAGACAGCAACCTTGTTGGCCCCGACTCGAATCATTTACGGTCGTACATGATGGCTGGTTCAACAATAGCACAACCACGGGGATTGAGCGACTGCGCCCAGATGTCCAATTTCAATTCGAGACGAGGTCCTTTCACCAGAATGGATACCAGTAGACTGCTATCTCTCTTTTGTATACAATACATATACACCTTAAAAGAATGGGTGTATACATTTGAGTTGACCGGTCAACTCAGGTCAACTCATTTTGACCCTTTATAATGTCCACTCAAATGATGGGGGCAGCTACACAAGTTGCAAAAAAACCGCCATTTTATTGTGCAACTGCCCATCGCGCTGTGGATAAAGCTTACACGTCCGCTGCGATCAGTGGCGAGTGGCCGAGCGCGAGAGGGGATTTGAGTTACTTGAAGTGTGCACCACTGAAGCAAAGAGCCTTATTCCGCCAGAAGGACTATTATAAACATGCAATCCTCAACGCAGTAGAGAAACTGTGAGGTTAGTTTCAAGGACTTAGCAGGACATGCTCTCAATGCAAGACAGACATTCAAAAATAAAGAAAAAGGAGCTGGTATGATTGATCAAGTGAAGGCTCAAGTTACACCGAAAGAAGCACTATCAGAGGCCACAGATCACCACTGTCATTCCCCCTTGTCATGGGAAGGGAACATTGACAGTTATGGGATTATATCCCAAGACAAGTGGAGCAGCTTAACACATCCTCACCCTCAAAAGACCGAAGATGTGTATAACCGTTCACGAGATATCCCTCAAATGTCTGACCAGGAGATATGAGGGTCCCGTCCAATCGAATCATAAGAACAATGGCAATGGGAAAGAGAAGGAACGCCAGATTACACCAAAAGAAGCACTATTGGATCCCTCGACCATCGTCGTCCATCTCTCTTGCCATTATGGAGAGAATGTCAACAACTGGGATGAACTCCCAAAGGAGAGGGTTCGCTTCACACATCGCGATCCGCTTCGCGCATGTGCATATCCGTTCTCGGAGTTTTCCTCAACTGTCTATCCAGGAGAGATGGGGACCTCGTCATCCAGAAATATTGCCATTATTCCGCCCAAGCTCAATTCTTACTGCAGGCATATACCTTAATTACAATCGATGATTTGCTGTTTACGTTTACAAGTACAATGGGCGCGAAAATTCCCCCATTGGTCAGAAAATAAGCATTTCTTGCAGTGGAGACAATCATAGTCATTGGAAATAAGACTCTACGCCGTGTGAATTGACACAGGGACGCGCTCATTTGACAATATGTATTTTATTCACTGGCACTTGCGCCCTGCCCCAACAGCGTTGATTCCCTGGACATCTAGCATTGTATTTCCCAGTCCTGCCACCGCGCTTTGGAAGTACTGCAGCGTACATCGTCTTTTTTTTTTTTTTTATATATATCGCGAATGATATCACCTAATAGATTTCTTCAAAGCGTATTCCAGCTCGCGTTCGCATTTCTGAAATGTCTCTTCATTTTCAGCTTCTCTTGCTCTTCTCTGTGCTTCCTGCTGCTCAGCTCTCATTGCTTATAGTTGGAGACGGAGTTGCGGTGAAAGCAGCTTTTCAAGAGGGGATCCGAGATCGTTTTCGAGACTGTTTTCAATACCGATCGGTTCTTTCCCTACCGTAGTTAATCTCTAATGCCTCTGTAGATCCTTGGTACTAGATACATGTGCTTGCAGGGTGACTTGTGCTGGACGCAATCAGGATACGCACAAGAAAGAACAAGAGTTCTGTCCAAATTCACATGGTGGAGTACTCTGCATTGGGTCGAGTGAAAGATTGAACCTATATGTGGAATTCACTAGCGAACTTGTTCACCGCGGTTAACCGTTCACCGGTGAGAATCACTAGTAACTACCATATTTTGATACACCGGCTCCAAGATCATGCCCAGCAGAAAAAAGCAGCTGAGAGCTCGAATAGCGTGATGGCGTGGAATCAATCTTGTTTAGAGGGCACCTCGAATATCGTATCTCGACAATTTCATTTGAAAGGCGCAATAAATAAAAATGCACTGTTGCATCTTCTGACTTGTTTGCTATGTATATCATATATGTAGCTGACTCGATGGTCAGACGATTGGCAGATAGTCTGGCGAGGACGACGGTCGCAACCCGACCTTGGCATGTTGCATTAAAGCGATCAGGTTTTCGATCCGGCGCTTTATCTTGATCATCATGTCGAGACCACCTATGAGTTCATGGCACTTGGAGGCCACCGCCGGGAGAGTGAACTGGCCAATCTTGTACATGAGAATGATACCTGCAGAGAGTCTGGCCTCGAGCAAGTATATGTCGGAGCCTAATGAGCAACGAAACGCGTTAAGATGAATTCAATCCAGCGTTCAAATAGAGTGTGCACCTTATCCGACAGCAACACGCCGAACGTCCGCACTTGGTCATGTTTGTGGAGAGGCATTTGGTCCAGCGCCATACATAGATTCGCCGCCATTCCTGTCTCCAGCTTCTTTATATCCATCGCCCGACCGTATGAAGCGTTATTGGGCTTTGCCTCCATGACCATCAAGTCCAGCTTCAAGACGTCGTGGCGCAGGATGGCACCGTGCTTGTGGTTGATGCCCGGGACGTCGGCACCCAGACTCCTAATATCGGTCATCTTTACGGTGGTATCTTGGATGCTGGAGAAGATATCCATCAGAGGTGCATGAACCAGTGCTCCGAACCATCCTTCGTTGTGACTGGTCTTCAAGGACGCGCTGACCCAGTTCTTGCACATAAGATGTAGGCAGGTCCACAAATACGCCCGCTCTCCCTGCTCGGTGTTTGTAGGGTCCAGTTGCTGCATTTTGGGTACTACTCACCAAGGAGCTTCTGAATGTCCCTCGCCTCCGTTTGCTGCTTAAGCACAGTCGCTTCGTCCCAGTCAATGCCGTAGTCGCACTTAACTTGACATCTCCTGACTTCTTGCTGCAGGTCTTCAACGACAGAAGCATCTAACCCGGCCCGGCGGTTCGAATTGGCTACATCGAAAATGCAGTATCTGGAGCCTGGTCAGAGATCAACTGCTGCCGAGATCCAGAATCGCGACTCTCTCTTCTTTTTGTCCTTTATTCGATCTGAGACGTCTCTCAAAAGATGCTTCCGACTTGCCGTGTTATAATCTGCCAAGGGTCCTTCGCCTTTGTCCGCTGCCTCAGTTGCGATTTCGTGCTGTTTGTCAATATTTGCGACAGCTTCATCTGGAAGCACAATGGAATGCTAGGATTTACACAATTTTATAGGACCATTGTTAGTGTAAGCCAGAAGTTGGCGATCATCTCTTTATCTATGTCTAAATAACGCTGTGTCTGTACCTATGGGATTTCGTTGATGGTGGCTATGTCTTCGTCGATCCGCAACCACGAACGCTGCCTCTGCCAAATTTTTGGTCGTAATTTTTCGAAAGCAGCAACTTCACTCTCGCCTTGACAGCGTCTGGTACTCCAGACCCCAGCAATCGTTCCAAGCTGGTGCGCCAAACCGCGTTGGCCTGATCTAAGATCGTTATAGGAGGCTCATCGGTGGGTGACTTCATTGCATTCTCACAGAACCCGAAGTAAGACCACATTTTGAAATCGTGATTCACAAAGTAATCATGATTGGGCTTTGGCGCTGTAAACTTCATAGTCTAGTGTAGAGTCGGTGGAAAGAGCAGTAAGGTTCTTGGAGCTCAGCGCTGTTTTTAGTACTCCGGTGTGACGTTTAAGTTATTTTGCCACTATGAGTAAAAGTCCTTCATACGCTTGCTCGATCCTTCCTCAACATAATCCAGCTTCATGACCTATCAAGTTCAGATGCGTCAAGTGAGGGATTGATGGCACTCGGTAAACATAGCACGGCTGTTACATCCAATGTTATTTTGGGCATTCGGCAGCGTTCAGCGCTTTCTGTGACCCTGTATAGGGTGTGTAGCGGCTGAGAGACTATGCGAGTGTTGTTGACCGTTTGGCGACCTTGGCCGCATCCTTAAAAAACATCACTTCTACGTGTCTGGGCAGAGCTGGGTCCGGATCTGTAGGCTATGATCGGATTGAAAATAAAGCGGAACACAACCATCGTCGATACACATGAGAGTAAATGTCATAATATATATGATATGTGTTCGGGGGGAGGTTTTTTTTTTTTTTTTTTTTTTTTTGGATGCAAAGGACGACAGTTGTCTATTCAATGATCCGCAGCTCCTGTTTGCGTGCAGGTGCGTACTTGTCCTTGTATCTGTCCCAAATAGCGAGTACTTCGTCAATATACTTCTTCTGCAGATCTTGCAGTTGTTCTGTTGTTGGACTGCCCTCCATCTTCTCGACGTGGATCGGCTTGCCAATGACAATATACACGGGCTTCCTCCTTGGTAACAATCCAAATTCATCTGTACGAGGGAGAGAGTGAGAGGAAAAGATAGCGGAGAAAGAAAGCGGATTAGTAAAAAGTACTATAAAGGACTGACTGATGGTCACTTTGACAGGACCAGATAAGAAACTGTAAAAAGAGCCGTACAGTTAAAGATGCCTCGTCCGTTGAACATGGGTAGTGTAAATCCAAAAAGGCGCTTGAACAGCTGCTGGATCTGATATGTCCTGCTAGTATGCTTGGCGCTATACACCTCGTAGAGGTCGTTCTCGCCGAAAGCGAGCGTCGGTACCAGACTTGCACTAATTGCGAAACGAAAAAAAAAAAAAAAAAAAAAAGGACAGAGTTGAGTATGTAGATATGAATTAATCCAGATAATCGCTCAAATGACCTTGGTGCTGTATTCTATCATTCAAGACTGTTGCTTACCCATTGACAAGTGCCAGTTTGATGAATCCAAGTCGCTTCTTGAGAGTCAAATCCAGGGTTCCTGGCTTGGACGCCAAACTCTCTTGTGCACCGCCGACCACAATCACAATCGAGTTGCCTTTGCCTGACTGCAGGATGTGTTCACACGACGCTCTCGAAACAGAGGCGCATCCATGAGCCATGATATAGTCGCGATAAAATGGGATCTGAAAGTTGGTCTGCAGTGTCAACAATCGAGGATGGATTCCTGGAAACCGCTTTGAAAAGTTCAGTCCTTCAGTGCCGAACGTACAAAACGCCCCCATTGAGATGATACCGTGTGGGTGATACCCAAAGATATAGTTCCTGGAGGGGTCCAAATCTCCTTCCTGACATCCAGAGATTGATAGAGAAGTGAGGTAAGTGGGCTGCTAGAGATTAAATCTACATTGACAACATGTTCAAGTTCGACCATTACCTTGATAAGGGTCATGGGAAAGTACTGGGCAAAATTCTTCCATCCTCGCCAATTGCGCCACCATTGCACCCTCCGCCCACCTTTTTCGGGTGCCTGGTCCAGCATAAGGATCCACAGTAGATACATGATGATCAATGGCCAGAGATACTTGATAGTGCAAAGGTACAAGAAGAGTAGCAGGCTGATCGCTATGGCGGAGATCCAGACCAATACGGCGCCTGTCTGCAGCCTACGCTTGATAGGCATGCGAAGAGGTGCAAAGAACGGCATGCTGTTCTAATTCGTGTTCTGTCTTTCGAGGGGTATATGTCGCTGGCCCAACTGTAGGTTGTCGTGATAAAGTAGAATCGTTTTAAGGCGGTTCCTGAGTTCTGCTTGTTGTTCCTTGGAAAGAAAAAGGATTAACTGAGAAAGGGGTGGAATGAAGGTCGGGTCGCTGGGAGGAGTAGAGAAAAGAGGAGGCGAGGGATGAGCGCTTGTTAAATAATTCAGGAGCGAGAGGAGAGCATTGGCGCATGCGAAAGTGTCAAGTCAGCAAAGTTAAAGGTAGACTATTAAAATGGTGCTCATGCCTTTTTCACGCCTGTGCGAGCGGAAGATGAAAAAAATGAAAGTGAAACAGATAAAGCTATGAGAGGATGACAGTCGTCGTGCACGCACACCCTGCCCTGGATGGACACATGTCTCGCTGCAGAGAGTCTATGCACAATAATTTATAGCATTAGACGGACATGTGAAGAGATCCTCGGTCAGCGTTGGACGACAACAACAGTGCCGACTTATCGAAGAGACGTTCCTTTGTTCATAGGATAAGAACCGGCGTGCTTGGCTCTTCCTAGGTTCTCTTTCCCGTGCTTGTGATTCCAGGGAGCTCATCTTTTTACCTTCGGGACAGGGCTTGGCAACACGACAGGGCTGCCTTTCCATCCAATATCACGAACAAACCGACTACGGTCAGCACACAGTATACGATGCATCCCAAGGACAACAATGCACCCTTCAACGCCCATTGCAGCGCTTCATTCACAGCTTTATATTCCATGCGGAAACCATATGCAAGTATGTCGATAAAACGGCATCTTTATTGTTTCAATATCAAGTGACATCTTGCTACATACCGTCCTTACCTTAAAATTTCCACAATCATTCAGCACACAGATATCACTCCTTGCACGCCATCGATATACCATTCTATTCTTCTTCCGCTTCAGGTATTGCACAGCGATACTTGAAGCAACGCTCCGATAACTTCCCTTTCGGCGTCAAGCATGATACAGCAGCAATCAAGCTCCTGTAGATGGCGTCCTTTCACATTGTAACGCAATTGAAACGCATCTATGAGCGATAAATGGCAGCTTGACGCCTCAAAAGGCAGTCCTTTGTTGATCCTGACATGAAATCCATGATTGAAGCACACGTCCTGAAAAACCGGCGCTGCCATATCTTTGAACAATCCCGTGTCATTGAAAAAAATAAAGTAAAATAAAAAAATGGCCACGAAGGACCTTGTTGCCCAAGAGAATTATCCAAGCTTTAAAGCATGGTTTATTGCTACTCTGCAACAGCGAAATGAAAGGTATGTGTCCTGATCCAGACTGACATTTAAGCCTCCTATAAGTAGAGGAAGAAAACGATACCAATGTTACGATGCCGCCACGATACCATTATATACTCTAATACAGAAAACAAACACATCAGGCACAAATCAACTTACGGGAATCTCAACCTCACCGGCATCAATGGCATCGCCAAGATCCTTGGGGGACTGGCCGTCAACGGTGCATCCGACCGAGAAAGCAGTTCCAAGAATCTCCTTAACGGTACCAGAGAGCTCGCGGGCCATGGACTTGGAGCGCATGATGCGAGCAATCTCGATAACATCGTCCAACGAGATGTTACCATTGTGCTTAATGTTCTTCTCCTTCTTGCGGTCGCGAGGGGCCTCCTTGAGGGCCTTGATGACCAAGGAAGAGGCCGAGGGGACGACCGAGACGGCAGCCTGACGGTTCTGGATGGTCAACTGGACGGTGACACGGAGACCCTTCCAGTCCTGGGTGGCCTTGGCGATATCTTCACCAACCTTCTTGGGCGACAAACCGAGAGGACCAATCTTGGGGGCAAGAGCAGAGGATGCTCCGACCTCTCCTCCGGTGGCACGGAGGTAGATGATCTTAATCTCGTTGGGGTCCAGCTTTGGTGGCATGCTGATTGAACATCAAGTTAAGGCACTTCTAGTGAGTATTTTTCCTTCGGTTCAGCTGGAAACGAAATTACTGATCTGTCACGACCGAGAGCAATTGACGTAGTTGGGCAAGTGGGTGTGCAATGGATGATGGATAGATTTATAGGTTGCAAGGCCAATTAACAGAGAATTGGACTAGTCATGGATACATGGATGCATGGGGGTACGGATGGATGGATGGATGGATGGATGGATGGGTAGATGGATAGTTGGATGTGAATGGATGCATTACAAGCCAAATACATACTTGATATATTTTCTGAAGGGAAAGAAGAGAGAGAACCAATTGATTCAGATCAGTGCCGCTCTGAAATAGCCTCTGTCAATTGGGACCAAACTCTATTTCGATGCGTTGCACATCCCAGAGAACAGACATGGTATGTCGGCGAAAGGAAACAAGGCTTACTGGCGCTCCCTATTTCGATTCTATTCGTAATAGCCGCTACAGCTCTTATTGGAGCCAGAATGTCTCCTCGGCCTCGAGTATAGGTATTTTCAATCATCAATATGCATTGGAGGCTATTCAACTTTGAGAATTATCTTTATTCGGATAATGTTCCTGGCTTTGATACCTCAATATCAGGATCCTACATGGGCCATCAGCCTGTTGAAAAAGTTCTGTGTTCGACTACATACTTCCAGCTTCCCAATGTATGAGATGAATGATGACGATATCAAACAGGCGTAATGGGGCTGCAAGAATTTACAGAAACTTGGTATCAGGATTCGCAGCCTGAGCATCAAGAAAAAAAATTGACAAGTCATTCAGCCGTAGAGGGATTCACGTATCAAGGCCTATACCGCGTCAGGACAGAGCAATGCAATGGTTTCTAACTAGATGACGGTGACACGACATCGGCTGAGGTTTGAAAACCTGGAGAAGGTCTGGTTCGGTTAGGAGGTCAGCACAATTTGGTCGTGGAACGCTGGATTTGCCATAGGGTCGCGTATTATTAGCAAGACAATAAGCATTGGGCTGATTGCATCCTTTTTACTAGGCAAAAATCTGCCATGCAGCGCGTAGCGCCGTTGATCCAACATAAGGTACCCGAAAATGTAGTTAAAATGTCTGGCGCTTCGATGCTACAACCATGTCGGGTCTGAAGGCAAGGCTATGCACAACAGACCGGCTCTCAAACCCTCCTCGCCCTCCGTCTTCTCCGCGCGCGTCTTATGAACCCACTGTTCCGATCGCCCCCAGAACTCCAGCACCCGGCGTCCCTGTCGACTAACATGCTCCTTCTCAATTGTGCACTTCGGCGTAAATACGAGCGCCTCCTTCTCGATTTCATGGTACTCATAGTCGTCCACTGGACGAGTGATCCTAGTCGGGAACAGATCCTGATCTGTGGTTTCTCCATGCGCAAACAGGATCCATGCCGTCTGCATTTTCTCCGACAACTGTCTCTCCTCCTCCGTGAACACACTTTTGAGCGCGAGATCTGGCCCAAACATATACACAAGGTCCACACCGTGATGTGCACCCCAGCCTAAGCCCTTGGCGTCCACAGCCGCAATCGATTGATCGAAATAATACTGGAACAGCTCAAGCCCATCCTTCTCGCCTAAGTCTCTGCGTTTCGAAAGGGCGCGTAGAGCTGAAAAATCTGGATACGTAAACGCGACATGCTCTATCACCTTACTCGAGACACGACTCGCGTCTGCATCTGATTCCACCTTCCCATAGATCGCCTCCCATTCCTGCTGGCTATGCGCGTCCGGTGGACAAAACTTTTCATACACTCTCGACCAACCCTGCAGAGTTGTCGCCCCCAACGACCCAACAAACATGGATCCTTCATCCTTCATATCCCCAACAATCACGGCCTTGACTCCATGATCATATAGTTCCGTCTTATGTGTCCATAAACGCACATCCTCAGGCACAATCGTGCCATCGACATAAGGCGTGAACATCCGAAGCCGCGGTGAGTCTGCCGCTTGACCCAACTTCACCGCCGGGACCTTTTTTAACCTCTCCAGCTTCTCCTTCCCCGAGAGCTCCTTCGGGATCTTAAAATAATCAACCAAGTAATCCAGATAGAGCTTTCCCTCGACGTCATGTCGTACGGCTGGTGCAGAGTTCATGGCACAAGACTGCATGATCGCACGGCGGAAGAGTCCATGGTGTTGAGAGATCAGCATGTGATAGTTGATACAGACGGCACCAACGGATTCGCCAAATGCGGTAATATTGTCGGCTCTGCCGCCAAAGGTGTGGATGTGTTCGTGGACCCATTCGAAGGCGAGCCTTTGGTCCATGAGCGCCCAATTGCCGGCGGAACGGTCGTAGTCGGTGAAGAGACGTGGGTCCGATTGGAGATCGGCGACGAGCTCGGGGCAGGAGAAATTACCAAGGAAATTGAGGCGGTAGTTGAGGACGACGACAATGATGGGTCGACCCAGCTTGACGGACTGGCGGACTAGGTTGCTACCGTCTAGTAAACGCGCGCTCGATTAGTGAAGATACACATTTGAGAGTCATCAAAGTGGTCGTCTAAGGTTATCAATTGTGTTTCTGCTACTTACCATAGACATCCATGGCATTGGCACCGTCCTTGAAACTGCCTCCGTGGATATAAACCATCACAGCGGCTCCTCCGGTTTCCTGTGAGGTCTGCTCCGCTCCTACTGCTTGACTGAGGGTGTCCTCGTGCACGAAGATGTTCAGGTTCAGACAATTTCTCTCATCGATGACGGTTGTTTCATCGTCAAAGTCGAACTCAGAATACGAGTTGATCGCCCTCGAGGACCGCGACTCGCCCTTTGGTTGAGGCGCAACAGGTCTATCAGCGTAACAGTTGAGGTTCTGTTTAATTAGCATAACTGCGTCAAGTAGACCTGAACATAATGCTCCCTCGGTATGTTTTAAAAGCGCTGTTACCCCTGCTTGGTGGCATCTCGGATGCCGGTCCACGATTTGGGCTTGACAGCGGGCCGCCAGCGTTCCTGAACTGTTCCGTAGGGGACATTCAAAAATTGAATGACTCTTTTATTGGGGTTCAGCGATCCTTCGATCGTGCCTTGCTTTGCAATATGGACGCGAGGTGGGCTGGGTATCATATTGAGCAAGTCCTAAATGAGATGAAAAAAAGGCTGGTGGGATGTTGATGTGAGAAACGAAGATTAAGGAAAGAGGAAGAGCGAGGGAGAAAGTCAGATACCGTTGTGGGAAAACCCCAGGAATGATTTTTTTTTTTGCATTGCATTGCATTGCACACACCCCATGGATCTTGCGCCATAACAATGAATAAGCAGGGCGAATCAGAGTTGAAGATGAGGACGCCTACCCACGATGATTGACATAATACAGGAGTGGATATCCAGAAATCATTTCATAGCTATGCTCAGGTACAGATAACTTCTCCACAGTCCAATGTGCTAATATGCTTTTCTTAGCGACGCGTTTCCTTGGATATAGATGTAGTTGTGTTATTCTAGGTCTTTCATATTATTCATATTACTTGCAGAGCTATGAACGGGCGGAGGTTTATTATGAAGTAGGAGGGAGGGATAGGCTAAATTATGGGATGGTCCCGCCTGACTGCATGAAAAGAGTTACCATTATTCCTGGCTGCTATGGGCATAATATGGATACAGCGGAAACAGAGAAACGAACACGCACTGGTTGCTCATGACAATAAACCATTGTTATGATAATATGGGTACTCGACCGTAGTACGTAAGAAATGGGTACATGATGTATGGGAATCGGATCGGCATGTTCAACCTCAGGGCAAATGCAACACATGCTGGTATATTGCCTGCGTGTCCTACAGGACAGCAACGGACTTTCTTGGGTGGAATGATGAAATAAGCTTAGGATACATTTCACATGTGTGCCGACTTTAATGCTGACTGAGCATTTTAAATTTCTTAAAACGGCCTCTGTTCGTGCCGCAAAAACGAGAGGCCAGGCAAAAGAAAACGCCGGCAACCTCTGGTGTAGCATCGCTGAATAAAGTTAGTTGTAGACATATTCCTTGGAGACACATGCATCAACGCGATATTTATTCTGCCGTTGTTGATGATGCTGTATACATGCAAACGTCGTATACTCAATAGTCCGAATGCATGGAAAGAGATAGGGATATGACATGAGCGAGCGGAGAGGTGCTTACTGTAGATTATGTATCTGCCCTGTTGTAAGGGGGCTCTCAATGGTCGGTCTTTCTTCTCCCCCACTAAGAGGAGGGGTAGGCGCATTGAGTATGCCAGTGGAGAAAAGTAGCTCCTCAGTTCTACTCGCCTGGCGCGTGTGCGGAGCAAACTCTTCTCCATGTGGACATGGACTCTGCTTCAAATACCTTGCGAAAAATATATATTCAGTTTAACACTTTGCATACAAACTACGCTCTCTGTCTTCTCTTCTTCTTTCTTCATTCTTCTGCTCATTCCTCATCGCATTCTCATTCTGCATCTGCATCTCGCTCTTTCTTTTTCTTTTGCGAAGAAACAGGGCGTGTTTGTGCCTTAGCGTTCATAATTTAATTTCGTCTTCCAGCCATTGAAGCACTGACCTCCACAAAATGGATCCCCTCGAATACTATGCTCTCCTCAAGCTGGTTGATGCTCCCGGTATAGTGGTAAGTTGTCTTCTATTGTTCATCCTCGCAATTGAACTCTGCCAAAGACGATAAGGGCTATCGATCGACCCTCAGTCTCCCCTGCTTGGCTCTTGTCGTCTAATATTGTCCTTTCTTGTCCCACCTGTTCATGTTTGTTTGTATTTTGTACACTCGAATGCGGTCATTGCTCGTTCTTCATATTAGCCTGGCAAAGGTCCAGCCTGCCAGTATGTTCAAACACCGTTGGTTTCCGCGCCCAATGCCTCCACCCCGACATGGGGATGTCCTGCAGGGTAACAACCTCCTACGTCTTTCTTGCAGATCTGCCAATGACAACGCTTGCTTAGCGGTTTAGGCTATTAGATTTAACGCCCAACATTCGACCTTGTATTCTATGGTTAATAGGCACTTCTGTATTTCGCCAAAACACTCAGCTCCCTGCACGCCAGTATGTTTCTATTTTTCTCTTGATGTGGTTTTCATTGTAGATATCGGAAGCGAAACTCACACCAGTATCTCGTGAATCTAGGGATTCTATTGTCCTTCAAATACAGCTCAGCCTATGTATTGTTGCCCGGGCTATTATTGTTCGAACGACACGACGACCATGACCTTGTGCCCCCAGAACCAGTACTGTCCCGCAGGATCCGTCGGAGGAGGTGTAAGTAGCATCTTGATCTATTCTCTGTGTTGTCCCGCTATGGGTAAGACAGACGCGTGGTAGTACCTTACGACAAATATCTTATCATTTTATCCTCTTCTCAATCTCTTTTATGCCTCATTAAAAAAAGACATCGTGTCTATGGCTGGCGTCTTGCCCTGCAGGTAGCAGCTCTGCTTCTAAGTTCGGTCTAATTCTCTTTGTCCTGGTCCTCGTTGTCGGCATATGCATCGTCTTTTATATCCATAAACGTATCTTACGCGTCAGGACATACCATCTCGAGAAACGACTGCGATGGATCCATAACCATAATACCGGTCATGACAACCTGCTGCTCGCGGACGAGGCTGATCTGGAGGACGACCGGGACGACGAAAGCGAGGAAAGCGGAAGCCAGGAACAGGTGATTCAGATCGATGGGGAGAACGGCAAAACTGGGTCTGTGTCGCTGGATTCGGACAAGACAGCGGCTGAAGCAGCACCCCCAGCGAGACCAAAACTTAGAAGAAAAATCACCAGGGTTACGCAGACGTTTGACATCGAGTTCGAGCACTTGGGTCTGACGTTGTCCAATGGAACCACTATTCTGGAGGTATGAGCTGAATCATTTCCTATGTTCATTCTATTATGAGAACACTTCAGAAAGTCTCTCATGCTTACTTTAAATGCGTCTCCTTATCTGATATAGAATATATCTGGACATCTAAGGAATGGAAGAACCTGCGCCATCATGGGTCCATCTGGTTCCGGAAAAACCACGCTCATTTCTATGTTGACTTCCAAGATCCCTAAGGACGAGGGTCGTATTCTGATCAATGGACAGGAGGAAGAGCTGAGTCATTACCGTAAACTAATTGGATATGTGCCCCAGGACGACATCATGTTGCGCGAACTGACCGTCCACGATGTCTTGCTGCACTCTGCCTACATGCGATTGCCTGCCAAACTGACCCGGTCTCAGATGACGGAAAAGGTGCTCGAGATCGTCGACTTCTTGGGCTTGAACTCAGTCATGGATTCGGCTGTCGGAGACGCGGAGAAGAGAGGCATTTCGGGAGGTCAAAGAAAGAGGGTCAATATTGGAATGGAACTGGTTACAGATCCAAGTATCTTGTTTTTGGACGAACCTACCTCGGGCCTGGACTCGAGTACCAGTGGAGATGTCTGCAGGCTACTCAAGTCGATTGCGCGGAAGAAGGGATTGACGGTCGCTGCTGTTATTCACTCGCCTTCACCTGTGGCGTTCGACCAGTTTGATGATCTATTGCTTCTGGGGCACGGTGGCCGCGTGGTATATCACGGACCTCGAACAGAGGCATCGGCGTATTTCGCAGCTATCGGATTCCCGGTCCCCAAAGACTCGAGTCCATCGGATTTCTACATGGATGTAATTTCGAATAATGTCAAGTCCAAGTTCACAAAAAAGTTTAAGCCCTTCTGGTTGTACCGGTACTGGGAGTCCTACTGCAAGCGCGCCCAGTGTTTCTACGCGGATCCCAACACAGGAGTCGAGTACAGGCACCCTCCATCGCATGGCTCGGGTACATCTTCGCCTCACTTTAATCCCCGTGCCTCTGCATACTCGAGCCTGAACCAGTCCGCGATGTCGATCCAGCAACAGGGACATGGAAATTCGGAATCCTTGGCGATGACTAATTTAAACGAGTCTTCCTTGTTGGGGCTTCCTTCTGCAGCACAGAGCCCTGGCGTGGCTTCCAATTCCTCGAACTCACTTCACCCTTCATCCGCATCGCAAGGTCAGGATAAACGCCATAGTCGCCATAAGAGTGTGACAATGCTTCTCAGCTCCACCCACGGATCGGCACCCTCGACACCTCGCGCCTCGATAGCATTATCGGATTTCCATTCCATGTATGATAGTCCACCCCTGCCTGATAAGCTGGGATGGGCCGAGGCCCTCAAGAAGACGTTCCGGGTCTTTATCATCGACAGCCGTATGTGGTGGCACGGAGTCTTCGCAGAGACTAAGGAGACGATCCTGGGATTGTTCCTCAAACGTCGAGACCCGATCCGTAATACTGCCTCGCCGTTCAAGATGTTCTGGCTCTGTCTGTCTCGAGCGCGTCTACAGATTTATAGGAACCAGCGACAGTTCCTGTACGATCAGTTGTTGCATCTGGGCTGCGGCATGTTTATTTCGATCGCGGCCTCGAAATTCGATTACCTTGGACGGCAACCGGACTTGGTCTGTGCAATGACGCCGTACCAGCTCAAGTACGCCTGCACGAGCCCGACGGACCATTTGACAGAGGTCGGAGTGTTCATTGCGCTTGGAGTGTGCTTTGCAGGGATCTCGGTTGGATCTATGACGTTCGGTGGCGAGAAGCTGGTATACTGGCGCGAGAAATCGTCGGGTCTGCTCACGCTCCCCTATTACATGGCGAAGGTTATTGCGGACATTCCGAGGATTATTCTTGCGGGGATCATGTTCTCGATCTCACTGATCGTGTTCTTCAATGAGCGATCGAACTACTTTTATCTGCTGTTCGTAATCATCATGTTGTACGCCGTCGCGTTTGCGATGGGATACTTGCTCTCGGCACTGATTCCGGCGTCGAGGGTGGCCTTGGTCGGGACAGGGTTCACACTGGCTTGGGCGATCGTGTTCTCGGGCGATGCACCAGACCTAGCGGATGTAATGAAGGATGATGCCTCGGGCGGGTATAAGGCGACGTCGTGGATTTGGGTGATTTCGGCGCCGAGATACGCGATCGAGGCGATTTATTTGAGAGAAGTGCAGGCACGCCCGTGGGCGGAGATCAGGGATGCACCGTTGGCGCACACGTATGAGCTGGGGCAATTTGCGTGGTGCTTCCAGGCGATGGCGTGGATTCTTTTGGGGTGGCATGTGCTCGCGTTTATTAGCTTTAAGATGAAGGATCGGTCCAAGCAGCGTTAGAAGTTGGAGGAGAAGTTTAGCATCAGATATACATTTAATACCATCAAGGAGGCACGATAGTGGCAGCTAATAATAATAATAATGCAGCAAATGCAGGCTGTCTTTTGAGGATTGTCATGGTGGGTTTACACTTTATAAAGCAACGTGAAGCTGTCTAGTTATGCTTGTTCTGAGAACGCTGTGCTGATAATCTTCTCCTGTCCTGTCGCAAGTGTCTTCCAGAACCGCTCCGCATCCTTAGACATATAAACGCCCCCATCCCTCAATTCTTCCTCCGCCAGCTCAATCCCCCGCCTATCACCCGCGACTCTGAACGGAATGCTCTTCGCATGGACCAGTTCCTCCTGCTGATTCGCAAACGCGATCCAGACCCTCTGCATCTCCTTGCCTAGTGCGAGTTCCTCAATCGTCAGGACCTTTTCCGCGAGGGGCGGCGAAAAGAGCATCGGTAACTCACCTGCATGCAAGGCCCCCAAGCCGGGAACGAGTTCTACCATCTTTTGCATCTCGGCGTCGAAGAGGTAGTGCGATACCTTGAGCCCAGGTCCAGATTCGGAGGAGCGTTTCTTGGCAAGCGCGAGTAAGGTGTCGTTGAGGACCAGGGTCGGGTACATAAACATCATATCGCCCGTATACTTTGCAACGATCCTCAAAACATCCACGTCCGTTTCCGGAGTTCCGTAGATAGATGTGAATAACGGCATAAGTTCCTGGACAGGACACATTTTCTGAAGCAACGTGGGCCAAGTCTGCATACTAAGTTCCCCAAACAGACGGGCAAAGGCTGTGCCCTCATCCTTGTTCGCGCCAATAAGTACGCTCTTCAGATTCGGGTCGTATGCCGCCAAATCCTTCGCCAAAAATTGGATTGGGATCTTGGACGGGATGACCTTCCCGCCATCATAAAAGGGTCGATATCCGCCCGTAGTGATCGCATTCCCGACCTTTGCGAGGTCCTCGCCCGGTAACGCCCTCAGGCGCTTGATCTTCTCCTCCTTATTCAGATCCAATGGGATTCCCAGCCCCTGAAGCAGCGCATCAAAGATCGGTTGGCCCTCTTTCTGCGGGAACCCTGGGGTGATGGTATTGACAGTTCCGGACTGCATGATCGCGTGGTCGAAGAGTCCGTGGTGGGAGGGGGTGAGGAGATGGTAGTGGATCGAGATCGAGCCTGCTGATTCACCCCAGGCGGTGATATTGTTTGTTTGACCGCCAAAGGCAGCAATGTTGGATCGGATCCATTCGAAGGCTAGCTTCTGATCCATAAGGCCCCAGTTGCCGACAGATTGGTCGTAGGGAGGGAGATCGGAGGAAGTAGAGGAAATGTCGTGGATGAGTTCTTGAGAGGCAAGAAAGCCAAAGACATTGACGCGGTAGTTGATGGCGATGACGATAACGGGCTGGTGGAGCAGGATCGAATGGTGCACAAAGTTCGATGCATCTATGTATCATGGAACACAAAATTGTTTAGGAGCGAATGATATATATTTCTGACCATGCTACTTCACTTAGTGAAGATGACGGAGGACTTACTGTAGAGTGGCACGGCATTGGAGCCGTCCCGGTAGGCACCGCCGTGGATCCATGCCATGACGGGTACGGGCTTGGCATCGGGTTGAAGAGCAGCCAGGGGGACATAGATATTGAGGTTGAGACAGTGGTATTCGTCGTGGTCGAGTCCGAACTGGTACTTGCCCGTGCCGAGGGGCTGAAGGTCCTTTGGAACCAGCAGGTGAAGCGGGTACAGTGACGGCATCTGTGGGCAGATCGGTCTGTCATCATCACCATCATTTGAGGAAAGGAGGACGCTCAGTGTCAGGATAAATTTTTCCCAATGCAAGACATTTCGTCCAACCCCACACTCCCCTTTTTCTCTCACGGCCACTTTACTATGGAAACCACCACACGCACCCAGACACCCACGCACCACCAAGGCAGATGCACCCTTGTATGCTTCCTTAGCGGTTGTTCTGCTTACCCCTGCTTGGTAGCATCGCGCACACCGGTCCAGGGCTGTGGCTTGACGGCAGCACGCCAGCGTTCAGGGACAACCGCATAGGGCACATTGCGGAAGACAGCAACCCGACGGCTGCGGTCAACTGAGCCGCGGAGGGTACCGTAGTTCGGGATCGTAATCTCAATGGTTTCGTTGGCTGCCATTGTTGCTTCGTATCCTGGTGGGACTGAGGGGATCTTTTTATGGAGTGGGTGTGAAAGTGAAAGGGTAAATGAAAGGGTAAGAGAGTGGGTGTGTGAAGGGCAGTAGCAAAAGAGACAGGCGTGGGTAAAGAAAAGGAGTGCAGAGATGTGGAGGGTACGACAAAGTAGGGAGGACAAAAGAGAGTATTTATATGAGCATATGAGTAGGAGGCAGCAGAAGAGATCGAACGCCAACCGCTCCAATGAAGCGCAAGAGCGCGAGCACAATGATCCAAATACACGTTTTACGAAGAATTAGGCACTATTACAAGGATCAGTGCGTCTAGGGAGAATAAAAGACCGACGATGCCGATCGGCGTAAATTGTGGGGTAGAAAGAAGATTGGGCAAGGTACGATTGGTTGCCCTGAACGCGCCTGAAGTGCATTACGCGTTTTTATGGGTCTTTGCTTCGCCCTGGGGATAGACAGTGGCGACACGTACATTGCACCTTGCAATGGCTATGTTTTTACTGCGCCTGTTCATGGCCGCGTCTTCGTGTGGGGTTCTTTCCTAGAAAATCGTCGAGTTGCAACCCAGTAGAAGAAAGGGCGGCGTTTCTTTAATTGCACATGGGTGTCTTACATGGGATCTGTAATTGCACGTTTGAGACTCATCTCATTGGCTGTCACCAAAAATGAGATCCCCACAACATCGCCGCTCTCTTTCCTCTCTGAGTCAAAGTGTCCTATCAGTTACTCAGAAAAGGTTTCCTTGGTGCCTTTCGTCTCCATTTCATTCATCACTCCTTCCATCCAACTCCACCTCGTCACCTTCCCTCTCTCTCTCCTACCTTCCGCACCTTTCTCCGTTAACTCCTCCTTCCCCTTCACAGCTCGGCCTCTTTTCCCTTTTCTTAGTACGCTCCACGTACATCCACCCTGGGAAAAGAGCAATTGAGCGTTTATCACACCTACATTTCACACCCTTTTATACAACGACATGAGTCACCCCAATCCCCATATCGACAAGGTCTCCATCCTGGGGCAGGAGACCATCTGTCTCGGCTTCCACATATTCGACTACCTCCTCCGTGACACCCTCTCCAATTTCAAGGCCTCGACCTATGTCGTCGTCACCGACATCCATCTCCAACATCTCTACCTCGACCGCTTCACCCAGGCCTTCCACAAGATCTCCCAAGAGATCTTTCCCTCGTCAGCGCCCCGTCTTCTGACCTATGTCATCCCCCCAGGCGAAGAATCGAAATCCAGAGCCGTAAAGGCCGAGATCGAGGACTATTTCCTGGCCCAGGGCTGCACTCGCGATACGCTGGTCTTTGCGATGGGTGGAGGAGTTATTGGCGATTTAGTCGGCTTTGTGGCCGCGACCTTTATGCGCGGCATCCCCTTTGTCCAGATCCCGACCACATTGCTCGCGATGGTCGACTCGTCCATCGGAGGCAAGACTGCAATCGATACGCCCCTGGCCAAGAACCCTATCGGCGCCTTCTGGCAGCCAAAGAGGATCTTTATCGATCTGTCCGTCCTCGAGACATTGCCTGAGCGCGAGTTCGTGAATGGAATGGCTGAGGTGATCAAGACCGCGGCGATCTGGAACGAGAGCGACTTTGTGCTGCTCGAGAATGGTGCCGAGGCCATTCGCGATGCGGTTCTGAAGCCAGTTCGTAACGTCGAGTTCCAAGGTAGAACGATCTCTTATCTTTTGCAAAATGTGTGACTGAATCATGATGGTTCATTCACCTCAGAATTGAGCTGAACTGAGCTGAGCTGAGCTGTGCGCACGCCAGGCTTTGATCTTGGTTATCAAAGTTCTTTTGTACTTCTATACTAAAAACGCAATATTTAAAATTGGAAAATGATTCATACTAGGTGCGACCTTGGAGACACGCACAACCGCACAACAATTGCTCCTTCAAGTCGTTATGGCCTCCGTCGCCGTCAAGTCCTACGTCGTGACCCACGATGAGCGCGAGGCCGGTATGCGCGGCTTGCTCAATTTCGGCCACTCGATCGGACATGCCATCGAGGGTCTCGTCACCCCTAAGATGCTCCACGGCGAGTGTGTCGCCGTCGGTATGATCAAGGAGGCTGAGATTGCTCGTTACTGCGGATACCTCTCCCAGGTCGCCGTCGGGCGTTTGACCCGTTGCATCCAGGCCTACGGTCTCCCCGTCACTATGGAGGACAAGCTCGTCAAGACCCATATTGGTAACCAGTACTGCTCCGTCGATGAGCTCATGCAGGTCCTGCGCGTCGACAAGAAAAACATGGGTAGTCAGAAACGTATCGTCATGCTCTCGGGAATCGGAAAGACACTCGAACAGAAGCCTTCCAATATCTCGGACGGTATTATTCGCAAGGTTCTCGCAGCTTCGACTGTGGTCCATCCTCGCCCTGTAAATGTGGGCCCCGTCACACTGTCGCCTCCTGGATCAAAATCCATTTCGAACAGAGCCCTGGTATTGGCTGCACTGGGCAAGGGAACCTGCCGATTAACTGGATTGTTGCACTCGGATGATACGCAGGTCATGTTGACGGCCTTGACCAAGCTTGGGGCTGCGACCTTTGAGTGGGAGAACAATGGTGATACTCTGGTCGTGCACGGTAATGGCGGCAACATGCACATTCCCGACTCGGAGCTCTATCTCGGTAACGCAGGAACTGCAGCTCGATTCTTGACCACTGTCAGTGTCCTGGTCCCTCCTTCGGATGTCGCTGGCCAGAAGACCATTCTCACCGGCAACGCGAGAATGAAGCAGAGACCTATCGCTCCCCTGATCGATGCCTTGACCGCTAATGGATCCGAACTCAAGTATCTCGAGAGCAAGGGATGTCTGCCCTTGGAGGTAACTCCCTTCAGCTATGGCCTTGCTGGAGGCGAGATCCAGTTGGCTGCTTCGATCTCGTCCCAGTACGTCTCCTCAATTCTGCTCTGTGCCCCCTATGCTACCAAGGAGCCTGTGACTTTGGTCTTAACCGGTGGTCAGGTCATTTCTCAGCCCTATATCGATATGACCATTGCGATGATGAAATCCTTCGGTGTTGCGGTCGAGGCCCTCCCCAACAACACTTATCGCATTCCTCAGGGTGCTTACACCAACCCTGCAGAGTACTTGGTCGAAGCCGATGCCTCCTCGGCCACCTACCCGCTCGCAATTGCCGCCATCACCGGTACCACATGCACTGTTCCTAACATCGGCTCGGCCTCTCTTCAAGGTGATGCAGGATTCGCTGTCAACGTCCTTCGTCCTATGGGATGTACTGTTGTTCAAACCGAGACTTCGACGACTGTTACGGGCCCTCCAATCGGCACCCTGAAGCCCCTTGCCCACATTGACATGGAGACCATGACGGACGCTTTCTTGACGGCTTCGGTTTTGGCTGCAGTGACCCAACCTGCAACCCCCGGCGGCGAGAATGTGACAAAGATCAGTGGTATTGCCAACCAGCGTGTCAAGGAATGCAACCGCATCGCGGCTATGATGCACGAGCTCGGCAAGTTTGGAGTGACGACGTCTGAATTTGACGACGGTATCATTGTCCACGGTCACGATATTGCCTCATTGACTCCACCCAAGGACGGTGTCAAGTGCTACGACGACCACCGTGTAGCCATGTCGTTCAGTGTGTTGGCCAATGTCGTCCCTGGAGGTACCATCATCCGCGAGAAGAAGTGCGTTGAGAAGACCTGGCCCACTTGGTGGGATGATCTTGAGGGCAAGCTCGGCGGCCGTGCCTCGGATATCGATCTCGGCCCTCCATCGGAGCACCATGACTATGAGGTTCAGTCGTCATCTTCAAGCAGCAAGAAGGGTGTCAGCGCCAAGAGTGATGCTACGGTCGTCGTGATTGGCATGCGTGGGGCTGGAAAGACTTCCATGGGTCAGTTCGCGGCCAAGGTATTGAGGCGTCCGTTCGAAGATGTGGATCATTACTTTGAGAAGACGCTGTCGACGACGATTCCAGAATTTATCAAGGAACATGGATGGCCAGCGTTCCGTGAGCAGGAGGCCAAGATGCTTATTGAGTTGTTGGAGAAGCATCCCACTGGATATGTTATCTCATGCGGTGGCGGCATTGTCGAGACGGCATCTTCGCGCGAGACATTCAGGAAGTACACGGCCGAGGGTGGAGTGGTCCTGCATTTGGTCCGCAGTATCAGCGAGATCGAAGCGTACTTGAACAAGGACACGACTCGCCCGATGTACGGAGAATCGATGCGCGATGTCTGGGCTCGTCGTGAGGGCTGGTACCGGGAGTGCTGCAATTATGAATTCGTGGTCGCGGGGCAGCAGCTAAAGGGTATCGAGGCCGAGGATGCGAAGGAATGGGCGCTGGTGGAATTGAACTTTGAGAGGTTCTTGAAGGTCATTACCAAGTCGGGCGCCAAGGGCCAGAAGCGCGCAAGCCGGGCACAAATTGCTGCCAAGCCAACATTCTTTCTCTCGTTGACCTTCCCAGATGTCAGCCCTGCGTTGCCGCATCTGTCCAAATTGGCGCTCGGTGCAGATGCGATCGAGTTGCGTGTGGATCTACTGAAGGTCCCCGACGTCGATGTTTCATTCCGTGATCATGTTGCACAACAGGTGTCATTGCTGCGCCGTCACTCGGACCTCCCGATCATCTTCACGGTCCGCTCGGTCTCGCAGGGAGGACAGTGGCCCGACAATGATACCCAGGGCATGGTATCGTTGCTGAAGGACGGTCTGGAATGGGGTGTCGAGTATCTGGATGTTGAAATCGGACTGCCCCGCAATGAAATTGATGGGGTGCTGGCAAGGCGGGGTAACACCTTGATTGTGGCCTCGTGGCACGATTGCCAGGGTAAGGTCGCTTGGTCGTCCGAGGAGATGGAGGGCCAGTACCGACTCGCAAAGTCGATCTCACCCGATGTGATCAAGCTGATTGGCACCGCCAAGTCGATGAAGGACAACTTTGAGTGCTCCGAGTTTGCGACGAACCATACTGCAAAGGCCGGAGACCTGCCGTTGATTGCGATGAACATGGGAGCCCAGGGCCAGCTGTCGCGTGTGCTGAACAACTATTTGACACCCGTGACCCACAAATTATTGCCGGTCAAGGCTGCCCCGGGCCAGTTGTCTGCACGCGATATCCTGACGGCTCGTCATATTGTGGGCTTGTTGCCGATGAAGCAGTTCTATCTGTTCGGCACACCAATTTCGCAGTCGCTTTCGCCTTTGATGCACAACACGTCGTTCCAGTCGCTTGGTCTCCCGTATAACTATGGTCTGCATGAGACGGCGTCTGTGGATGAGTCTGTTGTGGAGAGGATGCGCGCGGCAAACTTTGGAGGAGCGAGTGTGACGATCCCACACAAGCTTGAGATCATGGAGAAGTTGGATGAGATCACGGAGGAGGCCAAGGCTATTGGCGCCGTCAACACCGTGGTGCCTGTGGTCGACGAGAGCAGCGGTAAGACGATCCTGGTGGGCGATAACACGGATTGGTTGGGCATCCTTTATCAGATCAAGCGACACCAAAGCTCGAAGCAGACTGTGCAGCGCGGTCTAGTGATTGGCGCAGGCGGCACGTCGCGTGCGGCGTTGTATGCTCTACATCGTCTGGGTGTGCAGGAGATCTCGATCTTTAACAGGACACTGATCAAGGCGCAAGCGGTTGCAGATTCATTCAGGGAGCTGTTTGAGGTCAAGGTGTTGAGCTCGAGCGAGTTGCTGAAGGCTGGAGGCAGTCAGAGAGAGTTTGATGTGGTGGTGTCGACTGTTCCTGGAACGATTGATTCGGCTAGTATGTTTGACGAGTCGATCTTTGGAACAAAGAGGAAGGGAGTTGCGGTCGAGTTGGCGTACACACCCAGGTTCACGAGGTTCTTGAAGCTGGCGAGCCAAGCCGGGTGGGCAACCGTTGAGGGAGGACAGGTGTTGATAGAGCAGGGCGGTTGGCAGGCGCGCAAGTGGGTCGGCAGGGAGTGGGACCTGGAGAGCGTGCAGGCCCAAGTTGATCTTGCGCAGGCCGGGCGCCAGTAAGACACACCACGCAAATCCATATCCTCAAATGCGAACATAATCAATCTACACATCTGCGCTAGCTTATCTTGGCCGTCCAGAGCGAATAAAAAACCAGCAATGTATTCAATGTATTTTGGTGGCAACAACTCAGGAACAGCATCGTGGCAACATCAAAGGGTATCCTGATTGGATGCAAAAAAAAAAATCGCCTTAAGCGGTGGAGCGCCAAGCAAATGGGCCCCTCTAGATTTTTATTTTTATGACCGCACATGCCAACGGAACCTTAAATGGTGCCTCATACCTCGTCATCGCACTCTCCTTCGAATGTCTTCTTTACCCTGACAGAGATCTCTCTTCTTTTTCTTCTTTATTCTTCTTTCATCACTTGCAGCCGCCATGGAACAAGTCGCTGCCTCATCAATACACCAACGGAGGCATCAAGAACCGCCCTCGCCATCTCAACGAGACCGTGCTCCAGATTCTCCTACAGCCTCGAACCTACAAAGTCCACTCATCTCCTCCGCGACCGTCGACGAACTCGTCAACACCCTGGCCTCTCAAGTCCCTGTACCTGAGGCACCCTTCTCGTCATTCTTACTCCCGCATCAGTACTTATGCTTCCTATTCCCCGCAACACTGGTGCTCGGATCGGTCTTTGGAGCCATCGGAGGGGACAAGTCGTCGTACTTCTCCAATAAGCGGAATATTCTGAACACGCTGTTTGTCAAGAACGGTTGGGGCTGGACATCGTTCTTCTTCTTGGTGTACCTCGCAATCGTCTTTGGAAATAATATCGCTCAACAGCAGAGCCAGCAGGAGCGGGATGAACGTAGTGGTGAGAGATCGCAGGAACAGGACCACAATCAAGGCGATACCCTCACTCGCACCCGGACCAGGTCCACACCACCAGCAGTTGTATCTACAACCACCCCTTCCGCCATTTCCTCCACATCGACGACGATCCTAGTTAAAGCCCTCCTCCGTTGGTTTCTCGCGACCATGTACTGGTACATTATTTCTCAATGGTTTTTCGGCCCCGCACTCTTTGACCGTGTCTTCGTCCTGACTGGAGGCAGCTGCTCGATCGACGGACATTACTCTCAATACCACTGCCGAAGGATGGGCGGACAATGGGCCGGCGGGATCGATATCTCTGGACACATGTTCCTCCTCGCGCATGCGTGGCTGTTCCTGATGGAGGAGTTGTCGGTGTTTATGAATGTGCCCCAGGCATGGACGGCGTTGCAGGAAGGACGGAACAAGAACAAGAAGGCGGCTGTTCTGGCGGTGGTGGGATTGTGCGGGTTGTGGTGGTGGATGTTATTGATGACGAGTGTCTACTACCATCACTTGATGGAGAAGATGACGGGGTTGTTCTTCGGATTGTTGTTCTGGTTCTGCTCGTATGGGATTGTGTATAAGGTCATTGACTTTATGCCGGATCAGGCGGTGGTGTTTTAGATGGTATTACAAAGCAAAATAGAGAATGCTATCACAGTGACAGCAACTTCTTAGCTCTCGCTTAAACTAATAAAAATGCATTTGGCGATGTTTAATACAAGTCGGTCGAGACGAGAACAGGAGGCTTCGGCAATGGACAGAGTGGCATATCGTGCTAAAGGACTTGACGTTGCATCGCGAAGGGGTCGCAATCGAGGCGGTGACGATGTCAAGAGGCGTACAGACGACGATGTAGAGGGTTTTCTGTGGTCGCACGGACACATGCATCTCAAAGAAAATCCATGTCAGGATCGACAGGCAGCTGGCAGTGCGCGATAGCATGGAGGCGTCGGTACTGGGTTGGTTGCCGAGACAGCATCCGTGCCATGTTCTCAAATGAGAATTGGGCTGTCTATTGATATTGCGCCCGGAAAACCTTAGCTTTTACAGATTAGCTCAACTCTACGCACCCTCAATGATGAATGTATATTTATTATAGGCGATCGAGATTAATGGGCGTTCTATGCGTAGTATGATCATAGACCGATAAAAAGTATATGGAAACGCGAGGATGATGAGAGAGAATTAGACATTATGGTATGTAGTACTTTCGTTGTAGTTGCTCGAACACTAGATAGAGGTAGCGCTCATGTCCGCAACGTTCACACGATGCTGCTGCTGCTGATCACTGTTCTCGAGGGGCATGATCCGTCCGTCGTTGGTATGGAAGATCTGATCAAAGTCCGACATCAACAGCGCAAACACGCCTGCTGGGATGCCGAGCGTCGGCGAGAACACAATGCCGACATTACGTGCCGTCATCTTGTTCACGTCCGCGTTCTCGACAATCTCGATCAAGTGCGCCGTGAGTGCTCGCAGAAGCGTGTAGTTCGCCTCCGGCAAAGTGGCCACAAGACGTGTCAATTCATCAACACGGTCTGCTCGGTTAGTCAGTTCTATAGAGAATGGAACACAGGAAGCGTTCAAGAGTTAAGAGTCTGGCAAAAATAATCCAAGCAATATAAAAAGGATGAAAGTACATACCAATCACTTGAAGAAAGTCTTTGTGTAACTCCCGTGTGAGGACAGAGGACGGCAGATCTCTGAGGAACAGCTTCAACAGGCCCGCAACAGCATGGATATCATAGTACTCTTCGCTTGCCAGCAGTGGTACATCTCCCTCGTGATTGAATCGGTCCTTCAGGCTCTTGATCACAGCCGAGGATCCGTTCAGTCGGTAGATACCTTCTTCCAGCTTGGCCTTGTGTGCGTTCAGGTACTCAATACACCGATAAACGACCGCAGGAAGCTCATAGCCAGGCTGTACTCTAGCCTGATCGATCGCCTGTTCTAACGAGACGCCAAAGACCTGGCGCGTGGGCGCCAAATTGTATGCGCCCTGTCCAGATGGTTGTACGCTCATGTTTCCATTAGAGTTCTGGTTGTTATTGGTATTACTGCTCTTGCCCAAGAAGTTTCTCAGTCGGGATGAATCCTGGTTTCCGCTCGTAGGTGGTCCTCCTTGCGACTCCTTTGAGCCCTGTTGTGCCGAAGCCACAGGCGCCTGAGCTGCTAAATCTTCCTTGGTGGCCTTCTTAGGCCAGTGGAAGGTCATGCGGGACCGTTGCTTCTTTTCTGCTACCTCTGCAGGGGTAAGGGGTGGTGCCTGTGGAGAAGGGGTGGGCTAGCGAATGAACACAAAAAAAAAAAAAAGATACCACGTTAGAGATCATGTTGCATTGAATGCGACAATAGTCCATCCAGATAGATCATATTTCTCACCTCTTCTTGGCTTTGGAGCAATGAGTGCGTGGACTGATTCCTAGGTACCTGCTGTGGGGGTAATTGTTGCTGTTGTTGTTGTTGTTGTTGTTGTTGCTGCTGCTGCTGCTGCTGCTGAGGCGAGTATTGTTGTTGTTGTTGCTGCAGATACTGCTGTTGCTGTTGCTGCTGCTGCTGCTGAGCCTGATATTGCTGTTGCTGCTGCTGTTGGTTGTTGTACTGTGGTGGCACTTGCTGTTGGTTCCAAGGAGGCTGCTGTTGCTCTTGCTCGCCATACTGGTTGTAGTTACTCCTGTTATTAGGGGCATACTGACCCTCAGCAGATTGTCTCTCAGCAGAAAGTCGATCATCTATACTGACCCCAACGGGTATTATGGGCGACTGAGGCATTGGGCCATTCCTGACCTGAGGTTGGAACTGCTGAGTCGAAGGTGAAGGCGGCACTGACCGCTGCTGTCTCTCATACGCCTCTTGGTTCAAAAGCAACTTCTCATTGCCCTTAACTGAAGCGAGCTCCTTGATTGGCGTGGCTGCCACCTTCTGAATTTCTGGCAACCTCCTTCCGGGCTTCTCCTTCTCGTTCAGCTCCTGTTGTGGTTGTTGCTGTTGCTGCTGGTCCATTGGCTCCTTGCCAACATAGAGCAGCAGAGCACCAACCCACTGGTCTCTATCCTCATCCGTTTCTGCGCAAAGAACGTGCCGCATCACGTTATTAGGGTTACGCTTGGCGTCTGCGACTGTCTGGCCCTTCTTGGGTTCGAGAATAAGGAAAGCGTGTCGATAAGAGTTGGGATCAGTTGCGTTTTCTTTGTTGTCGCCTACACTATCTTGGCTTTGCTGACGACCAATCTGAGCAAATGGCAGGGCGATGGACCCAAGGTGGTGGCCATCCTTCTGTTTAACGGAAAGTATTTAAAGCAAGATGGAAATTAATAGCCGTCAGTCAAAAGTGGTAACAAACATAATATACATAGACATCCTGTTGGATGCAAAGAGAGGATGACTTACGGTGTCAAAATATTCCAGAACAGGTCCCCTCAGGACAAAGTAGCGAGTCTTCCATCCACCAAAGTTCTTGCCACGCTTGGTCAGGTACCCCTCCTTCCAGCCCTCTTGGCCTTCCTTTCGGTTGCCACGCTCGACAATGTTGGTGCTCAAGATCTCGCAGAGATCGCGGGTATCCTTGATGCGTAATGAAATAAGCTGCTGCAAGTACTGCTCCAATGCGAGCTTTCGGGCATCAACCTTCGAGGGCGCATTTGTACTGAAAAGACCCTTGTCAGGGAGTCTGGGCAGGTTGTTGATAACGTTCCTGGACTGAGTAATTCGCAGCTGTGTTCAAGCAAGTTGAAAATAAGGACTTGGTTAGTTACGCATGACATGATTACAGAAGACACTTAGCAGGAGCGGCATGTCGATTTGTGTTACCTTGGAATCCAGATTGACAAAGTCGGTATATTGCTTTTCCACCCGCCAGAGTTCATCGGCCTCTTTGTGTGGGCTTATTCCTGCTAGCCCTTGCACCTCCTGTCCGATAGAGATCAAGAACGTCAGAAGCTCCCTGCCCTTGTCGTTGACCTTGATATTGCTGCCAACAACCAGCACAGAGACGAACTCAAGGTTATCGCCGAACATATGGAATGCCTGTTGATGCACTGTGGGTCCCGATCGTCCGTATCCCTGTGATGGCTGAGGGTTAACCAGAGTATTCGTAACGGACGAATTTCCAGATGGGGTGGGCGAGTTTGAGCGCATGGTGGCGTTCGAGCTCTCGAGCATCGGCTGAGAGTCATATCGCTTTGGTGGGGGTGGCATGGGGTATTCCTTGGATGCATCATCATCGTCGCGGTTATGGGATGTAGTGCGAGCGCCGATCTTGGGGTGTCCTTCGAGGGTTGGCAGGGAAGACTGGCGTCTCCTTTCTCTGTTCTCGGGTAGCAAGGGAAGCTGTCCGCTTGACATGCTGGATTGCTCCATCCAGTTTTCCTCTTGGGATGGTGGTGGGAAGTTGATATCGGGCTTCACATGGGCATCCGTACTGGGATTGGCACCATTCCATTGTTCGGGTGGGTAGCCCTGGTGCATGGTCTGCACACTTGGACCTATTAGTATCAGGAAGTAATTAGTTAGTCGTGAGAGAGCTTGAGGGCGGATGACTAGCAATGTGCTAGAGCGAGGTTGCAAACATACTCTGAGCTTGATTCATAAGTTGGTTTTGGAGCTCGATCTGTTGTTGGATGTTTTCCATTGCAACAGCTTGACCCAGTGCTGCTGCATGGCTTTGGCTATCGGTAGTAGCATTAATGGGGCCTGGCGGCATCTTGCGGTTGGGCGAGCCCATCTTGTTCATGAACACTCTGAACTTCTCTGCGTCTTGGTCAATAATCGCGGCAATCGGTGACGCAGGCGTGGACAGGGAGTTCATTCCTGTCGGCGAAGAAGGACCAAGATCCTGCGTGTTCAGGGACTGAGGGGAGAGACTGGCGGGGGCCATTGGGATCTGGTTGGAGATGGCCTTGCGGCCGCCCAAGGGTGCTCCTTGGAAGGTCAGCTTTGTGGGTGCGGGTGAGGACGGAGAATACATCGTCTGTTGCTGAGCTGGGTCAAAATCAGGGGCTGGTGATTCATACGCGCTAGGTTGCTTCATAGGAACCTTGGACATGGGCATGGCGCTAGGATCCTGTCCGCTCAGGTCGTGATGCTGCTGCGTGGAGGGCGACAGCGGAGAGGGCTGATCTGGTCCACAGTCGCCTCGTGCACGGGTGGGGCTCAACAGAGGGCCTGAGGGGCCCTTGCGTCTTGATCCCTGCTGGGCCTGGTAATACTCGTCCTCGTTATCCGAGGCATCATTCTGGTCGTCTCTGCGCTCTCGCCGAGGTGATCTCGGCGGTAAATGAGGCATCAAGTGGGGTGCAACCACAATGCTTCCTGAGATGTTGCGGGGTGCGCCAGGGTTGCCTGCGTAACCTGCTTACACAAAAAGACGATGGTAAGAAAAGTAAGATAAAATTAGATTATGTCAGCTCATGCAATGTATAACCGTATTTCAGGCCATAACACCAAACGATATCTGTTGCTACAAATTATAATTACCATCCTGAGAGTGGTTAGCCTCTGAACGACCAGTGAATGCGCGAGGATCATGCTGAGCAGCGTATTGCTGTCCTCGGCCGCCTGCCATCTCAGCGGGCATCTGAATGTCATATGGCTCCCGCGATCCGAGTTCGTCTTCCACCACTGGGTGAGTTGGGCGATTTCGGTCGTACTGATGTCCATTGCCATATTCGTGGCCATTGACGTTAGCCTGGAGTTCTTCTTGGCCAAGCTCGGCCTTGGGGCCCTCATATTCGCCTTCAGAGTTCGAGGACGGAGTTGGGGGCAGTGTGGGGTGAGGTGCCCTGTGCGATTGTCCATGTTGTCTGGGTGATTGTTGGTCGTGATGGTGGATACGATGTTGGTGCTGGTGCGGCTGCTGGTGCTGGTGCTGGTGCTGATGCTGGTGTTGATGGTGTTGGCGGTGTTCGGTGTTTGAGGAGTTGGTCGAGGAGAATGAGGCGTTGGGGTTGAATGCTGAGACCTGCTCGGACTCCCGCTCGCCATTCACGTTTGCATATTCTGGATTAGGATCGCCTTCTCGTCTCTCCTGAGAGTGTTTCGAATGCTGATGATGACCCTGTTGATGCTGCTGAGACTGGCTCTGACCTTGATTCTGGTAGTATTGTTGCTGCTGCTGAGAATGTTGATGGCCGTGTCCATTCATCTGAGGATAGCTGCCGTTAGGGTGTCCATTTGACTGCTGATGCTGCTGTTGCTGGTGGTGGTGATAGGGCTGCACTTGCTCTTGAGAAGAGGACGGGAATGGGGTAGACGTTGCCAACCCCTGCACTTGACCCTGCCCTTGTGTTTGTGCTTGTGCCTGTTCATGTGTGCTGTTCTCTGCCTGGCGCAGGAGATCACGCTCGGCAGTGACCTTGGCAACATCCTTTTGCAGGTTCTGGATGATGACACGCTGCTTCTCGATGATCTTCCAGAGCTGATCGTTCTGGGAGCGGAGCGAGTTCCTCTCGGAGACGATCTGCTGCATCGCAGAGTCGTTACTCTGGTCGTTTGTCTGTCCCTGGGACGACTGGGACATAGACTGGTCCGACCGAGCGCCGTGAGTCATTTTACTGCAGGGCGACTAACTGTATGGACACACAAGAGATGAAGACGCTTTAGTCGGTAAGACAAAGAAGATTGGACAAAAGACAGGCGCAGATCGGCGGATAAAAGCGTTAAAGTAAAGGGGGATGGGGGATTGGAATTAACGAACAGTAAGCTTTTCGGATGATTTGAGTGAGAGAACACAGCGGAGGAGCGGACGAACAAACATTTGTATATATAGCGAGGAAGAGATATATATACACATCTGCTCGTACATTTTCACTCATTCATCTCCGGGAGGGGAAAAGAACCGAAAAAGAGGCAATTGATCGAAGGCAGAACAGCGTATCAAAAAGGAGACAGACATAAACAGCACAGGAGATGGAGTAGAGGAGTTGTAGGAGTAGGTCTGGTCCTTCCTCCCAACCGTTGCACTTCTACACTTTCTCGCAGAGATAAATGCTTGTGTCTACTGCCAATAGATCGAATGAATCGATCATATCGAGTAACTGACCCAGTAGAACAATGGCACAGTTAACTCGATTGACACGACGCGGCGCGGAGGCAATTGCACTGTCGTTTTAAAGGTTTATAAAGCGTAATATGTATCCCAATTGACATGATTTGTGTTCCAAGGAATAGGTGTGACACCAATGCAGGTAGGTGGTCGGCTATGCATAGTCGGGCAGAAAGAACGAATAAAAAAAAAAAAATAGAAAAAAAGAAAAAGAAAAAAAAGACTTACAGAGTGATGCGGATTTGGAGGAGAGGAGGAGGAAACCAAGCCGAAGGGGTGGGTTGCTGATGGAGTTCAACCGACGAAAAGTCTCCGTTACGCCTGTGGATGTGTTACGAATGTGATGTGTGCGGTACTAGAGAAGGAGACAGATGTAAAGTGCGAGTGGAGTATAGAAATGAGTAGGCAAGGTGAGATGAGGGAGAAAAGGAGAGGGGAGAACGAATGGAGTGGAGTGGAGTGGGGCGGAGTGGAGTGATGATGGGAAGAGAGAACAGACCAAGGCCCAAGGGAGGGGGGAAGAGAAACAAACAAAGTGTGCTGCTTTCTACAGATGAAGGGGTATAGACGGAAATAAGGTGCCGTCTGCATCTACAGCAGTTACAGGTGTCCAATTATCACGTACGGCCTTTCTTTCCCTCATGTCTTTTTTCTTCTCTCCTTACCCTGGACTAGTAAACCACTCTCTGCCCCATCACCACTTATAACCACCGATTCAGCTTATTTTTCATTTTCGTTTTGCATAAGACGCATTATCGACAAGCAAGTGCATTGGATAATTGGGGATTGCCATTTGAATTAGCTTGGCAGCATGTGTTTGCTTTTTCATGCTGCTCTCCCCTGCTGCCCTGTGTGAGTATGGATCTTATTATCATATTATCATATTATTGTCGTTATTCTCTCAGTCATCACAATCGTATCATCAACACCCACCCGTCCACAGGCAGGGTCCTCTTTCTTCGGCCGGTTTAGTTCGGCGGATGCTGCTTGACCAGCTGGCCCTGTTTTTGGCCCTTCTCCTGGGTCGGGTACAAAGGCTCTCAATCATCATACATCACAATATAAAAAATGCATTCGTACTGCAAGGCCGGCTCTTTTCTTTACACATGTACTCAAACGGTCGATGGGTCTGCATGTGTACGTACAACCCTTACGTACTCTTCTATCCATTCTCCAACCCTGCTACATAGAACTTTTTCACCGTCTCCCCAAGCACTTTTCTAACGAGACATGATTACCGCGAACATGCCGAAAATGAAACGAAATAAAGTTCTCAGGAACCACTGAGACATCACGGGGGATTCTCAGGAATGACATGGACACAGCATTGCGCTGCAGGAATGTATGTGTCGATGCGCAACCATCTAACTGTCTCTCCCTGGAAGCGAATAGGGGACGACAACGACAACGAAAAAAGAAAAAAAAGAAAAAAAACCAACAGCAACAACAGAGCAACAGGCACCATACCGACAGCTCTCACCAACTCAGATATGCGAATGCATAGTAAATGAAAATGCGATTACATCAATAAAATATTTAAATATGAGCCGCTCGTGTGCGTCTTTTGTATGTGTTACACCCTGGGTATCCCATCAGCTCCCAGGAGCTCTTATGGGTGCAATATAACCGGCAGGGGGCTATACCACAGCAATGCTCATCTCCATAAATCGGAGTTACGCTAACAACAGCTGACTGCCAGACAACCCAAGGTCGAATTGGAGCGCCAGCTTTGAGCAGATTAAGCTAATTTTTTTTTTTTTTTTTTTTTTTGGTCCAGTTGATCAGCCTGGTTTATCGTCGACGATCAAGGACTTGAATAAATGCAAAAGTGGTTATTTACTTTTAGCGTTCCGATTGCGCTCAGTTTTCCTTAAGGTGACTCGATAGCATTCCTTATGAACTTGAGTCGGGTGCTGTCTTTCCGAGAATCTTCCAGTTATCCTCAGGATCGCTGATGTATCTTTGGAAAACAAGGTACTCCAGTACAGGAACCGTCTTTTTCAAATCGCCAGCGATCAGCTTGTTCTTCTTGTCAAACACACCCATGCTCTAGAGTGGTTCAAATAATAAAACAGAATTAGATCAGTTCTATTGCCGCTCTGTTCCGGTTACTTTTTGACCAAAAACCAAAAACCAAAAACCAAAAACCAAAAAAAAAAAAAAAAGACGCGCCATAGTCAGATTGATCTTTATCTTTTTACCTGGTTGGTGTGCAAGCGGACGATGATCTGGATCAAAACGTGGCCACCGATCTGACCCTGACGGATCGACACGATCTGAGGCTTCTCGATAGGCCCATGATATCTCCATTCAAATCGGCCGGTACGATCCTTGAGTTGACCCTTGAGCTTTGCGTACATCGAGGGTGTGCAGATCTCTTCCAAATAGTTGCGGTCACCCTTCGCAAAGGCCTCGTTCATTCCAATATACGCCTGCTCTGACTCGCCCAAGAAGCGACCAGTGATCCCAAAGTCCTTGAGCTTCCAGCACATACCCAAAGTACTATGGGTTTGACATCGAGGAGGATATGTGAGCATGCATTATAGAAATGGAGCGGCAAATCCACGATAATGGCTTACAAAAAAATAATGCATAGTACCTGGCAGCAGTCATTCCCGTGTTACGCATGCGGAGCTTTGCGTACTTGACCCACTTCTTGTAGTCGCTGAACAAGGATGGACGGTTCTCCTTCTCGGGAAGCACATATGGATCTACAAGGGGTTAAGAAAACATTACGATACCGTGAGAAAGTCGTCGTTAAAAACAAATCAGTGTCCATGTGCGATCCTGCCGTGAAGATAGTGCTTCCCCTTACCCATAATGCCGACCTCTTTCAGTGTCATGCTCTGGCTCATTTGACGCGGTACACTCGAGTAAGATGCAGACTGAACGAGTACTCCAGTTATGCCACGGATACGGGTCAGATTGGCGGATCCGACCACGGCGTTCATTCCAGACTGGTTCGCCATGGCAAGCGAACGAACAGCCTGGGATGCCGCGTTGCCTGAAAGACGAGAGCTCAATCGAAACATGGTGGTGTCTATATTGTTCGTATATGGGCGAGTATTGAAGCGAGTTTGCCTCTTTTTGCTGAAGTTGCGCGTTCCTGTTGATCCTGTCGGGGATGGTCAACGAGTTCGATCGCTTCGGCGTTTCGGAGAACTATCACTGGTCACCCATCCCTCCACAGCCGATTTGTGACTGCTGAGGCACAACAACAAACAATTTTTTCTTTTTTTTTACGAAAGCTTTCTTTGCCTTCCTTGCTGCTACCTGCCTCGTTGCTGCTTGCCCTTTTGCATTCAGACAATTACCATTACCACTACTGCTTCTCATCAGTACTCTGCCCGACTGCCGCACTATCTTCAAAGTTACATAGCCATGGCTGTCGCAAAACGCGCTCGCACCGAAAGCAAGGTTGACCCTTCAGTAAGACTTAGACTCATACAGGAACCCTCGACAAGTGGCCATTGAGTGTCCACCAATTGCTAATACAATATCCGACTTTTATAGGCAAAAAATATCAAGGATACTATCGACCATATCCGTCTGTTGGAGCGTCAGGTTGCAGAGAGCAAAACTCATCTGAATAACATTGTGACCCTCCTGGAGTTTTGCGAGGTACAGCGACAGCACAATGCAAAACCTTTAGTTCGTTTTGCTGCATATCATGAAAATGAACATAGACAGGTACATGGACTAAACAAAGCATTGATATGCGACAATAGGATGACTCGCCCAAAGTGATCCATGCCGCCATTCATGCCCTTTTCCGCGTGCTCTCGCCCATGCTATCGCGAGGAGAGCTCCAGCGACCCAAGAAGGCAGCAGCAGAGGATAAGAGGGCGACTGTAACTCTGTGGCTCCGCGACAACTACGTCAAGTACTTGAACAGGACTTGCGGGATCTTGAATATGCCCGAGGCAGGACTTCAGATCCCTGCGTTGAAAATCTTAATGGATCTCGTCAAATTAGAGTCAGCTTATCTCGGCAGCTTGTCGGGAGGTCACCATTTCGCCAACGATTTGTACGCCAGGATCGTAGAAGCTTTATTGAACTGTTCCAACATGAGTCAACCTCTACTCAGCGAATTCACGGAGAAATATTTCTCGTTTTATGACGATCTTCGATTTTACTTTTTGAAGAACACGGCCACAATCATCAACACTGCATTGGGAACGCCATTAAAGAAGGACACAAGGGCGCCACAGAGCAAGGTACTACAGGATGCTTTGAAATAGGCAGACAAAGGGATTTGAAGCTGATAGTGTTATCAATCTCGTTTTATTAGAAACAGAAAATCAGCAACCGGGCAGCACCAGAAAAATTGTCGCTTCTTTTGGAAAACTCTTTCGCTATCATGGAGACATTGAAGACGATGCCTACGGAAGCTAAGGAGCTGGACGAGTTTTGGACAGGCAATCCAGATCCCAGTAAGCGACTAACAAAAGCTAGATGAACCAGTGTCCATTTTTATTCAACGATTACCGTGCATGAGACTAACGCTCGAGGACTGCAATCAAAATAGACGGCGATAAGAAGGAATATACTGGAGATAGCTTGGGGTTCTCTGACAGTGAAGAGGATGAGACGGTTGAAGACTTGACAAGGGATACCTCGGCAGCACCCGTGAAGAGACACCCATTATTGACACTGCTCAACCACCGTCGCGTGTTTTCGGATTGCTGGATCGCTATCCTGAAGTTGCCCTTTACGACTGCTATCTACAAGAAGACTCTGCTCATCGTTCACAAGCGTATTATCCCTCACTTGCCTCAGCCAACAGTGCTCATGGATTTCTTGACGGATTCGTACAATGCCGGAGGAGCCGTCAGTCTGCTGTCATTGAAGGGACTTTTTGTCCTCATAACGGAGCATAACCTGTATGTAGGATTACGTTGGTGGCACTCTTCCTATGGCCAGCAGAGAACACAAGAGCCGAGCGTTAATATTATCATTTACTCTTGTCTTTTGTTTTTTTCTTTAGTGATTATCCCGACTTTTTCAAGAAGCTTTACATGTTGTTTGATCGCAACCTGATGCATGTCAAGTACAGGGCTCGTTTCTTCAGTCAAGTTGATATTTTCCTCTCCTCACCGTATGTCGATCCAGCCTTTTTCCTTGTCTGCCGATACCACTTGCTATTTTACAATGATCACCGCATGCAACTAACAAATATTCTGGTAATCTCGCCCAACGTTATAGTTTGCTGCCTGCCCAGTTGGTCGCAGCATTCATCAAGCGCATGTCCCGTCTCAGTCTGTCCAGTCCTCCAGCCTCGATCGTCATTATCATCCCATTCATCTACAATCTGCTGAAGCGTCATCCAACATGCATGCAGCTGATCCATGGAAAGGCGGGCGACGAGAAGAGCGATCTCTATGACCATGCGGAGGAGGACCCTATGAAGTGCCATGCCCTCCAAAGCTCTCTCTGGGAGATTCAGGTACTGATACCAAGATTTTTTTTTTGTTTCTTTAATAAACATTCACGGCAGCGGTACTAACAAATGGCTTTTTTCTCTCGTATGCCGACATGATATTAGACCCTCCAAAACCACTTTGCACCGAACGTATCAACGCTGGCCAAGATCTTCAACGAGCAGTTCACGAAGCCATCGTACAACCTCGAGGACTTTCTGGATCATACCTATGCGACCATGTTCCAGAACGAGATCACGAAGAAACGCAAGGGCGAGGCTGCACTTGCTGTTGAGGCTCCCAAGGGCCTGTTTATTGTTAGTGCGGAATCAACAGTGACAGCAGGGGGAGATGAGGATGAAGAACAAGAGGAACGAGTCGTGCCTGGATGGGAGTCCTGGGAGTTTTGAACATGAGCAGTTAGGACGTTAACATGTTACTGCATTATATTTTCCCTTTCAAATTGCATTCAAAAATATATATCCACTTCATTTCTCGCATGTATTATTTATTCAAACTTTTTTGTAGTATTGCGCAACTGTCTTTTTCAGCAACCGTTCCGTATGAGGACGATATTGCGCGCGTTCTATTTTTCACCCACAGATCCGGTCGTGCCTGCAGATCCAGCTTCCTGCTCAGCGGCGGCAGCGCGTAAGCGGGTGAGTCGCTGAGCGTTCCGCTTCAGCAAGATCCTGCGCACATTCGCCTTTTCGATCTCGGCCATCTCGTGCCAGTTATCGATCCTCGACATCGTTCCATCTTCATTCACGACTATAACAACGACATAAAGCAGTTGAAAAAAAAAGAGAGAGAAAAAGAAGATATATTTTAGCCAGTGTAAGTCTATCGGGAGATTGATCAGGTTTAATCAATGGATAGAAGCGCTCGCACGTACCGACAGGCCCAAGGATATCGAGTTTGATATCTTGACCATTGACCTCTAGTTGGTTTATGGTCTCTGAAACATCTCCCGGTGCAGGCAATGTCAGCACCGGCTTATGTTCGTTGTGCGCTTCATTACCCTGCTGGCCCGTGGGGTTGTTGTTGCTGCCGTTCGCTGCTGAGGAAGAGGGGGTGTGGGTGCCTGAAGACATTCTTTGGACGATAGTATAACGTGGTGAAGCCGCAAAGGTAGGGGCGAATCTGAATGCGAATGCTTGGTGAAGAATTTTGCGAGAGTGAAGCATGACTAAAAGTGTGAATCTGATTCCGAGAAGTGATCAACGACGACCTTATGTTTCTATTTCCACTCAGACACTTTATTATTACTTTTGTCTTTCTGTTTAAAAAAATACGCGTTGCGGCCAAACTGTCGCCCGACCGACCTCAACAATAAATAGCCCCTCTTCTCATTTTTATCGGCATGCAAATAAAAAGAAGCATACGTGTCCACCATAACCACCCATTCATTGCCGATTATTGCTTAGAGTAATGGTGTTGCTGTTGCTGTTGTTGTTGAAGTAGATGAGGCGACTGATAGACCTGAGGGTGCAATGGTTGCTGGTGCATTGACTGTCCCTGCATGGGATAGGAATAGCCATGTCCTTGTTGCTGCTGCTGAATATACATTTGCTGAGCATGTTGCATCTGCTGTTGAACAGCAGCTTGCTGGATCTGCTGTTGCTGTTGTTGTTGCTGTTGTTGCTGCTGTTGCTGATGATACACATGCTGCTGTTGTTGTTGTTGCTGGAACTGCATCTGCTGGTGTAACTGCTGTTGCTGCTGATGTTGTTGCTGCTGTTGTTGAGCAGAGAGAGAAAGCGATGACTGCAGTTGAACTCCTCCTGCTCCTGCTGCCGGCCCAGGTCCTATTAGACTCGATGGAGGTGCAGTAGCCGAAACGGCGCCAGAGCCAGCAGGAGTCGCAGAGGCTGCAGGTGCAGCCGGTGTTCCTGGCCTTGAAAGATTTTGGAACGTCGGGTTTGCTGCAGTTGAAGGTGTGCCTGTCCTTGGCCAGGGTGCGGGGAACTGTCCAGGAACGGGCTTCCAATTGGTCTTTCGGCCTTCATTGTAGATATCCTCCAGAACTTCTTGAAACAGGCCATTCTCCCTCAACTGGAGGTACTTCTTGTAAAGTGCTAGAGCTGTCCGGGCGTCCTCAATCGAGTTGTGCGTCTCAGATTGGATATCTTGATGGAGTAAGTACCATACCAAAAAACGCAAAGAGATTTTTCTAGATCAATGAAGAAGGAAAATGTTATCATCGCATTAATTTATGTCATGATTAATGATAGCACAGGAAAATATTGTCTTCATTACCTTTGCCTGTTCTTGATATGGAAGATATCAACTGTGTCCTTGACCTGCTCAGGCGGAACAAGAATATCTGAAAAAACACATGTTCAGCAGCGGACCATGAAACCGCCTTTGCGATTGACAATGAAAGACAACTTTACGGAGCACTTACTAATGATACGGAAGTCCTGCCTCAAGCCATGTCCGACAAAAATGCACCCCATGTCCACCAAAACCCGAAGCCGTTTGTATGCGACTTTGAGGGGTACGAGCGTATGCTTCGAGACATTAGGATCCAAATCGCCGGCTAAAACGAAGAACGTGGAAAGCATTAATACAGAACTCGTTTCAAATTAGTGCGATGAGCGCCTCTTAAAGGATTTCTCACTTACGCTGGATGCCAGAAAACTCAGTTAGGTAGTCAACCACCGGCTCTGATGTCGCAATGTAGTCGTCGATAAAGGGTACGTACTCGAGCGGTCCCTCGTCTCCGCGTAGCACTGATACACGCGCAAGACTCATTCTTGGCGGGCGAAGAAGGGACTTTGTGCCATCGCTTCGAATTTCCGTTTCCTCCTATAAAAGCCGTGCGTTAGCGAACATACTATGTGCTCTAAGTCTTATTTTCTCTTTTTTTTAAGTTGCTTTCATGCTTTCATTGAAACTTACTCTGCTGAGTGCGACAAATTCGGTATCGATGGCAATCAACATCTGTTCGCCTGGCTTAATTTCATCTGGCCTCAGCAATTGATAGAAGACATAGTTGGGATCACGATATCTATATCCAAAGGAGCCGCATGAATCAGTCTCACCACCTCACGCGTTAACACCGTTATTAGGATAGCTCGCTATAGCAGATAACTTACTTTGAAATCGACAGATCAACATGGAGAATACTTGTATCAGGGCCAACAGGTTGTTCTGCGATCATTGGTGGAGGTCCATTATTCACTTTGGTATAGTAAAGGATCGATGGCGCCTAGGTTCGACGGACGAACAAAGCGGTCGGCGGTTAGCACCAGGTTCATTTCGTCGAGTCGACATATTTTTCGCATTCTCATGTTTTCTCGTACCTTCCAGCTGGCTGGGAATTGCGACACCTCTCCTTCTTGGACACGCTTCACCAAAAAGTCATTGAAAATATACCACGGCGACTGTTCCGATACTTCAGCATCGTTATCAGAGATTACTACTCAAGGTGGCAAGGAAACTTTGGTAAGGGCCTGGACTTTACTTGCTTCAATGCCGACGTATACGGAATCGCACTGGCCGTACCTTTAATATGCGAAACAAGATGTGCAACTTCGCCAGCAGGCTGGACCTGACTAACAACCGCGGTTAGTTCGTACTCTGCGCTGAGCGCAAATGTAGAGGCGTCTAATGATGCATTTTCAAACACTTGAACGTTCTTGTCGTCAACCCCAACAGTGAACCTAAGATGCATCGAATAGTTTACTCCATTATTAGTAAGTGTGAATATGAAAATAGCGCATTCCCCTGACAAAGATACTCAAGGCGCAAAACCTCACCTGAGAGGAAGCCAGTCGGCTCCCTTCCCATTCTCATCGAGAAATATACCAGAGGTCACTAAACTAGGGTCCTTCGGGTTGACAGCAGTGTTGATACTCAGAACCAAGGGTAGATCCTGAAGGGTCTTTTTACTGGTGGTGGGCTGGTACTGTTGACATTGCGAGCACCACACACGGTTATGGGACTCTCGTGAAAGCGATGCCTTCATAATATCCGAGAACGACATCGGATTCTGTAACTCCTTTGTCTTGTGCTGATGATGGTTCTTGGACGATTGATGAGCATTTGCTGCAGCCACCTATATTCCAAAAGGCATTTCGCAGAGACTATCAATTAGTGATGACACCAAGCTGAGATGATTCGACGCTGTTATCTCTACTGTTGGACGTGGTCTTTACCGGCTTTGGCCACGTCAGGTCCAGGACAAAAGGATACGTGATACGCTCTTCTTCTAGACCACAATGTCCGCAAGTGCTTGTATTCGCCGTCTTCATCCCAAATACTTGCTGAATCGGTGACGGGGCCGATCCCGGATGTGGATTAGATGCTATCGTTGCTGTTCTGTCTGATCCACATTCTTGATGAAGTTGCTCCAGCACAAACCGGTTAAAGTTCTGGATAAGAGAGGAGTACATAGTCTTGGTGTCCGGCTCATCCGGCTCAAAGAGGCCGAGTGCCGAGGCTGTATCGAGGCAAGAGATAAAAGGTCGTCTCCGTTAGCACTTGTTTGATATCCAATGATCCTAACGCGTTTGCTGCTCTCACTGCCAAAAATACCTTGCGGAATGGTGCTGAAGGCTCGTAAAAAGTTCCTTGCTTGACAGTTCTGACCATTCGAATCTTCTAACATGCGGAACAAAAATCCCAATTCGCAGGTCAAGCAATTCTCTCTTGGGCACGTCTGACCGATGTGAGCCTTTGCGAGCGTCCTGAGCAATGGGGTAAAGAAGAGGACCTGCAAAAGCGCATTGCAGTAGGAGTTGGCAATGTGCGTTTCCAGGCCTCCAAATTGTGTCTTGTTATAGAACCTATACGAAGTTATAACCACAGCCCCTGTTAATATCTCATGGCCACAAATTCGAGTATGGAATAGATCCTGCACCCTTGTTGAGAAGACCTTACCCGAAATCAAAATCCTCGACGCCGAACTTGCTGTACTTGATCTCAACACGCTTGTAGTATTTTGGCAGAACATTGTTTGTGAGGTCGACCTCTTGTTCATTCTCATGATCCAATGTCGCCACCAACGATCCTTTCCTCTTTCCAAAGTAAAGCTCCTTTTGCTGCTCGCTGCGAAACTTTGGCGTGTCTCGCAAGTTGACCTTGGGCAGCGACGGGGCTTGGTTTCTGAGGCGGATCCCTGGATTGGGCGCGTAGCCCACAAAATCAATCATTTTCATGTTGTCGAGAATGGATGAAGGGATTGGCTGCGGTTTTCTTCCGATAGGATAGATCGTCTTAGGTGGCCATGCTGACAGTAGCTGTTCCTGATAGTAGGGCATGCCAATCGAGGATAGTGGATCGTTGTCTCCGACAGTAATAGTAGGTGGCAGAGGCATGGACGGTGCGTCAATTGGGTTGGAGAAGTGATTCATTTTTGGTTCCTGTTTATCGCCCCACATATGCACAACATTGCTTGCGTCTCCAAGAGCTACCATCTCGCCACTATATGAGATATCGAAGCAGTTGACATAGCTCGAGGTGCTGATCTTGTTGCAGTGAATAGAGAAAATGGAAGCAAATGGAATACTAAAAATGTTAGTAAAAGGACATTGTGCGGAGATAATTACCCTTGCCTAAATTGCTCCAGAGCAACATCTCACTTGGTAAAACTGAATCCCGGTGGTGAGATTTCCGACATCACACATCTGGAACTGGCCGGTTTGCGAGGCAATGCAGACGGTGGTTGACAGCTTTGGATGCATCTTTAGGAACGATGGTCCATTCGGGAACGGTATGGGCGCCAATGAGCGCATTGTTCTCATATCGTAAACCTTGACCAAGGGGTCAATGATCAAGGCACCCTGTCTCTCTGAGAAGCCACAGGTGACAATCAGGTTTCCTGACACATCCAGATCCGAGATGGTTCCAGTGTGCGCCTGAATCCTATGCTCAACGCTCAGCGATCGCGGGTCCTGAAGAATAAGGTCTCCACGGGTCGATCCACAGACAAGAAGGCGCGATTTCTTCATGACAACAATCTCCGAATCTGTTTCTACCTAGAATGACAGCAAGTTCAATTGAATTCGACGTCAGATTCAGCAGATATGACCATCAAAGATTTTACATTCCTTCGAGAAAAAGGCCGTATACCTTTTTAGTGACAACGCCCCGAATCAGGTTAATAGTGAGAATCTTATCTTGTTGCCCTGCTGCGACAATCTCGGCATTTCCCATAAGAGCAATTGAGTGTAGATCGCGGGCACTATCATCACTGTTGGTTGAAAATTGATTCGGTTGAGCATTGATATGATTGAGGAATGCTAGCTGCCTTGATCAGAAATGGACGATATGTGCGTCCATGCTTCAATTGCTGATCAATTGAGCTGTGTTTTCGTCGAATGAGCCTTACGTAATGTTCCAGCTCGCCAGGCCGCGTCTGTTGGCGAGGTGTACGCTATCCTTGCCAATTGAGACAATGCCGCGGTCCATTACCATCATCTGCCGAACAGAACCCTTATGGGCTCTGTAGCTGGAATAACGCTGCAGTCCTGCTCCATAGTATGATGATATATAGCCCTAGAATGTCCAAAAATAACAAAACAATTGAATACGATAGCTCTGTTTCTGCATATACGACGCCTCGAATGCATAGGTGGAGGCATACGTTTTCGTTTGCGGTCCAGACAAGTTCATGGTGAGGGTCGAACTTGACACAGGTCACTGGCATAGCAGGATCAACTCCTGCAATGACATTGAGCGGCCGAAAAGGTGTCTCGGCCATTTTTTTTTTTTACGATTGTTATGAAGAGAAGGGTAAAGAAGGTAGGTAATGATGAACGTTCATTTGGATGCTTGTGTTGAAAGTGTAGGAGCGGGTAGTCGCGGGCACGCGAAGGTTAAAAGAGTGATCTTGCTGAATGCAACGCTGGGCACGAAGTGCACCACTTCCTTTTGAGTTGCCTTGTCACGGGAGGATTTTTTTTTTATATTTGCCACTAAATCTTACTTCTTCTTTCGCCTGTGTTCTGTGCCTGCAATAGGAGAGGTATCTTCAGGAAGCCCAACCTTGGTTCTCAGCAGCTCATTGACCAGCACAGGATTGGCACGTCCTTGGCTCTGCTTTATGACCTGTCCCACCAAGAAGCCAAGAACACCAATATTGCCCTTCTGGACCACCTTGACCTTGTCCGGGTACTCTGTCAAAATCTTATCACATAGCTCGTCCAGCTCGCCTCGGTTGTCCATCTGCTTCCAGCCCTTTTCTTCTACAATTGCATTCGCATCTCGGGAGTCGCCTTTGACCATCATGTCCAATACGGCCTTCCCAATCTTGGCTGAGATGAGACCTTGATCCACGCAGTCGACAAGGGATCCCAGTTGGGAAACCTTGACGATAGTGGGACTAAAGGCGATCCCACGCGAATGAAGTCTGCCCAAAAGCTCGTGAACAGTCCTACCGCGTTTCACAGGTTCACTATGTTAGGATACGTTCTCCTCAGAGTAAATTAGCGCGCACATTGTCCTATCAACTTGAACTTACCAACTGATGACACTCTTGATCTGGCGTCCAGTCGATACAAGGCTTTCAAAGTACTCGACCATACCCTCCTCGCCCATGAGTGTCCTGGTTTCGATCAAACCCAATTGATAGTTCCGCATGATTCGTTCCCGTCGCGCGTCAGGTAACTCCGGCAGGCTATCTTTCAGCGCCTTAATCGTATCTGGGCTGAGGACAAGGCGAGGCAAATCTGGCTCTGGCATGTATCGATAATCAGGTGCAGATTCCTTGCTTCGAATGTGGAACGTTTTCCCAGTGGAGGCATCAAAGCCACGAGTCGCCTGGTTGACAGGTGCATTGGATTCGTAGCAGGATATTTGGCGTTCAACCTCAGCATCTATAGATGTTGTAATATCCTAATAGCGTTAGAGACTTGACGACGAGCTTTATAGAACAAAAGATGCAGAACAAAGATACAGTACACAGATAACTCCCGTCACTAACCAATGGCATCCATGACGGACTTGATGCTGTTCAGGTTCTTTAGCTCACACCGAGCTCCATACGGTTTCCCCAACTCGTGGACAGAGACGTTCACATCACATCTCATGGACCCCTATTTATATAGATGAAGATCATTGATGGGTCAAGCGAACATTTCAGCAATTGCAGCGTTGTTCAAGAAGTGTCTCAGTCTGTACCTCATCCATGTTTCCATCAGAGCTGTTGACGGTCCGTAGTAATGCTTGCAATTTCTTAACCAGGATCCCTGCCTCTTTGGAGGATGTCATGTCCGGTTTGGTGACAATCTCCATTAATCCTGTTCCTGCTCGGTTAAGGTCCAGTAGCGTCAATCCAGGATAGATATCATGCAGCGATTTTCCAGTGTCTTGTTCCAGCTGCAACTGCTCGATCCTCACAGTGAGCGGATAATCCAGTCCGTCGAGCACAGAGATCGCGATCTTCCCATTTTGGGCCAATGGTTCTATACGATCAAAGGGGACAAAGATTGGTGCATAAGTGGGAAGCCCCATAGACATTGTACTCCGTGACCCAAAGCAGTGATCTTGCGTACCATAGTGCTGTGTAATTTGATATCCTTGAGGGAGATCGGGGTAAAAGTAGTGCTTGCGGTCAAACGAAGAGATCGGATATACGTGGGCATCGAGTGCTAGTGATGTCTTCACAGCTAGATCTACGCATTCCTGGCTCAATCGCTATCGTTGCAGTAAGCTCCTGTTAGCTCAAAAGATTCATCCGCACTCTCGAGACCATCCTAAACACTTCTATCACTCACAGGCAGGGTTCCTGGGTAGGCTGCATCGATCAGAGATACATTGGTGTTGGTCGGCGCATTGAAAGTGTTCCTCGAGGCGGAGAAAAGTTTGGATGCAGATTTGATCTGAGCGTGTACTTCAAGGCCGATTATGGGCTGCCAACGGTTATTAATGAGATTTCTGGGTGGTGGGGACCATTCCTGGACGGTTGGTGCTGCTGTTGAGGTGGAAATGAAACGCGAACTAATCAGTTGCGCCGTCCTTGCCGAGTGCCGGGTCCACGTTGTCGACACAGTGAATAAGTATGCCCGGCCCGGATATCGCGTGAACGTTGGGTATGAGTGTGGTATCCGTGGGCGCATCATTCTCCTGATTCCTCAACATGAATGGTGTCCGTGATCAGAAAGCGGGTTCGCCGTGGACCTGCTTCCATACCAGTGGCATGTTCCCAATTGCAGTCACAACCTCACCCCCAGCCGACACAACTGTCCTTCATTTCGTTATCCTGTTCCGCTCGTTCCCATTCATTCACTCAACGCATTCTCCTCACTCTCACACCTCATACCGACCATACCAACAACTCTTCTGAAAACAATACAGTCGAAATCTATGTCCACCAACAACCTCGCCATTAAAACCAGCCAGTCGCCACCGGCAGAGGAAGACGACTCGTCCCAGGCGATGCCCCTCTCCCCAGCGTCTGTCCGAAGCTATCAGAAGAACAAGGCGCAAAAGAACAAGAAAAAGACCTCCAAGGAACAATCCTTCTCGAAGGAGGAAACTTCATCCGACGACGATGACGGGGAGGCATCCTACGAGAGCGACAAAAAGTCAGACGAAGACGACGAAGACGACGGTTTCGATGCTGCTCACCTCGACCCCAGGCTAGAAGCGCTCGACGGAACAATGAAACTGAAGACTGCATCAGAGGAGGAAGATCGAGAAGAGGATGAAGAGGATGACGACCAGGACTATTCCAACGAGGAGGACGCAGAATCCCCAGAAGTCCATGCCGTGTCAGATTTTATTCCGAGTGTAATGTTGGACAGCGACGCCAAGTTGGGAAGCATAGCAAAATCGTCGGATGCTATCTCACCGCCACCCTCATTGAGTATGCCTGGTATTGCTGTAAACGGAGCTCCCGATGCCGGTGCTGGAGAGCTCTATCAGGACCCAACAAGCACAGGATCAGGAGCTGCTGCTGCTGCTGCTGCTGCTGCCGCAAACCAAGGACAAGAAGAGCGATTGCAGGAGCCAATGAAGCCGCATATTGCGTTGCCGTGTCTGGTTGAGACTGCTAAGAACCCAGCCAGGACTCGCATTACGCTCAAATATGCTGGAAACGACCATTCGACACACATGGAGAGGAGAGAGGAACAGGAGCAAAAGACATCGACTCGCGGCCGCAAGAACTATATGGTGGCCACTGATCTGTCGGGCGAGAGTTGGCACGCTACAGAGTGGGCGATCACAACGATTCTGCGCAACGGAGACGAGCTGAATGTAGTGACAATTGTTGAGGATGACAAGAGTGGTAAGCATACACCGATGCCCTATTTTTTTCTCCCTGTCCATGGCTGAGGTTTTTTAAGAAATCTTGACTCAGCATATTTATCTTGTTTCTATTTTTGTAATGTGTACCCATGCTCTGTAGATACTAGCAAGGCCGTGAAGAAGGGTGTCCAGGCAGAGATGCGAGAGGACGCCGAAAAACTGACAAAAAACATTCACGAGCAACTGGAGCACACTTGTCTGAGAGATATTACAGTGGTCATCCATATTATTGCCGCAACAAAGTCCATGGGCGCTAAAGAGCTTCTGATAGAAATGGTATGATGTTGTTGTGGCTATATTCTCTAGTTCAAGGCATCGTCGACAGCCATGTAGAATGATCTCCCTAAACTGACCATATCCCCCTCATTTCTCGTTAATTAGATCGATGATTTGGATGACTTGTCAACGGTCATCGTAGGGTCGCGAGGACGAGGGGCTATCAAGGGGTAAGATGGTCTACATGTGCTATTGACCTGTTCATGTATTGCATCCGACAATGTTTCTCTAATCTGCTGCATGTTGTCTCCTCATAGATTGCTACTTGGATCGATCAGCAACTTCTTGGTCCACAATTCGTCTGTGCCAGTAATGGTGGTGCGAGCACCCAAAAAGTCCAAAGGAAAGAAGAAGACAAGGCGAGGTCGTTTTGTTGAGCAGACGAGAAGCGTCAAGGAGGCAAACCTCAAGTACGAGCAAGCGTTTGCGAACGAAGACTACTAGGGATCACGTCGCCATCAATTCTGCAATAAATCAAATCTGTACCGGTACTAGTTTGCGACACAAATTCGATCCGTGGGCCTGTAAATGCAGTGATTGGTGTGGATGGCAAACCTGTGAAGCTACAACAACGTGCGGGGCCATAGCTATTGCGCATTTCACAACATCACACTAACCGCGGCCATGTTTAGAACTTGGACCACAACAGAATTGACTGTTGATAACTTTAAATGTCTCACCCCACGATACTTTGTTTCATTTGCAATCGTAAAAGTGAACTTGTCATGGTGTTCGGGGTAGCCGGTGTCCGCTCCATTGTCTGGGAATACAGTTAGAAAATCATAAAGTCATAATGGAGAAGTATTAACTGCGGTTGGAAAGCACGTTGGCTGAAACTACGACCATGGAAGATGAAAAAAAAAAAAAAAAAAAACCCCCCCTTTCGCAACCAAATTCCGTTAGCCACCGTGCCTTTTTATCGCGATGGATATAGATGGGTGATGAAGGGTGCGTTCATTTCCTTGCTTTACTGTCTCTTCTCTTTCACGAAGGCAACATGGCAATCGTGTAAACACATCGGCGTTCAATGCCTATTATCAAATAGCTTGGTCATTGGGACAAGAGATGAAAACTAAATTAGCAATATTCCGAAAAAAGATGTGGCAATTCTTTTTGAAAATGCATTATGAACCTTGTTGAAAACACATCTCCCTCTCCTCAACTCATCACTCACTCGCTCGAATCAATCTCAACTCTCTGTTCTGGGACGCCAGCCATGCCCCAGCGATGAACTCTCAGGATGCACTCTTAAACGACATTCATAAGGATCTATACGGACGGAGCAGCACTACCCATACAACGTCTCAGTATCAAGATGAGACCTTCGCCAAACGAATCCTTCTCACTGGAGGAGCTGGATTCATGTGAGTGATGTCTTGTTGACCTTCACTGCCTTGAGAAAAATACAAAGAAAAAAAAAAAAAAAGCTTCAATGCCTCTGATACCTTTCTTTTCACATTTTCAAACTAGAGGATCTGTACTCGTCAGAAAGTTGGTCCTCAACTACCCAGAGTACTTTGTTCTAGTAATTGATAAACTGGATTATTGCAGTTCCCTCAACAACCTGCATCCATTTTTATCCACTCAAGAATGGACCGCATTAAGAACAGGGGCGTTCTTTTCAGCAACAACAACAGGAACAGGACGGGATCAGAATGCCATTAGAACCGAAAGACCCTATTCCAACTTCAAGTTCCTACACGGTGATATAACGGATCTTGACACTGTACAATCGGCCATGATAGAATACAGGATCGATACAGTCATCCACCTGGCAGCACAAACACATGTGGACAAGTCCTTTGGTGAATCCATTGAGTTTACAAGAAACAACGTCCTCGGTGCCCATGTGATGCTCGAAGCTGCTCGCACGATGTTCTGCCAACCTACATCATCTTTGTACAGCGGCTCTCAGCACCAGAACGATGTCAGCAATGGCCAGGCGAAAGAATCGACAAAAAGGTTTATTTATGTATCGACAGATGAAGTCTACGGTCAAGTTTCGTTAGGCCAAGTAAGTCTTTCGTCTACGCAGTGCCTCCTCTTTTTGGTACAGTTCGGAATTAGAGACGAATAATGATGCTGATTTGTAACACCATCTGCTTTATTTATAGCCAGATTCCAAGGAAGACGCGTCACTAGCTCCGAGCAATCCTTACTCTGCCACTAAAGCAGCCGCAGAATGCATGGTCCAAGCCTACCACAAATCCTTCCAGCTACCTGTGATCATCACCCGCAGCAACAACGTTTATGGTCCTTTTCAGTATCCTGAAAAGATCTTTCCCAAGTTCATTATGAGTCTTCTCAACAGCGCCCGCAATGAGAGTGATAGTCATCACAAGAGCCACCTAGGAAACAATCTAACACCAAAAACAGCACTCAAGGACATCAACAGGGATATTAGGCGACGCAGCATAAGCGGCGGCGGATACTGTTTCATCCATGGATCGGGCCAACATTCTAGGACTTATCTCTACGTGACCGACGTTGCGGATGCGCTGGACGTGATCCTGCATCGTGGAGAGGTCGGCGAGGTGTATAATATCGGAGGTGGTCATGAAATGAGTAATCTCGAGCTTGCGCAAGATCTGATCCATCGTATGGTCGTTCTTCCAGCAGCACCATCGGCGGCATGTAATGGCTCCACATCTTCAACCAAGACACCAGAGAACGAACTGCCGAGAAGGAGTTGTGGTCATCAACATACATTTTCTGGATCTAGACAAGAAGAAGCGGAACAACATCTTAGCCAGTGCAGGACGTGTGTAGAGAGGATCGTTTTTGTGGAGGATCGAGCGTTCAATGACCGCCGGTACGCTGTTGATGCCACCAAACTGTTCCGCCTCGGATGGTCACCCAAAGTTGTCTTTGAGGATGGTATTTCAAAGACAAGTAAGTATCTGCAGCTGAACGAACTGTGTTTTCGGTCTTGGGTCTGATGCACATTCATGCTAACAACGTTTGTAACCTCTTTTTTTCCGATGACTTCTAGTCGAGTGGTATAGAGAACATGGGAAGACATGGTGGGGCGATATTCATCGGGCGCTGTATCCACATTCGATTCGGATGTCCGCTGAAGATTCGACCGCGACATCTGCAGCACCTTCGCCACAGCCTTCTCAGCCAGGATCGCCTCGTCCAGGCTGATGAAGAATTATTAGAGGATATATTTTAATCCCTATATTTTATTACTAAAAAAAAAAAAAAAAGACTTACCTATCTTTTGGTCCACGTACCCTTTCTATTTTGGAACGCACTTCGCCCATAACTTCATTTGCGCCAGAATGTGGCCTTCAAAGAGCGAAATGCAAAGAAACACAGAAGGAATGGTGGACTTAAAAAAAATGAGAGGCAGAGAGAGACACCAGACTCTGCTCTGCCAGATGGCTCTGACGTCCATTCAAGGAGAGCCATGCTATACTCTTCTTTCCTGAACAAGTCCTGCGGGCCACCGTATCCAACTTTTGTCCCCCAAACATCCCATGAACCAAATTTCCTCTCAAGAAGGCGGGGAGAAGCTGTAGGTCAGGATAGAGGTCTTCATTTTGTGTACTGTGTTAGACCCGGGACGTCAGCTGCGGGTAGTTAAGAGTACACAAAAGTTTTTTTTATTATTTGAGATGGATTGATCATAAAATAAAACTGTCTAGGCTCAGCAAGAAGAAACAATTTTGTTGTACACCGCTGCAAACTCTCTCGTCCAACCTCTTTTTGGAACTCTGCACAGCGAGGAGACTTATTATTTTGGTATTGATGTAAGAAACAATGGCACATTGTTCGGATAGATGGATTATGTTTTGGAGATGTAAACTGAGATTGTGGTGGTGAGAGGGTATAATCCAGCGGCGTATCTCCCGTGCGCCTTGGTAGCGGTGGATCGGCGAATTCCAGGTACAACATGACCTCGCGCTTTCCAGTCTCAGTTCTCCTTCTTGGCCAGATTCCTTTGTTTCTCCGCATGCTCTGCCTTGCCGGCGCGAATGATCCACTGGATACCAAGATAGAGAACAAGGCCGATAAAACTGAAGCACAGAGCCATAACGCCCAAGATCTTAGTCAGTGGGATGTCATCTGGCTGTGCCTGATGATGTTTGTACGTGTTGGCGGCGGCGTCCATTTCTGATACGCTGAGATATGTCTGGCTAGTTTTTTTTTCTGGAATCGGCTGCTGTTGGCGGTCCTGAGTCCTGGACGCTTGACGCTTGAACGGTTAAAGGTCGTATCGGGGGGAGGGTGAAGAAGAAAGGAAGAAATGAAGGAAAAGTGAGTAGATTTGAAAATGAGCAACCTCAAGACCCCAGATGCACAAACGATTTAGTGGAGGATTAAATGGTGTCCCTGAAACCTTATTTCGCCACCAACGGTTGGGCGCGGTCAGTGCACGTTTTCAGCGCCTTCAGCCAATTAGCTTGCATCTTCCATATCGTGAGAGACAATTTTTCTTTATTTGGTGCATTCGAGCACATTCATGATAACAAACAACGCGTAACAAAGTCGACCTGATGAGAAATGCGATCCGTATTCAAGCCAGGCCTCATCATCGGTGAGTGAACCATGCCGTTGATGGATTATGATAGCTTGGTCCGGCAAAGGAAAGCTCGAAAGCACTATAATGTGCGCCATACATCATATCCACACCGCTTTGTAGAGTTCCAACAACGAGGGGTTGAAAGGAATCCGGCAAGGCATGACCAACGCAGATGAGGCTTGGACTGAACATTGGCTCATCGATCGATCTGATAGAGGATGTTCTTCGCAGATGCAAAGTAATAAAGTCCGACAACCGATCACCGTAACCCATGTCCAGCTCCACCTTCTTGGGGTCTCCTGTCTGTCCGAGTGGCTCCAGATCGTTGCTAGTTGTAGTGTTGTGTTATGTCGTGCATCTTCAGGCAAATTTGCATTCCTTATTCGAATTGCTAGATGTCAGACGGGCTTGGTCTCTGCATCACACATTTCTATCGACCCTATTAATACTGAGTAAAGCCCTGCGACTGGAATGCATTCGGTGCGAAAGAGTCCTGGCTCAGATAATCGTCCTGCTGCGATTTGTAGTCGTCCAGATATCCCATGCTCTCCTGACTCATCGACGAGCTCATTCCGTGTCCAAGACCATGGTGACCTGGTCCGCCCTGGATACGATCCGACTGAGAAATGCCGATGGACGCCTGAGACGAGTAGATGTTCTGAGTCAGGGGGCGAGAACTGCTACCATTGTTGCTTGCCGACGACGCATTGGACTTGTTCTTGCGACCACCGACGTAGGAAGCCTGGGATAAATCTTGTGTGAAAGGTGCCTGCGATCCCATGCCGAGCTGATTGGTGTTATTGTTGTACCTGGACGAGCTACTCGAATAGTCGGGCGTGTATTGGTTATTCACCCTACGAGCTGTTAAGAAAACATTACATGTCAGCTCAATACACTGCTGTGACCACGTTTCCGATGATATATCACAGTAGAAAAAAGGTGCCCACCAGCGCTAGCCAAAGGAGGTCTGGCAAACACCTCACGCGCGTCGATGGCGTGCGCCTGTCCGTTGAGGAACCGCTCATCCGGGTTGTAGGCCTTGCGTGGTTTGCTGAACTGAATCATACTGATCTTAAGATTGTTGAGTGGTCCTTCGACTAAGCAATCACGCTCCTTGTAGTGAACAAGTAGATGGTGCCACAAGGGATGCTATAATATATCGAAATAACATAGAAAACCATTGCGTTATTATATGTTAATACAGTCGGGAAAGAGGGCAGTAGCTTTGAAGGTACAAGGTAAACAGCAGCCTACCTTGCTGAGAACTTTAGGGTTGCCGAGGATAACCAGTCCATATCTGGCACGGGTCAAGGCGACGTTTAGACGACGAGGATCGTTCAAAAAACCAATGCCCTGGTGTTCGTTACTGCGGACACAGCTGACAATGATGTAGTCCTTCTCTCGTCCCTGGAAAGCATCCACGCTGGCAACCTCAATCTCCTTGTACAGCTCCTTGCGCATTGATCCATTGAAACCCATGTAGTTGACCAAGTATGAGCGTTGACCTTCATATGGCGTGATGATGCCGATTTGCTGAGGCAGGACTCCGGACTTTAGGAACTTTGTCACAACCTTTTCGCAGTTTGAAGCCTCCGTTCGGTTGAGATAGGATGTTCCAGACGACGAGATTTCCTCCTGCCCCAAGCACGAGTAAAAGAACATGGGCGTTTCGGCGACTGGCCATGGGAAATCAACGTGCTTTCTCAAACGCTCGGCAGTGGTGACTCCATTCTGAAGCGATCCCTCGTAGAACATGTTGCTAGGGTACTCAGACAAGCATGGATGCATACGATACTGGACTTGGAGTCGGATCGGATGGAGACCCAAAATAATCAGACGCTCAAACAAGGACTGACACAACCCGGCTCTTGCAGCCTTCTTGTTCATGATCACAGGACCCAGCTGCTGATGGTCCCCCACAAGAACAGCCTGCTTGGCTCCCAACACAAGAGGAATCATACACTCGGGCTCCGTCGCTTGAGTCGCCTCGTCAATCAACACAGTCCTGAACTTGAGCTTGGACAAACGAGGATCTCCAGCACCGACACAAGTACACAAAATGACATCGGCATTCTAATAAATGTTGCAGTAATAAGGTTAAGACCGGAATAAAACGCAAGTCTTCTCGATCTGTACATGTTTCTACTTACGCTCAGAATCTCACGCTCGCACTGCTTCTTCAGTGATTTGTACTTCTTTTCATCACTGCTGCTCAGCTCTCCCTGCTCGTTCTTGAGCTGGATCAACTTTTGGAGCTCTGGATTGGTGTCGTTGTTGATAACCTGCTCGTGCAAGGTCAGGGCCTTGACAGGAGAATCAAGAGCCTCGCGCGACTTTGCAGTCATACGCACAACTTTCAAGCGAGTCGCATTAATCTTTTCCGTCAACTGATCCACGGCAACGTTGCTGGGAGCACAGACCAACACCTGACCCATGTTCATCTTGGCAAGATGATACACCAGTGAAGCAGATGTCACGGTCTTTCCGGTACCGGGTGGGCCTTGAATGAGACTGAGCGGCTTTTGAAGGACACTCTTGACAGCAAAGACTTGAGAGTGGTTCAATTCGGGTAGATTGGGGGCGGAAAATCGCTTTGGCATCTGCGTCTTTAAAATCTGTGACTCGACTTCGTGTCCAAGGAGGCGATGGTAGATATATCCGCTGACTGAGGACTCGTCCACGGCAAAGGTCTTCATTGCCAGCTGCATGCGATCAAAGCTCGTCGACTTCCAAACAAAATCTACTGAAAAGTTGTGGTTGATTTCCACGGGCGTATCGTCGCTTCGGCGCAACTCCAGTCCGACATCATCGCTAACATCTAGTACAAAAAGTTGATGAGTGACATCCAGGACAGTTAGATCAGAGTCCTGGACAAAATGCAGGGAAGGAAACGGGTGTGGATTTAGCGTGGTAACGTACTGTTGGGCAGCTTGATGACATGACCGGTACATTCCCAAGGCTTGCGCAGCTCGCCATTGTATCTGAGACGGAGTTCATCACCGACAGCCAAACGCAATTCCTCGAACTTTGCAAAGGCAAACCAGGCAACACGCTTCTGATTCAGACCCATGTCCCACATAACGCTGATTCCGTCCTGTGTCTGCGACTCTTTCAGCCTCTTGTCGTAGTCGGCCTCCATCTTGACAAGCGGACCAAAGATGTTCTGATACTGGTATGCATCCTCATACCTATATCATAGACCAACACAATGTCAGATGCCTGATCAAATTTGCGGAAGAAGCACATCCTGAACAACACGTATCGTAGCCATACCTCGTAAGGACCGACTGCGGCTCATCGTCCGCCCCGGGCCGTTCAAGGTCCTCGAGTGTAGCGCTGGGATTTTCTCTCCACAAATCTTCCAGTTTTGTGATCTGCATAGCAGTGATCTGACGCGCACGAAGCTGCTCCTGTTCAGGGGGGATTTTGACAAGCCAGGGCAAGAAACATCTGTCATCGATCAAAGGCAGCCATTGCGATGTATCCCAGTTCATATCCTTGCTGCTCGGCATTGACGCACATGGTTGACTATGCAAAACGATAAAACAAATAGATGGAGCTTACTTAGCAGGATTACGTAGGAGAAAATGCGCATAGATCGATCAGATCAATGATATGAACATACCGACACAGCAGGACGACGACAGTGTCGCTCTTGGCTGGGATGAATCCAAGTAAGAACACATTTTTGCAGCCACAGTTGTAGCACTCGAGTGTAGTCTCTCCTAGCGGAGACAGCGCATGAAGAACCACCTCCTTGTGCTTGGCACGGACCAAATGGTTGATGATGTGCGAGCCCGACGTGTTTCCTCGAGAGTTACAGAACCACTTTTTGCAGGTCTCACACTTGACGACCGAGGCGGGAGAATGGATGCCGCAATATCTAAATCAAGACGAGATTGAACGATATCAGCATTCATGTGTTCCCTTCCGCTTTGTTTTGGCTCTTATCGGTTCAAATGATATCCAAACAAAACGTACCTGCAAGCATGCGGCGGCAGTTCGGTTAAAGCCAGGGGCTGATCATTCAGTTCGTGCTCGTCAGTCTCCTCGAACCCTCGGTGCTCGTTGATCCCAGAGGCATGCTGCCCGTGCTGATGATGCGAGTGCTGTTGAGAGTAAGGGTCGTCGTTGCTGCCGAGCTCAGACTGCGACTGTGGGCCACCGTTCAAGGACAGGTTCATAAAATTAAGATCGTCCTGCGTGCCATTGTGGTGTTGAGTCTGCTGGGAGGGCACGCCATAATCTGTGTACTCGTACTGCGAGTTTTGTGTACCTGCCTCGAACTCGAGATAGCCAAAATCACCGTCCTCGTCGCCGCCCTGCGACATGGCATAGTCTGGGTAAGACATAGTGGAAGAGCTATCGTTTTAATCTCTCTGCTCTGCTTTCGCTGTTGATGTTATTACCGCCGTCGCTGTGTTGATACTTGTCGCTTTAGCCTATGCGCAAGGATGGATCGGGAATGAGTGGTCGTAGGAAGCTCAGCTGAGATGACGAATGGCAAGAGGGATGGCGGAACAAAAAAGGCGGATTTGATCTTTGCACCAAGAGACTCGAGTAATGTGACTGTGGCACTCCCGCAGCCAACAAAAAATATACCCAATACCGTTACCGCAGCCAGTTTTCACCTTTAACCTTCCCCCTTTCTGTTTTGCCTGACGGACCAGCACTGACCAGCAATGTTCAAAAAGCCTGTTGCGTCCCTCAAGTCCTTCTCGCCCCTCAGGTCGAGTGACAAGAGGCGCCTCAGAGACGAAATCCTCGCCAGCTTCCCGGCCCTACGCGATATGGAGCCCATTCATGACACGCCTATCAATGCCATTATCACCCCTGACGGCCTTCAGTCTGCAAAGTTCACTTCCTATATCGAAGAGCCCGGCACACTGTATACCGACTCAGAGGGAACGCCTCTTTGGTTCAAGATCAGCAGCAGCAATAAGAAAGACTCTGTCATTGTGCCTACAGGTAAGGCGCATGGCATCATCACGGTACTCTCGCCTTTTTTTGTTTGCTATGTTCACAACCCTATCTCACGCGAACATCATTCAACCTCTCATAGTATACACCCTTTGGAAGTTCCCGGCCTTGATACCTGGCCTCACAACATGGAATCCTGTCGTGGATAAGCTCCGTAATGGTGCCGATCTAATGATCCCTGGAGTCATCACCAACAACACCGAAGTCCCAGATCTAGAAGAGGGCGCCCTGGTCGTCATCTTCGCTCGAGGAAACAAGTATCCTCTCGGTGTAGGGACCATGGCTGTGTCTGGACGATCAATTGCGTCATCCAGAGGCAGCATGCCTCCCAAAGGAAAGGCTGTTCACATCTTGCACTTACACCAGGATCAGCTATGGGCCATGGGAAACAAACCGGAGTTGCCATCGGATTGGTCACATGGAGTCAAGACAACACTGGATGATGAGTACGAAACGAGCGACGAGGAACACGAAGCCGATGGAGAGGAGCTGTCGGAGAACTTGAAGGATGCTTCTATCAGCGATACAAAAGGAAAGGCACCCGTCAGAGACAATGATACTGTGCAAGCGCAGAGCTCAAACGAAAACAACGCCTCAGTTGACAAGGCGGAGGAGCCAATCGAGGCAGTCGAGGAGGCTATTGTTCTTTCCGCAGAGGAAGTCGACAAGTATCTTCACGAGGCGCTGCTTTATGTGCTCAAGTTCAAGATCACAGAGGCTGTCGCCAAGGAGCTGTTGCCAATGAACGCCTCGACGTTTTACTCCTCATATGTACTTCCTAACCGTGCCTGCGGTAAGGCTGCGGAAGCGGACATCAAGAAATCTAGCTGGAAAAAGTTGGCAAAATGGCTCAAGACAGTGGAGAAACAAGATCTCATCAAGTGCAAGGATGTCAAAGGGGAACTCATTCTTCTCAGCGTCAATTGGAGTCATCCTGAGTATGATGCCTTTTCAAGTACCATACGTGTATGTCTTCGTGATCGTGCTGCGATCTACTAATATGATATTGATCATTTAACTTTTATAGATTGAAATCATTCAAGGGACACAGGACTGTGGAACAGCAGGCTGCGCGTCAAGCCAAGATCGAGGCAGCGGGCACTCAGGCGAGCTCCGATGCCAAGGGCTTGGAGGTTCTGGAGGCATATCGACCCAACAGCGCCTCCGCGGATTTTTTCGAAGCGACAGGACGATCCAAGGACGGATATTATTCATTGCCAGAGCTCAGGAGTTTGTTGGCAGAGTACATCAAGGAGAAGCAGTTGTCAGATCCAAAGAATCAAAGAATGATTCGACTGGATGAGGTCCTGCGAGAAGCGCTGGCTAAGAAAGGAGAACAGCTGGACCGTGTGCCAAGAGATCAGACCAGTGACAGGTAATGACCTGCTGCTGTCTTGTTTATGAATGCAGCATCTGCCTTGTATACTAACGGTCATCTCGATGCGGATCAAACTTTTTTGGTATGATAGGCTAGTCAACAACATGGTGCACTACCACTCTATTGGGTACAAAGATCAACAACCCCGGTTTATCAAGGGTGGTGTCAAGCCGATTCAGATTATCCAGGAGATCCGTACCGGACGAAAGACTGCCACTAGAGTGTCAGGACTGGAGCAGTTCATGATCGACGTCGATACCTTTGGGCAGGAGATCCAGGTCCTCTGTGCCAGCAGCATTGCGAGTACGTCGTCTTCTTGTGAATGGCGTTCCACTGGCACGTATCAGCTGAGGCTCTTAGAAGTAACTATTAAACTAATAGTCTCATACTTCGTCTAACCATTGCTATTTAGTTACGCCACTGGTCGGCGCCTCGCCAAAGCTGAACCTTCGGGAGATCATGGTACAGGGCCCGCAGGTCAAAAACGTGACAGCAGTCCTTCTAGAGAAAGGAGTACCCAAGAAGTACATTGATTTCCTGGACAAGACCGCGAAAAAGAAATGAGTTCGAGTGTAAACATATAAAAATAGTTCCGCCTCAGGCGTCAAGCAACCTTTAAGATCATCTCCGGCGTGATTTGCTGATCACTTCAATAACCCATCGTTGCTGTAGCGACCAACATCTCAATGTGCATATAGTCAGCGTTGCTTCAAGAACGATTTATTTGTCACAAATGATGTATTTTTTTTCTTTACGTTATCAAAGTCTCTCCGTCCGCTCCTTCGTTTGTGCCATCTCCATGCAAGGTATTGATTTTGTGAAAGGATGTCTACACATGCCGCGCACTTATGCAGTCTCCGAGAGGTGGATCAAGACCTTCTCCAAGTCGAAGTTGGGGCTTTCGGGATCGGTGACGACACCTGCAATCATGAAGAAGAAATAGCAGATCAGTTGTGTGTATCAGTACCATGCATTCACAGTTCCAAGGAAAATAGTAGAGGAAGAATCCGGTCAGAGTAGCCGTACCTCCTGTAGGGGTGTTCATCTTAACCCATTCAGCCTTGGCCTGAGCAATCAGACGCTCGCGATTCTCGGCCTTCTTCTGCTCGGCACGGTTGTGCTCCAAGGAAGACAAGGTGTTGTGGTGGACATAACCATAGACAAGACCAGCAGCCAACGCGGACCAACGGGCGACCTAATCGCATTAAGATCAATAGGAAGCAAAAATGCCATCAGCATTTCATATTAGAAGGTAATAAATATTGTCTTTGGTTCATATCTCAAGAGATCCAGGCAAAAGCGGTTAGTAAAGCAGATCGACGGCCCCATAAAAGAGTTTCGAAGACGAAAAACTACTACGTTGAGTTGCCGTTCCTGAAAATTGTCTGATAGAAAAAGATCATGTGCTTCATGTTCACGCATGAAGCTCGATGAACAGTACAAGATGCGAAATGAGAAGGCCAAAGACTCTTTCGCTCTGATGCTCCGATGCTGTTTGTTGTTGATGAAGTTCCCTTGTTCCTGAGTTGAGCCAGCTGAACCATTGTATCCGGCGTTATATCGCCGTGAGTGATGAACGTATTCACCGACATAGACACGTCCCCTCTCCTCTTTTGATGGCGAACATACGTTGCGAACAGGGTTGACAGCAGCAGGGGCAGACATGGTATTATGTTAACAGCGAAGAGCGGAGAGGGGGAGGTTAGAGGTGAAGGAATGAACTCCAAGGTGATCATAAACTATTTTATGCCCGGCCCGGCCGTTCACACGTGACACTTAAGTTTCACCGAACCAGAGGACATCGCACACACTGCTACATATGATATCAATGGTAGTCACAAATATTGACTGTTGACTGTTGGCTTTTTTTTCTTTTTTTTTTTTTGGTGGCAACAGTTTGACCATCCATTGTCTACCTTCCATTTTCCTTTAAACCATGGGTCACAAAAGAAAAAAGTTTTCCGAGCGTGTGGCATTGCGGAGTGAAAAAGGGTAAGACACAGACTCTTATTTTCTATTTTTCTGAAGTAAATGGCTAACTTGAACCGATACTGACGTGCTAATTGATGGCCTTTACTAGATATGATGAGTCGCCATTCAAAAATGCCTGCTCGGATACACCCAAGGGGTTCGCACGGATCATGTTCAAGAAGGAATCAATGAAGGAAAACAAACAAGCCGGATCATCAGAGGATCTTGGTCAAGACAGAAAGAAAAACAAGGGTGCCAGTAACAACACGAAAGGTGGCAACAATAGCAATCAGAACTCCAAAAAGTCCGCTGCGGACGAATTGAGGATCCAGCCTGGCGAAAAGATGGGAGATTTCTCACGTCGTGTAGATGAACACATGCGGGGCAAATTAATGAAGGCAACCAAGGATAACACTGCCACTTCGAGCAAGAAGAAGAAGTAATAATCGCACACCTCTTCAATTGCGCATGAAAATCATGGAAGAAATGATCGACTAATATTCCAATTCTTATTTATAGGTACTATGAAAAACTTAAGGCGAAGGAAAAGGCCAAGAAACTTAAGGATCAGGAAGAGAAGGCATATGAAGAATTCGAGACCATCAAGGATAAGGTCAGACTCAACGATGTTGCGGAGGCACCTCCAATCTTCACAGCTATCCCAAAGAAGCGCAAGAATGACGAGTTTATGGTGAACAAGAAGTGGAAGAATACCCCCGGCGAGGAGGACTATGCCGATGTGGTTGCCGAAGTCGATGCAAAGGATAAGAAGCGGAAACTAGGAAAGGGTGATGACGATGATAAGGACCAACCAAAGAAGTCAAGGCTGAAAAATTTGACACCTGCAGGAAGGCGCATCATTGAGGAAGAGCGGAGACAGGCCATTGAAAATTACAGGCTAATGAAGGCACGGAGGGCGCTGGAGAAGAGTCCCGGACAGGACAATGACGCAGCTGCGGATGATGCGGAGGCAGCCGCTGCTGGCTACTGAGCTGCTATGCCACACATTTGCACACTGACAATAGAGAAATAAATAAATAAATAAATAAAAAAGGCGTGTTTTTATTGTCTGTGCTTGAGCTGTGTGCACCTGAAATATTGCTAGTGATGACCCATCATGCGCGTTTAACATATTTTCCGGTCTCGGTATCGACAACGACCTTATCGCCAACGTTGACAAAGTCCGGCACCTGGACCTTGATCCCGTTCTCAAGATCCGCGTTCTTGTATACCGTGCCCTTGTTCGCCTGAGCGGCTGATGCATGAGTCTCCTTCACCTCATAGATAGCCTGCGCTGGCAGTTTGATAGAAATGGGCTTTCCGGGGACTTCGGGGTCAGGCTGGAACATTGAGAGATGCACAGTCATGTCCGGCTTGAGCAATTGAAGCTGTCTTTCTAAACACAAAGTAACAATCGCATAGCAGGCGGTAGTCAGAAATCAATAATTAAAGAAGTACAATGATATTCAAGTCAATTGAGAACGTACCATCGAGGACAGATTCTGGCACTTCGTACATCTCGAACGAGTGAGGATCCATGAGATGAATTTGACCATCGTTTCTGTAAAGGAACTGGCACGTGTGATCATCCAACTCCGTAACCTCGACCATGTCTCCAGAACGGAAGCGCTCCGTGTGCTTAGTTCCAGTCAATAGATCCTGTACGTCGAGCTGATATAACGATTTGGGTCGTTAGACTTGTCTAAGCCGTGTTTCCGTATCAAACCATCGCACATGCTGTCGTCTCAACCGCCGGATCGTCAATTGCTTTGGGTTCTCTCACCTTGATGGTGGACGTGCCGCGTCCCATCTATAGCAATAAAAATCAGGAAAGAGCATGCCGTTCATTAATTAAGGCGATAATCATCCGTATGTTCATTTGCGAACAACCAGAACAAAGCTGATTATATAGCAACTGAATAATTGAGCCATTGAGATCGTACCACGGATGTTTCGCGTTTGAGAACAACGGACAGCGTGTTGTTTATATCAACCACAAAGCCCTTGCGAACCTGCAGAACATTGCTCTTGAATCCTCGCTCCTGATCCAATGCCAATGCTCTGTAAATTGTGAAAGCCGGCCTCTATCAGATCGTATATCGGCGAAAGGTTGAAAGGGTCAGATTGATAGTTGCATTGCCTCCATTGATAATCGCCTCAGCCACATCAAGAATACAGGGCGCAACGAGAAAGCAAGCATGCGACAATATGCGTACATATTGCATCAGCGGCGAGCGGTTGAGACCGGTCCTGAAGGTCGCTCCGAGAATCTTTGTTCGCTGCATCGTTGGTTTGCAAATGGGTTCGGGTGTAGTTTATTAATTATCCCTCATAAATAATCCAATACACAGAATGCTGGTAGATGCTGAGTCACGTGTACATATCATGTTAAGCTCGACGGGTCGCTGCAGTCCTCCCAAGGCTGTTCGCTTGCGCCTCTGGGTTCCTTTTTGTCTCACAGAGTCAGAAACCATCGTACTATTGCCGCTACTATTGCTGCTGCTACTACTGCTGTTTTCTGTCTGCGACTTTGCAGTTTGCTACCATGGGATGTGTAGACATTTTGGATAGTAAGGAAAGGTGTGCCAAGAATATCTTACTCGACGCGTCGGGCCGTTGTGGAAAGAATTGGAGAGGTTAGAGTGTCTATGGCGCACCGTAGCCTCATATCCTTTTCATTTCAGAAAAGGCCACAAGCCCTCAATCTCCATTGCAGAATCAATATGAAGTTATTAGAGATAGAGGTTTGGTGCGGGTGTGAGTGACGTGCTTTCGAGACAAGAACAATTCTACAGGACGCTTTTTGGGCTTGAACGTGCTTCACTTCTCCACAGTTTTTTGGATCGGCGAGCAACAATCGAATCCAGCAAGAAACGATCGAACACAAAACACAAGCGGAACTACCGCAATCACCATCACAGGACACTCATTTAGAATATACCATGGAAGACATTGACCACAACAAGTTGAAGAGAACCAATGAGGATTTGAACGCCGACGAGACTGATCTCGTTGACACAACATCAGTTGACACCGACAGCACGACCAAGAAACAGCGCGTGGAGCAGGACAATGTAGCTACGAGTAATGGTGATGGCAACAGCACAGAGGACAAGGAGGGATCAGATGCATCAGAACAGGGTATGGATCACTCGCGTGTTCAAGGAAGAGATGCCCTGTAAGAGATCAAAGCAACCCTAACACAAGCATCCTTCCATGACTCTAGACCCCACAGAATCTATGATAGAGCCAAAGGACCCACAAACAGGACTCACTGCAACACAGAAATCAGCCCTGGAGAAGGCTAAGCAATATGCACGAGAGGTCCAGGAAGAGGTACCGTCGTCAACGCACACTTTTTCAGGAGCACAGAAATTGTGGAAACAACTAGTGCGAACTGGCGGATTGATAATTAATTCCACACTTGTCTGCATCTGCTGTCTAGTTGGTAAGATCAGGCGCTTTGACCTCTGCAGCCGAGCCCGAGCCCTCTCTTGCAGTCGCAAATCTGGTCGAGCAGCGCAAATCGCTTTGCAGAGTCTATGTTGGATCAATCTCTTTCGAGGCAACCGAGGACGACGTTCGACAGAAGCTGAGCCGGTTCGGAGACATCAAGGAACTTGTTCTCAAGGTCGATCCCGCAACAGGAAAGCACCGCGGATTTTGTTTCGTGGAATACCAACTTCCAGAGGCGGCCATTTTAGCAGTCGAGGCGTCAGAGTCCGTGGATGTCGGAGGACGGAATCTCAAGATTGGACGACCCAAGAATTACGATGCTAGCGCTGTCAACGATCTGCCATCCCCACCAGAGAACAGGGTCTATGTCGCCAACATTGGGTCACTGGTCTCGGAGACCGATCTGGCTGGAATCTTTGCAGCGTTCGGAGAGGTCGAGAAATGCGTGTTGAGGGTAAGGGAGATCCAAGTGCTTCAAGCGTATCTGTCTGTTATGTTCTGCACACAGACTGGACGTAGCTTATTTTAGTTGGATCGCTAACATTCTTCTGATTCATTTTGCTAGCCCGACCCAATGACGCGCAAGCACAAGGGATATGGGTAAGCGAATAGTCATTGCGGACAACGGCAGGGATATTATCACCAGATGCAATAACATCAATGCGGATCGCGATCTCTCCCTTTCCCTCTTTATCATGGAACTTCCGGATACTCGCGTATATGAAGATGACCTGGGGCAGATTGTTCTTGTGGTGATGATGCGAATGCTCATTCTTCTACCAACACATTCCCTCTTTTTGCTCTACTATTGCCTTTCTACTTCCTTCTGTATTTTTTTTTTTTTTTAATGACCTCGCTATGTATCATTCGCCCCTGTACGGCGGATACGAACACATGCCATTTCCTGGCAGTGCATGTGAGTTGTCGATCGACCTGCACACTGCAGTTGCCTAGCCCGCGAATACTGATCGATCCCCATGGGACTCCCGGGTGTCGTCTTCACAGGATGCCCGAAGGACTGATGATGAGACCATACGAAGTATTGTCAGAGACTCATCATGCCTATGTCTCTTTTCTTTTTAATTCTCTTATCTCCTTTATCCTTATCCCTTTCTTGTGGATGCAACATTGGAGATCGCTGGGATGTATGAACTCTGACATGGACATACAAGGACCGACGAGAAAGGCATAGACTTGGACTAATGAATGCTGGATATTTATCCATTCTGATCTTATAGATATGTGCAATTCAAGTCTGGGACCAACATTGACACGCTGGTAGACTCAATGAAGGGTTTCATGTTGTTAGATATGCCTATGGGTGTATGCAGAGCACTCATTGGAGGACCACTTCCGGAGGGCATGGATGCCCTTGACTTCATGCCAGTTGGCACTACCGCCGTACAACCCACTGCTCAAGCCCGGACAGTTCCCGCAGCTACACCTGTCTCCTCTGTGAACCCTGCCAGTAAGTAGAGTGTGTTATTTATCCGCCAGATGGACGAAAATTATTGCATATCTCTGTGTATGATACTGAATGTGGACTATACGACTAAACTATTCTACTTTTATTTGCTATTAGTGATCGCAAGGGCTACTGCTACTGCAGCATCAACAGCACAGAGGCTTGTGGCAATGGGCCATTCAGCTGGAATGAACGGCGACAGGGAGTCTGTAGCGTCTGAAGAGAATATGAGCATTAGCGGCAACCAAAGGTACATGGTGATGCAAAGTCTTGCACGAAGTGGAGGCATTGTTCCGCCTGCGACAGCGACGGTGGTGGATGTAGTGCAGCCAACGGTGGTGCGGTTACAGTACAGTGCAACGCCTGCGGATGTGGACGATCAGCTTGAGGAGGAGTTTAGGGAAGAATGCAGTAAGTATGGTCCTGTTGTGAAGGTGCAGCTCTTGCCGTTGACCGATGGCATATTGCGCATTTTTATCCAGTTCATGTCGCCCATTGGTAAGTGCGCTAAAAAATTATTTTGTCATGTCCGTGCGTTGAGTGTAATGATTGATGCTGGAGAACTTGGCTTTAATGCAATCGCGTTTATTTTCTGCATGCTTAGATGCACGCTCAGCAGCTGCACAGTTGCAGGGTCGCCAGTTTGATGGCAAGACAATCCAAGCTACTCTTTATGATCTACAGGAGTATGCTGCTGGTCGTCTGGTCTAAGCGAGGACGCATCCAATTCTTAGAGCATGCATAGCCCGATTCCCTTTGTTTTTGCTGTATACATTTTCATGGACTGAATAAAGGATCGGGGGAGCATCTTCTTATTACGACGCTGATTTGTTCGATACCAATGTTGAAATAGCTACAGAGAGCATTCACCGCTTTATTGACAAGTGTGTGCTTATTAGGCCTCCAAACGAAAGGAAACCCCCGATCGGAGGGTCTTCATGAGGAATGCTGTCTCGACTTTTGTCTTTGTGTTGCCTTGATAAGCACCATTGCCTGTCTGTTCTATGACCAGTGACTCGAGGTACGGCAGGCAGCCCTGGTCGCTTTCACCATCTTTGTCGCCGTCTTCTAGACAGTCCAGCACATCCTGGAGCGAACCCATTGAATCCAGACAAAGTTCCTGCGCAATCGCTCCTAGGTCCCAATCCCTCCTACTGCCACTACTGTCATCCCCACTACTTGGAAAACGGGCCTTGGTCTTGAGTTTCGCGACCCACAAGTGGCGCTTAATCTTCTGGGCCCTGGTTGGGTGTTTGATCAGCCAGGCGAGGTCGCGTTCCTCTAGCGTGACTTTCGTTTCAGAAGAGAGGTTGATGTGTTCCAGGAAGCGCGTGCGCCTCAAAAGACATAATCCGCCTTCGAGGGCGTAAATCATCCGTGGATGGTGGATCGTTAGGTCGCAGAGCCGGGGGAGTAGACGCGTTAGGTATCCCCATAGGGTGCGAGCGGACCATTCGGTGTAAGATGGCAGTGTTGTGTTGGGGGCGTTGAGGTTTATATGGATATGAAGTCGGAGGGTTCTGAGAGATCGGCAAGTCCAGAGACGATGGGTGTGAAGCAGATGTGGATTAAAGTAGTCAACCGCGTAGGGAATATGGGGAGCTACAAGATGGAGGAGTGAGCGGGCGGACGGGGATACTAGATAGGCGTGAAGGGCACTAGAGAGAGACGGCGTGGTGGATGTAGAGAGGATCTCGAGGCTGGTTAGGCATGAGTACAATCCAGCATCGTCTGGAGGATGTGGTAACGTGGGCGGAGCCGAGAGGAGGGTGGAAAGGCTATCTGAAGAGAGAATGGCCCCATTCAGGGACCAAGACTTGGCGCCTCCGAAGCATTCGCGAAAGACCCTCGCGTCGTTGGTTGACATGGAAAGGTTCGAGAACGAGACATGAATATGCCGCACCATCGGAAGCGAAGCAGCCATCGTTCTGAACAACAATGGGAGATCAAACGGCACCAGTTTGAACCCACCACCCCCTTGCAAATTTACTCGTTCTGCCCCAAAGGCCGATACAATCTCGAGGGCTGTGATCATGGGGCTACGGCGCACGATTGCCTCGATAACAGGGAGCATGATCCGGAAACCCTTGGCGACGAAGCTGCGAAGCTTTAGCTGATGCCTGGACGCATTTGTATGAGCGGACCAAAGGATGCTGTATGGATGCATGAGTAGCTCGACCGGGACAGTATTGTTGAAATCCCCTTCACGCCCAGGGGACTCTAAATATAGGTCCACCAAGTTTCTGCAAACATTGAGGACCTCGTCAATCTCGAGGACAGGCTCCGCCATGAAGTGCTCGACCCTTATGTGCGTCAACGTCGTTGCCAGTAGCGGCGAGCCAGCGAGCAAGGGCTCCACGCGGGTTGCGATCGGTATGTCGCCCTGGATGATCAATTGCGTTATCCGTAACTTCCGACTAGGCCTCGTGGCTCTGCTGGTACTGAATTTGCCTTCCTCTGAACGACCGAGCGCTTCGAGCGCCTTCATGAATGTTTCCCATGACTTTTGCTTCTCCTCCTTCGAGTTCGGGCCATATGGATTCCAGCTCCTCTTCGGGTCTCCCCTGATACACAGGCACCCACATCTCTCCAATATGTTATCGGTCATCAGTGCCGCCTGGGCCTCGTGAGGTGCCATTGCTGTGGTCCATACGGCTCTCAGGGGCGGAAGTGCGGAGGATTCAAGCGACAACGTGCGCCATTGGCGGCAGACGAGGCTTGTGCTGTGCCGGAGCGTGTATGGGGAAAGGAATGCGAGGATTAAAGAGACGAGTTCGGGGATCTGGAAGAGGAGGTGGGGTGGTTGCGAGGTGCTGGTCATGACACTACTGGTACTGCTGCGGAGGGGGGACAGGGAAAGTGGTCCTGTGGAGAGTGCGTGGAGAGGTTTGGGCAGAGGAGGGGATGATGGATCCGAATGGGCCCATGGTCCGTGCACCTTCTTCAGGAGAGGCATTGCCACGAGGAAGGATTAAATGGCGGGGAGAGTTGGGTGGGTGATACGGTGTTCTGGAATGCGCGCAGCTGAAAAGTGTGTGTAAAATATTGTGGCCTTCACTTGGCTCACGTACTCTTTTTTATTTTATTTTTGATTTGACACCTTACTTCACGTACAGTGCAACACTCCAACTGGATGCAGTGCTCCCCCTCTTCAAACTGCCACCAGCATCCACCCCCATCACCACGCGATCGAAGCAAACTCTTCAATTTCATCACATGTCCGACTCGGCAGCACCAGGAACAACCCATCCCAAGGATGATGTAAAGTCGATGGACATCGATCCAGCACGGCGCAAGCGCTCGCCTTCACGGTCTCGGTCGCGATCACGATCACCTTATCGTCCCCGAAAAGACTCTGACTTTAGAAGATGTTCCAGGTCGCCTAGACGCAGTACCAGATCTCAGTCCCGATCACGATCACCCAGACAACGTCGCTCGCCGTCACGCTCCAGGTCTCCTGCGCCCCGAGACCGAGATCGAGGACACTTCCGCAGATCATACTCCCGCTCGCGCTCAAGATCGCCTCGTAGACGAGACGATAGAGATCGAGATCGAGGGAGCTACAGCCGCGGACAGGATAATCAAGGAGGAGACCGCGGCGGCAGAGGAGGTGGGCACAACGGCGGTCATGGCGGTCGTGGCGGTCGCGGGGGTGGCCGTGGAGGCCGTGGCGGTGGACCCAAGCACGAATCAACCTTTCGTGGCGGCAGCGGTAAACCAGGAGGGCCAGAGGTATGGGGCGCACAGATACAGGCAGAAGAAGAGGCTGAGAGCGCCAAGAAGCCTAAGATTGCAGAGGAGGACAAGGAGAAGCCGAACTTTGGACTATCGGGCGCACTGGCAGCAGAGACAAACACGACGGCGAACGGGACATTATTGAAGTATAACGAACCGCCAGAGGCCAGGAAACCGAAGCAGCGATGGAGGCTATATGTGTTCAAGGGCGATAAAGAGATTGGTAAGGCAGTAACAGGGATCGATGAAGAATGGGATTTTGGAGACAGTGCGCGCTATGGTATTTTGCACAAGCGATGGAGAGACTGACAGGCTTATATTTTTGGTTTTTCGCTCTAGATCTGCTTCATATCCATCGACAGAGCGCATTCTTATTTGGACGCGATCGTAATGTAAGTGCGGTTATCTAGAGGACGGCGTCACTCTTCAGCCCAAGTCGCATCTAGATGTTCCATCTTTGACGTACTGTATTCTTCTGCCTCGAATCCCTAGGTCGTCGATATCCCTATTGACCATCCCTCCTGCTCCAAACAACACGCTGTCATCCAATTCCGCCAGATCGTGGAAACAGATGCTCTTGGCCAGGCCTCCAGGAGGACAAAGTAAATGTCATTGAACTCTGGCGGCACTTTGGGTTTTCAAAACACTATCACTTTCAGATACTGATCTTTTGCGAGTCTTCTGACATCGTTTTTTTTATTTATTTCTTCGCTGGTCCCATAGGCCTTTCATCATCGACTTGGAGTCTGCAAACGGGACATTCGTGAATGGAACGCAGATCCCACCAACGCGGTACTACGAGCTCAAGCTGTCGGATGTGATCAAGTTTGGCGCCAGTACTCGTGAGTTCGTGCTCTTGCACGATAGTGCCGATGCAGCATAGGCGAGGACGGTTTTAGAAAAAAAAAAAGATTAATAATAAAAATAAAATAAAAAAACTCGTTCCTTCGACACAGCTTCCACTGCCTCATGAATAGTATGGACCCATTGCTCTAACTGGTTTTTTTTTTTTTTTTTTTTTTTTTTTTACGACGTAATCACTAATTGACCTCAAGACATGGCTACACACAAACAAGTCTACATCCAAAATAGGGAATGCTGTGCTTGAACGAGCATTTCAAATTGGAATCCGTGAGTAAACAATTCAATATCTCCCATGCTAACGGGAAATTTCCCTTGCGAACTAATCCATTTCGTCACGACAGAAAGGTTTCGAGAATCCGGGTAAGCTATTTTATTTCATTGTAAAAAAAAAGGGGGGGGCAAAGGGCCACCCAGCATCTTACAAAAAATGGTCTGTCCGGAGGGGGGTTTTTTTTTTTATCAAAGTCTCTCCTCCAACTTCTCCAGTCTGATCTCGGCCTGGTCAATCAACTGCTCCAGACGCGCGCGGTAATCATGCGGATCCACCGAATTCAGCCAGGCCCGCTGTACCGACGTCGAGTAATGCGTCGGTGGATCCAATGGCTTCTTGCCCTGGATCGCATCCTCAAATGCCTGGTTCAGACTCTCGAGCTCCTCGTATCGACGTGCCAGCGCACACTCGAGTAACTTGTTGCGGTCACCGTGGTGACGGTGCTTGTCGTCATCGTCATCGTCCCCATCTTTGTCCTTGTCGTGCCTCTTCTTCTTCTTCTTTGAAGGGTCAGAGGGATTGCCCGGCATGGGGATGACGGGTGTGGAGGGATCAACGGTGTCCTTGGCGGTTGAAGGACGAGAGCGGTGAGTGCTGGCGGTATCCATTACTGTCTTTGGAAATGACTGAATAAGCAGAGACGAAAGAGTAGAGGCCAAGAGGGGAGCGGGGCAATGGTCATTTAAATAGCCCGTAGCGCAAACACTTTTTTCCACCATGCATAACCATCATCGGTGTTAATACCACTCTATCTGATAAACAGGCATCCAGCCTTGCATCAACAAGATTGTGTTTCAAATACGCTGGATAGTTTTATTCGATGGGATATGAACAGAGGGACGAGGAAGGACGAATAAAACTGTATATTCCAAAAAAAAAAAAAAAAAAAAAAAAGACTGATAGATATATAGAAGGAGAGAGAAAAAAGACGATGTCGTCTAGAAAAACCCGCAGACAATGTCGTCCTCTCTAGATCGCCACAGCCTCTTCTGGGACCTCGGAGTATTTGCCGACGTTGCTCAACAGCTCAGCATGGATCACGTTCAGGGCCTGGATGGCCTGCCGTTCCAGGATCACACACGAGATATTGATCTCGGAGGCACCCTGTGAGATCATCTCAATGTTGATGCCGGCGTTGGCGAGCGTCGTGAACATCTGGCCCGAGATACCGACCATGTTCTTCATCTGCTTGCCGACCAGTGACAGAATCGCCATTTCCTTCATCACACTGACCGCGCCCAGCGACCGCAGTGCCTCCATTGCCTTCTCCATCTCGGCCTCGATCACGTTAGCGCCCAGCGCCATCGAGATGTGGACCTCCGACGTCGAAATCAGATCGACAGCGATACCGAACCTGTCGAGCGTACTGAAGATCTGAGCAAAGAAGCCGTGCGAGACCGACTTGCGATTTGAATGGATGTTGAGGACCCATACATTGTCCTTGATCGTCACAGCCGTGGGATGCCGCCGTGACAGATCTAATTGATAACCGTTCTCTAACAGGACCTTGGACGATGGTGGAGGCGTATTCCTGCCGTTGGGGGAGCATATGCCCGAGGGCTGGTCCGGGAAGATGATGGTGCCCGCGCCGCGTGGGTTCATCACGTTCTTGATACGGATAGGGATCTGTGCACGAATGACCTGTTCCATCGTGAAGGGGTGGATGACCTCGGAGCCGTAATACGTCAATTCTGAGGCCTCTTCCGGGGTGATGATGTTGAGCATTCGAGCGTCCTTGACCTTTCGAGGGTCTGCTGTGAAGATACCGTCGACCTCCTTCCAGACCTGAAGTTCTTCAGCGTCAAGACCGACTGCAATCAGAGCAGCCGCCAAATCCGTGTAACCGCGACCAATGCTCGTCAACAGACTACCAGGTACTGAGCCAAAGAAACCTTTGGTTGCACGCAAAAAAAAAAAAAAAAAGCGAGAGATAAAGTATAATGAGCCATCGGAACTTTTAGGCGCAGTAGAAATTTTCATGCCATGCCATGAACCTTGATTGCAGAAAACTTTCTTCCCCGCGATCATCCCCCTCACACGCAATGCAAGGCGAAGAAAAAAGAAAGAAAAAAAAAAAAAAAAAACGAGAAGCTTACCGGTGACGACTGGAACACGATCGCCGCACTTGGATACTGCAGCCGCAAATGCACGCGACAGATAGTCGTAAAAGTTCTGATCCAGACAATTAACATCAAAGACTGCGTCGATAACATTCTCCAGATTCACGAATTCCGTGGGTACGCCGCGGTCCTCCAGCAGACCAGCGACGATTCTGCACGAGAGCTTTTCACCAACTGCCATGATAATGTCCTTTGACCTTGGTGAAATCTCCTCGATGATCTACGAAAAAAAAAAAAAAAAAAAAAAAAAAAAAGATAAAAACAAAAAAATAGCCAGGTTAATCAATCAATAGAACTCGGGTTTCTTGTCCCAGGTATGTTTCATCCAACAAAAAAAACGACTTGAAGGTCCTTCTTTCCTTACCTGAGCTGCCTCCAAGAACGACTGCAGACGATCGCAGTCTTGGTTGACGTCGCCCTGTACTTGCTTAAGGATGTCTGGGTTGGTGATGTGCTTTTGCGCAGCGTCCAGATGGTCGAGCCGGATCTCCTTGACAGTCTCGATATACTCAATCGATCCAGGGACCATTGCTGAGGCAGCAGCCCTCAGCAATCTATTATTGTAAGAAGAACAAAGAGCGGCGTCATATCCGTTGAGTGAGTCCGCTGGACGAGATGAACCAATGGGCGAAGAGGACTCAGGGTCGATAGATAAAGAAAAAGAAAAAGAAAAGGGATTTGTTTTGTTTACCGATTCGTGGTGCCGAGGGACTTGCTCTCGCTGCTCCGTGCAGAGCAAACGACGACGACTCGATTCGTCGGGAGATACGATCTATTTAATTGAAAAGAAAATAAAATCGGTTTGTGCAGAAAGATTAGCGGGTCTGATAAGGAAGGAAGCAAAGATCGTCCGAGCACACTCGCACACGCTCACATACACACACACGCCGCACCTTCAAAGGCCACTCTCCGGGAAGAAAAGCAAAAAAATGTCTGCTGCCTCAGAAGGATTCAAATATGACTTACTGCACAATGGTGCCTGTGATGTTCTCGATAAATTTTCCAATGCTGGTGCCGCCGAATTTCTGGACCAGCCATGGCTTCTGGGCACCAAAGCTGCTGTCTGCTGCAGTGGCATTGTTGGCACGGGATTCAAGCTCCATGTGGGGAGGGAGGGATCGTCTGAGGGGGGAGGGAGTCATGGAAGGCATTGTTGTTTTGAATGAGGAGCCTGTTGTGTTGGAATGGGTTTGTTGAATGCAAATGGAAGAGTTGGGAGGGTGCAGCTGTTGAAGTCTGAGGGCGGAGAGTGGGGTGTGTGCAATTGGAGACGAGGGAAGGGTCCGGCGGTTGAGCGCAAGGGGCAAAGGGGGGGGGAAGGACTTTAGGCAGGGGCAAGCAGGTCAAGGTGGAGTGGGGAGAAGTAGGAGGGATACGATCGATCCGAGTTTTATATGCTGGTCTGTATGAACAGGGACGTAGGGCGAAGATAAGTAAATGCCAAATGAGTCAACCTTCTTCCCCAAATAAGGTATAGGGCGCAAGGGATCTTGGTCATTTACACAGCGCTGCCGTAGCAATCCCTCTTCTAACTGACCAGGCACTCTGTACCCCCTCCCCCTGGAGCAAGGGGATCACACATCCTGTATACATCGACTAGGCGGCGATTTCTTATCTCTCTAGCTCTGTCATGCTCTCTTTTTCTTCTTCTTCTTCTTTCTCTCTCCATTGCAGGCAACCAGCTGCTGTGGCACTGTACCATCGCGCTACGCTGCACCTGAATAAAAATGCCGCAACACAGCTTCCACAGACAACCCAGCATTTTTTTTTTTTTTTTTTTCGTTTTTAAGTATCGAACCTTTTCGCTAGCGTGCATCCACAGGCCAGTCGTACGAAGAATGACACATGAAAAGGACATATGCGTGCTGGTATCGCATGCACTTGGTTCTTTGCCCAAGAATAGAGAGAGAAGAGAACCATTTGCACCGCCCATCCTGGGGGAATGCTACGGAATCATATTCTGGACACAAAAAAAGAAAAAGACAGCCTCTTCTTATTCTACGAAGATACAGCCCGCGAATGTATGCAGCGCTAGTTGCGGTCATGGATCCCTAGGTATAGTATGCAATGGGTCTGTGGTATCTTTATCTTGCCATGCAAAAATAAAAATAAAAAAATAAAAATAAAGTCGAAAGACGTTGTGGATCATTGGTTGCTCTGACAGATGTGTTCAGAAACAAGAAGCTTTTGCAGGCAGGCCCAAGAGTGTGGAACAGGAATAGACATTAAGCTATGACGCGTGGCTGTGGATGCTTTTTTACACTGGCCAGTGCCTGTTTGGAAAAAGATAAAAACGAAAACTCTTTTTTTTTTCGACCCCACGTTCGCTCCTGCGTTATCGTGTCCTTTGCCTGAGCCCTTGCACGCAGATTAGTCACTCTTTCCTTTTCGGTACAGCAATTGGATACAGTACCATGACATGAGTCCATGACTCCTCTCAAATCCTACGTAACAATTGTCGGAGTGCCATGCCCACAAAATGTTTATTCTCAGATCCCGCAGGCAACCCAGTGGGCTCCGCTTCTTTCTTATGTGATCCAGAACAAAAAGAAAAAAGAAAAAAGAAAAAAGAGAAAAAAAGACCCGAGCCAGAAAATGCTCCAGGCTGTGCGCTCGCTGACCGTCCAACCATTTAAACCACCGCTTATCTGGGCCATCTGCGAAGCAACTTCTGTTTGCTGAAACAGGCTGCTGCTTCAGTATGTAGAAAGAACAAGATCAAGGGTACGTGCGAATTAAGGAGTTTTCTTGACAGATACAAGAAAAGTACCTGCTGCAATTCGGATGTAGACGGCATGAGCAAGGAATGAGGTAAGAGTTATTGATATGGACGCGACTGGACATGGCTCGCCCCTGCATTCGCATTTTTTTTTTTTTTTTTTTTTTTTTTTGGGGGGGGGGGAGGATGGGGCCCTACTGAACACATGTAGCAGACGTGGATATGATAATGGCCAAGGCAACCTAATCTATGTAAATGGATCAGATAGAAGATAGGATAGGATCTAGGTAGGCATTGCGAGCTTAAAGGATTGAGAGATTGACAAGTGAGCGAAGCCAGTACCGGCAAAGGTTTGGAGGCGTGGATATTTCTGCCCTCCCGCCGATTGTCAATTGGGCGTAGCCAGTCGTCCTCTTCACGGCATGCACTGATGCGGCCCTTCCTTCGATAACATATGATCGTCGTCCAAGTCTGCGAATTGTCAGGCCATTTGTTCGGTTCATATTGCCAAGACGACCCATCCGCTTGGTCGCCTTCACTTTGCGCCGATCCTGCACTCATGACCATACCTGCAAATTAAGACCGATTCAGATCAATGAGTGCATAAATTGGGGATGCGGTGCTCTTATGGCGGCGGCGATGGCGATGGGAACGAATGGTGGGGACTAGGACGAGGCGAACGAGGCATTATGATATACATACGATAGGGCGAGTGGGGGAGTGGTATTTTTGGACTGGATGAGTGTCTCACATTTGGGCTTGGCTGTGTTTCGGATGACAGGTGCCAATTCAGGAACAAGAGTGGTGTGCACAACCGGCTCTCACCCCATGCTGCTGCCGCAATGGCAAGCAAGCGATTAAGCAAATAAGTAAGCAAGCAAGAGAGCCATCCAATAATCAATTCATCGATGAGAAACAATGAGGGAGAAAAAGAGAGGGAGGAGCACGGTTGATCATATCATGCTGCATGCGACATGCTGCCCCATGGCTCGTGTTGCTGCTGAGCTTTTGTTGTGTGTTGTGTGTGCAATTAGGGAGCAACTCGGGCTTTCCTATTCCAGCGGACAAATAAGGTTTCCCACTTGTAATTGCATGCGGTGTCTCATTCCGCGCGAGTGCCGTTCCCATCCGGAGAGCGCGGAGGGACATGGAAGGGAAGGCGGGTGACTTGCTCCCCAGGGAAGCAAGCAGATTTGCAGGGAGAATTTCCTTTCTGGGACGGGGGTGCCACCAAAAACGAACAGGGCGCTGTAGCTTCCATCGGCTTCCTTCTGGCTGCCACGCGCACGCATCGTTTCTGTGGACGTACTTTTATACCTTCTCTCTTTCCCTCGTCTTCTCTCCACTTCTTCTTCTTCTTCTTCTTCTTCTTCTTCACTCGCTCAACTCAGCTCAACTCGACTCGACTCGACTCAACTCAACTCCATCCAACACTCCCTCTCTAACGATCCTCTTATTGTTACGATTTCCCCCCCCCTCTCTCACTCACTCTCTCCAATCCCTCATTTTCTGCTTCTTTCTTTGACGACCAAGCCAAGATACCAGCCATTCCAAACACAAGAACAAGCCCACACACAGAGGCCAATATACCAAGATGATCAACCTCAAGACCACCGCCTTGCTCGGTAACATCACCCGCCAGGGTGTCTCTCGCCAGCTTATGCCTCTGGCCAATACCAAGAACTCGGTCCTCAATCTCTCACAGCGCACGGCCGCCCAGGGAGGAAACGTCTCTGCGAACACCCCCAACACTGTCCGTTCTTTCTCCTCCTCCCAGGCCAACCGCGAGAACAACAACAACAATGCTGCAGCGACCCATCTCACGGGCGCACACCAGTTCCAGTCCTATCCGCCCTATTCGACCGCACATCTCGGAGCACTTCCGTTTCCGGCACACCATCAGCGATTTCAGGGTCCGTTGGCGGCCAACGTTAATTTCCGCAAGGAATTCGGCAAACCCAACAACAACAGTAAATCTGCAGTCCCAAAGTACAGTCAGGTCTCTAGGGACGCATGGGATGCCATGAATGGACAGGATGCTCGCACAGTCTTTTCGTACCTCCAGGAAATGCACCATGAGGGGCTCTATGCGGACTCGGCTCTTTCCTCAAGGATCGTGGCACAGTTCCTGGACATGAACAGCCCACAGGATGCTGAAAGGGCGCTTTCCATGCTGGTGGATTGTCACAAAAGCCAGGGCAGGACCCTGTCTGCTGCTCAGATGAACACCTACTCCTCCTTGGCCAAGGACATTGCGAATCACAGCAGCGATTTCCCGCAAGCACTCTCTCTTGCCAAGCTCCTCGATAGGTAAGGACGCTTCGAAGGCATTGCAACGGCCTTTGGATGGAATTTGACGGAAAAGAAACAAGATACTAATGATTTACCCCCGCTTTCCTTTCCTTTCCTTTCCTTTCCTTTCTTTAGACATGGATTGTTGGCTTCCTCAGGATTCGCGGATGGAGCTCTGCAATTTTACCGCCAGATCAAGAGCACAGAGGGACTCGATGCTGTCAAAACGGTCGTCAACTCTTCCGACATCGAGACTTTGCTCACCCTCCAGTCCTCGCTCAAAACCAACAACCGCTATAAGCACCTGATCGAGATTCTCTTGGACGCCAAGGAAATGAACATCATCCCCAGTCAGGAAATCTGCTCGAGAGTCTCGCTTTCGTTCATGAAGTTGAACGACTATACCGGTCAGCTCGCCTGGGACACTGCCGTTCAGGAGATCTATCCCGGATACAAGCCCACCATGCCACAGGACATGGAGCAGGAGATGTCTTCGCTCGGCTATGTTTCTTCCGCCCCCTCATCGACCACTTCATCAGCAGCCCACTCACGTACCAGCAGCACGTCCAGCACTTCGACATACAAGGCGCCCAACACCAGCACTCAGTCGACCCTCCGGAATGGAGCCAACGATCCCTCGGAGGCCATCATCCGTGCCTGCAGATTCGGCTACGCCGCCGTGGCTCTCGAGAGCATTAACAAGATGATCAGCCAGAACCAGCTCCCTTCCGCACAGGCAATTGCAGATACAATCCAGGTCTGTGCCAAGCGCGAGAAGGAACGCACCACGGATTACCAGCAACTCTTCCAGCTCGCTCACCAGTCCCTGCACTCAATCACAGACGAGGCTCAGAAACGGGCCGCAGAATATGAGGTCTACAACGCCATGCTGGTTGCGAACGCAACTTTGGGAGACATGTCGAATGCCAAGAGGAACTATGACGATATCGTGAAGTTGGGTCAGTTCCCCGATGCTACCGGATACGCAACCTTGTTGATTGCCACGACCACGGGAGCTGTGGATGAGGCCCACGATGCGCTTAGGATCCTGGAGGAGGTCAAGCGCCACCGAATCAAGCCCAATATTTTCTTCTACAATGTCGTGATCGGCAAGCTGTCGCGAGGTCGCAAGATCGAGCGTGTCCTCGAGGTCTATGAGGAGATGGTCCAGCAGAACATCCGCCCAAACGCGATCACATACGGCACCCTGATCAGCGCCTGCACCCGTGTTGGATCGGAGGACATGGCCAAGAACCTGTTCCAGGAGATGATCTCGGCAACGAACTACCATGCCCGCCATGGGCCCCACAACGCCATGATTCAGTTCTATGTCCGCCAGAAGAAGGACCGTCAGGCGGCATTGATGTACTATGAGGACATGCTCCAGCGTCGACTTGTCCCTACGGAACACACGTATACGTTGTTGATTGAGGCCTTTGCGTGCATCCAGCCCTATGACCTCACAGAAGCCAACCGTCTGATCCAATCCTTGAAGCGTGGTCCTGTCCGTGCGTCCGAGGCCCATTACGGAGCACTGATTCATGCCTACGGCGTCGAGCACGGGGATGTTAGCACTGCGGAGACGGTCTTCAACAACATGCGCGCCTCTGGTATTGTCCCCAAGGGCCCAGCCTACCAGTCCTTGATCGAATCCTTCATCACCAACAACCAGATCTCGCGCGCGATTGCTGTGCGCGATGAGCTGCTCAAGTCTGGTCAGCCCTCGAGTGCGTACATTGAGAACACTTTGATTCGTGGATACGGCCTGGAGAAGGATATCCGCAAGGCTGAGAAGATCTTTGAGGCGATGGTTGATCCTTATGAGGCCTCCTCGTCGGCTGCGGGCCATGCTGCTGCGGGTCAGAAGAAGGGCAATGGGCAGATTGTGAAGGAGCCCTCGACGTACCAGAGCATGGTCACGGCGTATCTCGAGAACGGAATGATGAGCAAGGCTCAGGAGACGTTGAACAAGATGAAGGGACAGCATTACCCCGATCTGGTGATCCGACCGGTTGAGGAGGCTATCCTTGCGGCGAGCAGTGGTAAAGGAAGCAGGAAGGGATCGAGCACTGGACTCGAGGCCAAGGTCGATGAGCTGCGTCTCTAAAAAGGAGCGCGTGTGCGCGATGCATCTGAAGGACGCGCTTTGTGTATTTTTTGTTATATTCTTTTACCTTTACGGATTCATTTTCCGTTGTATTTTTAAATAAAACATTTTTGTAAGCAAACTCAACTACTGTAAGCGCTTCTCGCCCTCTCGTAGAAAATCAATCACCTGCAGTAGTCTATGTAGACAAATGAACTCTCTTTTATTCTTTGCATGAGAAATACATATTCCATTTTTTGAGGTATTGACGGGCTTCACGCGCCCGCGCCTATATCATACAAATTATGTTCACTCATCCATCCCCGTCTTCTCCAGTCTTCTATGAGTAGCCTCAATAAGGTGGAGGAGGAGCCCTATAGTTGGGATCCTTGGAATCGACGGGTACTCCTCCTGCAGGGGCTCCAGCATACTGTGTCGTATGAGTCGTGTACACCGGTCCCGAACCACCCGCCACTGCTGTCCCTGTGGACGTCGTGTAATGCTGGTGTTGCTGTTGCTGTTGCTGTTGCTGATACTGATACTGGACGTTCTGCTGAGAGGGGTGCTGATGAATCAGACCCGGCGCGGTCGCCTTACCCGAAGGTGGGGGTAAAGCCGCGACATTCGCATATGACCGTTGCTGGTCCTGGTAACGGATATGGGCCCTTGGATTCTGGTACCGCTGTGCCCGAGGGTCTTCGCGGCTCGAGTAGATGACCCACCAGGCGTGGATCACACCCGGGATGTGGCCGAGGATTGTCAGGCAGACGCTATTTCGAACAAAAAGGGAAAAAAAAAAAACAAAAAACAAAAAAAAGGGTGTAAGCAAGTTTTGAGTGCGTATCGCACGGATCCCACGGGGACAAACAAGAAAAAAAAAAAAAGAAAGAAAAAAGAAAAAAAAAAAAAAAGGTGGGCACGATAAGGAGGAGGGGGAGAGAGTGTGTGTTGCAGCGTAATGCGCATGAAAAGCAAATGTTGAAGCAAATTGAAACTAGAACCACGGGTCTGGGGGTTTATTATTCGACTTACTTGATGAGAAAGGCGCATCCGCATCCATCCTTGAACAGAACTGAGAGGATAAAAAGTGGGAAAAAAAAAAAAAAAAAAAAAAAAAAAAGGATATAATGATGACATGTTGGTCAGCGGAACTGCTCACCCGACTCCTACGCTCCTACATAGGAGCCATAATGAGACCCCTCCGTTACTCCCACAAAACAGTGCAAACGACCGAATAACATTGCTGGGCGCGGGAAAGAATGACAGCAACAACAACAACTTTAAATTACCGGCCTAGAGACACCATAGAAGAACAAACAGAAGGCAGTGGTCAGTCAGGATCGAAGCTGGGCAGAAATACTGTCAAGAAATGCTGTTGCCACCAAGTATATCATATCAGTGCTCGACAGGGGGGAGCTGAGCTGAGCTGAGCTGAGCTTACAAGGGGCGGGAGGAAGAAGCCGATGACGAAGAGGACGATATCCGAGCCTGTGAAGGTAACCATGGCTTTTTATTTCTTTCTGTCCGGTCTTGTTTGTAAAAGAGGTCTGGCAGTGGTGGTGGTGGTTGTCGAAATAAGGAATGAAAAGAAGGGAAATGAATGAAGAGGAATGACGAGCAGTTGAAGTTGAAGTAAAGTAGGTGCGCAACGGTCAATCACATGAGCCGACCCAAGGCCAAGATTGGGTTTTCGGGCTTGGCGCCCTGACATCATCTCCCCCCCGGAAAATGCACAGCAAAAATGTGAGAAAGACAGCGCTAAAAAAAAAAAAAAAAAAAGTAGCGCTTACCAGGCTACCGAAACATTGGGCCTTTTTCCTTCTATCACGATCACCTCTTGCTCATACAAACCTTGTACTGCCTTGGATACTTTCCTTTTCTCAAGGCACGACACTCGGCACTGATGCAACCCAGGTAGGGGGAAAAGGATCCTCCTGCCAGCTTTGGTTAAGAGTCCCTTGTTCTGAGACATGCGGACAGAACAGTGTGGCAGCGAAGGACCGAGAATAAAAAAAAAAGCTCTTTGCTTAAGGCGCTACCAGGGACAGACACTCAAGAATGTTCATATCATAACTAGCCTGCTTTTTAGCTTTCCTTGGCAAAAAAAGAAAAAAAAAAAAAAAAAAAAAAGGGGGCGAGAGAAGGCTCTGGCGTCCATCCAAGGAGAGCCATGTTATACTCTTTCTTTCCTGTACAAAGTCCTATGGCCTATCGTATCCAACTTTTGTTCTCCAAACATCCTATCCCATGATTCGAACGTGGGAAGGGAGAAAGCTGCAGGTCAGGGTGGGGTACTTTATTTCTTCATTTTTTTTTTTGTATCGTGTTGGCAGGTCTCCTAGCCTGGTAGTTTACATGAACTTTTGCAAGAGCGTTTTTTTCGTCTTTCATTTTTTTTTTTTTTATGAATGTATGACTATTTGATTCTATATACAACGACGAAAAAAAAAAGGGGGGGGGGGGGGGAAATAGAAAGGGGAATATATACACAGTGGTATGAAAAAACAAGCAAGAACGAAAGAAAGAAGAAATATACGCGACAAGACATATTGCCCCCCTCACGATTTTCTCCATCCGCCAAACATTAAGCATCCCTCCTCGTCGACATAGACTTGTCGCCCTCTTTGAAATCAGCCTCTGTCGGAACCGCAGGCGCACTTAACGACCCACCCAGCGGTCCTAAAGATGGCACCTTCAAGACATCTCCGTTCATCAACACCGGCGCCGCGCTCCTTCGCTCAATGTTATCAGCTCCCATCATCTTGACAGTCGTCGTGGTCAACGACGGATTTTGCTCCGATAAAAACGGCGTTGGCGGCTCCGATATCGGATGTCCCTCTGCAATCTGTACAGGCTCCAGACCCAGTCCAGGACCCTCGATATTATCCAGCGGTCCAAATCCGAATCGAGATACCACAGGGATTTCGGGCAACGTTGGCGAAAGCGCCCAGTCGTACTTGATCTTGCTCATCATGACTGCAGGCGTACTGATCCGGTTGCCTGCTGATCCAGGATTCTGACCGGAATGATATAATTGAGATCCAGGGGGCGTCGTCGAAAGCGGTTCATCATGAATGCTGGGTATATGATCCGAAACCGCCGGCGGACCCTTCTTCAGGATCGTATATCCGTCATTAAAGTCCTGGCGATCGTTGTTCAGAACCGGACTGCCGACCTGCAAACTGGCAAGACGCTTCTGGCGGAACGTTCCTCCGCTATTCTTGAGCCGCTGTTGCTGTTGCTGTTGCTGTTGATCCTGTGTCTTTGTGACTTCGGGCTCGTAGTTGGGAAAGATATGTGGCGGTGGTGTGGTTGTGCGCTGTGCATAGTGCGAGGCGGCCACCTCGGCTGCAAGGTTACTGAGTTGATCGTGGTGAGAGAGATAGGCGGCCGAGGACATGTCTCGCTCTGTCAAGGACGCCTGCCGTTTCAGGGCCGATATCAAGATATCCTGTCCCTGCGCCGTTCTTCCTGAGGAGTAACTCGACCTTGTGCTGTGGGTATGGAGGTTCTGCATGCTGGTCGATAGCGACCGGTTCGAGAGCGATCGCTTCATCCTTCGTGGCAATCCCGTCGGAGCTTCAGTGTTGGTCGAGTGTCGTAGTCTGCGATGTGGGGTCCGGAAGGACCGACTGTCGTCCAGTAATAGCACACCCGCCGCCACTAAAAGGAAATAGAAAAAATAAAAAATAAAAAAAATACAAAGATTAACTTTTCAACTTTCTGAGAGCAGCTCCTTAAAATAAATACACATGTCTAATGTTGATAGAGTTCGAAACGCACCTGAAACGCGACGACCAGCGGGCATATCCGACAGCATTGGAGAGCTGGAGCGCCTTGTCAGACTCGGCTCCTCGAGCGGATCCACCGTCAAGTAAGGGTCGTTTCCAAAATGCTGACTCGACTTTTGAAGCGCCAACCATTGAACACGGTTGCTCGCCAGTGATTTTAGGACAGGCGATGCCGCAGGTAGGAGATCGACGAGCGCCTCAAAATATGGTTGCACCACAAAGTCGCCAAAGCCTAATGAGATCTGTGGTTGGTTGTGTTGGTCCCGATCCATGTTGGGGGACACGGGCAGATCCTGTGCCTTTTCAATATCGCCCTGCCGGAAGAATTCCTGTACCACCAGATCTGACCAGCGCTTGCACACCGTCCAAGGCTTGACTGCATTCGAGATATCGGCGGCGTGAAGCAAGCAGTTGCACAGACTTTGTCGCTGCTCTACTGAAAGGTCTGCGGGCGTAAACAGGTGGCCATCTGAACTGCGTGAGTGTGAGGATGATGGCGAATCCGAGCCATTCGAGTCATCCGAGTCATCCGAGTCCTGTGAGCCGTTAGAATCACACAAAGATCGCCGACGATGGTTGTGAGGATTTACGTCGGTTGAAGTCGGCAGTGCTATGGAAACTGTCTTTTGCTTTGGCTGGTCCATTTTAGGGCTCTCTGGTGCATTTGCCGAGTTGGTCAGTGTCAATGTTGGAGGGGTCGAATCCGTAGAGTTGCTGAGAGTGTCCAGGTCATGCCCATCAAACTCAGGGTCGGACTCTGATTCCGCGTCTGAGGTGCTGGAGGATTCAGGGCTGGTGGTTGCCTCGACCAGGTTGTTCAGATTATTGAGCATATCGTAGTGAAAGGTCATATCCGTGGCGAGAATGGCCTTGATCATAGAGTCCCTCATGCTGGCCTCTGTTGCGGATTGTCCTTCAGGCAGGACAGATGAGGCAGAGCGAGAAATATTGCGAAAGAGGGCGTGTTTGGTGACGAGATCCATGGCGAGCGAGCAAGAGTATTTTTCCAGGACTGACGCCTCTCCGTATTGCTGGACGAGCTCTGTGTTTGCATTGATTTGGAATAGGTTGTTGAGTCCGGGCTAGATTGCATAATTGGACACAAACAAATAAGCGGACAGGTTAGAGAGCTGAAATGATTGTCGTGCTCATTTGAATGAACAGGTTTGCCGCGCAAAAGACAGAAAGAGAAAGAGAGAAAGAGAGAAAGAGAGAAAGAGAGGGCGTGCAAACACATACGTGACCAATATCATGGCAAAGACCAGCGAGCAGCAAGGCAGCCATATCCGGCTTGGCCAGGTACTGGGAGGCACGCATGCCTTGTAGCATGTGGTACAGGACCGCAGTGACATCGGCTGCGTGGTAAAACGAGTGATAGAACGTGGCCTGGTAACCACGATCGACGTCGACAATGAAGTCCAGCAGCTCATCCGAACTGATCCCGAGACAGTCCACCAGCTCCAGCTTAATGAACATGCCGAGGGTGTAGCCGTAAATCTCGGGCACGGTGTAATCCCAGACATTGAAGTCCAAGTCGACGGGTTTAGCCCGACCGGAGACGAACCTTAACAAGGCCTAATTGATGAATGACGACAGACAGTGGGAAGTTGTCATAGGGTCAGCTTCAGCAAAGTTATTCACCTCTTGTGTAGACGCATGTTAGCTGGTACATCCGAGTAGATCAGGGAAGTGAATGTGATCAACAAAGGCGGCTGTTACGCTGAAGAGAAGAAGAGAAGAAGAGAAGAACAGAGAAGAAAGGACGATCCCAAGACAGCGGCTGTATGCAGCAGTGCTTGAAGGACTTACCCGCTCGCAAGTGATGAGGTCCTCGGAGCTCAAGCGACAGTGTCGAAGGATAAGCATTGCACGGTCGAGTTGTGTAAATGGAGCAAGTGGAGGGGGGCGTTGGGTGGGGCGGGTGTTGTGGTCCTGAAGAGTGAATGGGGCAGAGGGCAGGATGGGATGAGGAACGCAATCGGCCAAAAAGGAATGGAGGAGCGGCAAGGAATGGAGGAGCGGCAAGGAATGGAGGAGCGGCAAGGAAGGAGGACAGGAAAGGAAGGAGGCGGGGAGGAAGGAAGAAGAAGAAGAGGTGCGAGAAGGAAGGGGAAGGAAGGAAAGGAGGGGAAAGGAGACACAGGGTTAATACCTTTTCATCATAGACAGCCCGCCTCCATGTCCATATCCATCTCCATCTCCATCTCCACTCCACATATTCAAGCGTGTTAAACTCCCACATACGTTGTTATACGATATTCCCATCACACGCACTGTTCCCGCCCGCTTCTTCTTTCTCCACAACGGAATGGATCCCACAGACCAAAATGAAGGCGACCCCCAATGCACCCATTGCCCAATCGGACGCTTCCTCCGCCAGCGGTAGACCCTTTTTTTTTTGCTTTGCTTTTTTGCTTTTTTGCTTTTGCTTTTGCTTATGCCTTTTTCTTTTTTTGCTCATGCTTATGCTTATGCTTATGCTTATGCTTATGCTTATTTGCTGTGTGGGGTAACGGATCCGCCATTCAACTGATCTGCAGGTACGATGAGCCAACTTATGCGGCTCCAATTGCTCCTCTGGACACATCCACGTCCACCAGCGAGCGAGCGATTGGGGCTACCTTCTATGTCCGCTGTTGCTGTTCCAGTTGAGCGGTTGGTGGCTATGGATTGTGATTCGATAGATGCAAAGAAGAGAAGAACGCCGCCAATAGATACGGTACCAATAAGGGAATGAGAAGAAGCGGAGGGGACAGCTGCAATTAAATGCTTGACGGCAATGACGCGCCGAGGTAGTCGAGTAGCAGCAGCAATGAGATTGAGGGTAAAGAAGAGAGAAGAGAAAGAAAGAAGAAAAAGGGACTGTCGTTGCAGAAAGTACAACCAAAAAAGTTATCCCAGAGTGAGAAGCAAAGGAAGGGAGAAAGAAGAAAAAGAAAAAGAAAAAAAAACTCCCCTCTTGTTTTTTTCTCATCGCGCACACCTTTGTTTCTTTGTTTCTTTGCATCTCCCCCACCCGACACGTTGCAGCAGTGCGACCGATCGCATCCATAGATCGTACATTGGTCGGTGAACGAATAAATCTGGGGGATCTCATGTAACCCTTTTTCTATCCATCAGTAGGAGCCCATATTACAAACCCTTATTCCTCGTCTTTGGATATTTGGATATACAACGGCCACAAGGATAAAATAAAAAAATAAAAAAATAAAAAAATAAAAAAACGTAGATGAGGTTTTTGGTTGCTGATTGGTCTATGCGGTCTTATTCAGCATTGTCGAGTCCTGCATGCATGATCCATGCAGGCACAGGAACGCCAGGTATGAAAGACTGTACCATACAATTGACTCAAAAAAAAAAAGAAAAAAAAAAGGTTTACTACGCCTTAGATACTGCGAATCAAGTCAGCGAAATAAAAACTCCACAGGCGAGTGGTCGGAAGTAGCGGATAGGCTGAAAATGGGCGAGTGAGAAAAGAGCAATTGAACACTCGCCATCAATCCCGACACCAAAATAAATTCAAAATGAAACAACGTTGGAAGAATGACATACGTCTGGTGCGGCATGATACATGCCAGCATCACTGGAGTGGTTAGGATGGAGTGAAGTCCAACAACTCTCTTTTATATCTCCCTCCTATACTAGAATTATTCCCCAAGAAACCACAATGGACTCCAAAAGCAATAGGACTTACGATGTAGTCACGCGATACTCAAGGGTGAGTTTAAAACAGGCAGTGAGAAGGCAGCAGAAGACGTAATGTTGAGAGACTGTGGAATGAAGTAACGGAAATTGCTGATAAAGAATGAAGAGAATAAAGCGATCCATGGGAGGGGGTATTTATATGAAAAACAGCACGTTTTTATTTCTCCCAATGAAAGTACAAAGGCTACATAAAATACGCCATTGAACACTTCAATGAGGGCTATAGACCGCGCCTCTCTGCAAAGGATTCAGCCTCCCCATCCAGACCACCCCATCGACCATCCAGAAAAAAAAAAGTCCGAAGATGGGGGACCCTGATCAGAAATGAAAAGAAAAAATGTACTACCTTGGTCACGCATGGGACACACCAAGAACGTGGTGCAGCTGAATGCTGTGACTGAGTCCACAGGGTCTGCAGCTGAGTCTGCGAATGGAACGCACACAATTCAATATGTACAATTCAATATGTGCAATGGTGTATCTGTCTGTATGTGTTGTACGCGTGATGGTGGTCCTACAATGATCCCACATTTGCAGCCTGTTGTACCAAGGAAATGAATCGGATGAAGAGTTATATGAACGGGAAAAAAAGTTTCCGTCGCACAGTCTCATTTTTTTCCATTACATAACCTGCCGCAAAGAAGATGAGATGGTGCCTGTGTGAGGAGGTAGTTGTATGAACGGGAAGAATCATCACTGTTTTTGTCAACATACATACACATGCACAAATAAAAGATACCGCCGAGAAGACTAGTCTCGAACCCCCCCCCCCCCCCCCTCATGACCGACTGACGTGCATGCAGTGTGCATGCATCATAGTGAAAAGGAAAAAGATGCAAAAAGCGCCGTGGATACATTCAAAAAGAACAGAGTAAGATAACAAATATACGTGTTTGAATGACAAGGGCAGAGAGAAGGCGCAGAAGAAGAAGAAAAAGGGTTTTATGAAAAGCACGCGAGATGCCACGCGGAGGGCTGTGCCATTTTTTTTTTCCTTTCCCCCTTTTTGTCCTTTTATTTGATTGGCCAACTCAGCTAAACTGTACAGTTAGAAAAAAAAAAAAAAAAAAGAGCAGAGCCGTCTCAATGAGATCACTCCTCTATTCAATGGCGAGAACTATACCAGCAATAATGACCAGTTTATCGTACAATTCAAAGCCAAGGTACAGTACATGTACAGCTCATAGCTGCCCTTGAATACTTTTTTCCATCTCCGTATCTCGCGCAGCAAGAGCAAGAGGAGATCAGAGAGCAGTTCATGGATGACCTTCCAGCAGACCCAGCGCACGGGTACCATAGGCAAACAACCACCCCCAGCATTCAGTTCCCTTGAAAAAAAAAAAGAGGGGACAAGAAGAACCTTGAAGGTCTTCTTGCAGCGCTTTCGCTTTTTACAGGGCCTTGTTTTCTTTGGATAGCCTATGCACCGTAACTGTGCTCAAATGTGCCATGGTATGGTTCCCCGGACTAAACTTGCATGGGATGCGGAGGAGGAGCATCAGTCTATGGGTCTACCCTTGCGGGATAAACTCTTGATCCACTGATGTACCTATATTCTTATTTTCTTCTTGGATGACTATCGTGGTCTCGACTTTGCGCGACCACTTTGTCATGATAGGAAACCTTCCTCAGGTGTAGCTATGATCTAGATATTTCCTTTGGTTATGGCAGTGTGACAGTAGGCGGGCGTGGAAGAGATGGACGATGATGAGGGTCTAGAGCTATCTATCTTGAACCGACAATTGATCTTTTTCTTATTCCTATTCTCTTTCCTAGGTTTCTTGTTCGTCTTTCGTCTTTTTACTATTCCTTGCTTGATTTTTTTTTCTTGTTTTTTCAAGGGATCTCTCATCTTTGCTTAGGATCATGATGGGATATGTTATTTTCATTCGATCAACGAATTGCTTCATATTCTCAAACGAAGGGCGAAGCAATTGAGAGGTGGCTTGTTAGCCCCCCCCCCCCCCCCGGTTCGATCCTCAACCTCCCTGTCCGAAGAAGAGCCCGACCTGATCTCTTGCATCGCACACCTCCCTCGTAACAAACTCCCACACATAATCACCATGTCGCCCTCATTCCCCATCCTCAGATCAACAGCACGCGCCGCTTTCGCCCTCAGGACAACTGTCGCTCTGCGCAGCCAGCCCACCCTTACCTCAGCCGCCGCCAGTGCTGCATACCGCTGCTCCTTCTCCACAAAGCCGACCTCGTCTCCTCCAACTTCCTCCGCACAGCCCGAGCGTATGCTCGATCATGACGATGCCCGCGACATCGACCCAGATGGTTTCCAGACTCCCTACACGAACCTCCCACCCCTTCCTCGCGACCCCAACGAATCTCTGGAAACGATCCGTGCCCGATTGACGTACCAATCCCGCAAGCGTGGAATTCTCGAGACGGACCTCTTATTGTCGACGTTTGCAAAGGAATTCTTGAACAAGATGTCGTTGGAGGATTGTCAGCGCTTTGACAAGTTTATGGATGAACCCGATTGGGATATCTACTACTGGGTGACGGGCAAGAAGGAGGTTCCAGAGCGGTGGAGGGGAGATAAAGTGTTTGAGTTGATTGTCAAGCATGCAAAGAATGAAGGACGGGTCGTCAGGCAGATGCCGGCGTTGTAAGAGTTAATACCGGGCCCTGTCCAGTGCCTCCACTGGCATATTAAAGCGTTGTCTCTCTTTTGCATCTAATATTTTTTTTTGTTATGTGTAAAGTAATTTATTGATGAGGAAAAAAATATAGACAAAGAATGCATTATGAGATGTAATGGTAATGAAGCTACCGAATGACCATGCCAAAAAGGCGATTATGAAGCATCCAGCGTATGAGAGAGAGAGAGAATATGATGATTACACATCTTTCTGCATCGTCTTTTTTTCTCTACTTCTTGCCCATGCCCATGGCCTCCAGAACTTGTTCCGTCCCTGACCCCCCAGGTTCACGTCCAACGATCGCTAAGATCTCTTCTGAAAACTCCATGAACCGCCGATCGTCCTTCCTGGCCTTGTCTAATAAATACTCTGGGTTCTCGCTGCTGTCGATCATCTTTACCAGTCGTCGTAGTCCTTCGTTCTGGAGCATTTCGTTGATTTTGCTCGATTGTGCGATCCTGCCAAGCTGTTCATCGTTAAGGAGGGCGACGGGATCTTCCTTGAGAAAGTCTGGTACGGGCGCGACAGGCGGGACAGGGATCGTTTCTGAATGGATAGTTTCGTCCGATGTATGAACGACGTAGGATTTGAGTGTTAGCCCATGTGGGAAAAGCGATAAAGATTGAGCAAGGAGTTGGAAGGAAGAAGCTTTGTACCTGGTTCAGGAATCGGTGCCGGCTTTTCACATGGCGTTTCTATGAAGACAGAGAAAATTGATCCTGGGTTAGCCATGATGGATTCATGGGGATCAATGAACAGTATTCCGTATCGGTTTCCTGTCTTTAGAGATTATCCCATGATCCAATTTGCTTTCCCTCTGCTCGTGAATACCTTTGTGCTTCTTATAACATACTAATGAGCAGCTGTTCAGAGGATCAAGGATACAAAAGTTTATGTTAGCTCCAAGATCCTAAAAAAAAAAAAGGCACCCTAATGAGGGCATTTCCAAACGTCGACCTCCTCTGCAATGGCGACACTTACTAGGGTAATGTGCAGGTTGGGCATTTGTACTTTGACGGGTTGGTATCGCATACGCCGCAGACTTTCTTTGTCTTGTCCATGGCCGCTTTTTTTTTTTTTTTTTTTTTTTCGTTCGCTTGGGGAATGGAGGGGGGTTGAGGGCGATCCTTTCTTGGGCTGAGCATGATCCCTTTCTGTGTCAAAAAGTCAATTTTACTTTTGGCAAGCCCCTCAAGCGCCCAACCCACTCACCATCCACTCAAAACGACTTTGCCTCCCATTGAAATACCTCCTCCATCCTATCCCCATCGATCCTCTTTCTCTCTCTCTCCACCTACCCCTTCGCATCACCCCTTACCACCACTACTCCTGATCCACCATGTCTGAGCGCAAGGTCCTCAACAAATACTTCCCCCCGGATTTCGATCCCGCCCTGATTCCCCGGCGTAAGCAACCGAAGGATCTCCAACACAAAGTCCGTCTCATGACCCCGTTCTCCATGCGCTGCAACACCTGTGGCGAATACATCTACAAGGGCAAGAAATTCAACGCCCGCAAAGAAACCACGGACGAGACCTACCACTCCATCAAGATCTTCCGCTTTTATATTCGCTGTAACCGCTGTGCTGCCGAAATCACCTTCAAGACCGACCCCGCCAATACCGACTACGTCGCCGAGAACGGTGCCCAGCGAAACTTTGAGCCCTGGCGTGATGAGGAGGGCAAAGGAAAGACGGCCGCAGAACGTGAGGAGGAAGAGGAGAATAACCCGATGAAGGCGCTCGAGAACCGGACACAGGATTCGAAACGAGAAATGGAGATCATGGACGCTCTGGATGAGATCCGGACCAGGAATGCGTTGAATGAACGATTGGACGCGGATACACTGTTGGATAAGCTCGTCGATTCTGAGCAGGATATTCGGCTTCGACAGCAGCAGCAAGAGGATGAGGAGGACGAGCGATTGGCCAGAGCGGTGTTTAAGGATGTGGATGGAGATAGAGTCAAGAGACTGAATGATGATTTGGATGAGGATGTGGAGGGAGAAGTCAGTGCGGCCAAGGTGGCCATGGCCAAGTTTGCGCAGCCCTTGGCACTCCCGGACTTTAAGACACCGCTGGCCAAGAAGCGTAAGCAAGGTGGATCACTTGGACTGGTCAAGGCCACGACAGAGACGGCAACGCCAAGTGCAGCATTAACATCGTCAATATCGGCATCGACAGGTTCATCCGCAATGGCAACAGGAGCGACGACAGTAACGAGCAAACCAGCAAGCAAACCTTCATCGCTATTGTCGCTGATCGGCGACTATGGCTCGGATTCGGAATCGGATTAATCATCTTTCAAACAACCCCCAATCGACAAAATATGCTTTCATGTATGCTATGCTTAATAAACCCACTTCAGTCCGCACCAATTTGATTCGCAACACATTGAACAATGGCGAGAATGATAAGAAATGATTTGCATGGTTTTATTTTATTTGTGTTTAAAAAAAAAGCCCATGATGCGTTCTAAGAATTCAAACCCTCCCCTTACGTCTTTTGCTCACGCCGAAGATCCCGCGTCTATTGATGATGGTGATGCTGCTGCTGCTGATGTGCCGGTCTTGGCTACTGGTGGCGAACGAATCTTTTGTTGGAAGGGCATGTTGAATCCACTGAGCAAGAGTCTTGCGTCGAGGTTGGTCTTGGCGGTGGTCGTGAAGGTCACATCGAATCCTGTCATCCTTGGGAACATGTCAAAGTTGCTTTCGATCTCTGGGAATAATGACATGGCCGAGGGAGGGAAACCCATACCGATGTTTCCTGTCGCGTCGCCGGCAGATTCGGGCAGGCCGGGCCATTCCTTCATCCTTGGGAGCACAACTTCGACAAGCTTGTCAAGGAATTGGTACATCTTGTCGCCCTTCAAGGTGACCTTGCACCCGATCGGATTGCCTGATCGTTAAAAAAAATAAAAATAAAAAGGCCAAGAAGAGAAGCGTGAGTATCAATGTCAATTTGCTCCAATAAAGTCAAATTGCCTGCTTTTTCTTTTTTTCATCAATTGATCCGAGCTTTACCGGCACGCAGCTTCCATGGGTGGACACCCTTCTTGGAATGGATGATCTCGGGCATTTCTCCTGTGATCGACTGAATAGCCATGAACCCGCTCAACAGGTTGAACTTGCTGACCAAGGCCTCCTTCATCATACAGTGCACATCAATCTTCACCAGCTCCGGGATATGGCGTGGGGAAGGCGCATTCGGTGCTGGCTTGATGTGCTTGTTGCCCTTCAATTCCACACGAACACCCTCAGGGATCTTGGCCTTGGGCTTAAAGGAGTGGTTGTAAGTCAAGACCATAAGATCGTCCTGGACGGTTCCACGATAGTGCTCACGCAGCCTGCTAACGCCTGTGATGTATTCCTGTTGAGGTCCAAGGATGACGGCGTTATCGTTCCCTTTACTCTTGCTGATGCTGCTGGAACCCTTCTTGGCTGCTTCTGTGGAGGCGAGACGGACCTGGTGTGAGATGGCGACGGAAAGGGATCCTTTGAGGGACTGGTGCAATCCTGAGTGTGAGATCAGGCTGCGAGCTGATCGGGTAACGGCGGCCATACTGTTCTGATTCTCGCGCACGTTTCCGGGAGGGCGATGACGAGGGGATAAGAAGCGAGGAGGAAAGGAAAAGTGGGGAGGAGAAAGCCGACAAGGGATAGGAGGATGGCGAGTAACGGTTGAGTGAAAGCGAATCCCGAAGTAGCCGGCCAACACAAGTAAAGGACAGGTGTATTTTGATTTTTTTGTTTCTTTTGGTTCAGGCAAACCCACCCACCGTTTCCCCTAAGCCACGATCGAATCCCCCATTCTGCCCCGCGCAGAATGTTTGCGGAAAACACAAAAAGCACACGCGAGAAATGAAGTTGGGGCAAGGGACTTTGATACCCTCGGGCAAGGGACTTTGATACCCTCCTTCTAATCCTTGGAGTAGTGGTGCTACTCACGGTAGGCTTGCGTGCTATATCGTGTTTGCCTGGGTTCTGATCGGCAACAGCGCCGTATGTTGCCGTTGTTTTCTCGTGCTCAACTAAGCTATGGACTTTTTTTTTTTTTTTCTGAACTATTGTCAGCGACGATCACAACAGGATCAGGTAGACATTTCACAATTTCTTATGACCAAGGTGAATACCATAATCGCCACTGCCGCTGCTTCAGTCTCTTTTTTTTTTTTCTTGATAGTTTTTATTATTTTTTAGTTCATCAGAAGGCTTGGTCGTGAAAGATATATGCCGCAACGCTGGTAAAGGTTACACTTCGCCATAGCCTAGAGCCGAGTTCGTTCGTGGCGATTTTCAGTCCATGATCGCCACAGGCCAATAGCCCCTCCACTGCTCACCTCCCACCGCGAGAGAGATGCGACAGCGAATTGCGGTCTGGTGGGGTCGCAGTCAAAGTGCAAGTCAAAGAATGTCTGCGCGTGCATCCTTTGAGATAGGAGGACCGGAGATGGTTCTTCATCTTGTAGTCGGGATGCATTTAAAGTGAAGTGACGGATCCTGTGAGTTTTTTTTTTTTTTTTTTTTTTTTTTTTTGGTCTTCTTCAGGGCAGCGATAACCATTCGCAAGCCCAGGAAGAACATGAGAACAAACGACCGGGACAGTAAAGAGCTCAGTTCTGAGGATTTCGTTAAGAGGCGACTTTTGCGTTCGATGGCTCCTGTACCGATTGAAATCTCGCAAAATATTATTGTCTATAGTGTCCAAGCCAGGGCTCTGGCAATTGATTGTTGGGTTTCCAATCCTTCCATCGCTGTAACAAGACTTCGGTCGTCCATGTATATTTGTGAGGACAAAAAGGTCGGGTTCGATGGTTTCGGTGCCGATAAGATTCGCCCCACAAGCGTTACTCATTGAATATAGAATCGATGCATCGTTAGGTGTACCTGAAGAGGACGTGATATGGCTAAGGGGATCCCAAGGATAACATTGTCTGCCTAATTGAAGCATATAGTTGGAAGAGGCGAAGACGAAGGGAGCACGATCTGCTGCCGAGGAGAGAGAGAGAGAGAGAGAGAGAGAGAGAGAGGAAGTTGATGCTGAGTATATAGAGAACATAGAGTGTGGAGACCCAGTACAGTTCCACATTGAATCTCGCAAAGTGTGTTGTGGTGACTGACAAGCGGATAAAGACCCTCTATATGAACTTGTGGATATGAAGCGTACTAGAGGCGATATTCTTAGCTGTGTGAATGACATCTTCAGGTCCCATGAACAAAGATAGCTCCAAGTCCCATACGGGCATAAGCACCATGAAGCGATGTGGATAATATACATCTTTTTCCGAGTCTACTATGCTGTGATAAAAATCGAAACAGAGCATGGCGCTCGTGGGTGGAGAAGGGTATCCCATGTTTGTAGATATGCCATCTCATCGACGCGAGTGGAGATGAGGGCCAGTAGCACGGATCACCTATAGGATAACAATCGCAGCAACCTTCTCAAATACTTTCGTACTGAATACTGCTTGGGAGACAGTGATTAAGTACTGAGGCCCAAGTTCATGAATGCGGCTCCTTGTGCCATGCCTTCTGGCAGTGTTAAGCAGACGCGTTTCAAAGAGCAGAGCTCGTTCTTCAAGTTTCTCGCTAGGTCAATTATCATCACGTGCGATATGGGAGCATTTTAACGCAGTTTCCCTGCGCAGAGTGGGTCCTTCTCTTTCTCATCCAAAAAAAGGTGCAAACTCAATTCGGCGCTGTGCGGTGTTGCGGGACATTGAAATCCATCCGACCACCAGGACAACGGACCCATCCATCGATCAACACATCGTCATGGCTATTCAACCAGCTATTGCGGCAACCATTCATCGGATCAGGACTCCATGCAGCCAGCTCTCTTATCCGTTAACAATCGACATACGACTCGCACCATGACTTTATTGTTCGGACGATGAGTTCAGTAATGGAGAACGCACGCAGGACGTCATTGACTGGAGGAGTCGCGCTGTCATTGCTCAGCATATCAGAAATGGTTGACATGATATTAGAGCTTATCAGTGGCATCGGCCAGGAAATACCTATATTACGCAGAAGGCTCTATGAAAGGCAGTGAGATGCCGCCTACCGGCTTGGACTTTGTCGATGCGGTTATTCGCTGGTCTTTATAGCATTCAGGAGCTTGGCATGACAACTCGTTCCATGAAAAAACATCATCAGTTTAGTCAGCAACCCAGCAACATCCGACCTATAATCTTTCTCATGACTTGGAGACAGCATGCTGAAGGACTCTTTTCTCATCAACTCTGGTGTCTGCTGGCTTTGTTATCGTCAATAGGAAAATGCAGATTTTCGTTAAGACCCTTACCGGAAAGACGATCACCCTTGAGGTGGAGTCTTCCGACACCATCGACAACGTCAAGGCGAAGATTCAGGACAAGGAGGGTGCGTCATTTTTCTACTTTGTGTTACTATCCATATCATGTTCAAGCCATACACAGCAGCGACTTGCACCACCTACAACCGACACGCGGACAAAAACCAATATAATAGCCAGGGATCTGTGGACACGTTGGCAGCAGAAAATGTTATACGGGAGGTCAGCAGAACGATACCACTATCGACTGGCAACCTCAATGAGGACATTGGTCAACGAAGTGGCTATGATATATTTAACAGGCGAAAGTGATCGACTCCAACTTGAGTAAATTCACTTTAAGACCGAGGATTTGAGGACAGGATTGGAGTTCAGGAGCGAATTAACATCATCAACGCCATTTAATGCAACGCCAAAACACATTACCGCACTATTGACAGGACGCTGCAGTTGTTTTTGTATCAACTGAGGGGGACTTGAGTTCTGACATTTCTATCGTTTTTTTTTGTTTCTGTTTGATATGTTCGATTCAATAGGTATTCCCCCAGACCAGCAGCGCTTGATCTTCGCCGGCAAGCAGCTCGAGGATGGCCGCACCTTGTCGGACTACAACATCCAGAAGGAGTCGACCCTCCATTTGGTTCTCCGTCTCCGTGGTGGTATCATTGAGCCCTCGCTCAAGGCCTTGGCCTCCAAGTTCAACTGCGACAAGATGATCTGCCGCAAGTGCTACGCTCGTCTCCCTCCTCGCGCCACCAACTGCCGCAAGAAGAAGTGCGGTCACTCCAACCAGCTCCGCATTAAGAAGAAGCTGAAGTAAACAGTTACGCCGATACAGCACTATTCTTGCGCGCGCGATCTTTTTACGAGGGGAAGCAGAAGGAGAGAGGAGGGCACCAAACGGAGGACCCGTCGTTTTTTGTCCCACCTTTATTATTCTGGCTATTTTTCCTTTGGAGAGCGCAATTGTCGTTTTGTTTTCAATAAATACTTTTTCTTAACAGAGCAAACGAGGATGCAATTGACATTATGCTATTGCCAATTCGATGGCGATTGTGGAAGGAGAATGAACAGGGAACGCGACGCGTCAGTTTTGTTATGCTTGCATGGTACGTGTGATAAAATGCACCCACGGAACACTGAAGAAAAGAGCAGCGGGCAGCCTATAGATCGGTGTCACCAAAACTGTGTTCAGACCCCCTCCTCCTCCTCCCCACATTTGCCCGTGTTGAGTCTTGGGAGGGCACAGTTAATTTGGTCCTTTTTTTTGTCGCGCGAAATCACACGGGAAATGCAATCTATGTTCCGATAAAGCAGTTGCCGGAAAGCAGCCAACAGGGGCCCCAAGCAAAAAATAGAAAAATAGAAAAATAGAAAAATAGAAAATAGAAATAAAAAGAGAGAGAGAGATGTCGTCATGGTCACCATTGTCCTTGACTGAGCTCGTGTTTGGAGAAGAGAGAGGATACAAGAAAGTAAGCATGCACATGAAAGCCAAGGACGGAGTATGGACATTGAAAGACTGGACACGGAGTTCAATTGCACTGAAGAAAGACAGACCGAATAGGCACTGTTTGACAAAATGGCCCAGGACATGGAGCTGCCTGCATAGCATGTCCTGAGACCAAAGAAGAAGCAACGCAGTGGATGGTGCCGAGGAAGGAGGGCACGGGAGAGAGAGAGAAAGAGTCCAGAGACGTCTCCTGCGGATGACCATAAACAGACAGACAGGCAGGGCCTTGTGGAGGAGGCCGTCTGAACTCAACCTTGAGTCTGGCCATATCCCATACCCTATCGTGCAGTGTCATATCTTGCACCCGTGTGCGTCCCTTCCCTTCCCTTTCCTTTCCTTTCCTTCCCTTTCCTTTTGCTCAACTGCATATTGCATGTACATGTACAGTACATGTCCATACGCTGCCTGAATGGACACAGTTTGGTTGCAGGCAATGAGCGGAAGAATACGCGAGTGCAATAAGATTAGCAGCCGTTCATTTCCGAGGCCCAAGGCCTGGTCTGCCGATGACACGGCCCTAATTGGCACAAGGTTCATGTAATTGTGTGGTTGCATCAGAGGAAGGGTGCGCGTGAAGGAAGCAAAAAGGGAAGGCAAGGAAGAGAGGGTATAAAAGGGAGGGCCGGTCGGGGGGGACCCAGGGCCTTCTTCTTTCATCTCGTCTTCCCCTCTTGCCATACAAATCCATTGCCACCAGCCTTTGCTCCTTCCGCCTCTCTCTCTCTCAGTAACAAGCACCCCTCGGTCCCTTACACAAGCACATCAACATGGTATGTCCGTCTGTCCGTCCGTCTGCAGCGCTGCGGAGAACAGAAATGAAAATGTCAGACTGTCTACACTCTGCACGATCCACAGGAAGAACAATGTCTGCATTTCCTTTTTCTTTTTTTTTTTTTAATCTCCGTGGGTGGTGGTAGTGCCAGTGGTGTATTGTTTTTTTTGTCGATCAATCCCACGCGTTATGACTATGCCTTCTGCTCTTTCTTCTGTATTTTGCACCGTGAGAAAGACAGAGTTGTTGAAGCAAAAAAAAAAAAAAAAAAAAAAAGGAGGACTGGACCAACAAAAGGCCACCGTAGTATCGTACAGAAGAAGAGAATGGCGTATTCGGTGGGATCATGACATTGGGCACAATGCACCGTCGAGTCATAATTGAACAATTGTCAGCAACGACCAAAGAACCCAGCGTGCCATTGCTGGTTTAAAAGGCCTTCTTTGCCCTCTTTCTTTGTCTCGAACAACATAACCCATTCTCGCCTGCCTCCCTTCTCATTCACTCTTATCCTTTACTTATCTCACCTCGCTCCCTCTCTTCTGGCCTATAAACACGCATTTTTAGTCACCAACCTCAGGAAACGCCATGGTCAAAGGTAACGCACCCTTATCTTCTCCTATGAAAAGGTCCATGTTTAACATTGAACAGGCCTCTAACAAAAATGAAAACACTGTTTCTATTCTAGTTGTCATTTGCGGTGCCGCCGGCGGAATCGGTCAGCCTCTGTCGTTGCTCTTGAAGCAATCGGACTTGATCACGGACTTGGCGTTGTATGATGTTGTGAACGCGCCTGGTGTGGCCGCAGATCTTTCCCACATCAACTCAAAGTCCACGGTCACTGGACACGGCAAGGACGACATGGATGCTGCCCTCAAGGGAGCCCATACAGTTGTCATTCCAGGTGAGTTGACGCGCAGTTATTTTTTTCGACATTTTTGCATATCTAAGTGTTGGACTGAAAGTTGATGGGATGCCGCGGCTCATTTCGATTGTCCTCTCAATGACATAGCTGGTGTACCTCGCAAGCCTGGCATGACCAGAGACGATCTTTTCAAGGCGAGTGTCTATGTGCCTCTGCTTTCTATCCATTGACTCCTTGAACCAGCAATGCTGACTTTCTTCTCTACAAATAGATCAATGCCGGTATTGTTCGCGACCTTGCAACGGGTGTGGCCAAGAACTGCCCTGAAGCATTTGTCCTGGTGATCTCGAACCCCGTCAACTCGACCGTTCCCATTGTCTGCGAGGTCCTCAAGAAGCATGGCGTCTTCAACCCCAAAAAGTAAGGTTTCTTGAAAGAGGTGGATTTGAGGCATTTCTCACTCCCCCGCATTTTACTTTCTCCACAACGGTTGGCTGGAGCGACCAGTTATCCTTCTTGTCGTTCTTCATATATTGTCTGTTCGCTATGGGGCATGGTGCTGTTTACTGGGTTCATTGTAGCCCCAGGAGAAAAACGACTCATCTTGTCCCCACTTTGAGGCACAAACAAACCCCACTTTCCTTCTCTCTCTTTCGCGGTAAAATGGTATCCATCCACAACATTTGACTGATCAACGCTATCGCCCGCTTTATCTTCATTTTTTTTTTTTTTTTTTTTTTAAAAAAAACAGGGTTTTCGGCGTTAGCACACTGGACGTTGTCCGTTCCTCCAGATTCGTTTCGGAGGTCAACCCCAAGATCGACCCTAGCACCAGGGTCACCGTTGTCGGTGGTCACTCCGGTGTCACCATTGTGCCCTTGCTCTCCCAACTCCCCAACTCATTCGCCGAGTCCCTCTCGAAGGACCAGCTCGATGCCCTCACGCATCGTATCCAGTACGGAGGCGATGAGGTCGTCAAGGCCAAGGATGGTGCTGGATCCGCCACGCTTTCGATGGCCTATGCGGGTGCACGCTTCACGCTCACGCTGCTTGAAGCGACCGTGGCAGGCAAGACTGGATTGGTCGAGTCAACCTATGTGAACTTGGATGCGGATGCTGAGAATACGGCTGCGTTCAAGGAGAAGACTGGATTGGATTACTTTGCACAGGACGTTGAGTTTGGTCCCGAGGGCGTGGGCAAGGTTTTGCCGTTGCCGCAGGTCTCGAGCTATGAACAGACGTTGCTCGACGCTGCGATCCCAGAACTGAAGGTCAACATCGCCAAGGGCGCATCATTCATCACCGACAGCGCTTAGATACACGCTCGTCGAATATGTTTTTACAAACGCCATACATAACTTAAACGGAAGCATCAAGAACAAGAGTCGTTCTCAATGCGCTCCTTTGTAAAATAAAACCCTTCCTGAACAGCCAGTATGTCCTGTAACAAGAATGTCTCTATTTAATGTTAAAGCTGTTTTACTGTTTGGGATCACAACCGACTTATCTGCTCCTCTTCCCTGAACCGCGCCTCGACATACTCGACCACGTCCTTCCCATACACCTCCTCCAGATTCGCATCCTTAGGCAACGCCAAATGCTTCTCCAGCTCCTTCTCCGTCAACACGACCGTGTTCAGCAAACTAAGGGGCTCATCTTGTTTCCAGCGACACACCGCGATCTGATCCATACTTCCTGAAACGGCGCTCTTGCCTCGAAACATCTCCTCAACCAAATACCCTACATCCTGACGGTTCAATGGGAAGGTCACGCCCGCAGAACCGGCGCCAGATCCTGAGACTGGGTAAAGACTTTCTTCGCGGGATTTCAGGTTGCGGTGAAGACGCTGGTACAGTTCCATGCGAAACTTGACAGAAAGGGGCTCCATGTTCCAGCCGGCGATTTTACAGATGATGAAGGTTGCCATGGACATGCCAAACATTGCTGGTAAGGGGCAGAGAATTGGAAGGAGAGAATCGGGTCCGAAATTGGGCAATGATTTGTAGACGTTGTCATCACCATCGCTGGAATCCTGTTCTGTGCTCAAAGGTTCGGTTCTGTATGGCTTTTCGGAAGAGAAGACGACCTCGATCCCAGTGTCGACGCCTAGTTTCTTCAGTCGACGACGCACAGCTCTTGCCAATGGGTCCTCTGTAAGTTGAGCATGACAAAAATGTCGTTCGTTAGGGGACTGGAGACCGTGCGCAAAAGGGACAAATCAGGTTTACGGGGGGGGGGAGGGAAAGGAGAGACGTGCACGACTTACCAAAGGTCTCGGAAATGTCGCCGATCTGCACACGCGAAGGATCGGCCTTGGCGCCTGCACCCATGGAGCTTATAACACGGATCTTATGCTCATAGCAGTACTTCAGCAGCTGCAGCTTTGTGTGGAGATCTCCTATTGCGTCCACCACATAGTCAGGGTTGCCTTTTTTGTTTCCAAGAGAGGGACGAAAAACAGGGAAACGAGAAAGATGAGAAAGATGAGAAAGAAAAAGATGAGCACGAGGGGGAGCCGTCGAAGGAGGCTTTGTGTTTCTCACTGATCGCGAAGGAAACTGCACTCTCCATACCTGACAGCAATTGATCCGCAGAGTCTTCCTGTAGACGTTCGACTCGTGCATCGACTTTGACCCAGGGTGCGATCAGTCGGAAGTGCTTCTTCATTGCAACGGCCTTGGGTGTGCCAATATCTGTCCTTGTCGCGGTTGCGTGCTGGTTCAATCCGGAGAGGGAGATCTGATCAAAGTCGATAATGCGCACCTTGCCGACACCGCTCTTGATCAACATGCTGGCAGCCCAACTTCCAATTCCGCCTAGTGTTAATGCGGGCAAAAAAAAAAAAAAAAATGAGTATGGCGAAATGAAGTTCTTTCATTCACTTTATCTCCTGTAGATAGAACCATGGAATGAACATGGCTGGGACTAACCTGCTCCAACAATCACCACAAAGGAGTCGCGCAACTTTTGAACGCCCTCCTCGCCCAAGAACGCGATATTCCTGGCCAATTGCTCGAGGACCAACTCCTCGTCAAACGTGATCTTCTCCTCTTTACTTCCGGTACGCTGATGGTGTGATGATCGTGTCTGCTGCTCCCAGTGTCCAGTCGTTATCTCAAGAGACCTTGATGGCTTCAATGGCGCGATAGGGCCCTTGGGCAACCCCAAATCATCCTTGAGTTTTTTCGAGCGCTGTTTGCGTTGTGTCCCTTGGTATCCAAGGAGAACTGCGGCGGTGGTGACGGAAGCGGCGACGGCGACGAGGGCCATCTTTGTGGATTGAGATGATGCGGAGATGCCGGCGGGCGAAAGGGAAAGCTTTTCGAGAGAGGACCACATGTTTGTATCACTGTAGCTGATCCTTGAGAAAGTCGCGAAAGGGCGTGGGCACTGGTTCGGCTCGAATAGGTTAAGAGTCCTGTTTATGCTTGGTTTTCCAGTGGGTGATGAGAGCTCTTGAGGATGGGTATGCAGTAGTCGAGTGTCGTCCCTCTGACATATATAGTAGATAAGAGTATTGGGTGTGAGTGTGAGTGCGTATCAAGTGGTTCTGTCGAGAGGGGTGAGTGAGGAATGAGGAGGGGAAGGAAGGTCGAGTTTTTTGGTATATGGGTAATTCTGAGCAGTGGCTTTGTCCGATAAACAGCTTTTTGGCCATATGCCGGACTGAGTAAATACGCGTCCTGTCCTACACGAAATCCAAAAAGAATTTCGACGCGTTTTCTTTTCTTGTTCGCGGTCATGGGCGGTCGGAAACCATCCCATCATCGCCTCATATCAGCGCACACCACGCAGAAGCTACTCATAGTTTCTTATCAATGTGTGTATTTGCTTCTCAGTTGTTTCTTCCTCTCATGTGGACGGTTACCTTTTTACAAAAAGGTGGTTTCGTTAAAGCGGCTACACAGCGCCCATCAACTACAATGATAAGGTGTGTGAGTCCATTCAAGGGGTAGTCCTAGTGGTTTATTATGAACTATGCCTGAACCCTTTGCAGATGCGTTACGTTTAATAAAGAACTAAAAAGGCAGTTTTTTGAGAGCGTTCATTCGATCGTGTCAATGTATCTGTCAGTAATGCATTCGCATACAATATGTGGAACACGATTCATTTATTCTGGGCGTAGTCGAACCGAAAAAATACTTTCTGCTTGATACAGACCAGAGGTCCGTTGGTCAATAGAAAAAAGACAGAAGAAGAGCACGCAGGACAGCTGTAAACAGTATGGACCTGGATGGATAGCAGAGTGAACAGACTCGGTATATGTCTGCTGGAGCTTCTTTGAATAGCCCATGGTAACTGCACATGTACATCCGGTCTGCAGACGACTTTACTTGATGCGCCGACCGACACTATTTTTTTTTTTTTCAATTTGGTAGTATCCTTGGGCTCTCAAAGGTGCCCTCCTGTTTCCTGGACTCGGATGTTCCGATTCTGCAGTCTCTTTTTTGTTGGCATCGAGCAATTTTTGTATCATTTTTGCGCTCAGACTCAAGCGGACACAAGTCACCACCCAGAAAAGTAAATAACTGCATACGCTGCACCCAGCACAACTTAGCCCTTACCTTCCTTCTCAACCCATTCAATCATCAACATCATTACAATGTTGCCATCGATTGCATCTCGTCGGTCCTTGCTGCTCTCTCAGGTAAAGAATCTGGCTATCGTGGCCGCGTTTCGTTGCTGAATCCTTACCAGAACCAAAACCGACCCTTTCATTACTCGATTCTTAACCAACTGTTATCGTAGCCACTGCTCGGCATGAGAACCATGGCCACAAAGACCTATGTTGTCAAGGCCAAGGACGCGGCATCGTCTGCAAAGACTACGGCTACATATGTCTCCAAAGCGACCCGAGCGACCGCCGCGAAGACCCCAGGCTCGAACGTTATGCCTGCCTACACCAAGAGCGATTTTTCGACGACCAGAGAGACCTCCTCCTCTTTCAGCCCAAAGACCTTTTCGGCATCGCCAGTGTCCGCTGCTGCGGCCTCATCCTCATCGCCTCCACCATCGGTCTATTCGGATTACTCTGACGATGATGTGCCCAGCGAGGTATTGGCCAAAATTGGTGGCGCAACCAGTCAACAACCTGGAGAGGTCTTTTCTACCGGTACTTCGTCTCTGAAGGATGCAGTTATGGGAGATCATGGAAATGAAGATGGACAGGACTGGACCCGTTCTTTTGCAGGAATGGCTACCGAGCCTTTCGAGAGGGAGGTTGCGGAACTGCTGATGAGCCCTTTGGATTCGGACGATATTGAGGTCAAGCCAGGTAAAGCTCACTACTGTGGGCATCATCTGCTGATTGATCCTTTTATTCGCTTTGCGGGGCAAACACTCACACCTTTGCTCCATCTTCAATTGGTTCATCTTTTAGACGGATTGCTCTATCTGCCAGAAATCAAATACCGAAGAATCTTGAACAAAGCATTCGGTCCTGGAGGTACGTCTGGGAACGCTGTTGGGAGTTGACAAAGTAAACTGCTTTCTATACTACAATCTAATAACGGACGGATTCTAACGTTATAGGATGGGGATTGGCACCGAGAAGCGAGCACTCTATTTCACCCAAGACTATTTCGCGTGAATATGCGCTGATCTGCAGGGGTCGATTTGTCAGTACGGCTCGTGGAGAACAGGATTACTTTGACCCCAACAACCTTGCCACAGCAACAGAGGGCTGCAAATCCAACGCATTAATGCGATGCTGCAAGGACCTCGGCATTGCTTCGGAGCTCTGGTATGGACAGGAGATATGAATATGTCGCACGACCAGAGTTATTTTTGCAGGATGATTGCCTAACAGAACCGAATGAACTGTTGTTTCTCACCATAGGGATCCATCGTTCATCCGCAAGTTCAAGAAGCAACACTGCGAGGAAGTATTTGTTGAGAACGTTGTGACGAAGAAGAAGAAGAAGTTGTGGAGACGCAAGGATGGGGCCGACTTTGGTAAGGCTTGTTGAAGTGTGGGTATCGCATGGTTTCTTGTGCGGTTCGCTCCATGACTCACCTTCGAATACTTCTTATCGACTGTTAGAATATCCTTGGGCCAAGGCCAAGTAAAGGACTGGCGACTTTGCTTTAGACAGCCTTTGAACTTTGAACAAATGCACAAAAAAAAAAAAAAAAAAAAAAAGGCAGTGTAGCTGTTGGGAGTTCTTTTTGTAATAAAATAGCACAGCGTTTTTTTGCTGATTCGTGCAATTGCAGAAGGCTCTTTAATTGACGACTGACGTAGCAAACTGCAAGAAAAAGGTGCAATCAAGCAATCAAGCGATCTTTGATCTTCTCCGTTCCACCATTCACATACACACACACACACGCACACGCACATACGCATTTGCTCACCGCATCCTGTCAGAATCAACCATGTCCGAAGAGCCAAGGTATTATGCAACACGTGCATAAATATTGACGCAAGCATGCATAGGTCAGAGTAAATTCTCATCTCAATGAAGTTGTTGATCTAACCAAATCTGCTTATTGTTTTCGTCTGAAGGAGAAAACGCAAATGGGACAACCAAGGCGAGGACGACGCAGCTACCAAAAAGGCCGCATCTGAGGCGAGCATTCACTCAAAGGATGAAAACGGCGTTGCCGGCACAGCAACCGCCCCTAACGGCACTTCATTCCAGTCAAATGCCGATGAAGCCGCAGCAGCTGCAGCCATTGCTGCAGCCAGGATAAATGCAATGTTGGTGGCGCAAGGCAAGGCACCTACGGAAACGGAATCTACCAACGCTACGGTGGCCAAACCTCAGGAGCATCCGCACCCTATGACAGATGCCGAGACAGCAGGCGGTAGTGCGCACAACAATGGCGCTCCCTTTAAAGAGTCCAAGGAACGGGATGAATTCGTGGCGGATATCGACATTAACGACGTCAAGCATCGTTATATCCTCACAAAGGGATCAGTTCAGACTCAGGTATGCTATTCAGGATTTACTGTCATCATCTTTCTTGCTGCCCCATGAGGCTTGCATAGATTCTGCAGGAGAAGTGCCGTTGTACTAAAATCATCATCTCTTTCATATTGGACCGTTCCGGATAAAGCTCCACCGCGATACGGGAGCAGATGTCACGACTCGCGGCAAATTTTACCAGGATCGGAGCATGGCGACAGAAAAAGAACCACCACTTTATCTTCACGTTACCGCATTAACACAGGAGGAACTGGATAATGCGGTCCAAAAGATTAATGAGCTTATTGAGGAAGCACAGAACCCGCCACCACTTCCACCACAGCGGGATTCATTTCAGCCGGGCTCGAGAGGTTTCGGAGGACCACCACCTGTAAGGACTGCATTTGTATTGCATGGCTTCGAGACAAATACACTAAGTACGGATGTTGACACATCTATTTCCCTTCCGTCTATTCATTAGAGACATCAATCTTTTCATGCTCGCGTCGCCATTGGAATCGATTCGGACAGAATGTTCAATGTGAGGGCGAAAATTGTTGGCCCAGGTGTAAGTCGCACTACCTTTTCAGCTTGCTCAAAGCGGCTTGGCGATGTCAATTACTCAGTTACTAAGTGTACCTAATCGGTTTTATAGGGGCAGTATGTGAAGCATGTGCAAAACGTGACGAGGACGCGTGTCCAGCTCAAAGGACAGGGCTCTGGGTATTTGGAAGTAGATACTGGCCGCGAATCGGACGAGCCATTGTACATCAACATCCTGTAAGGAGCCTTTTCTGGTCTTACATTTTATTCCAAGGCGTTTTTTATGATCTTTTAGCAAACGTTGCTAACTGGCATGCTGCTATCTCCGTGCAACTAATAGTGGAAATAATCAGGAGGAGGTTGACGAGGCAGAACGACTCTGCAAGGACCTTGTTGAGACAGTGAGGGGCGAGTACGAAAAGATGAAGAGTCGACCGCCCATGCACCAAGAGCCCTATGGCCATAACAGGACCTATAGTGACCGATCTGTAAGTCTCTTTATAATGACTACCAGCTCTTTTTCGGCCATGTGGTTGAAGTGATACTGATGCACTCTTGTTCATTAGAGCTACTATAATGGTGGGCAGTATGGGAGATACCAGGGAGGACATCAGCAGTATCATAACCAGCCGCCCAATCATCAGTACGGTTACAATCAGCACTACCAAGCACCACCACCACCTCCTGGCACAACTCCGTCGACTGCGAACCCTCCATTGCCTCCAGGTCCACCACCACCTCCGGCAGAACAGTTAGCTTCTGCTGCTCCTACAACGACTGCTGCTGCTGTCCCAGCGACAAGTGCAGCCGCAGATGCTGCTGCTCAAGGATACACATACGAGCAGTATGAGGCGTATAATCAATATTACCAGCAACAGCAATACTACCAGCAATACAGTCAGTACTATCAGCAGGCATACGCGCATCCTGGTGCAGAACAGGATCCATCGACATTAGCGGCAGGAGCGCCTGTTTCGTCCGACCCAGCGTTGGCCTACTATGGGTATGCATATGCGCCTCCACCCGTAGCAGCGGAATCAGCAGTCGGTGCACCGACTTCTACGGCTGAGACTGGCGCAGCTCCACCACCACCCCCTCCACCAGCGGATGGTTCAGACTCGCAACCTGCACCACCGAAGGTTGAATGAGGACGGCTTTCTTCTGCGTTTGGCGGTGGCTATGATGCTATTTCCACCTTCAGCAGAATATTGAATCACGTTGAGGATAATATCTGCTGGATCTAGAATGACATTAACCCTGCTTTTCGATTTTCTCTTCCTTCCTTTTTTTTTTTTTTTTTTTGCCAACCCACAACGAAACAAAACAAAAAAGAAACGAGAAAGAATGAACAAATAAAACTAACAGAAGAAAAGCTCTTTTGGAAGCAAACAAAAGAAAACGGAAGGGACCGTTCTCTTTCAATCAGGCCATGTTCAACTGTCAAACCAAGGTACCTTTGTTTGTTATTGTTCCGTGTTCACAAACGAGCGGATTAACTAATTTTTATATACGGGCGAGCTTTAAGTTGAGCCTCAGGACGTAATAAAAAAAAAGTTATATGTTTAATGAACTTCCTGAATGTTGAACAAATGGCCACATTGTGCTTGTAAACATAGTGTTGATAACCGGTAAATCGCCGACTACAGAAAGGCGCACTGCTTGCGCATGCATCACGTAGATATACCGTTCTGGATGGTAGGCAAGTGCAGCAACACGTCGAAACAGCCTACATTGGACAGACTGCTGTGTAGCCTGTAGACATGCGTGTTACCAATCATATCTCGACAAATGCTGACAATTGCAAAAGAAGCGATGCGGCGGTAGGAGCGCCTATCCGACGGTGGGTCGCTGGTGTACGGGAAGCAAGTGCAGTGTTTGATATTTGCGCGGAAAAAAAAAGTAGGAAAAAGGGGGAAGGGGCTGCCTACTTTTACCGAGAGATACTCTCGCTCCTCCTCGGGAGGATTCTGTCCCTTCCCCTCCCTCTCGGCTTAGAAGCTCTTTCCACCGTTCGTTGGAGACGCGAAGAGCCGATCGAGGATTGCATGATAGACTAAAGAGGGAATGAGGGAGCGGGAAGGTGAAAACAAAAAAGCACCAGTATCAATATCCGTAGCATAAAATGCAATCGTCTCGCCTTCTCTTGCTTTTTTATCAACTCTTCGGCACTTCAACTCTTCAACTCTTCAATTCTTCAATTCTTCAGCCCTCCGACTCTTCCACTTGCCCAAGGATTCCTTTTTTTTTTTTTTTTTTTTTTTTTTCATTCGCAGCTAGCCAGTCGTCTCAAGTTCTTTGACAGCACGCTGGGACTTCACAAAGCAACGCATTAATGGAGAATATTAGCCCGACGGCCGCTACATTTGTGGCAGCAGGAGCAGCGATCGGTGCCTACTATGTATACGCGAACGCCATCAAGCTCCAGCATCCGGCACAGTACGCTCTTCAAGAACGACCAGTCCAGAACGGGTTCCTCCAGAAACAAATCGAGACCGATGCAGAACTGGTCAAGTCCGCCAAAGACGCTGAGGCTCAGGCACAACAGTTCGAGGCCAAGGTTGAGACGCTTAATTATACGAACACGCTTTTGATGAAGCAGCTCGCTCAAGAACAGGAGATGCTCAAGACGGTGCAGACCCAGGCGCGTAAGGGGGAAGCCGAGACGGTGAAGATAAGGGAAGAAGCGAATAGAAGTGTGAAGGAGTTTGAAGCAAGGGTAGAGGCGATAGAGCAGGAGCGCAAGCAGGTTGTCGGGCAAGTCGAGAAACTTCAGGAACTGAACCGGGAGCTGGTGCAGCGAAGGGCCTGTGTCGAGAACGAGGTTGAGCAGCTGTCAAGGAACCTCGTGGAGGCCGAGAAACGGACGGGTGCGGGGGTATTCGAACGGAATGAACTCCTGGGGTTGCTGGCCGAGAAGGACGCAAGGATCGAGATGTTGGAGGGTGTTACTGTGGCACTCGAGGGCGAGCTCAGAAGCGCGAAAGTGCAGATCGAGCAGCAAACGGCGGCTGCGCGCCATGTGGAGGGGGTGCTGCAAAGTCGAAACGAAACGCTCGAGGGAGACAAGCAGTCGTTGACCGAGGAGATTGATATCTTGCGCGTGCAGATGGTCAAGGAGACGGAAAAGGTACTTGTCAAGGACGCGGAGATGGAGGCGCTGAAGAAGGAGCTTTCAGAGGCTCGGAAGCAGGTTGACAAAGTCGACAAGGAGTACAAGAATCTTTCTTTGAAGCATGAGGAGCTGATGAAGACGGAAAAGGAACACAAGGCACTGTCTCTTAGGAGCGAGGCGCTACGCAAGCTCGAAGAGGAGGAGCACCAAGCCCTTAGCATCAAGCATGCTGAGCACCTGTCTACTCTCTCCGCCGCAGAGTCCGCCTTATCAGTCGCAGAAGTATCTTTGACAGCGCAGGCGTCAGAGCTAGAGGTAGCTCACGAGAAGCTGACAAAGTCCGTCATCGAATTAAACGACGCCCGGAGACAATCCGAGGTGTTGACCGCGCAGTTACAAGACGAACAGGCGAGCCATGCCGAGGAGTTGACGACGCGGTCATCCGAGCGAGAGCAACTGGTCAAGGAGCTCAAGCTATCGAACACACAGATCGTATCCCTCACTGAGAAGCATGAGACTCTTCAGAAGCAGATCGCGGAAATGACGACACGCGCGTGTGAGGAGTGCAAGAAGAGTTCACAGGACCGTGCGGCTCTCGAGAGGCAGATCAAGGAGTTGGAGGATGCAGTCGCGAATAAGGAGTCGGCCCTTCGACTGGTCGTTGTCGAGAAAACTAGTTTGGAGACTAAGCTGACAGAACTTGAGGCGATACATGCGACTTGCAAGGTCCACCTGCCGCAGGTGCTCAAGGAAAAAGACGAAGTGACCAGAGCCCTCCAGGACAAGGCAGCGGAAATTGGTTCGCTCACCAATGAGAAGGACAGCCTGATCATTACCCTTCAAGCCAAGACTGTAGAAGCCGAGTCGCTCCACAGGGTGAAAGATGACCTGTCCTCACAGCTGCGCAAGAAGACTGAGGAGTGCGTGTCCCTAGAAAAGACCATTGACGAGCTCAAGCAGACCATATTCGCGGCCAAACAAAAGGTTGACGTAGATCTAGAAGTCCTGGTTAAGGCAACCAATGCTGGAAAGGCCAAAATCGCGCAGGAATACGAGGCATTGTCGTTGAAGATGGTCGAATTGGAGCAGGAAGTGGAGCGTCTTCGTCACCAGAGTGCGCCAGCCCCAGCAGGGATCGTAGAGAGCGAGCCTGAAACCGAGCACGAGATCATCGAGTTTGAAGAGACGGTCGAGGTCACTTTGGTAAAAGCACGAGTAAACGAGGTACCCAAGCAGTTGCAGTGATCATTGCGATTGTCTTTCTCGCCTTCGCAAAAACGAATCCAGAATAAAAAAAAAAAAAGTTAGTGAGTATATAAGAGTGTCTTTTAATGCCCGATTCTTTATCTACAATGAAGGATCCCGCTGTAACTCCTATTATGCCTTTGCCGGCTCTGTCGATCCCAAGTTGACATCCATCTCCGATGACTTTGCCCACGGCCGCCAACTAGCCCACCTCTTCAACGTTCCTCTGATCCCACTCCGTCGCCGCGCTTCCTTCTCTTCTTTCTCCTGCTTCTTCAACAGCTCATCCATCGTTTCCATCACATCTTGCACTGTCTCCTCTGTTAAATCCCCATCCTCATCGATTTGATCTCTCAGCCGCGTCTCCAGTGGCAAGAACCTCTTCATCGGGGCCTTACGTCTTCCAAGGACCTTCTCCCACATCTCTCGTGCGGGCATGACAGCCTCCTTCAGGTACCGCGCCCGCTCAGCCGAGGGTGGATGATCGTACATCCAATCAGTCCATTTATGGACCTCAACCGAATCCTCAGCATCCATTTCCTTTTGGTCCTTGTCGGCCCATTGCTCCCAGAGTCTGACGGCGTGCATGGGGTCGTACCCTGCGAGGGCTAGGAGGGTGAGTGAGACGGTGTCGGCTTCGACCTCGATGGTTTGATGCAACGGTCCTGAGGCTGTGAAGTGGAGGAGGTTGTTGGTGGTTTGGTCGACCCATGAATTGAACCAGGGGCCCAGAGGGATCGAGATTGTCCACAATGCGCTTCTCAGAAGGTCTATTGTTATATGATAGCAAATAGTACATAGTTTGTATCAGGGTTAATAAAGAGTAGCACAAATACATGAAAACAATGCTAATAATAAAGTATCACCAAAAGATGCAGTAAAACGTTACCAGCGAGGAAGAGCATGACGGTCTCGCGTCCGTGGGTTTCCATGGTATGTCTCTGGATAACGTGAGCGAGCTCGTGTGCAACGACAGCGGCGACCAGATCCTCATCATTCTCAAGCCAGTCCAAAAGCCCTGAATTGATGAAGATCAGTCGGGGTGGGCCCAGGGAGAAGGCATTGATGGTCTCGTCCTCGGCGACAAAAATCTGGAACGGCCGGTCCTCGAAGCTGATCTCCCTGAGATCCAGGTCATCCTCGTCATCGTCACCGTCGGATGCAAAGGAGGAGGGCGATGGCGATGATCCGGTTGAGGGTATAGGTCTCTGTGTGGAGACAATTGCTTTACTCGCTGCTGCGACTACTGGTGTACTTTCGTCGGCAGTGCTGCCATTCTCCGTTGGGTCCACCTTGTGCTGCTGTTGATGCTCCTTCAACAACCGCTGTGCATCCTGATGCTTCTTCTCTAGCCTCTCCACTATCCCGGTTCTCAATGTAGATCCATCCTGTTCAATCGAAGCACTCAAAAGATTCTTCAAAATGTGCTTAACCAACTGTACCCTTGGATCGTTCTCATCCTCCAGAACTTTAATGCTCTCCATAAACGTGGGGATCTCATCCTGAAGCATCGTCAACTCTTCTTCCTCGCTCGTGAACAAGAACCGCCATCGACCCGTGTTGGGTGCCGCTTCGAGACCCGCAAAGATAACAAGGGCGAAACAGATGGGTGGGATCAGGACGAGGGTGAGGATGACCCTTGGGGATTGCTTCGCGGATAAGGGGAGGAGGGTGAGTGAGATCCTCGAGACTATTCGGAGGACGACAGCGGTGACGGGGGTCTTGAGAGTGAAGATTGCGGCGGGGATGATGGGCAGGGGGAGATGGTTTGGTCGGGAGGTGTGGAACTTGGAGGCTTGTTGTTGGAGCCAGGGTCGAAGAAGGCGTTGGTGATTTCCCTGGAGGATGATAAGGGCTGGTTCATGTTGATTGTGGTGTCGAATTGGCCTACGAGCACAAGTCGAGTAGAGTCCTCCTCCTGATGGTGGGTTGCAGTGTTGTTTGGCGAGATGCGTTTTCGCAGTGCCGTTGAAGAAGCCTCGAGGTGAGGATGGTGCAGTTGAGTGTGACAGCTTGAGTGTCCTGCATGAAGAAACCAAGTCGCGAGAGATGCTTTGTCCCTTGCCCATCAGATGTCTTTTCGTGCTCCATGGAATCCAGGCAGCGGATGGGGGTGGCGATCCTGGTAATGATAGTGGCCGCAGTTTCCAGTGCGGCGATGATGCTGCTCTTGAGGCAACAGTGCCTCCTCTTCTGAACACGGCCGACAACATCCTGATGGGTGATAGTTCGAGAAATGAAAAACGATGGAGGATCGAAAGCGAAAAAAAAAAATAGCGTGGGACACAGGGTTGGGTGCATATTTGTGCATCATCCCACAGATGTGATTGACACGAGAACTGCACGATATACAGTCAATACATATTTCCGGGTCAGATGTGGAATGCCCCTGAAAGACCGATAGGGAATGAAAAATGCGTTCAAAGGTTTTCTTCCTGATGAAAATTTTCATCAAATCCTCCGTCAAACCAAGTTTTATGGCTCAATTTTCTGTAACAAGAGATCCCCCACACGGCGCTCAATGTTGCCGCTCTGAAACTAAATGCGGATTTCTGCAACTGATCCAAAGATTAGGTTACCGACATGAGGAAAGAATCTTGAGTTGAACGCATTTTGCTTCCGTCTCATTCACAAGTGTACCTCGTGATGTACATTTGCCTCAGACCCCACTCCCATATCACACATATCCCCTATTGCGTGTGTCAGTATGCACTGGGTGTAGCAAATGAGAATGGGCCCATTCAGGATACGCCAGAGCGCGTCGCCCCCACTGTTCTGTACACGTAGGCCTAGACTAGATGGCTACCGGGGAGTTTGAATGGTACCTGGCTGCAACTACTAGTCTATGAGGCGTATGTACACCACCCTGCGTGTGCATTCCGGGGCTGAGGAATAACTTTTTAACAGGAAATGGAAATTAACTTTAGCGCGTGAGCTATGGGCTGGAGTGAAAAAAGACAACCTGTCCAGCTGGCCAGCCTGTCTGTCTGCCTGCTCTTTTGTCCAACTTGCCTTCTTCTCCCTCTTTCTTCATCCACTACACTCATCAGCTCACTTTGCTATTTACTGGGAAAAAAAGATGGCCGCAGCAACCAACCTCATCCCCTCCAGCCAGCCGAATGAGGGATCAACTGAAGAACAACTGCACCATCTGCAGCTCGACAACAGCACCAGCTACAAAAGGAAGGACAGCGACACGCATAAAATACCCCTGTCTACGAACGAGCAAGCAGAGCTCGAGTCGGCTGCAACGGTGATTCAGTCTATTTACCGAGGAAACCAGTACGGCTGTCCCTTTTGTGTATTTTTTTTATTATTATTCGCACGCCTTGTTAAGTGGAACTTGTCGATCATGGGAAGCTGAAGTCAGTCGAGGGCTGTAACGCCTAACGACCGGACGCAGGAATACGATACTGATAGTATATCTTTATGCCCGGTTCTCTTGCTTGTATACCCATCACCAACAGAGCTCGTCGAGAGTTGTACGGACCTGCATTGACTGCCTCTCAGGTAACATATTTTTTTTCTGGTCCAGACCACGACACTTTATCCGCTGACTGGGTGAATAGGCGTGGCGGTGTCAATTGGGCCATAATATGCTGCGGTTCAGCACTCATTCTTGCAGGAAGGACGAGAGCATTATCGCTGACAAGAGATTCATGTCCCCCCACGATCACAAGCCCGTGCGAACAAAGACCGTGTCCCTAACCACTCACATATCCCTGCACGGTTTCCTTGTCCTTGGATGATATAGAAATGGAGACACTTAATTGACTACAGTCGCATTGAATATATCCATAAGATGGACGCTAAAGACAAGGATCATCATCAGGCGGCATCACCCGCGACCCCCGAGGATCCGAATCAGGCGCTGCCAGCATCTCCACAGACGCCCAATGAAAGCAAAACACGCTGGGCCTGGAGGCGTGCAGAGTTCCTTGGATCAAGACTCGGCAAGGTAATTCGCCATGTCTTTCCTTTTCTTTTTTTACTCCTTCATGATTCATTCTCTCTGCATCCTCCTATTTTGCTTCTCTTCTCTCTCTTCTTCCATTTCATTTGATTCAACTGTATCATGCTGCACAACAATGACCTATATACCACACCATCGACCGCACCATCGACAATGATGGCGCCAACAACTCCATCGAGAAGCCCTTCTATTGCCAGTGCATCATCTGATATGAGCGATGTATGCAGCGAAGCAGCAGCACTTTATACTTTCTTTTCGTACCGTTCTCATCCTCAATCCTCTACCTAACACCATTGATCATTCATACATCTCAATCCTTCGTATTTCCTTTTCGCTCACCTATAGGGAAGTGTCGGCGTCTCGACTGAGGAAGCGCTTGTCCTGGTAAGTTATTTGGCCTCCTTCCTGGAGCATCCGATGTACAACAAAATGAATAACACAAGGACCTAAGGACGCGACATTTAATACGTATTATTTGTCCTATACTATATTAATAGCTCACTGAGCACTGGCTGGAGATGTCGGACAAGAAGCATCGCTATGGATCAAACCTCAAGGTATGAAAGTAAACCTCGCTCACTGGATTCCTGCTTGGTATTCGTTTCTTTAGCCACCATAAACTGACCCGCATACCCATTGTCTCTTTCTGTCCAACTCATTCTTCCTCAGCCTTACCACGAGTACTGGTTGGAACAAGAGACCTCGCAAAATTTCTTCTACTGGCTCGACAAGGGCGAAGGCAAGGACGTCGATCTTGAAGAACGGCCGCGTGCACGTCTCGACGAGCAGCGCGTCCAATATCTTCAAGCACATGAACGCCAACAGTATGCCGTCCATGTAGTCGACGGCCTTCTCTTCTACAAGATCTCGGGCCATCCCGTCCACACTCTCCCAACGTCGGTCCAGGCGGGCGATGATGTGGATGTGTCCCAGGTGCTGCCGGACTCAAACGACCATGACGACGAGGCCACGCGACTGGAGAAGAAACGGATCCGGAACAAATCCAAATTTATCTACGTGACAGACCCTCAGGGGACGTTGTATGTTGCTCAGAAGGTGAAGGGACAGTTTCATCATTCGAGCTTTTTAGGCGGCGGAACGGTCTGTGCTGCTGGGGGGATCATTGTGAACCGAGGAAAGTTAATCAAGATTAATCCGAAATCGGGACATTATCGACCAGGACAGAGGCATTTTGATCGGCTGCTGAAAAATTTGAAGGACCAGGGGGTTTCGTTGGAGGATGTGAGGCTTTCCTATGGGATATTGGAGGATACCGATAAGGACGGGGCACCCGAAAGGCAGGGGTCGTTGGATCGGTTGCAGGTACCCTTGACGAAGCAGGAGAAGGAAGTTTCTGCAGCTCAGGCGGTCGAAGAGGCCGAGCAGGCTTGAATATAACAAGTTGCCTATCTCTGCTCATACGCGCATCGAATAAAGGACAAGTCATGGTCCACAACTGAATAGATACCAAGGAAGTCGTTCAGCTTATTGGAAAATGCACATTCGATAGCGTGCTGAGTGTTTTTAGGAAGGCTTGTTTGGAATTTGAAAATATTACCATCCATGAGAAGGCGAATAAGTTGGAAGGAAACCCCTGCCAAAGAAAGGGTTCCTTTGACCGTCATTACGCCGACCAAGGACCAGAAAAAAGAAGTATCAGCCAACTCAGCAATAAAGAGGTATATCTAAAGCTATTATTTGGCACCTGCTCTGCTTCAATGCCGATAGAGTCGCCTTCAAGTTCAGAGTATGCGAAGGGACCATTAACTGCAAGTGCAAGGCGTGAATACGCAAACAGCAATTTGGACACGGCATCTCTTGTTCCTAGACACATCCCCTAAACCTAAACCACGATTACCTTTTGACCACACTTTCTTCACGGGCGCGTCTCCCCTTCTCGCGTCATTCTTCGTCATTCGCTTTTAGCGGCCACACTCTCATGTGCTTTCATATAACAAGCTCGTTTTTATCCCTTTTGGTGTATATATTTCAGCAGCCCAATACTGTTTGATCCCTATGGAAGCTTCAATGAAGGGAATGAATCACCTGGTATGATCCAATGCTTCACGGCGACATGTCTGTGTCTACAGCTTTGATTTGACCAATATGGTCCCTCTACTCCCTTCAGATTTCATTAGTTCCAGCCCATGACGAACGTTACGGTTCCATAATGACTCTGAAGACGAAAGGGCAAGCGCAACCTTTTTTTTTTTTTTTTTTTTCCTTCGTGGCTAAAATCAGCTCGCTTTCCTTTCGGCATAAGGATGGATTGTAATTAAAAGGCCACGACCAACAGCGACAAGATCCGTTGGAGGATTCAACACCCAAGTAGCCTACGTATTAACCGTGCGGTTCATCTGATGCTATAAGGCAGCTCATCCGTCTGATATTAACAGTAACGCAGTGTCTTTTATTTTGGTCACGTCTGCTATAGCGGGTCCATTTTTCATCTCTGGATGCTTCTGTTCTAGGATGAATGCTATGATATACAGATTGTAGCCCTCCGAACCGATGCAGTGACTGAAGTCGCTCTCAAGACGTCCTCCTAATCCTTCTATTCGTTTATTTATTTGTTTATTTTTCAGCAAACTGAGCCGAAAACGGCAGCGATGGTTTGTGGTCTCCGGGCGCACGAGGGTATCAACCTTGGCAGAGCGGCATGTGAGGATCTCATTGAGCTGCCGACCACTAAGGAGGAGCTTGAGAATTTTCTTTCTTCCTAGTCATTCATCTCAAATCCTCGGGAACTACTTCGTAAGTTCAGCCCCTGAGTTTGTATTGCAACTCGTTTCTCGTCAAAATAGCTACTTGACGTGAATCAGAATTGGGGGTGAGTAGTATCAAGAACGGCTGTTGCGATTGAACTAGCCGAAGAAACCGAATGGAGCGTTCTGTGCGGGGGTCGTTCTGAATCTGAAGGTTGGACAAAGAGCTCTCACACAGTCCAAATTCCGACGACCAAATTCATAGCGGATATTTTAAAAAAGTCCCACCCATCCATCCTGCGGGCCCTGGATCGTGGAGAAGCCGAAAAAGCCCCCATGGGTTTTTGGATCCCAATGGAGACTGTCATCTGTCAGGAGCGTCTTTATTTTGGAGGGGGTAATTGGCCATTTTCGAATTTTTATTCTGTCTCCAGCACTCTGGATGCTGCGTGTGAGAAGGGTCTAAGCGACTTTTTTAAAAACTTTCTTCCAGCATCCAAAGTCAACGTAACGTTTTGTTTGTTGTGACGATGACTGATAATTGGTAAATAGCAAAGTGCAGCCTGAGTCCATCGGAGCAGGAGCAACCCCCTGCCATGAACAAAGAACACTGATGGCCTGTAAAAGGGGCAAATACCTCATGAATCATCCATGGAGACGAGATAGAATATCTCAACCAACACAGGGATAGAAAAATGGCACCATCCGCGACGCCTTCAGGTGCAGAAGAGTGCTAGCAGCCAAGTCTGCAGAAGGGAGAGAGGCAGCCACATCGAAGGCTAAAAGTATTCCAACTTTTTATGTACTCGTTTCCTTGACCAGGATGCACTGGATCGGCTCTTTCTATGGCGTGGCGAAGTATAGCAATGTCAGTGGGTGTATAACGAATGCATAAAAAAAATAGCCCATTTATGCCGCGATTCTAATCTTTCCATTTCAATCCGTCTTTGGAACTACGCCCATTTTGCATAGGCTAGAAGATGTTCTCGATCACCACACGGTCCCTCCGTCGGCCCCTTCCCTCTTCTTGGCTCTTCATCTTTGTCTATATCTTAATGCAGCTCGATCCCTTCCCCCCTTTACACATGAATATGAAAGAGGAGGAGGAGATTTGGTGGCAATAGTCGGTGCGTTCACTTCAGTGCTGGAAGTTAGCAAAAGAAGATTCCGCGTTTTCTATAGATGCACTAACACGACATGATCCAATGCCTCAGAGAGAGAGAGAGAGGAAATAGAAACATGCAATGAGTACAGCACCTGCCACTAAAAGAGTCGTTTAGCGAGGAGCCAATGGGAGAGACAGGATATATACGATTCAGGCTTTCTTTTCTTTTTTTTTTCTCTGTCATCCCATGAATTAGAGTGGGTACGCCGATAATCCAGTTGACCACTAGGCCATAAGCGCGTTTCTTCTTCTTTAGCAGACGAATTAGCTGTTTCCCGTCCAAGAATCCAGTTACACAAGGGAATTAAGTACATACAACAAGAATCGAGGTCGCTTCCTGCCGTCTACAAGAAAGGAGGGAGGCTATTGTCTTCCTTCTTTGGTTTCCATTGGATCGATGGCGAGAGCAGATAGACTATCTCAAGTCGGGTTCCCCTTAAATGGACGTGGCGCTGTGGTCAGCTCCTTTGATGGAATCCTTGGAAAGGTCGGTCCAAATGTCTGCGTGTTATGCTGCCTGTGACTCGACCGAGCGATACAAAGGGTCTTTTTTGGCACATGTCAAATCCCCCCCACCTCCTCCTACTATAGTATAGCCCAAACACCCTCGCCTTTCCCTCCACCTTCCGTTCCCTCTGTTCGCTCCTGCACGCTGCACGCGAGTTTCCACAATATATATAAAAAGGTCCTCTGGGTACTGCAGGTGTGGCTTCTGTGAGTGCGGGTTCCGTGATGAAAGGACAGAAGGAAGAACATTAGGCTCTTCTGCTGGACAGACAACCTGGATAACTATTAATTAATGAATTTAGCGTGTTTGCTGTTTATGGACTCATCTCGGATTGCTGGCGAAGTGAATAGCATTAGAGGGTCACGGGGACTCGAAAAAAAAGAAAAGAACCATATGGGCATCGAAATCTTACTATGGTTTGCCGCGTGTTGGGTTCACTATGTTGCGAAAGAGCATTGCGTGAGATGATGATGTAGGACAACATTGACGGAGAATAGGGGAAGCGGACCAAATCAGCGAACTCTATTACCGATGTCTGTGTGTTTTCTGTTAGGGCTGACAATGGACGAGCAAGAGCATAGTTTTTTTTTGTGAACCGCATGAGTGGAAAGCATATCCATGCATAGCCAAATTTTGTGTATCAATGATATTCGGTAGCGGCAAGGAAATACAATGTTGCATGGCTGGGGGAGAAGAGGAGTAAGAGCGCGATCCACTGCACATTCGATTGCCCATCCGAAAATGAGTGCCAGTCTTTAAAAGAGCATCACCAGGCTGAGGAGAATTAAAGTCATGGACACATGGTTGTATACATGCAGCCTATATGTAGTCTCTATTCTTTCGGTACATCCTTCCTCCTGATCGATGATTGTTCTATGGAGGAAACAAAAAAATTCCGTGGGCTAAGAACGGAACCTGATCTATCCCATCCCATCCCCTAGAACGCACTTTATTTTTATTTGTGGACAGCGGCTAACTTTGTTCCTGGTCAAGGAAAGGCAGTATACAAGACAAGACAGACACAGGGTCATGACGCGACCTGACAAGATCGCCTGCTTTGCTCCCGGTCTTGTTGCATGTACGCCGCTCCACAAAGGACACTTCCGCAATTGTGCTTCTTGCGTACGGTTTCTCGATACTTCCTTCTCAAAATGGTGCATAAGGCCTCTTTCTGGCAAATTTACATTGGGACCATATACAGTTCATGATTTTTTTTCTTTCAGGGCTGTTTAGTCCTAGAGGCTGTAGCGAACCGGGAGGAGGGCCGCAGCTGTTACTCCATGAAGCAAGCAATCTTTGATCGAGATGGCCGAAAGGAATAAATATAATGAAGGGGCGAAGTTGCGCTTCTAGTTATGGATATCCACTATACACTCTCCGAGGACTTGGCGTCGACGGATCATGCTCATGGACGCCCTCATTATTTTTTATCGAACAGTCGTTAATAGCGATTAGTTGCATGATAAACTGACGCCGTTCGCTACAGCCGAGGCGCGGACCAAAATGAAACCAAGGAAGCATGAACAGAGAGGTGGAGCGAAATTGTGTGAGTGGAGCAAGCTGAATAGATGGATAAGGAATGAGCTGCTCAGAGCGCCCTCGACACTAGAATATTTTTACTAGTGTTCATCAATCATTTGGGCTATGGTGGAAGTGCATGTAGTCTATGTTGAGTGGAGTGTTACCTCTTTTCCTCACTGTTTATCGTTGGAATATTCAATTCAGGGTCCTTTCTGTGAATATAGTTGTACTGCTGGGTTTGGTCCACTCCGCACGCACTGTCTCTAGACGAAGTATGCTCATTATATTACAAACATTCTCGCGACGTATTCAAGTGACCAAGTACTGCACTATCTATGGCACCCCATTTGGTGAGTCACTGAACGATGGTCAGATGTCGGCAGACTATCGGGGATGGGGTTAGAGGGAGCGAGGAGAGGAAGAGGAAGAGAGAAAGAGAAGAATCGATGGAACGGTTCAAGCCCAAGCAGAGTCTTGCTGGGTTTGGATCGTCGGCAGTCTCTGTTGCTGGTGCTGTTGCAGATGGCGGTACCAAGGGTGAATATAGAATATAGAATAAAGCGCTCTGTTTGAATGGCGATGGACTGTCTGCTGTTGAGTTGACCATGCACGCTCCTCAGTGCCACGAAGGTCTCTCTTGTACACTGCGTTTGTTTGTTACTTACTTGGGCTTTGACTTGAATCCACTCCACTTGAAGGCGCCAAAAACTCATAAAAACCACACCCAAAACGAATCACTCTTACTCCTCTTTCTTCTCCTTTTCCCTTTTTCTTCTTGCTTGACCGTCTTGACCTCATTGTCATCAGACTATTCTCATTCATCCTTCTTTCCTCCTTCTTTCGACGTATCTCTCGATCATCATCAGTCCACACTGTAACCATCCATACTCATTCTCACGATTCACACTATTCTCACTATCTTCACTCTTGCTCAAATCCACCGCCACCAAAATTGGTATACACCTTCTCAAGTCGTCTGTACGCCGTCGAGATTCGCATCCAGACAAAGGGGCAGATGTAAGTCGCCTCAAGGCCCTCCTGCTTCCCTGTTATCTCGGGTATTTTTCTTCCCATCTTCTTGTCCCTTTTACGGTTATGGTTTTTGGCAAAAGGGCACGAATGAGATCTGTCTAGGGTTCATCGCGTTGCTGGGTATCAACCCCTGGATGCGCTCAACACATTCGCGGCCCATCCGTTATATCTCAACAACTATACCTTCGTTGTTAAGCTTTGGCCCATGCTCGATGACACTTCGGACCACAAAAAAAAATCCCTCATATTTGTATGGTGCTGTAGTGCTGCACCTTCTGCATCGATCACCCATAGCACGAATCTTGCTGTTACCGAGAATTTCTATTCAGATTTAAGGTGTTGTCCAAGAAGGGGCAAAGGAGGTCAAAGCAAAATGTTTGGGTATTTGGGAAACATCCTCCCTCGAGGTGGCTAACAAGGCCGCAGTCCTTTTCCCCTTTCCTCCCTCCCCCCCCCCCCCCCCCCCCCCCATCCCCCAAAGGGTCCATTACCATTATCGCTATCGCATAATACCCTTCGATCGGTTACGGTGCATCCCATTGCCAATCACTGTATATTTTCGGCAATCAAGTAGACATCCCGATGGTCTCAACAAAGAGCTATATGCGACTATGAACATGAACATGGACATGGTCGGGATGGGCCCCATAAGAAGAGCAATTTTTACTTTTTTTTTTGTATGTTGTTATTCGCACGACCATGTGCCACTGGGTATGGATCTGCTTGGTCAGAACCAGGCTGAGACGCAAAGCAGCGACGTACGCGATACATGCATACACACATGCATCGATGGATGTGGCGATTGTTATCTAGGGTATGCAGCATGCTGCAACGGAAATGCACATTAAGCTACTCGACTCTCTTCAGTCCACTACGACCATTCATGTGTAACTGTACCTGTCCATGGCCAAATTTTTCTTTTTGCTCCTATGCTCCACCATCGGATTTCTTACGCGCTCTTTTAACACGCCAATGGGTCGCTGCCTTTCTACCATGCCGCCCTCCCACCTGCATCATAGGCTTTTGTTGGGCCACAGACACACATGAGCTCCTCTTTTTTTCCACGAGACATGTCATGTTAAAAATACACGTTGGAAATCATTTTGTCAACCCCCTTGCAGCGAAGTGCTGTCGTTGAAACGAAATAGTCGGGAAAAAAAAAAGAAAGTATTTAAGGGACATGCTGACATTTACATGGCTCGTCCGCTCATTCTCTTTCCTCCTTAATCATCAGTCTAGCAAAAAACCTCCGTCGATCTCACCTTATCCTAGGTTTCCTTCAGCTCAACCCCGATTGAGTTTATCAGGTAGACCACGGTGCTTTAGCATCTACCACTTTTTTTCCTCGCAGCACTTGTACATTGCCCGATGTGGTTTTTTTTTATACCATTGCTGCACTCAACTCCTCATTGCATGTTATTTATTATCGTGAGCGTGAAACCAGTCGTGTACAATGTCGACAAACAATTCCAGCAGCAAATCGATTCTCGAGGATAATGCATCATCTCCCATCAAGTGCTTCCTTTAACACTTGATATGGAAACATTCCAAACATTTGGACATTTGGGGCATCAAAGCCCTGTCACCGCACCGACCAAATGTTGCCTTTGCATCTTTGGTTGTGGCCATTCCGTCCAAGTACCAGCCCCACACACTGCGTTTCCTAGTCTTCCTTTCCCGTTGTCCCTATGTTGATTTTAACTATTTTTACTCTCTCCATGTATGCCATATGCCAGCGCATAGTTTTGTTGCCCTGGTATGGAAGTCATGCTCGCCAGCGCGTTATTTGTTGTATTTTATTGTTCACTTGCATAGACTACCGACTGTCATGTGTGTTTTTGTTTGGATACAAAGCGTGGTTGTTAAGGTTTTTTGCCTTCCGGCGTTTACTCGGGTTGGACTGGGCTGGATTCAGCTGAGTTCAAGGTAACACCGCGCAGGGGGCTCTGTTCAAGTCAATAGAAAGTGGGAAAGGAAGGAAAGGGTTGTACACAAACAAACATAACTGAAGTGCGGTGATATTCCTTAGCTCGCTCTTCCAGAAAAGGGCGTCAACGACTCCAATGGTCTGGATTGTCCCTTGTCCCATGGTTGTATCAGAGGGGCGGGCCAAAAAACAACATTGCCTTTTTTTTTTTTTTCTTCTTGTTTTCCTTCTTTGACACCACGGCCAACATTTGAACTCATTTCGCTCCTTCCATCGCTCGCTTCGTTCGAAGTCACTTTTTTTTTTTTTTGCGCATATTGACCACGCTACCCCCTGAATTTCTTCATTTTCCAGACAGTCCAGGCATATCTTTACGTCAAATCCGCAACAGACTCTGCTATCAAGTTTCTACCAGGTAAATGAGCTGACAGAGCCTTCGTCTGCATGACAGCATGCAACATAGTCGATGTGCGAACATGCTGCAGTCCATTGATAATGTCGACCTTTCAGCTAAAGATAATCATTTCTTACTCTCATAGACAACAGCTGCTATTCATTGAACCAACCACTTTCAGTCAACAAACAGCACACAACAGGCAAAAAAAAAAAAAAAATCCGCATTCAACCCCAGGGAATGGTTAGACTCAGTAGGAATCAGTCCCTACCTGCACCCCCAAGTCATGGAGCCACACTTCGCAAAGTCAGCACAAATGCGTTCTCATTTCCGACCCTCAACTTGACCAGAACCTTGAGCGAGAGGAGTCTTTCCAGCAGTAACGCCGGCGGATCCACTTCGCGGTCCTCGTCAAAGTCCCGAGGCAGATCGCGCTCGGGATCGACAGCACCCATTCCTCTTGCTCCTATCATTAGCGCTATTCAAAAGGGCAACTTCGTCATGCTGTCTGAGCTCGACCTAGATGTGCTCATCAAAGACATGACCGGCAAGGACTCGAAGGTCTTGGAAGCCCTCAACATCACAGCCTCGTCCATCTCCGCCGCCGATGCCAAGATTCTGGCCAAGCTCATCAAGTCATCTGATGCCGCCAATATCAAGTCGCTCAAGATGGAGGGCAACATGATCAGTCAACAGGCGAGCAAGGTCATGTTTGAGGCATGGAAGTTCAACAAGACGATCTCGACTTTGAGCCTTGCGCGGTCTGGCGTCAATGACAAGGCAATCAAGTATCTGGCAAGGGTCATTGTCAAGAACGAGACACTCAAGACGCTCGATCTGTCTGGAAACCACATCACGGCCCACGGAACTGAATTGTTGGCTGAGGCGCTCGTTCTGAACCGAGGAGTGACACGGCTATGCATACAGTCCAATAACATCAAGAAGGCGGGTGCGCCGCATCTGGTCAAGATCCTTGCCAAGAACAGGGTCATTCGACACATGAACATCGGATCCAACGGTCTGGGAGCGGATGGTATCACATACATCGCAGAGGCCGTTAGGTTCAATCGGACGCTCACTTCACTCAGTTTAGACATGAACGAGATGGGATCCAAAGGAGCGGCAGCGATAGCGACAGCGTTGATCTCCAACCGTCATCTTACCCATCTTTATCTGCCTCACAATAACATTGGGGACAAGGGTCTGGCGGACATTTGTGAGAGCCTGAAGCGCAACAAGTACCTTATCAGCCTCGACCTGGAGCTTAACCATATCGGCCAAGGACAGTCCACGGTCGGTCTCAAGGCACTCGGTGACGTTTTGAGGGTCAACACCAGCCTCCGGGAACTCAACCTATCCTTCAACCTCTTCTCAGCTGAAGCCATTCAGGAGTTGGTCAATGGCATGACCATGAACACGACTCTGGAAAGTGTGGTCTTCACTAACTGCTGCCTCTCTACCGAAGCCGCTGTGGCACTATCGAAGGTGCTTTCGTCAGTGACGGGACTTCAGAACCTTGGTCTGACAAGCAACCCTGATATCGGTGTCCAGGGTTATTGGGCCCTCGCTTCAGGACTCGTCAAGAACCGATCGTTGAAGGGCATTCAGCTGGATTACAATTCGGAGGACCGACAGGCGCTCTACGAGTCGTTTCAGAACTCGCTCACCAGGAACCATATCTGGCAGCAGGCGATTTACGCTGCAGCATGTCGCATCTTGATTCTTTCGAGAATCGTCCTCTTGGGCCGGCCCGCGAACCAGAAGCAGCTCCAGTTGCAGCAACAGCACCATGTACAGCATCACAACCAGCACCACGGATGGAACATCTTTCGACGTGTCAGGTTGGGCAGGAGCAATTCGTCCAACTCGATCACTTCATTATGGTCAATGGGAAAGAGCGGCCATAATGGAAACCATGGTCTCCAATCAAATGGTGCAGATGGCGGTGGAGTGGAGGGTGATGTAGGCTACAACATGAGCCATGGTAATTCGTACTCGCGTAAGATGTCGGTCAATGGTTCGTCCAGCAAAGCTGTGCCCCGGCAGTCGTCGAACTCGAGTCTTTTGTCGAACTCCCGTCATGGTCCCAAGGAATCGATTTCGAGCGCCACTACTGTCGCGGATCATCACCACCAGCACCAGCACCACCCTAGCCACTATCACACGCTCTCGAATGCATCGGCAACGACCGCGACCGAGGTTGAATACAATCCTCACAGGATTCTAGCCAACCTGTGCAACATGCCGCATGAGATATTTGAGAACATTTGCGCGTTCCTTGATCCAGGCCGTACGATGAGCATTGCGCAGGTGCGGGCTACGGTACAGACAGCGGGCGATCGGACAACATTTGTGCGGTATTATACCCGAGAGCGGATGCTTGAGCGGATCTTTAACAGCCGATACATCTCGCCTCATGGTACACGATATACCCTGAAGCCAGGCGATGAGAGGATCTAGGGACTCTATCTTTGGTTCATTCTGTCAAATACCAACATGCATGCAACTCAATACACCACGCACTCAGCATTTGCACTCATCTCAGTACATACTCGTTCAAGTTCATTTTGTTTTTTTATCACAACCCTTCTTTCTACTCGTATTGAGTAGGAAAAAAAAGTTCGCTCCTATACCTTTGCTCGTCACGGCGACAAGCACATGGATCGTGTGAGAGATATCCAGTCTTTAGTCTTAGACTAGTAATAGTAAAAGCCCAGCTCCTATTGAAGTCGCTCTTCTTTACCATCATCCTTGCGCTCCGTTATCTTGTTTGCCGAATTGTTATGATGTTTTGCTTTGTATTTATTCAGTTTCCTTTTGCTTCACTGTTTTTACGTCAGGTCTACTTTGATTCCTCGACCTTGTAGGTGTTCTCGTTCAGGATCTCGTCAATATCAAAGCGGAGCTGCTCGACACATGATGCATCGACAAAGACATGTGTATCGTCGAGATCTTCGATAATGAACTGGCCCTTTTCATTCAGGCCTAGGATGATCTGTTTAACGGACGTATCGCTGGGCAACGGAAACATGGTTTAAATGTGAGCGCCACCACTTTTATTTTTTTCTTTGTTTAATGCTGAGCGGAGAAGGTGGTCCTTATGCATAAAGGCACTTACCATTCTACAACGACGCCTGAGATGGTAGTTATTACAACAGAGGCACAGAGAGGGAATGATGCTGTTAGTGAGACGGCTGCAGAGGGGAAATGGAGTTCGTATGGGGGAGCTATTGCTGGTCCTGAGGCAAGGTGGGAGAATTTATACCTCTGATAGCTTTGACCATGGCGCAAACACTGAGAAATGGATGACTGGACAGAAGAGTTGAGGCAAAAGAAGACTGCGACAACAAGCAAAGGCGAAGTGACAAGAGGAAAATCCGAATGGAATGGAAGGAGTAGATGAGGAAGGTCGTCAGCAGCATGCGAAGAAAGATGCGTTTGAAGACATTTCAATTGAAGAAGGTAAGCTCGTTCGAAATAGGCAGGTGGATGTTTTGCGCTTGAACCTGGAACCTGGACCATGAAAAAAAAAAAACGCCTTTCGGTCACATCACTCCCACAACAGCATAACAGCACAGCACATCAGCACCAGCATTGGCACCAGAGCTTTCACGCGCGTCTCTTCTTCCTCCTTGCGCGGATCCTTCTCTTGTATACACCATCGCGTGCCGGAGTACTAAGCAACACTCAAGATTCACCTCCTGAAGGCAGCTGTTGGGACACGCAACAATCATACATCAATACTGAAAGCATGACACCAAGAACTCCAGAACAGAACCGGACAGCGACGATGGTCCTGCCAAAGTCTCCTGCTACAACATTCCATTCTCGCTCGCCATCTCGCGCCACTACCTCCACACGATCGAGTCCTGTCAAGAAGGCGCTCTTGCCGCATTTACTCTCTGCCACAGGCACATCACCGTCCAAGCGACTTTCAGGAACCGTTGTATCAGAAAAAGGAGGAAGTGCCACGGGAGCAGAAAGACCATCTCAGCAGTCCAGGGAAACAGCCCGTTATGCGAAGCATCTCATGGCCCTGTCTGCAGGACTATCCACACCTGGGCGAAGAGGTGTCGGCGGCAGCAGTGGCTTCCTCAATGGTGGTTCATCTCGTTTCTCTGCCTCCGCTACCGCAGGCGCTGGTTTAACTTCAGGAGCAATAACATCGTTAACAACAGCAGGATCCATCTCGTCTTTGTTTGGGTCCCCGTCCGTTCTCAGAGACAGCAACAAGGATAATATCAGCAATAACCTTACTACGCCGAGTACCACCCCCGCTACACCTTATTCCTCCTCTTCTTCAACAAACAGCGGGATAAGCGACTCGAAGCAATTGAACGCCAACAAAGCCTTGTTCCTGTCCTCATTGTCCGCTATATCTACAACTCCGAAATCCGTTCTCGGTAAACGATCAATCAGTACAACAGGCATGGTCCCGACTACACCGAGCGGTGCGACTTTTGCTACGACTACGCCGTCGTTGTTCTCATCACCTTTGCAGCTGGGGATCAAGACACCAAAGACTCCATCCACCTCTATCTCATCATCAACACCATCGCATTCACCACAGCGCGCACGGGGGTATGGACGCGTGGCGAGTATGAGTGGACTACCGATGTCGTCGAAGCAGACTCAGGAACCACCAAAGTCGTTGGCGGCACAAGCGGCATCGAGTCTGACAAGGACGATTAGCTCGGGTGGGTTAACGACGAAGTTGGAGGTTGTGACGAATGATTGGCTCGGGAGTGGGACTTCACCGAAGCGAGGGCGAAAAGTGTACAATCAGGTACGGAGCTACACCTTCGTCTGTTGTCTTTTTTTCTGAGACCGCTTGGCAACTACTTTCGATTGCAATTTTTTTTTTATGGTGGCAAGCATAGTTATTGACTTTTAATTCTTTATCTCCACAATTTTCTTCTAGGGCGACCGCTTTATACCTAACAGAACGGCAACGAATATGAGCAGCGCACAGGCGAAGTTGGAGCTCGTCCGTCACCCTTCGTTCTCGGGCGGATCAGAACTCACAGATGAGGCCAGCGTTGCATACAGTCAACAGATCGCCGAAGCCTGCGGGATCAACCTCGACAGCCGTATGCTTGCATTTTCGGCCGAACCGCCCTCAATGGACGGCAGCAACGGGCGGGATGCGTCCTCGGCAGTGCGGAAGATCTACAGTCGCCACCCGAGTTTTACGCGGTCGAATTCGAATCTGCTGTTGAAGAAGCGGACGATCTTGTCAAGCCCCGAGAAGGTGCTGGATGCGCCTGGGTTGAGGGACGATTATTATCTGAATTTGTTGGATTGGTCGTGTTCGAATATTGTGGCGATCGGTTTAGATAAGTCAGTCTTTATCTGGGATGCGGAGTCCGGACATGCGGAGTCGTTGTTGACGCTGACGGGAGGGACAGATGCGATCGCATCGGTATCATGGGCGTATGATGGACTGTATCTGGCGGTGGGAACGTTTGATGGAGATACACAGATCTGGGATATTGAGACAAAAACGAAGGTGCGGTCGATGACGGGCCATGTGGCGAGAGTTGGAGTCCTGGCTTGGGACAAACATATTTTAAGCTCTGGGTGTAGGGACGGATCGATTTGGAACCATGATGTGAGGATTCAGAACCACAAAGTCGCGGAGCTGATCAACCATACGAACGAGGTCTGTGGACTTGTTTGGAGGGCTGATGGACAGCAGCTGGCGAGTGGAGGGAATGATAACTTGGTAAATATTTGGGATGCCCGGACGACAGCGCCGAGGTACACCAAGTCGAACCATACCGCTGCCGTCAAGGTAAAGAGCGAACTCAATGGGTCGAGACTTTTGATCATCACAATTTTATGAAGGACGCGACGCTGACACATACTTATGTATCTTTCTTTGTTTTGCTTTATCATGATAGGCACTGGCTTGGTGTCCGTGGCAGAATAACTTACTGGCGTCTGGAGGAGGCACGTACGATAAACAGATCCATTTTTGGAACACCTCGACTGGTGCACGAGTGAGCACGGTCAACACGGGCTCGCAGGTGACTTCAATCGTATGGTCGACCGAGTACAGGGAATTCATGTCGTCGCATGGGTATCCCGACAACAATCTGTCCGTGTACGGGTACCCGTCAATGAACAAGGTGATTGATATCCCTGCGCATGACTCGAGAATCCTGCACACGGCGATTTCACCGGACGGACAGACGGTGGCGACGGTTGCGAGCGATGAGAATTTGAAATTCTGGAAGCTGTTTGAGAGGCAGACTAAGAAAGATGTGAAGGCAAAACGGAATGCGACGTTGACGAGGGCAGGTTCTTTTGGTGGGACGCTGGGAGATGACGAAGACGATGATCGGAGGGGCGGGGCTGGTGGAAGTGGAATTGGAGGGGTCGGAGGAAGTGGGACCACGATTAAGGGAAAGAGTATCTCGTCAATGACTCGGATCCGATGAAAGTGCGTCGCTATGGACGCGTGCATACCTCGATACGGTCTTTCGTTCATTTTCTCTCTCAAACCCAGCCTCAACCTCGACCTCAACCACCTCTCGATGGAGCCAGGCTTTCCCTCATTTCCTTCTTTGGAGGATCATTTCATGGTTGGACTCCCTCATTTATTCTCTCTTCTCAATTGTATTTCTTTGGTTGCTTTCTTCACTCTGGAGTGGGGCTTAAAGCCGTAAAGCAGTAAAGTGAAGTTTTCTCACTATCTGGGTAATTTTGACCGCCCCATAGTGCGTACTGTATAAAAAAATGAAAAAAAATGAAAATAATGTTGGAAGCCGTAGTGGGATTGATCCTAATTCAAGCGACTAGTGCTCGTGTCCTGACGATGACAGAAGGCATGAGTCCAAGGTACAGCTGCCTGCTTTTGGTCCGTCCGCATATGTAGAGTTGCTTGAGTGTGTGCGGGGAGAGTCATTCGCAAATAAGGATTTGAGATGGGCATTGAAGTTGTATAGCACGTTGGCATATTGGCATTTCTGGTGAGTGGTGGATCTGTTTTTCTGGATGGGTGAGGATGATATTCTGTGGACCGTCTGTAAACATCCAGGCTGGACATGTCCTCTTTTATTTGGTTTTTTGTGGCGCGCATGTGTGTATTGGTTACCACAGTGCGCTGTAGTCAATCAATAGCTAGGGCATCATGGACGGTGCAAGCTTGACGGTGCAAGCCTTACAATGTGCGCATTGAGGTGTTCAGCAGCCAGGAACAATCGATAGACATCTCTAGCATAAAAAAACAAAAAAAAACAGTGCCTTTGTTCGAAAATTGGGACTCCATGCAGTATCATACGCGCCTTGTGTAAACAAAACCTAACAACGAGGCTGTGTGTGAGCCATAGAGCTGCAGAGCTGCACTGACGGACAACTCTATTTCTCCACAAAGCAACTTAAACCTACGCACAGCACTTGATGGGACACGGTTCAAATGAAGCATGCATTTGCAATGAGCAACCATTCAGCTCGTCTCTTCTTCTACCTCTCCTTCTCTGCTTCTCCCTGTATTTTTAAATTTAGTTATTTACGTATGTGAGTATGTAAGTATGCCTTTTTTTTTTTTTTTTTTGAGAAAAATAAAAAAAAGAGTGTAGTGCCGAAGCACTGACCCCAGAAGGGGTGCCAAAAATTCTGGCCAACTGAAAGATGCATACTTTGAGAGGCGTAATGCACCAGGGCCTGGACCTCCCAACTTACTAGGTGCCTCCCGCAGGAAGTATGCCATTGCGTCTAAAGGCCCTGCTCCCGAAAGAGCACCCTCAAAAGAGGGCAACCTCCGACGGAAAGACTTAATCGCGAGTAAACCAATACCCGGTCAAGCATGATCCATTCGGAGAACCCCAATAGCGAGCTACGAGCCTTACCTTCATAGGGTTTAGGACCCGCTCGCGCCACCAAAGGGGGTCGAGCCTCCAGAACACAACAGCAACTTGACGCCCTCACTGCGTCGGGCCCCTACTCCTTACACGCCCACAGTTAAGAGGCGTACTCAAGATATAGAGTAGGAACCGGCAGAACTCCACTACGCAGAGCCTTAGAGAGCATCTAGCAGGCCAGTTGGTCCAATAGAACGATAGAGAAAAGAAAAAACCTCGAGGAGAAGAGTCGGTTTTATACTCCAAGGGTGACTGTCGTCCCTATGAACCCACTGAGACAAGCAAGGAACTGATTCTGTGGCGACCTGTTCACCTTGCTGATAAGATGAATTGAAGCCTGTTACGCTCGATGGGACAGCATTTGATTCCCAGTCACAGTACGCGCCGCATGTCGAGTAAGATATCCTGCAAGCAATCCATACTGCAATCCTCCTTGAGGCTCCTAGCCTGGGAGGAGCTCTCCTTCAGCTCCTCCTAGGTCAAGGAACGTACTTTCTCAGGCACAGCACAACCTTAATCAAACAGAGACGCACTCAGCCTATAGTACGCCATCTAATGTATAGGCTCACCGACGATAGTTGGATTGTACAGTCCACATTCGGATTAAGGTACACCTTGGCTCTTGACCCGAAATATAGTCGACGTATGATTTGGGTCGTATCTAGGTGTTGAGGAGAATCAGAATCTGGCAGGACCTCCATTCGCAACTGCTTCGTCCATATCCTCACTATGCCTAGAGGAATTCAGGATCATCTACGAACAGCTGCCAAGGACGACAAGGACGACAAGGACGACAAGGACTATGAGACGGGATTAAGAAAAAATTTCATTGTCTCTCCTCTGGCTCATTGTCCGGCGCTTCCATGGTATCAATGGTAGCAATAGTAACTTGCCCCTCCAACCCTACTTCAAGTGCAATCACATCACTCAGTATATCTAGCCCGTTTCTCACGATTGTGGCAATACTGCAAGTAAGCGACTGTGCAGGCTGGACGTCAGAGGATAGCAAGCGCCTCTTTTTTTGAGAAAACACAGCGCGGCATATGTTCAGAGCGTCCTGCAGATCCTGCACCGCCTGCTCATGCGGTTCTCCCTCAAGTACGCCCGATTCTTGAGAAGAGCTCACGTCTAGCAGCAGTTCCATCTTATGTTGGCCAGACCGACGCTCCATGATACGCTTGGAAGCACTGTTCTTGAGTGGCTCGGCATCGTTGCTGCTCCGTAAAGAATAATTCGTGTCGGAAGGATCGTCATCTTTGCCTTCATTGCCCTCGCCGATCAGGGTTACACTCCCGGCCGGTAGGATGAAGCTCTTAAGCTTCTCACTGATCGAGACACTCTTGATGGCACCCATGAGCTACTGTGTAGGGCCTTTGCCCTCGCAATACTTAAGGTACGTGAGTATACCAAAATCCTTCAGCCATTTGATGGCTTCTGCACGACCAGTTAGTTCTTGCTTGAGCTGCTCCGCCTCATAGTCCTTGTCGTCCTTGTCGTCCTTGTCGTCCTTGGCAGCTGTTCGTAGATGATCCTGAATTCCTCTAGGCATAGTGAGGATATGGACGAAGCAGTTGCGAATGGAGGTCCTGCCAGATTCTGATTCTCCTCAACACCTAGATACGACCCAAATCATACGTCGACTATATTTCGGGTCAAGAGCCAAGGTGTACCTTAATCCGAATGTGGACTGTACAATCCAACTATCGTCGGTGAGCCTATACATTAGATGGCGTACTATAGGCTGAGTGCGTCTCTGTTTGATTAAGGTTGTGCTGTGCCTGAGAAAGTACGTTCCTTGACCTAGGAGGAGCTGAAGGAGAGCTCCTCCCAGGCTAGGAGCCTCAAGGAGGATTGCAGTATGGATTGCTTGCAGGATATCTTACTCGACATGCGGCGCGTACTGTGACTGGGAATCAAATGCTGTCCCATCGAGCGTAACAGGCTTCAATTCATCTTATCAGCAAGGTGAACAGGTCGCCACAGAATCAGTTCCTTGCTTGTCTCAGTGGGTTCATAGGGACGACAGTCACCCTTGGAGTATAAAACCGACTCTTCTCCTCGAGGTTTTTTCTTTTCTCTATCGTTCTATTGGACCAACTGGCCTGCTAGATGCTCTCTAAGGCTCTGCGTAGTGGAGTTCTGCCGGTTCCTACTCTATATCTTGAGTACGCCTCTTAACTGTGGGCGTGTAAGGAGTAGGGGCCCGACGCAGTGAGGGCGTCAAGTTGCTGTTGTGTTCTGGAGGCTCGACCCCCTTTGGTGGCGCGAGCGGGTCCTAAACCCTATGAAGGTAAGGCTCGTAGCTCGCTATTGGGGTTCTCCGAATGGATCATGCTTGACCGGGTATTGGTTTACTCGCGATTAAGTCTTTCCGTCGGAGGTTGCCCTCTTTTGAGGGTGCTCTTTCGGGAGCAGGGCCTTTAGACGCAATGGCATACTTCCTGCGGGAGGCACCTAGTAAGTTGGGAGGTCCAGGCCCTGGTGCATTACGCCTCTCAAAGTATGCATCTTTCAGTTGGCCAGAATTTTTGGCACCCCTTCTGGGGTCAGTGCTTCGGCACTACACTCTTTTTTTTATTTTTCTCAAAAAAAAAAAAAAAAAAGGCATACTTACATACTCACATACGTAAATAACTAAATTTAAAAATACAGGGAGAAGCAGAGAAGGAGAGGTAGAAGAAGAGACGAGCTGAATGGTTGCTCATTGCAAATGCATGCTTCATTTGAACCGTGTCCCATCAAGTGCTGTGCGTAGGTTTAAGTTGCTTTGTGGAGAAATAGAGTTGTCCGTCAGTGCAGCTCTGCAGCTCTATGGCTCACACACAGCCTCGTTGTTAGGTTTTGTTTACACAAGGCGCGTATGATACTGCATGGAGTCCCAATTTTCGAACAAAGGCACTGTTTTTTTTTGTTTTTTTATGCTAGAGATGTCTATCGATTGTTCCTGGCTGCTGAACACCTCAATGCGCACATTGTAAGGCTTGCACCGTCAAGCTTGCACCGTCCATGATGCCCTAGCTATTGATTGACTACAGCGCACTGTGGTAACCAATACACACATGCGCGCCACAAAAAACCAAATAAAAGAGGACATGTCCAGCCTGGATGTTTACAGACGGTCCACAGAATATCATCCTCACCCATCCAGAAAAACAGATCCACCACTCACCAGAAATGCCAATATGCCAACGTGCTATACAACTTCAATGCCCATCTCAAATCCTTATTTGCGAATGACTCTCCCCGCACACACTCAAGCAACTCTACATATGCGGACGGACCAAAAGCAGGCAGCTGTACCTTGGACTCATGCCTTCTGTCATCGTCAGGACACGAGCACTAGTCGCTTGAATTAGGATCAATCCCACTACGGCTTCCAACATTATTTTCCTTTTTTTTTTGTACCCAAGCTCCTGCCAAATTATTGTGGACAACCTAACGACCTATGGACACGCAGCAGCAAACTCATATTGTCTATACATGCATATCGGGTTTTCGCTGAGGAGAAAACAAATCTTCTTATTAATGCGCACTTATCTTCCGTTGGATCGTTAGCTTCAGCTGAAGTTGTTGTCTAGAAGGACAGATAACAACCCTTGTCACTGCATTAAATATAGCACTGTGGGCTTAAACATTTTTTATAGAGAAATAGGCCTATAATGGGTACGAGAGCATGTATCTCCGATTTTGTCCGCGCTTGTTTACTAGCCGCCTTTTATTGTTAGACACTTTCCCTGCCTTTGGTACCGTAGATTCCTCCTTAAGAGACAGTGCTACTACACTGTGTCGGAATTTTATACATACGGTTTCCAAGGAAGAAACGATCGAGCTTAGGGAGATAAATCAAATGATGCTCAACCAAGAACTGCAGCGCGATGAGCCGGCCGACCGACTTGAATTGGCAGTAGTCGGCGCATCCCCCCGGGGATGCCAAGGACGAAGATGCAGACATGGGCATCGCTGAGTTTGCCGGTGGCGGCGGCGGCGGTGGTGGTGGTGGTAGAGGTAAGCGATGGCGTCCTCCTTGCCCCTGTCTATGCTCGTATCCCTGGCCTAGAGTTTGACCTTGAGAATGAGGTAGCGGAACTGAACGTAGGTAGTGGCGCTGGTACCAACTGGAAGCACTGCTCTGATCACTGCCTGAGGAGGTATTGTTGGCGGTCACGGTGGGTAGATTTGACGGTAATATTGATGTGAGTTGTACAGAGGATGGGGTTGGCGACATAGAGTCATTATTATTGCTGCAGTCGTTACTGTTGCTATTGCAGTTATCGTTGCTGTTGTTCGCAGGAGTGCAGGAATGGTCTGACGACGTGGATGATGAGTCACTGCTATATACGGCTCTTGACGACGACGAGATCGAGTCCTGTTGAGAGGCTGCGCCGGACGATGCATCAGACCCCGATATGGAGGATCCAGAGGCACCACTGCCGGACGCCGCAGATGCGGGCCTCGACCAATCAGATCCTGATCCAGCTCCTGACCCAGCTCCTGATCCTGATGCCCAGCCGGACGAACGGTCGCTAGGTAGGTTGTATGAAGAATCGCTGGATGGGTAGAACGGCGAGGACGCACTAGACGGTTTTGAAAGCGAAGATAATGCGTTGATCGATTGAGACTGCGACCCCCTAGCCAAAGAAGCGTCCGAACGGTTGTCCGCGCCGCTAATATTTCCATCGCCGCAGTTGTTGGTGCCTTTGAACAGACTCTTGATAAACATCTGCATCACCTCTTCTTCCTCGAGATCCAATCTCTCGTCGACGGTAAGCTCCTGGATCTCAAGTCTTAGCACAGTCAGCAAATGCCCACAAGCCCATCGAGGGATCGACGCGATCAGGTCCTGGAGTGAAAGTGGCACCTTGGACTCAAAGGTCTGGAGCTGTGGACAGCATTCCAGGATCCGGAAACAGGCCTTGCGAAGCTGGAGTAACGTGTCGAGTTGCTGTTGCTCTTGTCGTTGGGTCTCAAGGGTCTGCTGCAGGAATGGGGCTTGCTGGCGCTGGCTCTGGTTCGGGTCGTGCTGCTCTTGGTACTGCTGCTGTTCATGGTACCGTTGCTGGTACAATTGCTGCGACCGATGGGGCAGAGGCTGAGACTGCAGTTGATCACGCTGAAGAGGGTGTGCAAGATGAATACTCGTTAGGCAAAGTAACCGATTGTTATCGTTGTTGTTGCTGTTGCTTCTGTTATTGTTGAGAGAGATGAGGAGGTGGTGTATTTTCAAGGTCTGTGTGTGTGTGTGTGTGTGTGTGTGTGCGTTTTCTGAACAATATCCGCCGAAGCAAAGCCCATGGATACTCTCAATAACAGAGTTCATAGAAAAGTATCCACACTGCTATTACCTGAGCAAAAGGAGGCTTGCTGTACTGTTGCTGCTGCTGGTATAGCTGGTGCTGGTGTTGCTGCTCTGCATCATCGAGAACTTGGAAGGACGTGAGATGCGGGTAATGGTACTCAAGCAAGGTCTCCACCAAGCCGGGGCATCTGGCCACCACCTTCGAATGTACGACAAACTGCTCCAACCGCGGGATCGCCTTCAATACCAGCGTTAGCCGCTGCGGTCCACCATGTCGGTGCAGCTCCTGGCCTAGATAATCATCTACTAACAATGGCTCGTTCAAGACAAGTCGATGCAAGCTGGGGCAACCATTCAAGAGTGTCTGTGCCAAGTCGTCGACCATGCTCGACAGTCGACTAACCGTTACATCCATGCTGTCGCTGTCGCTCTCCATACAGAAGCTACTGCTGCAGTTTCCGCTTCCGTAAGCACCACCCCTATTACTATCGTTGTTATTCATACAGCCGTCCGTGTCGGCCCTACTACTGAATCCATTGCTGTCAAAGCTGGGATACGGGGCCAATCGACTAAGTCCCTCTTCCAATGCCAGTGTCCCCAGATTCGGGAAGAACGCCACCACCTCCGGGACGATAATCGTGCCTCTGAATGTCAACGAGTTGACCGAATGGAACTGATGCTGTGATCGAAGTCGCTGGACGCACTCTTGGCATGTCGAGCGCCAACGCGGTCCACCGTCCTTTTCCTTGCCCTGAAACCCATCGCCGTAATTTTGGCATCGACTGTGCTGCTGTGATCCACCGCTACTATCCCATTGCGTCCGTTCCTCGTCTTGATCCACAAGCATGGCTTCGTTATTTTTGCCTTGTACGTTCGAGCGCCATTCTCCGTCCTGGTTTTCAAAAGAAGTGTCCGTGTCCATCATATTCGTGTGCTGTTGCTGCCGTACCTGTTGTTGTTGCCGATACTGGTCATGGCAGTACGTATGCGTCGAGGATCTGATCGATACTAGCGCGACAATATCAAGATCAAGGACCTGGAGCGAAGGGAGGAGGCGCATCACCTCAAGGAACTCATCCATCAAAAACTCGTATTGGAGCAGTTTCAATTGGGTCAGTTGGCTGAACTGAAGCGATTGCGACTGGATCCCCTGCAAGAGTGAACTCTTCATTATCGTATTCGGTGATCTTGGCTGCTGTTGAGTGTTGTTCTGCGCGTGTCGGTAATACATCTGGCTCTGTTTCCGGTACGGAGTCTGGTTCTGGTTCCGATCCGATGCATGTGCGGCGTCTCTCTTCCTTGATCCAGATCGTCTCCTGTTAGCCCTCCGCCCATTGCCGATCCCACTTCCTGTTACGCTACTGTCCCCGTCATTCTGGTCACTGTGCTTGGTCTGTCTCGCCTGTTTCCTTCCCCGTCCTCTTTTCCGCCCATTTCCATCGGCCATCTCATCCCTCTCTGCACCTCCTGTCACTGCTCTTGAACCCTTACCACCGTCGATTGATCCGATCCCGAGATTCGACTCAGCAACGCCACCAATACCATCATCCTGGTGTTGTCCCTGACCTTGTTTTGAGAATGATGATAGTGGCGTCGTAGATGTCACCCTCTTCCAAGGCCTGTCCATTCGGGCGCGTCTCCTCAACATCTTGCCACTCGACGGAACAGCTCCACCACCTCCACCACTACCATCATGGCCGCCGCCATTGCCATCAACACCCATATTAGACGAAGAAGACCGGGGGTTGATCTCCAGCCTCTTCAGTTGGTTTCGAAGGCTCTTGTTGACCATGCTGTCAGAAACAATCGACGGAGCCATCAGTACAGACTCGGTCGGGCTTAAGCTTTGCATCATTCAGCGACTTGGCATCAATGTCTATGCCGGCTCCCCTTCTCTTAAAAAGAGCTTTATCTCTTCTCAACGACAGCACACTTCTCACTCTTGAACTTTCTTTCTCTCTCTCTTTCTCTTTCTCTCTCTTTCTCTCTCTTTCTCTCTCTTTCTCTTTCTCGCTCCTTAGCTCTTCCTCAATATGTTTGTTCGTGTCTGGTGTAACCTGGCTGGTTGCCGACAAGGACAAGAGACTGGTCGGGAACGGGCAGAGGCAAGGAGCAAAGGGCGACAAACGATCAACCAATAAGGCTGGATGGAGAATCCGCTAGGGGACAAAGCGTAGCGAGCGAGCGAGATAGCAGCAGCAGGCAGACAAAGCCGAGGCCGAGAGACCTGAGAAGGAAAGGGATGGATTGTGGGGGGACACGAAATCGGGGTGAGCTACAGGAAAGCAAGAAAATTGGATTCGTGAACAAAAAAGCTTGGGGAGAAAAAAAAAACGCGTGCTTAGCAAAGTGGCGAGTGCGCCGGTTCTTACTCAAATAGGAGGAGAAAGGAACTAGTTCTTTTCAATGGTTGATGTGAAAGGAAAGAAAAGAAAAGGATAGGAAAGGACAGGAGAGAACAAACAATTGCCGGCTTTGTTTGCTATATGCAGACTAGCACGAAAAGACAACGAGCACAGGAATGGTAGTGAGGAGAGAGCGAAATGCGGGAGGCCAGATAGTAAGAAGGGAGAAGGTATTTATACTGCTGCTGGGAGATGGAGATGGAGAATTGAGCTAGTGTGCTGGCTGTGAAGTGTGCAGTTGAACAGTGAACAGTGCTGTGTCCAAAAGGTCATTTAAAAAGAGTGATATCAGAATTTTCTCGTTTGCAGTGGGAAAGGCAGGGTGCATGGGGCAACAGAGTCGTTAACAGAAAGAGGGGAGGAGAAAGCGGTCAACAAAGCTGTTTGCCAAGGCCGGAGATACCTGTTAAGTCCAAACAACAAAAAAGGCCATCCTTTACTCTCTCTCTCATACCATGGCCACTTGCTATTTAAAGCAGATATGAACTCCAGAGTCCTCGCCAGAAGGTCTGCAACATGATTTCTCAATAGCTCTTTCAGTTTAATGCCTTCGCCACCAATCTGCATCCATCCCCAATCCTATCCTACACACGTCCTATCCTCTTCCTCCTCCCTATCTTCAATTGCAAAAGCAAGTGGGTTGCCAAAACGGGGTAGTATTCAATCTGATTTAGAATTGCCAAAATATAACTCTAACAGCTTTGGCCGCGGAGCATAAAGTGAATCTTTTCCAGGACAGCTTTATGTGGTCGTCCCAGCAATTCAAGAAAGTTGTCTTGTTTTGTCCTCATTGGAAAATTATATTTTAATTGAATACCTAGTCAGTATCGATTAACGCGCTACTAGCTCTGTAGGTGGATGCAGCTGGTGAAGATAATGGCGGTGAGGAGACATGACATCGAAGTGGTTGACGGCGGTTTATTTAGACGCAACCTTATTTGTTGAATTGAGAAGCTATTCTAAAAAAAATATTGGTCCGCGACTTTCTGACAAGGCTCTATTTCACGCATGCACACCTGCGCAACCACCCATCACCCACTCTGGAGGCCGCATATCCTGCTCGTCATTTTATTTTCTTCTTCTTACTCTGTACCTGCTGTTGCTGCCGTGATGAGAGAGAGACGAGAGGGCATTTGTACCAGTTTCCTGGCTTTTGTATGTGTGTAAGAAGGAGTTTTTTCTCTCTTTTTTGCAGGGGCGACATTTGCATATATTTATATTCACTTCAACTTTTTCAGCAGCACGTTACACAACATGGCCTTGTAGTCTACATTCTTGAGGATTGTATGTGGATCTACCCTGTATTCAACTCATGCTGTGCTGAACTTTCTTTTTGGACTATAGTTTTTGAGCGAGTCCGCGACTACGCGTCTACCTTTCCTAAAGCAATTGAGGATCGCCAAGTGCGTTTCCCGTAGCCGCTTTCTCGTCGTGAAGAGAAAGATACGACGACTGGACCAGGTCTCAGGCTCCTTGCGTACTTTTGGATGGAGATAGAAAAGTTTTCCTCCGTGCCCAATGACGACATGATTGCGTATGTCCTAGAATGTATCTGGTACATCCGATTGTACATGTATGGCGAAGTCATTTCGTTCACGTTCGTGTTGTGGAGCTGCCTTTGAGAATTGCAGTGGAGTAACGCGGGAGTGACCAAGCAAACTATGCATAAGGACTGTGATGTAGTCAACTGGCGACATGTGTCATTAAACCTGGCTGCCCAAGTCTACCAAGCAGACAATCTCAGGGACGCACCATTAGTTTTTGGCCTGTCCTCATTCACGGTCTGTATCTTAGTTTGACTTATATTTTTATTTTTATTTTATATCCCCGAAGTGTATAGCAAATAACAGTTTTTTCTTTCCGCCGAGCAAAGGTAAAAGAGACAGGTAAGATAGACTACATCTTTTGCCTTTTCTGTATCTCAGACGCTGCAGGGGGAGTCGTGGATTGTTTGTTTTGGAACGATTGTTCCTTCTTGCTCCTCGGAACAAATGAAATCCTTAATGCCATCCCACATCTTCGGCAACTGTATTGCCTTGCTTGGCTAGGGAGACCAATTGCTCGTTTAGTCTAGACCGAACCCGATTTGGATCAAGAGATCGTCGCACAGCACGCGTCTATGAAAGAGCTTGGGACGGACGTTGTCATTTGTGGGATGAGAGACGCGAGAAATAAAGTTCAGACAACATTCAAATATCTTTAAGCGCAACCGCACTCTCATACGCGGGATAACATCCAAGTACCCTGAGGAACCATTAGCACCACATCTGGACAACGCAGGTTCTCTGCTAGTGTGGCCAGTTTGTAGTTTGGGCAAAGACTATCGCTAATCGAAACTAAATGAACAGCGACACCGCGTTCCAGTTGTTAACGTCGCCAAAAAGATCCTTTTCATCGTGAGAGAGAGGTGTCAGTGCCGTCAACGATATCCTGCGCGCTTTTATTTCGACGCGAATAAATTTGGTATAGACAAAGCAGGAGAACACGCTTCTTTTTGTTTTCTAGCCGTTCAGTACCTAGGCGTCCCATTAATCCCGCTCTCGGCAATTGATTCCGTGTGATCCGAGGTGGCATGTTGCTGCTGCAACTGTAACGATCTTGACGGATACTCCATGCCATGATGTCCACCATGAGCTCCCTGCAGAATATCGGCCACATCATGAACTTCATTTCCATGTAGATGAATTTTCGTATCCTCCTCCGCTCTCGCCGCAGCCTCCCTTTCCAGCCGCTCCTCCTCCTCAAGCACATCCAATGGATCGATATACATCTCCCCGCGCACCTTGCAAATCAATCTCTGGACCCATCCAGGCAGCACATTCGCCAGTGTGAATCCTTCATTCGTCCACGGCTCCTTCAAATCCTTGTCCTCGGGCGTGAACCTGCCTCCAGAGATGATCTCCAAGAAATACACGCTCCCATTGATGACCGCATAGGATCCTACGCCCGCAATCAGGCCATACGCGATCGAGTATGAGAGAGGCATCAACGCGATCGTCAAGAACGCAGGGATGGCATCGCCGATATAGTCCCAGTTGATGGATCGCACAGACTTGATCATCATCGACCCGACTACGATCAGTGCGGGACCAGTAGCCCAGGGTGGGAACGACGCAAAGATCGGCGAGAAGAATAGTGAGATAAAGAACAGGAACGCCGTGACGACCGAGGCCAGACCGGTCTTGCCACCCTCTGTGATTCCGGCGCCGGATTCGATAAACGCTGTAACAGGTGGGACACCAAAGCAGGCCCCGATCGATATAGAGGTCGCATCACACAAGAACGCCGCTGACGATCCGTCAAAGTCTCCGTTCTTGTACATGAATCCTCCAAACTTCGCCATAGAATACAGCGTTCCTGTGGTGTCCATGATATCGACGTACAAGAATGTGATCAGCGCGATCCAAATCTCCGAGTTATTCAGCTGAAAGTTCATCTTTCCCAGCGTATACTCGATCGGATGGAAGGTCACAACTTTCTTGAAGTAATCAAACATGGCGTTGCCGGCGTCCGTGTACGGGAAGTACGTGAATGTCGTGCCCCGGAACCAGGACAAGATTGAAATGAACAAGATCCCGACCAAGACCGCACCCTTGACGCGGTAGAGTAGACAGATCGATATGATCACGAATCCAAAGATACCCATCCAAGTAGTCGGACTCCGCATGCGCGTTCCATCCTCACATAGGCCCGTCGCATCCTTGATACATCCTGTCAGGGTCACCAGCGTGGCATCATCTCTTCCGATCAACCCAATACCAGCCGAAGACTGGACACCGATGAACATCAAGTACAATCCAATGCCGGCACCCGTAGCGATCTTGATCGACTGTGGGACCAACCGCGCGAGCCATTGTCGGATTCCAAAGACTGACAGCAGCACAAAGAGAATGCCCTCTATAAAGACGGCAGCGAGGGCGGTTTCGTACTTGATCGCCTTGGAGCCGTGAAATCCCACGACCGTGTATGTAAAATAGGCGTTCAGTCCCATACCGGGCGCAAGACCAAGAGGGAGGTTCGCAAAAAGACCCATGAGAAGCGTAGAGAGACAGGCGATGGCGGCAGTAGCAGTGATGAGGTCGAGTTTGAGTATCCTAAGACACTGAACGTAGTCGGGGTCATTGAAGCAGCCGACATCGGTGGTGTTGCCAGCATCGTTGCAGACACAGGGACCACCAGAGTCCGTGACAATTAGGGCGTTGACCGAGATGATGTAGGCCTATGCGGAACAGAAGGTGTTAATTTTTGTGTGTAACCAAAAGAGGACTAACGCTGTCAACGCACACCATATTCAACAGAATTCACTGCGATAAAAGGATGAAAGAGAAGACAGCTCCCTCTTTCGGTCCTTCAGGTGCGCTCTTTTGCTTCCCCATCCGGAAATCCCTTCAACTTGCCATGGTCACGAATGTAGTCAGACCAGCACGCAGCTCTGTAGTGAATTTGGAGCCAAGTCGCTCCCGACGCGCACCAGAGCCCTCGAGACGAAAGTATCTTCCGATGGGAGACATCGCCATATTGTAATTCAATCTCTCAAAGAACATGGCCATCTGTGTCCAACGACCGCGAGCGAAATGAATGGATAGTGTGAGGAAGAGTCTGCTGCCTTTGCAGAGTGAGAAAAAAAAGGGAGGGGCAAGTTATAGGTCGTTGATGTATTTTGGAAGTGATCCACTGCGAGCCCTTGCTTGGATATCTGAATTAGTTATCAAGTGAGGCGAAAAGCAATTTCAGCAGAGGATGTCGTGGAGAGAAGAAGAAGAGTGAGGGCAAAAGAGTGCTGTGAGGAGCAAGGGTGGAGTGGAAGAGATGGTGACGGAGGGAGGGCCAGCCGTGAAGCGATGAAGAGAGAGTGATAGAAGGCGCCCTTTTTTTTCCTGTAAAAAAAAAAAAGTCGTCTCATGGCCAGGGAGCATTGCAGCGATGTAAACAAAACGCTAGATAACCCTCCCTCCACTCCCCAGAGCGAAACATCCGTTTGGGTGAATTTCGTTTGACTCGTTTGAGGACGATTCCTTCGAGTCCGCATCCTGATTGGTGACCCACTAGAACAGAAATGAGAGACCCTTCCCCCCACATGGGCGCCGGCAATCACACAACATCTCATATCTTCGCCGCTTATTCGCTTATATGATCAGAAAAGAAAAGACAAAAGACGTTTTGATTCTCGTGGTGTGCATGGCAGAACAAGCGCGCATGGACACTCTGTGTTACACAGGGGTTGGAGAAACGATGATGGGGGATGGGGATGGTCCCCGGATTTAACACAACGCGGTTATTACACATGGTTGTCAAGTAAAGCCGCTGAGTAGCGCGGCACCGTCGATATTCTGACTAAATGAAATAGTCATCAGCTCGATTACCCCTCTAGAGTTGTTCGCTGCCTGACATCATTGTCCGTAGGCGGTGAAGGATCTGGTTGGTACACAGCGTGATGATTCCACCTGGAATTGTGTCTTCGATAGATAATCATGAATCTCTCAATGATGAGCAAGATACCACAGAGGACTTCACAGTTGCTGACCCCGTATTGGATATAACATCTCGTCTGTGTTGATAAAGTACGGATCTTTGCAGCTTTCCTAGTTGAACAGGATGTAAATGTCGGATAAGATGCCGATAGCAACGCTCCAAAGGGTCAAGGTGATGATGGGCCGCCTGAGGGTGGAAGAGAGCGACCAACTGTCGACACTGCGGGCACATAAGGTGAAGGGGGCGATGCTGAAGAGTATGGTGTTGGCACAGAGGTGTATAGGGTCCCGGAAGGATTCCTCAGTGGCGAAAGAGGGGTCGTCATCTAGATAGGGTGGCATATCTAGTTGAGAGGCGGATTGTTAGATGAGAATTCCCTGCCGATAGATATAGCGATGATGCAGGGAGAGCAAGCGCGCGATGAGGACGCGAAACGGAATAATTGTATAGTAGTCCGGGGTCATTAGAAGGATATCCTGGGGAATAGAGTATACGGAGATGCTGGCTGTCTTTATACGCTGTTTTTCTTTTTCTTTTCTTTTCTTTCCAACACCACCGATTGCCCAAACCCGACAGTTTGTAGTCACGCTGATTGATGTTTGCTCTTCTACATTATCTTTTTTCAGCCTATGGCTCCGGAAAGTTGACTGAGAAGGACGACGCTTTTTAATCAAACCCCTTTGCCTCGAGGCCAAGGTGTGAAAACGGTGCTTCGCCCCTTTTTTGTTATATAAAAAAAAATGTGCAGTAGCCCAAACCAGAAGATTCGCCGCATGGAGTATGCTCAAGAACGATACGATCGGCAGCCAATAAAGCCGTAAACGTAGTTACATGGTGTTAGTCCTGGCGACGATGGGGGTGATGAAGGGGTCGAGTACGATAATGGTAGGGGGAGTGGAGTGGGATGGAGTGAGGAGAGGAGGGGAGAAGAATGGGAGGAGTGGAGTGAGGAGAGGAGGGGAGAAGAATGGGAGGAGTGGAGCGCACATAGCTTTTTCATATCTTCATTTTCAGACTTGGTGGACTCGACGGGCCCGACGCGCTGGGCAGCGTGCTAGATTGAGATTGACTGGACTGAGGCTCTCGCTCTGAGCAGACGGTGCATGGTTGCTGCCTCGTCTCTTTCGAAGCAGACGGGAGCACAAGCTACACGAAGAGCAGTTTGTACAAAAGCAAGCACAGGAAGCCCGTTAAGAAGCCAGAAGTCACACACAGGCACTTCTTATCCACAAGAGAGAATAACAAAGACTGGGCCCTGAAGACATACCTTTCTGAAACTCTGCTGGCCTCTGCGGTGATCCGCTGCAGCTGTATGGCTACTGCTGCTCAGGGATACTGATAGGCGAAGCAGAGAGCAAAACAATGTGCGAGGTAAACAAACCAAAGAATGGGCTCAGGCACTATGAGATATCAGAGTGGTCAAGGTTCACACTCCAACTTGATGTGGTGAACTGTGTTGGTTAGCAAACGGACTCTCGCAGGTCCAGAGCAGTGGAGCAGTGGAGCAGTGGAGGAAGCAGGATGTCTGCAGCGTTGTTTGATTGTGCGTGTGTGCGTGTGTGCGTGTGTGCCTAGAGGGGTCCCTCCTTGACCGCTGTTAAAACTCGGCTGAAGTTCACTCTCGATAGCACTGCTGAACAGAAGTCATGCGCTATTCCCGGGTATGCAAATTGACTGCTGCGTCTTTGGATCGAGGGTCCCACAATTGTCAACCGGCCAATGCGGTCCAACGATCAGATCAGTGATCAGTTGTTGCGCTAAGTGACTACCTCCTGTGGAGTATAAAAAGACCATCCTCCCCCTCTTTCTTTTTCCCCTCGAAGTCTTCGTGCTTGCTCAGCATGGCACGTAGCATCCCTTGAGGTGCTTGACCACTGGCTAAATAGCTGGGGGTTCTTGGCCTTGGGGGTTTTTTGGCCTCCTTCGGGGGGTCTTATCCTATTTACTACTTTACTTTACTCTACTTTACTTTACAAAGATGACAAAGAAACAAGTGTGGGAAAAGCAGGGCTCATGAGGAACAAGGACAGGCCAGGTATATCGCTCATGCTGCTTTCTGCATTCACTCTGAACCAGAGCACTCTGCAACGTGTGCGGTACTCTTTTGGGCGTAGTCTGTTTCGTATTCGAATATAATTTCCTGTCCAAGCATGTCGATGCGCGGGCAAAGGAGCCCACGATGCACCGGCATGCAACAGATTCGCACGCTGAGCAGGCCTCTCCTTGGGCTAAACTCACAGCTATGATTGCCCTGTTCTTGATCTATGTTGCGAGTCGTACTTTGAACCAGCTCATTTTGTGTCAATGCTTGTAGCCGCATTGTCTCGTTAAGCATCAGGAACTGGACGTTAAAGATGCCTTGCTTGACAGCACTCTCGACTCAAGTATAACAATCAAGGAGCGAAGATGACCAGCTGAACAAAATTGGGGAGGAGGCACGCGGACTATATTAAGCAGAAAAAAAAAAGGCCGCTTACCGCGCTACTGCGATTGACTCTCCCAGTTGAATATTCTTTACATGAACAGACTCTATAAAACGCGGGTTTTTCCATTTCAGTCCCCATAAAGTGTATAGTAAAGCTATCGAGGTGCCTAGATGGCGCCGATCTACACTGTGAATTCCTCCAAACAGGGCTTTGCACAGAGACACTTGCTTGCTCTTTGCCTTGGCAATGTACCGCCTGGTCATTGCTTCCTATGATACCTTCTCTGGTACAGTCTCGAACACTTGTAACAAGAAAGATGTCGGGCCCCGTGACGGCTTCATGTTGTGCATCTGCTCACCTCTCTGAATCGGCTGCATACCAGCCGTAAATCGTGTGCCGAGACCCAAAGTTAGGCTCTGTGCTTGCGACAGTCAAAGAGTCTTGTAAGATACGTATGTACTTTTAACGTTATACCTACCTTGGATCCAGAACCATTGCTATTCTGCTTCTTGGATCCATTCAAGGCTCCACAGCACAACGCGATCGAAGATGCCTGAAGCAGTTGTGCGCTGCAGCGCTATGGATGGCCCTCCCCCCTCATTAGCATTCGCGAAATGAGAACGTTAACGAGGGAAAACTGTTGGCGTGAAAATAGGACAGAGCCACGGCAATGTTAAAGACACTGGCGCTGGAATCGTTGTCGGACGTGCGTTTGGGCTCGTTGTGCGCGTTCGCTCACTGGTGAAGGGACGAAGAAACTTGCTTTCGAACACCGTCCGACATCTCATCCCGTTTCCCAATCGGTACACCAACTGCCCGTGGTTTTACGCAGAGGCTCCTTTATTACGGTGTCAATTAGTCTTCCTCAGTTCTAAAAGCGAAGCGCGCTTTCATGTACGCTTCCAGATGTTAAGGGGGTACGCAAGAGTTTGGTGTAACCAGAGGAAGCAGAAGCGCACTTCAAGAACTGAGGGTGTTACACCGCGCTTTTGGAAGTGCTCTGCTGAAATTTCTTGGCTCAAATTCAGCACAACCAGCACAGTCAGCTCAAATTCAGCGCAAATTCAGCACAGCCAGCCCAACCAGCTCAAATTCAGCACAACCAGCACCATTTCGCCTGCATGGTACAATACGATGCCAATATCGCTGTGTAACTCTACACGGGATCCCATGCATTCACGCATGCGATGCTATTACGCCGAGTCGTTTTTTTTTGTGTGTAAACATATCTAGTTATTTATCCTGCGAGATGAAGGAACTCAGGCTTCTAATTGGTAAAGTACGGTAAAACAGGCAGTCCGAGAAGTTAGCTCGCTTAGGCGTAAGAATGCCTCCAGCGCTACTGAACAGGCGTTCCGAAGATACCAATGACGCTTGAACGGAGAGGGACACGCGGGCAATGCTTGGCAAATATGGAAACGCATTCACTCTGTGCCTCCACCAAACATGTGGCTCAGTCCGATACGTGTCGCAAGGAACTTCCTTCACATCGATGTCGTAACGCTTAAGCTCGTCATTGAACCTCCTTGTCCAATACTGAGTGTCGGTATCGTCTCCACGCGCACCCATTGCCATTGCATCGTCGAAGCGGAAGCCATTCTTGACCATGGAGTGTAACATCTTGAGGATTTGACTTTCCGCGTAACCTCGTAGGCTTACACTTTCGTTCTCGCGTTGTACCATATTACTGAAAATGGCGTGGTTGGTATCAGCTGAGTTCATAAAAGTCGCGATGAGGACAGCGTCCGGTATATGTTGTGAATTCCATCGTCGTTCTAGCTCGCACACAAACTTGTTTCGAAATTCCTCCACTGTACGATTGGCTGCAGGCATCCTTGCCTTGTTGATCAAGTTGTGGATGGTTGGGTAAACAATGGAAACGATCGGCGTGCGGTCAATACTGACTTACCTAGTGAAGTCGTTGACTGATCCAAGAAGGACAAGGATTTCTTATAGGGTGGAGGCTTTGTCTTGGTCAATTATAATATTCTGCGTTTTCTTCGGTGCATTCCTAGCCTCTCTTGACGCATCAGGACCCGTCATGTTGAGAACTGAGGAGTTAATAGTAGGAAAGAGCTGCACCACGCGCGTCCCCATAAGATATCTCGAGTTCCAGCGTGTCGGACAATGGCTCGTCGGTCTAAGTGTATTGGCTGAAGGATCCATCGATTTCTGGGCAGACTTCAAAAGGCGGCTAGCAACATCGTTGTTCCTTGAGATATTTTTGGGATTGAGAATGAGTGGCTCCACACACCACACCGATTGGGTATCTATTTGTATTAAATATAATAGTGAGCTGGAGGTACACTTGTTAAACTAAATATACAGTGAACTCTGGTGAAATATGCGACATTCCTGAAAAATGAGGAGAGCTCTTGGCATTTATCAAGCAAAGCCCCGACATCTGCTGCTTCCGAGATGGCCGTGTTCACGCATAGCTGTATGTTGTGGGAAGAGCAGGGACACCATTCATAACTCTTTGTTTCGCTGAGAAGACCCATGGCTTTCTTAATATTGGCTCCTTGATCCGTCGTCCACAAGCGACTTTATTCTGAAGACCCCATTCTTCAAAAATTTTCGCTAGACAATATTAAAAAGGCGACGCTTGAACGTCAATAATCCATATGTCATGCAAGCGCAACACATGCACTTATAGATTGTATAGCTCACTTACGCATCACATCTCGGAGAATTTCTCCTGTGTGAGGGTTCCAAGGGTACGAAGCCGATTTCCACAGATCGTGGAGTAAAGTCTGGTTGAAGGTAGTGAAAAGTCAGACCTAAAAATTTGCGGTTTCCTTTGCTCGACCATGTATCAGCAGTGAATGACCCAACAGCGACGTCTTTCAGAAAAATCTGCTTCACATCATGAGCCAATTGGTAGTAAACACGCATCAAAGAGTCCTCGCTGGAGTCACGGCTTGGTTCAACACAGCTCGGGCCGAAGAAGCGCACCAAGCTCTTCACCAGATCACTTTCCGTAATTGAGATTGGATACTGGCCGAGTGCAATGCCCTTTGCCAAAACGACTGAGAGCTCGCGCATTCTATTATCATCTTGAGGTTTGTTGTGTCCCGGTCTTGTCGATCGACGGAACATCGAGTCAGGTTGCCGAGATGTAACGGGATTAGAGGCAAGAGGGTCTTCTCCTTGGCCCATTCAGAAGTCGATGAGTTGATCAAGCATCAGAGGGTGTTCCTTTTTCACGTGTCTCATGCGCTACACAGTGCTGACCGTTAGTAACGACTCGGCAGAACATGTCGCCTGAGGCGTCAGGATCGTCGCACTCTGTTCTTATTTTTGCGAAGAAGTACCTGCGGATTGATGATATCTCGAGACGTGGAGCGACGTCCCTGATAGGTATAAGAGCGAGATAAGTCTTCCCAACAGCCACGCAGGCACCCACGGGAGGAAGTCTGCCGAGTTGTAGACCATAATACCGGGTAAAGTCGACATGAGACGCATGCATCATGGACGAATTCCTAAACGAAGCACTGTTCGATCCACGACTTGAAATGGACCGTGCAGACATCGACTGGTCCGAGAACGAGGGCGAACGCGCTAGGGATGGAATAATGGACCGTGAAGGCGCTGAATATGGCGATCTTCTTCCAGTATCGAGACTACGCTCGCGAGTCAGACGAGGCAAAGAGTGAAAAGTTTGGGCGCGGCTGAATTTGTGATTCTGCGTAGAAGGCGTTTGATCCTGAGTCTGATACGCAGCCTAGTGCGAGGCCTGGTACGGAGCCTGATATGGAGCCTGGTACTAAGCCCCATATGGGACCCGGCGCCGATCCTGGTAAAGAGCCAGATCCTGGGCCAGATCTTCCAGCGATGCTGAGGTATATCGCATTCTGCTTAATGGAGAGAGCATAGTAGTAGCAGCAGACGTTGGAATAGTTGCAGACTGCCCTTCAATGAAAGGGCCTGGCTTTGTAGGTCGACTGTACTTGGTGAAGGTGCCACCGGATTGCTCCAAAGATGACTAGCGTCATGAAGTACTGGGACTTCTTCAGCGATCTCACTCTCCTCAGCGCTATAGTCGTCATCCCATTGATCGTTTTGGAAGTCGTCTTCATGGTTGCTATCATAGGCGTTCATGTTCGAGGCTTCTTTTTTTTTTATAAAAGTCTTGGTGAGGCGTGGAAGATCGAAAAGGTGAGAGAGTAAAGACAACCGTGAGCTGTGGAGGCAGGTGTTGGAGAAAAGAAACGGTAAAGAGACACTATTAGTAGAGAATGCATGCATCTAAAAAAAAAAAAAAAAAAAAAAAAAAAAAAACCACTCGGGGTAATAGCATTGCATGCGTGAATACATGGGCATCGTATTGTACCATGCAGGCGAAATGGTGCTGGCCGTGCTGAATTTGAGCTGGTTGTGCTGGCTGTGCTGATTCCGGGCTGGAAGTGAGCTGAAATTTTTAGTTAAATCATGCTAGCACACCAAGTTAAAAAACAGCAGAGCAACACACCAGCACGAGGCACTGAGTTTCTCTACATGAGGACTCCTATGACAGACTACTATGGACATGGGCATGAAGCGAGGAATATGCATGCGACGGGCTCTTTTGTCGTCCTAGCGCTTTCGGGCTTCTGCCTCTTCTGGTTATACCAAACACTCGCGTACCCCCTTAACACCTGGAAGCAAGGAAGGCTAATTTTATCTCTTCGCGCGCGTGGACGCGATCCGTTGAACGCTTTTTTTTTTTTTTTTTCAATTGAGAGAGGCCATTTGTTTCACTTTCAAAAAAGCAGTATTGACATTCAATATTAAGAAAAATGCGAGGAAGCGAGATGTGTTGCGTTGTAATTTGCCCTTATTACGACAAATGGGGCTGGAATTGCGGGCGTATTTTAATAAAAGCACAGGCGCGATCGATTGATGACCCTCCCCATTATATCAATCGACCATAGGAAAAGAAAATGAAAAAAGCTATAAAAAAGGATATATGGCATTTTGTGCAAAAAAATACAACAATGCGAAGTAAGAAATAGCAAGATATGCGTCTTTACAGAACAACGCCAGCAATGCAGGCGGACATGATCGTGCTCAGGGCACCGGCAAGAATAGCCGAGACCGAGACACGGGCAATGTCACCAGCACGGTTAGGGGCCATCTTGCCCAAGAGCGAGATCTGCGAACCCAGGGATGAGGGGTTGGCAAAGGAGCAGCAAGCAAAGGTGGCCAACAACTGGGCACGGGCCGAATAGGCCTCGGTGAAGAAGCCGTCGGACTGGGCACCGGCAAAGGCGACAAACTCGTTCAAGACAAACTTGATACCCATCATCTTCGACGACTCGTACACATCCGCGGAGGGGATACCCAAGATCCAGGCGAAGGGATAGAAGAACCATCCGAGAACGCGCTGGATGCTCAAGTCAGTGACGCCCAAGAATAGGAAGACCCAGTTGAGGACATAGTTGGCGCATCCGAGCAGGGACAAGAAACCGATCAACACGGCAGCGATGACAATGCAGAGCTGCATACCCAAGATCGAACCGTTGGCGAGAGCGTGGACAAAGGAATCCTCGGCATCGGGACGCTCCAGAGTGATGGCCTTACCGCGGGTCAGGGGAACCTCCTCCTCGGGGTAGCGCATCTTTGAGGTGACAATGGCGCAGGGCACGGACATGATGCAGCAGGTGATCAAGTGAGTGGGCGAAGCACCGAATCCGACAAGACCCAGGTACACAGATCCAGAGATGGTGGCGAATCCAGAAGCCATGACTTGGTGAATCTCGGCGTTGGTGGCGTGCTCGAGGTAAGGGCCAACCAGCATAGCGGACTCGGACATGCCAACAAAAGGAGCAGCGCAAGCAGCGACGACCTCGACACCGGAAATCTCAAAGAGATAGACGATGATCTTGCCCATGGCACCAATGGCAGTCTGGATAACATTCCAGTAGTACAAGACTTGGATGACGGCACCGAAGAAGATAATGGCGGGCAAGACGCCGATCAAGAACGAGGAGCCGTACAACTTCATGAAATCATCGCCGACAACGAAACCGATTCCGTTGGAAGAGAAGCCCAAGAAGGTGGCCATGAAGCCTCCGATGTACGAGAAGATGGTTTGACCGATGTAAGTGCGAATAACGAAGAGACCCAAGAAGAACTGGAGACCGATACCGGTTGCGACGGTGGGCCAGTGGATCAACTTGCGGTTGCGCGAGGTGGCATAGAGGGCAAGGAGAAAGATGAGCAATCCGCAGAGAGAGATGATGCGCTGCACGCGGGTGCCGTGTTCGTTGTCGGCGCGGACAACGGCGGTGAGGAGCAAAGCAACCGGGAAGATACCGTAACCGACGATCTGGCGGACTCTGAGAGGAAGCTTGCTGGCAACGCCGGCACCCATGTTCCAGATGGCATGTGTGGGGCGGGCAAAGGTGCGGTCGGGAGTATGGGCCGCGATCAGGTACAGGGTGGTGAAGCCATAGGCGACGGCAAGGACCGAAATGGGGCCGTTCTTATTCAAGATGATGGCAGCAATCAGGAAAGCTATCAAGGGGAAAAGAAACGCCGTGCGTTTGTCAGAAGCGTTCAGGGCTTTGGGGGGAAAGAGGGGTTTGGATGCCCGCAAAAACCTCTCACACTCGCTTCGCTGCAACCAGGATGAAGGGATGATGTCAAAGGCATCCTCATGCCGATGCTAATGGCATCAGCATGGGATCTGTCAAGCTGAATCGCGGGGGTCTTTTTTCTCAGCGCGTCTTTGGCCACCTTATTTCCCCTCCTCGCCTGTTCTCTCGCTCACATAAATTCCCAGGCCACTGCCACGGCGAATAAAACCCAAGGACGTCGTCAACAAACACAAACAAACCCAAGCGACCCTGTTGGCCAACAAGAGTGAACGACGCCGGATAACTTCCCGTCGATAACCCATGTCATAGCACTGCATAACATTCCACGCTGCACTGCCATTGCGATTGATCTGATTGCTCTTTCTTTTTTCTCCTTTCCCTTGCTGAGTAAGGGTGCTAGCCATCCACATCAGAACTTGAACCGTACCTGTGAAGCACAACCAGAAGACCAAGTGCGAAAGCTGTCTGAAGCGTCTCTGGTGCAATCCGAAGACCTTCTTGTTATCCTCAGCATCCTGGACAGGGGCCTTCTCATCCACAAGTCCCTCCTCGGTGGTGGGACGACGCTGAAAGAGAGTCTGGTCCTTCTCGTCGATGCTCTCCTGCGAAGACGTCTCGACCTTAGTGCTGTGCGAGATAACATGCTCCAGTGGCGCTGGAGTGTCTCTCTTGTGCTCGACTTGTTCAGACGACATTTTGGAGAAGGAGCAGGGGAGGGAGAGGTATGTGCCTTGTTGAAAAGGGGCAGAGGGAGAAGAGGAAGCAGAGAAGCGGACGAAAGAATCAAGCCGAGGAGAGAAAAAAAAAAAAAAAAAGAGGTGGAGGGCCGTTTTATAGGCAATGGCTCTGATAGCGAATACAGCGTACTAGTCTAATCTACACTACATGCACAATGCGAGAAAGGAATCCCTTTGGACAGGGCCTAGAGGCTGAGGACGAATACAATAAGCAAATCCAATAATAAGCCAAAAGGCATTTTTGATATACTTGGTATGTGTTTGTGAGATACAAACAAACTAGCCCGCCGTATGAGTAGTCTAAAGAGAGAGGAGACATAATCAACTTTTTAACGTCCTGCTTGCTTATTTCATTTCTTTAAGAACAAGATGATCGTGTGCTTCTTCACGGCCATTGAGTAAGGATATAGTATTCGAAAATAACCGTCTGTTAGCATGTGTATGCTATTTGGTGTATGCACTGCTCTCTGGGTTTTGTATACACCCTCATATCGCACCACAGTGCAAGTTTCTTGTCCCCTCTCTTCGCATGAGCAGCGAAGAAGGATCTAATGCCGGTCATGCAGTCTGATTGGCTGTTGCTGCTGCACTCTCAACCCAGAAGACGCCCCCATGGTGCTCCATCGGACACAATGGTTGGCTGCTTTCTTTTTTTTGGAGAAGGGATCACCACGGCGAATATGCACACGCTTAACTTCTCTGGCCAAGGAGCGCTATCGATTGGACAACAGGGTCTAGTGAGCGGCATACATGAACAAAATGCGCTCCACTCAACGCAAAATTACAGGTAAGCAAACAACAACAAAAATGATGGTTCATAATACTCATGTGTCTATACGACGCCCTTATCGTTGCTTCTCTTTCACAGGAAGATGGGTGAGAAAGGAGCTACATGGGACCTTCATGTGTACATTGTGGTTGAGTTTCTACCCCCCATTTTTTTTTTTTTTTTTTGTTTACACCATTTTGCAATCAGACGCAAACGTGGTTCCCGGTGCCTGAAATGAAAGTTCCACGGACAAGCAAAAATCCTCCTTTTTATTCGTTTTACCAGGATGACCAAACGCCTACACCTCTAGCGTTTCATTTCCTCGTAGCTAGTTCATTCGCTCTGGAGATGGATGCCGGAAAATGCCTTCTTTCTCCAGCCCATAGAAAATGTACACCGCTTCTTGTAGGCCATGCGGGCTTTTCTTTCTTACTCATGTGCACCTGCTGCTGCGGGGGGCGGCATAGGATTCACTTGAGGAGAAAGAGAGTCCTGATTTCGCATACTTACTAAAAAGTATCTCTTTGTACTCCTCCGCTTCGACATGAGAGCATAGAGGCACAGTTTTGTCCGCATCCCTTCTTCGCCTTCTCTTAGTCCTACATTTGCTGGTCTACATGTATTTCTTCGGACGTACGCCACGCAAGCATTTTCTGAGAAAACCTTAAATGCTCTCGTATGTTATAGACTTCATTTAGTCGACTGACTTGTTCGTTTGCCGCTTTTTCAGTTCTCCTCTGGATTGTACAATGGGCTGTAAACGAACGGCATCCAAATACAAACAAACATGCACGGAGAAATGGAATGGATGCTATTGGCTGACTTCTCTTCCTACTCTTTCCACATCACCCTATCCCATGGCGCTCTGTTCCTCCTTGTGTCCCCCGGCTCCTCACCGCTCTGCCCAATCTCTTTTGTTCAAAAGGCTGAAGGTCTCCCTGTAACGCACTGTACACACACATATCCTGAGGTCTCTATCCTATTCCACCCGCATGTTGTGCGAGTGCGAGTGAAGGAGCGAGTGGATGAGAGAAGATGATCGCCGTCGCCTTAAGTTGCATTACCGCCCTCTAAAAAAAAATCTTCCCCCTCGCATTACTAAGGTCGATTTGAATTTTCTCTACGTTCTGGTTCTGGTTCTCCGAATCCTTTCCTCCTTTTTCAGTCACCGCTCTATTCCCCGCACTCGCTCATACTCAAAAAGGCAAGAAAGTCCCTGAGCAGCGAACAGCCGCCACTTCCCCCTTCCTTCCAGAACCTGGACTGCAAAAGAATGAACTTGATTCCAGCTCCGTCTTTAGCGGCCGCATGCTCTTCCAGCGGAGCAGGAAATAAGAAATTTCGGGGAACTACTGAGTGGAGCCGGACAGAAAGAAGCAAAAATGCATTTTTGATGTTGTCTTGTGCGTGAAACAGGCGTGGAAAAGTTCATCGTGGGATTATTGGATGCTAAAGGGGAAAAAAAAACCAAAAAGCACTCATCTCTCTCGTGCCCCTGTCCCTGTCTCTCTTTCTCTCTTTCTCACCTATGATTATTTCCGTTAGCGTTGCTCTTTTTTGTTTTTCTTCTTTTTTTTGTTTTGTTTTGCTTTGTTCGATAGAAAAAGGCCGAGGTTCGATGAATTTTTGTTGTTTCCCATGAGGATCTTCCCCCCCCCCCATGCTAGTGCGCATCAAATGGCGTGTATACAATCTCATTCGAGAGCCTGGGCGATGCAGCACTGACAGACATGTGTTTAAAGCACTTCCTGGGAATAACATTAGTCTGTCCAGCGCAAGAGGAGCACCACCAGCAGCAGCTGCAAGCAATCATCTCTCCTTCATTTTTGCCTAGACCTTCCTCCCGAAAAAAACAGGTCGATAGACCAACCTACCTTCTTGCACTGTTTTTCTCTTAAATTACCCCGCAAAATGCTTAGATAGAGGACTTGTGTCCTAGCGCCAGTAAAGTATACCGAAACGTCCGCCTGATTATCTCCAGTGGTAGAGAGATGTCAGGGTGTCGTATCGCTCCCCCTATTTCCCCAGTTTTTATGTTCGTGAGCATTGAATGTATGCCAGGTGAACTACATGACCCTGTGATGTAGCCCCTCCTCCTCCCTCCGCACTTCCACATCCTTCTCACTCCGTCTACTCCAGTCGTACCATCCTCTCGGGTCTGCATCCCATTCATCCGGCCAAAAAATCCACACCCCCAAACAAAGCATAAACATAAACAAAAACCTTATTCAACTGACAACCGTCCAATGGAGCCCGTTGTTTTGTTTACTGCATTTGTGATAACAAAGCAGCTGAACAGAGTCGACATTCCCACAGCTGGGGCCGTCTCTACCCCGCATTTTTTTTTCAAAATTCTCCATTTGGACAAGCATCCAAGCCGCATGCCGTTGATTAGGACCGAATGGAGTGTATGTATCCTATAGCAAACATCTACTCTTTTCGCGTCGACTATTCATCTCCAGAAAAAAAAAAAAAAAGCCAGCTGGGTTGCATCTCGATGTTTGTTTACGATGATGGAAATACGCGTTTAGTCGCGTAGACTATCATTCTAAAGATCTAGAAACCTGTCAATTTTTTTTTTGCACCACAACACTCTTCTGTTCCTTCCTTATGCTTATGACGACGGAAATTAGTGCGTTTTAATACAAGTTACTCATACTCCTCCTCCTCCTCTTTCTTCTATAGTATACATGGTGCTGCATCGCCAAAAAAAAAAAAAAAAAAAAAAAAAAAAAAAAGGGACTCCTTCCACTACTCTCCCTCTCACTTCTCCCCACCACTACTACCACTTTGACCACTCCAATTGGCATGAGCACTCGGAATCACCGGTACTGGCGGCAACGCCCCTTTCGGAGCGCTCTGAAGATACTGCATCGACCGTGGCGATTTCAATCCCCTCTCATTCGTCGGCGAATTCGGCGCACTCCTGTGGGGCGAGCGCGGTGGGACCGCCGGTGGAGATGCGGGCGGCAATGTTGCAGGTTGATCCGATACTGTCGAGACAAACAGCTCTGACGCGTCGTACTCCGGCGCCGGAAGACCCGTTGGTCGGGTAGCTGCAGTAACATTCGCAGGGACTGTAGCCGAAGCATCTGCATTCGCGTTCGTGTCCGTGTCCAAACCGACGGATTCAGACGCTGACGAAACCGCGGTGACCAAGGGGGACGAGGTCATCGGCAGACTCATCCTCCTTCTCGCCATCATCGCCACCGGGGGCTCCTTCAACTTCCTCGTACTCTTCAAATTCCCGGCCCAATCCTCGTCATTCCAGTCATCCTCTTCCTCCTCCTGCTCATCGGCCTCCGTGTACGCCGCCGTCGATGTCGACCCGGCACTCCCCTTCCGACTACCCAACAACGCTGGAGGTGGATGTCCCCCATGCGCCGCAGTGAACAATGACAGTTTCCTTAGGCCAGGATACAATTCAAACGCCGCGGCCGCATGAAGTGCATGCGCATGAGGTGAGAGCACGGGTGATCCGCCTCTGGAACTGTGTTCGCTCTGTGGCACACTGGCCTCGGCAGCACCTTCAGATTCGGATACGTCATCGCTGTAGAAGGAATCGACCGATGATGAAGAGAGTGGGCGACCATTCGCGGTGGTGTATTTGGATCTTGCCACGGATGGTGCTGGGAAAACAAACGAGGCCGCGGGGTGAAGCATCATCCGTTTGGGTGCGACTTGATGGAGATGATGAGGGTCCTTGCTAGATGAAGAAGGGCCACGAGGTTGGTTCGTAGCTGTCGAAAAATGCGAGATGCCATCTCTTTCTTGTCGCTGTTCCTCATCATCCGCTGATGCTGCTGCCGCTGCTGTTGTCGATGTCTTGTCTCCGGAAACTGCACCATCCTGACCTGCCTGCTCGGTGTCCTTCAATCTAGACATCGTCAGCGACTCTGAAAAATGCGTATGTATCATCGATTTCGACGCCGGCGATCCCAGAACCGATCCCTCTGCGGGCATCACAGCCGCCAACAGCGAAGTCTTGCTCTGAAAATTCCTATTCCTCGACGACGATGTGAGCACACCACCTTCCTCTTCACTGAGCGTCAACACATGGTCTTCTGCCAAATGCTCCTCGGCATGTTGTTCCGCTCCGATATACCTCGCCGTGATAAACGAGCACAACGAGGATGACGCTGTCGATGTCGAGAACGTCGATCCCGCCGGTGACGAGATCGGTGTCAGTCCTGGCCTGCGGATCTCAGGCGCGTCGCCTACAAACGTCCTTGTCGCCCCAGTGCTCAAAAGCGGTGAAATATTCTGCGCCCCATGCTCGCTCAATCGGATCATCACCGGCGAGGACGACTGTCGCCTTGTCATGTAGGCTGGTCGCACCATTCCAGAATTTTCTCCGCTCGTTGACTTCAAAGCATCCTGCCCATTCACGGCGTCCGCTCCAGTTGTCGAAAGCGTCACCGCAGCAGCCGCGGAACTACGCCTCGGCGGTCCACCTTGGTATAGCATTCGCGAATCTACCCCACCTCCATTGCCCGAAGCAGAACTTCCCTGGGACGCGACCCTGTGCCGTTTTGGCGGCGGTAACGACGTGGTCAAGAAATCTTGCCTCTCCCCCAGAAGTGACGACAGCGGCGATGCTGGCAATCTCGCCTGCTGCTCATACTGCTGCTGCGTATACGGCGGCGGTGTCTTAAGCTCCATCGGATGATGATGATTCTTGTTCAACGATGCTAGATACGATCCCGGAGACGAGACCTCAGAAGATCCCGCCGACAACGGCGTCGAGTACGAACTTCCATAGCCACCATTCGTCTTCTCGTTCCCACTTGCTGTCGTTGCTGTGCTAGACTCTGAGAGATTGTGCGATAATGTAGGCGGCAGCGGAGACGTAGGTGTCGGACTCAGCGTATGCTGTGCCGAAGTAATTCCCGAAATCGGACTCCTCTGATCCTCGATCGCCTCCTGATCCGCTGGACTCCCATAGGCCAACTGCTCCTGGCTGCTAATGATCCGGTCCGCAGCCTGTCGCTCCCTCGGGGAACTGAACTGACTCGTCCCAAGCGAATCCCCACCGTCCGTTAAGGTCGATGTTTCCGAGACGGTTGAGAGCGATGACAGATGGATCGGCAAAGACTGATACCCATTGCCCTTGATCATCGAGGTCGGTCGGTTTCGCTGGGCTTCCTTGTCCTGCGCCTGTTGTCGCCGCATCTCTTCGGCCTCCTGTTCGATCGCGAGCGCGAGCTCGTCTGGTGCAACAATATGACGCGATACACCACCGTTATAAAGATTTGTCTGCGTCTGCGTTTGCTGTTGCTGGTGGTGGTGCTGTTGTTGGTGCTGCTGGTGCTGTTGTTGGTGCTGCTGGTGCTGTTGTTGCTGCTGGTGCGACTGTCTTGGATCTTGTTGTTTTTGAAGCTCAACTTGCTCATGCTGCTGTTGTGGTTGCTGACCCTGCGGCTGCGGCGACCGCGACGTTCCAGGAACAGCGGGCAAGGGCCCAGTGGGCTGGTTCTTCCAGTTCTGCATCACCTGGAGCTTTTGCATCGTCCTATGATGGTTCGCCACAAAGAAATTGCCGTCCATGGTCGCCCCTGCCAATCCAGTTTTGTCGAGCGCTCCAAAGTCGCCTCCGATCTGCAGACCCATCTTCTTGCTAAGGCTGAGCGACTCCTTGTCGTGAGGATGAGGACGATGGTTCGATGCCGAAGACGTCGCGCGAGGCGGTGGTGGCGGCAAAGCCTTCGTTGGTGCTGTTGTTGGCGGTGTTCGCGGTTGTACGAGCTGAACACCTGTTGCTTGTGGGATCGGATCCAGGCTGTATAACTGCTGGATTTTTTGCTGCTGCTGCTGCTGCTGCTGCTGCTGCTGCCGCTGCCGCTGTAGCTGTTGTAGTTGGGTCGCCACCAATGCATCATCCACCACAGAGACCGAAGGCGATCGTCTTCTTGTTGGCGAGGACAATAGGCTTAGCATATGGTTTGACGGGACCGGCACAGGATGTGCCTCCAGCACAAACTCGCCACCCTTCAGTAAGGACGACATCGATTTCGACGACATTATTCCTTTGCTCGACTTTTGGCCAGAGAACGTCAGAGGTGTGCCATCGCTGTTGAAGAGCGGCGAGACGATGGCGGAGGAACTCCCTTGGGTATGATTCTTATCGGCTCCGGACCAGAACTTTTTCAGCTTCTTACCCTCATCCTTGTCCTTGTCGTTACATTTGTCCTTGTTCTTGTTCTTCTTCGGATTCTCCTGTCGACATCTCTTGCTGTGGAACGTGCACGTCTTCGCCGGCTGAGTACATCCACTGAAGGAACAGACTCCTGAAGAAAACAGCTTCAACGCCGGACTACTGGCACTCCCGCTTCCGCTGTGACTAGAACTGGCGCTGCTATGTACCCGCCTCTCCTTCTCCTTCTTGTACTTCCCACCCGTGACCAATCCCAGCAGCATGGCGCCATGGCTATTCCCACTGGATTTACCCTGATTGGACTCTGTTGTGGCCGTCGTACCGAGCCCATTGTCCGAGGCAAGATCGTTGATCGTCGAGACATCTCCCGAGGACGCGATCGTCGAAACCGATGTCGAGGACCCTATACTCTCTGCGCGCTTCGGGGAGCTGTTCTCCAAAACTCTGTAAAACGTTCGAGGCGAGGATGGGATGCTATTACCTGGACCATTGTTGAACACTCCTTGGGATTGTGATGCCAATACCGGGGACGAATAGGGCGATCCCGCTGCAGAAGAAGCAGCACCTAAGAATAGGTTTCACAGCACGTGAAAACTGTTAGCATTCATCAAATGATAAGCAAGTTAACGAATGACAGCGATGAAATACTTACTGTTGTCCATAGAGACACTAGAGTGAACGCTGGATCGTACCGGATACACGTGCGGACTCTGTTGTTGATGCATGAAGCTGTTCGTCGAGGATGATCCTGCGTGGAACCCATGGCCTTGGGCTGCCGCTCGCTGCTGCTGCAAACTCGTCCTTCCTTGGTTCTCTATCGACTGCAATGACGACCTGTTGGTCTCAGACATATTGGATTGCTGTTCCGAAAGGCTCGATCCACCAGGATATCCATTGCTGCTGCTATAGCTCCCTGCGTAGTTCAACTGTGTTCCCGAATTGCCACTAGGCTGTGGACCCACAGGACTATGCTGCGCCTGGTACAGATCGCGGGTGGAATCCATACTCGATTTCATTTGCAACGGCTGTTGGTTCTGCTGGTTCAGCGTAAAGATATACTCGAGGTTGGAGCTGGTGTTGGTACTAGTATTCGGCATGGACGAGGTTGACGACCAAGTGTCATTGTTATCCTCGTACGACTGTGGGAAATTCGATGAGAGGTACGGAAGCTGCCCCTGTGCTGCCCCTGCGGTCCCCATTGACGCTGTTGACGATGCCGATACTGGTGGTTGAGATGCCCTCGAATTCTGGTATGCAGCCGTCGTCAGCGCACTTGCATCATTCATATCCGAGGGTGCCGAGCCCTCCAGTTGGAGTCGGTCGAGTACTTTATCGATAATAGACTGCTCCCTACCTGCGGATGCCTGTCTCTGGTTCGTCATTTGCAATCCTAGCCCCGTAGAACCAGAGGCCATAGTCATGGCTGCCCAGGTTGCCGTCGCCCGGTTGATATGGACCTGGAGCGCATAGACCCAATTCTGGAGCGACTGAGCCGTCTCCGTATGAAACAGATGATGCTGATGCTGGTGTGGGATCGGGTCGGGGGACGACAACCGAATGGTGAATTTGGACTTGCGAGAGATTTCTGCGCCGAAGGCGAGGATCGAGTACTCTGCCAGGTTCAAGACCCCCAATGGTTTCGTATCCGTCTATGGAAGGAGACACAACATGAATTAAAAAACATCAAATTGTTAACACCACAGCTGGCTACTTTCGAGTGTGGATATTTTCTCATGAGATGCATGAGCATTGTCATCTGGGTGCGAAATTCCTTTTTTTTTTTTTTTCCTTCTCCGCGCATGCAGCAAACAACTAGTTCTTGGCCACCATTACACCCCATTCATGCATGAATCAAAAAAGAAAAAAAGAAGATACTTTGCGCCAGATGTCACGAACTATTGCATGACAACTCCAGTCAACGTGTAAAAATGTAGATACCACACAGCATGGACTCAAAATAGAAAAGAATTGCTCCATTATTTTTTTTGTTATACTTACATTTGATCGATAAAAGTAAAGCTTGTCATCCCGCAGAACACACCACCGCCGTTTCCACACCAATTGAAGCGACGTCGACCGCTTCTGGAGCCATTCCTGGAGCACATCACTCTCGCCCATATCCAAGTCGCCACCTATCATGGCATCCCCTGCGTCGCCGTTATTGCTGTCGTGCTGAAGCATCGGGGGAATCGAATTGACTGTCTGTTGGATCGAGGGCCGGTCGTGAGCTGTGGTGCTAATCCCGCCACTGATCTGCTGGTGCTGTTGGGTTGGCCGATCGTCCTTGTTCAGGCTTCCGCGCTTGCCGTGCTTACTGTGCTTGCCGTGATGATGATGTGTGCTGCTTTGGCTATTGGTACTTCCGCCACTGCTGTTGTGATGATGTTGCTTGAAGAAGCTGGATCCACCACTGCTACTGATGTGAGACTGGTGTGAGGAAGCCGAGGTGGAGGAGGTGATTGAGGGCTGCAGGGTATCATATCTGGACTGGGAGGAAATGGATGCTGTTTGCAGTGTAGCTGTGTCATGCGTGGGCGAGTCCCAATGGTGGTGCAGATGAAGAGAGTGTGGGGGTTGCAATTGGTGCTGGTGCTGGTGCTGGTGCTGCTTAATCTGGTAGTGGTGTAGCTGGCGCTGCAGGTGGTGCGAGGCATTGCCACTGCTGCTCTGGGAACTCTGGCTCTGATGCGCCATTGTGTGTAACCACGGAGCGGTATGCAGAGGTGTGGACCAAGCGTCAATTCGGAAAGGGAAGGAGGATGGGGAATGCGTGTGCGCTACAAAGTGGGGAGTGAAGGAAGAGGGAGGACGCCAGATCGGTTCAACGAAGGGATGGAAGAGTTCAATTGCCCTGGCTAGCGAGGTGGAGAAGGACGAGGGCGTGAGTGAGTGAGTGAGCTGTCGGCGGAGGAGAGAAAATCGATAATGGCTATTTGTTGGGAGGATAAGGAGGGAGGGGGGATCACGCTGCCAGCAATAAGGTTTGTAACGGACAAGAAGACTTGGTCTAGTACCTTATTATAGGCTTCAGGAGTGGGGGACGGTCGAATGGGATTCGATGAGGGCGGATGGGGAATGGGGATGATGGAGGTGGAGGTGGGTTGTTGCGTCAGGGTAATGGAGAAGAGAGAGAGAGAGGAGAGATGCGAGGAGCGGCGCCCTCTTTACTGACGTCTTGTCGTTGTCTGTCTGGGTCCAATTAAGACCCATTTTTCTCGCTGGTGCTGTCTCAGTCGGACATTATCCTCTCCCCCCTCCCCCCTCCCCCCCCCCCCCCGCACGTCTCTCCTGCCCATTCCACCGCTTGCTGCTCCACTTGCTGCCACTGCCGCCCCCCTCCCATCCAAGGCAGCAGAATAAGCATTAGAAATGAACAATGCATAATAATCCCGCCTGCACCACGCCGTCATTTGTTTGCCCCTCTCTTCCTTCTTCTCACTGCAAACGTGCCTTGGTCTCTCGTCATTTTATTTTTGCTGCTGCATTTCCCTCCAATTTTCGATCCGCGCCAGGAGCCAACAAACAAAACAAATCAGAACGATAGGTATAAACTCCACTCCCCTTACTCGGCCAAGCAAAAGCAAAGGCTCGATGAACAAATTAGGCATAGTGCCGAGCAAAGCAGCCGAACCAGCGCCTGCCCGTCCCTCCTCCAGCAGTCGACAGAGAGCGCAGAATGTGTACAAAACGCATAGTAACTGGAAAATGGTTGGCTGCCTTGGTCACCACTTGTACACCTTGGGCTTGCTATCTATGTATCCTTTTCTTGAACAAGGACTGGTGTGGAGCAATTTCAATCTAATGAGTTAAACTGGATAGAAAGACACGAGATCTCGATCTTAGAGTTATGCCGTTTATTAAACCAAAAAAAAAAAAAAAAAAAAAAAAAAAAAAAAAAAAGAGTGCCTGTGTGTACGTGCGTGCGTACTTGCTTGTATGTGCACTGCATTTGATCCCAGAGCCTGGATCCTTCTCTTTTTCTTTCACTGTTTGTGCTGTGTCCTATGCGCAAGGATCATGTGGGATAGAAAGAAAACGTTATATGAAAAGAGTAGAGTTGTATGAGTTTGTTCGGAAAATAAAAAAGAGTTTTGTTTTGAACCTTGAGAGCTGGGCGAAACGGTTTAACCAACTCGATCCATCAAGCTGAGGGGGGCGGGGCAGTGGCCAATGGTTGGGCGGGGCAAACAGGCAATTGGAACTATCTATTAGACCAAACGGCGATCAACATGGCATCCGGATAACCTTCCATTAGACAGGAGATGCGATGAGCACCCTAAAAATGACCAATGCACAACCTGGTACAACCCGGCGTTGTCTCATCCGTCTTTGCCATTGTTCGCCAAAGAGCGGTATCTTCATGGAGGCCCAGATCTTTCGTGGTCGTCACTCTATGCTAACGAATGCGCGCTGTAACAAGTTCCACCCGGCGGGTCCAAATACTTGTCCGCCCTATAGTCATGACGATGCCTATGAAGCGACATTGGTTGTGGACGTTATTGAGGGAACAGTTGCACCAGCCAGGATGCATCGCACCTTGATCTATCCCGAGGAGTGCTTCGCGTAGCAATCGGCATGATGAGCATAGTAATTTCGTGGAGGGATATGTTGACTATTTACAACCGATTTATTTTGGTCTTCAGTGAAGTTCTAAGAGTGGAGAGGCGAGATTCGAGTAAAATTACATGGCGAAAAAAAAAATGATATGAAAATGACAGCTTGCTCCTTCTGTGTCCACTAATTGCTATCGCTATCGCCCTCCTCCGTATAATCATGCCGGGGCGCATGCGAAAGTCGCGTCGGACGGTTAGCACTCGGCTCCGTCAGCACCGGCAACCGCCTTGGGCGATCCTCATCCTCATCCGACCGCGGTACATGCAGATCCAAGTTCAGCGTAGTCGACGATCCGTTCGTCGTCGTGCCCGCTGCCGTGCTTCCTCCAGTACTGACAGGCGTTCCATTTCCTCCCTTGCTCACGACCCTCTGCAGGCTGCTCAATTGGATGTTGCTCGTACTGCGGTCATCCTTCACGTTCATCGACGAAAGACCCGATTCGGTATCGCCGGTGCGGTCCGCGAGGTTACCCAACAAAGGCAGAAAACCATAGGCGCTCTCACCCATCTGGGCCATATCAGTACCGAGTTCTTCCTCATGGTCCTCGAGACGAAGACGCAGACCGGGAATCTTGTTCATGAGGTAAAGGACGCCGTAGGTGACAACGAAGGACCAGGCAGTGACTGAGACGATGGCGTAAAGTTGGACCAGAACTTGGTGATAGTTACCGTCGAGCCAACCTCCGATCGGCACATCCGTAGCACCAATGGGATAAGAAAGACCAATGATGGATTGCTGAGCAAAGATTCCAGTTAAGATAAGCCCACTATGTTTCAAAAAGAAAAGACACAGATTATGTTAGGATTAAAGAACACTTGCTTTTGATGCAGCGGACAAAAATATGCCAATAGGAAAAATAACTTACATCAAACCACCGACGTAATGCACAGCAAAGACATCCAGGGCATCATCAAAATGGTACTTAGACTTCCAGGACACGCAGACGTTGCAGACGCCAGCGCCGACCAATCCAAAGACGAGCGAGCTCGAGCTCGTAACAAATCCCGCTCCAGGGGTGATCGTCGCCAGACCAGCAACAGCCCCTGTGCAGAATCCGATCAGCGTCAACTTCTTGTTGTGGCGGTAGTCCAACATCACCCAAACCAATCCTCCAACACAGGCGCTCAAGTGCGAGTTGATGATAGTCTGGATACCCCTCGCGTTCGCGGCCAAAGCACTTCCGCCATTGAATCCGAACCATCCGAACCAGAGCAAGGCTGTTCCGATGAAGACGAAGGCAACGTTATGTGGAACAGTCGACGGATGGTTATAGTCCTTGCGCTTGCCCAAGACCATCGCGTACGCAACCGCGGCCGATCCAGAGCTGATATGCACAGGCGTACCACCGGCATAATCCATGATTCCCATGACCGTCAACCATCCATTGGGTCCCCAAACCCAATAGGTGATCACATCATAGACGAGCGTGCTCCAGATGAACAAGAACAAGATCGATGGCATGATCCTCATACGCTCGGCCGAGGCTCCGTACGCCAATGCAGGGGTGATTGCCGCGAACATGAGTTGAAACAGGAAGAAGGCGCTTGAAGGAATATGCGGTGCACTTGGGTGAGGCTCCCATCCGATGTTACGCCCAACGATATGGTCAAAGTTTCCAATAAAGGGTCCACCCGTTGTTGAGAAGGTCAGGGAGAATCCCCAGAGGTACCATTGGATCGAGATCATGGCGACGGCGAGGACCGAGAGCATCATCAGTGAAAGTGAATGCTTCATGCGGGCCATGCCTGCGTAGAACAGACCGAGACCGGGACACATCAGGAAAACCAGTGCGGTCGAGGTGAGCACCCAGGCGATATCGCCTGGCTTGTACTCTGTGGGATCCATTTGTTGGGATCTGTGTGTATAAAGGAAAGGACGCGGAGCAAGCTCAGATGGCGCGCTTTAGCAAAAGAAGAAGAGGAGGAAGAGGGCTGAGCCTTGAGCTGAGCGTATGAGCCAAAGGCGGGAGGGGGGGAGAAAGAGCTCAAGAGAAACGTGGAGTGTGACGCTGTGAGAGTTTGCGTTAATCGATCTGGTGCTACTGTTGCTGGCCAGATCGGAATGTATGCGGATGGTGTCTGTGTGTAATGGTGGTGTGGAGAGTAGGATGGGAAAACACCTGCTTGAGAGAGAAAGAGAGAGTGTGTGTGCTATGTGAAAGGACTGATAACCAGCTGGAGCAATGGTAAGAGAATAAAAGCAAAAACGTGAAAAGACAGAGATGAGGACTGAGAGAAATGAATGAAGAAACACACGGAAAGATAGCATCCCTTTTATATACACGCCATTGGGGATATTCGGAAGGGGCAAACAAGGAGCAAAGTGACAGAGGGACAGAGGGGGATCCTGTTACTGAACTGGTAGCGTGCGTGTCATTGGAATAGGATGGTCAATTAAGAACCCGATAAGGTGTCCACGAAGCACATTCGAGCCCGTATCTCTTTGTGGTCCCTATGGAATAACGAGCGACTTCCTTGGTCTAGTTCATTATACTCTCTGCCTTTAAATAGGGACTGGAAGGATCAAACAAAACCTCCGGTCGGGTTCTTGCCTGGTCTTTCTTATATGGCCATCCCTGCGCAAAGCGACAGTAATTGGAAAAGGAGGAAGTGCAATCCCACGTCCTCAGTGACCCGCAGGTCCAATGTCCCTGAGGGTATGGATACTGCTGGCTGGCCGTCAGCAGCAGCAGCAGCAGTCTGGATCCACGGCACGGAGCGGATCTCTCTGTCTGCTTCAGGGTCCAATCAGTGGGAGGTGCAACTGCAGCTCGGTGTCATGTCATATCGCGATATCGTCCAGTCCGAACCACAAAAGCATCATGATAGGGAACAAGGTTAAGGTTTTTTTCTTTTGGCACATGCAGCAGAGGTATTTTGTCCGGATGCGACTTTCATATGGAATAGCAAGGAGGGGGCCAGGCAGTTCGCGGCAGCGCTCTTTGTCAGAGTCATCTCGGACACGCGGCAGAAAACAACGTACATGTACGCAGAGGAGAGCTGACCAATGAACCAGCCGGAGAAACACCCTTTCCCTCGCATTTCTACCACCACCCCCTTTCTCCAGTCCACATACCCTGGCAGCCCACACTAATATCGGATCTCATCTCTTTTGTCTGCAGCGCATACACGTTATTCTCGCTGACACTACAGGGGCCATTGTCCTCTTTCAGATGCTGACACCCCTCCCCGAGGATCCAGTTTCGCATCCCCTCGTTCGATCCAGTCCAGTCAGTGGAGCAGCATCAACGAGCCCCCTGTACACACGCACTTTCGCAGCTGTCCCTTCCCCAGATATTTCCATATCCAGCCTGCTTAGAGTTTTTTCTCCTTTGTTTGCCAGTGTCTTGGCCATGTGCGCTTATCGGACTACTCCGACAGTCACTTTCTGTAGAAGATTTGATAGGGAATTCGCGCTACAGAAACACATGTATGCACAGAACTATCGAGGGTCGCTATCCGCTAGACTAGACACCCCTCTAAGCGGCGTACCGGCTTTTTTTTTTTTTTTTTTTTTTTTTTGTCGAAGATCCGAAATCAGGTACATGTACAATTGCGGATTCATATCCATACCTCTCCGCCTTAGCGCAGCTACCATCAATCTCCCTCGGCAATCATCGTCATCGTCGCACTCGCGGCATATATCCTCCTGCATTCGAGCGTACGTATGCACTGGGTCCCAGGGGCAGGAGCAGGGACAGGGTCCCGCCGAGAATGGGTCTCCTACAGGAGGCATAGGAATAGAGGATTAGAGGGCCACAAGGAGGAGTGATCTCAAGTTCGGTCATGGAAAGACAGCAGGACCCCAAGACATATTAACGAGTCGCACAAACGACACGTTCGACCTTCAATCCATGTTCCTGAGGATGGTCTGAAAGACACAAATTATTATTTATTTATATTTATTGACAAAGAGTGTTAGGCTGCAGTGTGTGAACCCGTCGTTGGCGGCTGTGCTACGTGGTCCAAGACAGACTTAACGCTTGTACTCTTCATGCTCAGCCTCCTTCCTCTCCCTCCTGCTCTCCCTCCACTTCTTCACAATTGACCCGCCCACGAACACAACCACCAAAACTGCAATCCACACATGAAACACATACCAAATCCCCTCCTTTCCCGTCGGCCAGGCTCCATACAACAACATCCCCAAGTGCACCTGCTCCAATCCAGCAATCAACACCACATATCCCCAAATCCGATGCATCCACGTCGGCACATGGATCTTCCTCGGATCCCGGTTAGGATCGAACGTGTGGAAGATGAATATGCCGATACAGACTTGGAGGATGATGGCAGCAATGAGGGCAACACCTAGGACCGTGTGCGGGTTCGCCTCGAACTCGACCCCGTCTTCGGCATCGGGGGATTTGTAGATCGCGACGATGACGCAGACGAGCGCGGTGATGGCCAAAAGGAACCCGGTGACCTGAAGAGGTCGGTGCCAGCGGAAAACATGATGCAGGTGGGAGAAGAACCGGACCAGCAACGCCCCCAATGGAAACACCAGTAGGAATGCAATCGACATCATGATGCCTATTGAGAAAGAAAAAACGGGTTTAGTATAGCGGAGGGGATCAGCTCTGAAGCACGAACCAGAATAATAATAAAAAAAAAAGACCTTGGATTTCTTTGTGTGGTACTTACCATGGGCCTTGACAAGTCGTTCATACAACTGCTGCGCTGCCAGAATCTGCTCCAGATCTTCCGTATTACTATCGGATCCACTTCCGTTCCCAGTGCTTCCTCCACTCCCAACCGTTCCACTATTCCCACCCTTTGTCGGTGTCGTCGAATTAAACCCATCCAAACTTCCACCCTCCTTCTTTGTGATCGTAAGGGCCCCATGTCCCGTAAACGCATGCCGCTGAAATGTCGCCTTCTGAGGATCCCCACCCGCGTCTGCCTTGACGGCCTGCAACCCGACCGCATAGATCACATTCACAGATGTTGCAGCTGTAGTGATAGGCGCGGTGGCCAAGGACAGTGGACGTGAGAACGTACAGGTGAATTGTTTCGTGGACGAGGTCACCCCGGATTTAAGGGGCTGGATCTTGAAGGGGACCGTGGCCGAGGTTACGGAGGGGGTTCCGTTCATGGTCGCGCTACGTTGGGAGATCACCGCGCCTGTACCCGTCGCATTTGGCCAGCAGACCTACGAGGACGGGCGACGACAATAATAAATAAAGTAAGAAAAAAAAGAAAGAGGTTGAGAATGACGTTTCTTAATTGTCGCTGGACCATTATTCTCTTGAAAATATGTAAAAGTGCAACTTACCGCGAGATCATTGCCAGCCATACCATTTGCACTGCCGCCCATGCCAATACCGACCCACCCAATCGCGATTTTCGAGTACAGCGAGATCTCGATGTTGTTCGGATCCTTTGAGTAGATCGTTGCCGAGATGCACATCTGTTCGCTGCACAGTTGCTGCGACTGTTGGGCCTGACCCGTCGTCATCGACACGAATGTCGTCGCTAATAAGTTTTTTTGAAAGAAAGCGGGGGGAGTGAGTAAGGGGGGAGAGGAGAGGAGGGGGGGGAGGGAGGGGGAGGCCGGTTTCAACGAATGAAGATGGACACAATTTACTTATTTGGATCGTTGAAGTCAAACCAATTAACCAACCGTAAACCTTAACCGTAAAGTTCCAGGCCCTCCTCGGTCATGCAAAGCAATATCAGGGTCCGTCCCATCTCTACATCTCTACATCTCGCTCGATTGTGTCCAATAAAACCCCCGTGCAAGCAATGACATTCGTTAAGCCCATAGTAAGGGAACAGAGTGAGAGAGTGATAGAGGGAGAGAGAATGGATGAGTGGATTGATGGGTGGGTAACGTATCAAGAAGGAGCAAAGGAAGGAGGGAAGGAAGGAGGGAAGGAAGGGGTGTAGGAAGAAGAGAAACAAGAAGGGGCGAGGTGGTTACGAGAGCCGGGAGAGTGGCAGCAAAAGCCAAACCAGCAGCAACCAGAGGCGCCAAAAAAAACTGACGAAAGACCGATATTGTCACACCGCCGCCATGCGTTTGCGAGCGAAAAATTGTGTTCACAGAGATCAATCCCCTCCTTCGTGCATTGTTACTCTCTTTATTAGTCCAAGCGGCTGTACCACAGAAACAATCACTGTTATAAACAAGGTGTGACAGTCTTTGGAGGGGTGTTCAGCTGGTGTAATGAGGCGTTCGCGCGTATTTTTTATACCTGAGAGGATCGAGAGTATGACGAAAAAAGGATACCAGGCGCGTAGAGCGCGGGTACGAAGCTGCAAAGAAGTCCCCATCGTTTTGCAAAATCCTTCGTCAAGCGTATGTATGTATGTATGTATGTATGTATGTATGTATGTATGTATGTATGTATGTGGGTCTGCGAAAAGTGTTGTTCGTCGAATGCTCTAATGGAAGGATACGTGCTGAAAGAAAAGCTCTTGAGAAGTGAAGGAGGCGAAGACGAAGAAAGAAGACGAAGCAAAAGGAGGACGGAAGAAGGAAAATAAGAAACAAAGAGCAACCGTAGAGACAACAATTCTTATAGACGTAAAGGGACGCCTTGCTGACGACTAGCCAAATCGACCTTTCACCGCTAACCGAACTCTGGACTCTGCCCCTCTCCTCCTAGCATTGTTGACAACAACGGAAATTTACTCCGAACTATATACATAAACCCCTAGTAACCGCAAGGGTTGATGTTTCTCAATATCGAATGCCGCTGGGACCACACCGTTCGAATTACTTGCGCGACCGCATGGAGGAAATGAGGGGGACCTAATTTGTCGGAAATGCAAGGGTTGGTTTCATCGAGCTTATCGAGCTTTAGAAATGACCCCTGTGATAGGATGTATTTTGGCTTTGCCTTTTTCGATCGCGTGGGGTGGGGGTCGGACAGTTTTTTTAACGTTGAGGTAGGCTATGCTTGTACGAGTCCAAGACCTATACCGTTCTGGTATTCGCTCCGCAGGCATGTACACGCTCAGAAAAGAGTATGGTTGGTGTTTTAGAATTTACAAAAACGATGCAACGCGACCCGGGGTAATACCTCTCAAATTCATGAAAAGTGAAGTATGTAATAGATAACACACAATGAAAAAAGAGTATATTTTGGTATATATATATCTGGTAGTTTTTTCTTTTTATTAGGGTGTGAGTGTGTGGCGACGATGACGACGACGACAAACGATGACTGTTTGGCGGTACCATGCGAGAGGTAAGAATATGGATACATACATAGACAAAAAAATAATATATAAATAAATAAATAGGCCTAAGCAGCTTCTACCCCTTCTCTTTTACGAAACAATGCCAGCAATACAGGCCGAGATCAGGGTCGAGACCGCACCCGATAAACAAGCCGAAAACGACAGCTTGGCAATCGCCTCCGCACGATCGGGTGCCAACGTCAAGAACAACGAGATCTGGGTACCGATCGATCCAACGTTCGCGAACGATGCCATCGCATACGTCGTCAACAAGGCCGTGCGTGGGTTCAATGTGTCCTGGATCTTCGTGAACTGCCCAAACGCCGCAAACTCGTTCAAAATAAACTTGATACCCATCGCCTCGGCTGCTGGCGTCAGGTCACTGCTAGGAATACCGATCAACCACGCCAGGGGGTACAACACCCAGGATGCGATCTTCTCAATCGAGATATCGACACCATAGAAATCAAAGATCCAGCCGAGGAAGCCGTTGGCAAGACCCAGGAGCGAGATAACGGCCAAGAGCACAGCGATGATGACAATGCACAGCTTGATACCAAAGATGGCTCCGTTCGAGACCGCGTGGATCGCGTTCGACTCACGGTCCTTGTAGGCGGGTGCGACAGCAGTTCCCTTGGTCAGAGGGACCTCCTCCTCTGGGAAACGGATCTTCGAGATGACGATAGCGCAGGGGACGGACATCATACAGCAGGTCAACAAGGCAGTAGCATCAGCACCGAAGGACAGAAGACCCAAGAAGACGGAACCAGAGATGGTCGCAAAACCAGAGGTCAAGACCTGGTGCAACTCTGCGTCGGTCATCTCAGAGACGAAAGGACCGACCAACATCGAGGCCTCGGACATGCCGACGAAGGGTGCAGCGCAGGCAGCAACACACTCAACACCGGAGATATCGATGATATGAATGACGAGCGAGGCCATGCTAGCGACGACAGACTGGACAATGTTGTAATAGTACAGGCACTGGATGACGGCCGCGAACAGGATAATGGCGGGCAGGACCGAGACCGCAAAGGAGCTTGCGAAGGCGACGTCCTCGCCGTGATAGTTGACGGAATTGGGGCCAAAGATAAACTCGCGACCCTGGGAGGCGTAGCTGAGGAAGTTCTCTGCCTGCTGGGCAATGAATTGGAAGACATCGTAGCCGACGGACCAGCGGATAATGAGGAGACCGAGGATGTACTGCATGAAGATACCGGTCCAGACGATCTTCCAGGAGATAGCTTTATGGTTCTATTGGGTGGGTTCAGAATGCGCGCAAATGTGTACATGGGTGTATAAGTGATCTGTTGTGTATATTTACCATGGAGAGGGTAGCACAAAATCCGTTCAGCTGGTTACAAGGCGAGCAAACAGTTGACGCGTAGCATAGAATAATTAGACTGCATTAATGGGGAGGGGGACACGAATAAACGTAGAAGGAGGGAGGGATGCATCGAATGTGATTCATGCCTCATCGGCACATGCTCATCCCATGGAGGGAGGGACACATGCTAATGAGGCAGAGACGAGGACTAATAGTGTATTTGGAATTGGATCCTAGGGATGGGTACCACGAAGAGCACATAGGAAGACATCATAATGCATCCTTTTATGCTAGCAGATACACAGCAACAACATAGCGCGGACTACTAATAGTAAATTCATCATTGGGCAAAAGGCCAAAGGGCCGACCGACAGGCCATTAGCGCCCCTCCCTCCCCCCCCACTACCCAGTCCAAAATGATGCACTCCCTCTCATAACGGCCAAAGTAAAGACATAAGTGGCGGTGGGGTGAGTAAATGGATATTACCTTGGAGCAAGCAATGGTGATCAGCAAGAGGACGACGAGACCCAAGCAGGAGATCAAGCGCTGGCCACGGGTACCATGGATATCATCGGCTCTCAGGGCAGCAGTGAGGATCAAGGCCAGAGGCGGGACACCATACCCAATGACCTTAACCGCAATACTCGGCAGCATGTTCAAGGCCCTAGCGCCTCCGTTCCAGACAAAGGCAATTGGGCCCGAGACGGAGCCCACGGGCAGATGCTGAAGGGCCAACCACCAGACAATGGCAGCATACAGCAACGAGAGCACGAGGACGTTACCGGACTTGTGGATGATGACAGCGGGGATGAAGAGACCGGTGCAGATCAAGAAGGTGAGGAGGTGGTTCAACAGCGACTTATGGCGGTAGTAGAAGCCGAATCGACCATGGTATGAGCGCTGCGAGAAGGTATCATCGTCCTCGTGGTCTAAACCATGGATAGGGTGGCTCTGATGCTGGTCCTCAAACTGGGCCTTTTCATCATCCATGTGGATCGACGTTTGCTTCTCACTCGACATGGCGTGAGAAGGAAAGGAGAGGAGTGTGAACGGAAGAAGAAGTGGGAAGAAGGGGAAGAGGGGGAGGGGAAGGGAAGTTGATTCTACGAGAGAATCAGTTGGGCGTGAAGTGGAGGTATAAGGTGCGTGGGCAACAGAATGTGGAGAATCTGAGTGGGCACAGAAGAAAAAAAAAAAAAAAAAAAAAGACGAGGGATGAAGTTGAGAATATATACTCGGCAACTAAGAATGAAAAATGAACAACAGCGAAAAAACCGAGGCAACAGCTTTGCCTCAAGGGGAAAGGTGCCAGGGATTGAATGAATGAAAGAGCCTAGAAAAGAATATGTTCAATACCTCCACTTGTAAGTGGGTGGGTTTGGGAGTACTTCTCGCGTGTATCTTTTCCTGGCGGATCTTCAATAGTAATATCTTGCAGTAGGATTGGATACCGTCTTCACCACTCGCGAGAGTACCTGGAATGTGGTGTATTCCAACAAACCACTACTCTATCTACAACGCTGGCCTCGCTCGATCGCCTAGTCGTCATCGATGTAAGGGCGATCCATTTCTTCGTTTGCGAGGTCTCACACTCAGCATTCTGTCTGCATCTCTCATCATTTCCTTTTTTCTCACAAAAAGAACATTTTCACATTAGATCCCACATGAAAGAACCACGAGCACTCGCCCTCCTGTCGCGGTTTGTAATGATCTCGGGGTCAGCGACCTTTTTAGGTCAAGACAGCCGCATTACTTTTGGTCCGCAAATGTCTGTCGACTATAGTTCGATGCCCGCCCCAAGGCTATTTACAGGCCCGTCTTTTCTTCCCATCACAGAGACGCAGAAAAGGGTCCAAAACGGTCGGTCCATTCGTCGAGAAAGACAATGTATAACCGCAACGTACGCCACGTTAAGTGCTTGGCTTCTCCTGACTCTTTCCGAAGGTTTAGCGCTAGTTGAGGAGGAACAAACCACGGACTTTTTTTTTATACCAAGGACCATGACGACAAAGGATTCTGGTCTTCATTCCCCTTACTACATTATCGCTCGAACTGATCTGCTTTTTTTTCAAGCGGTCGTTTTCTAATCCCCCCACCGCCAGGAATTGTGCACGACAATACAACGATTAACGTTTTAAACATCCTATTCAAACGTATATATTATTAAAAAAACGGCGTTCAATAACGCGCGTTTGGGGTTACACCAGTGGGTCTTGGTCGAGTAGATAGAGAATTTAATTATTTGTTTGTTTGTTGGTCGTCCTCAATCGAATCGGAAATATACTCTTCCGGGGGATAGACACCTATACAATCGCGTCAGCACATCACCGTCTTTGAAGTGCAGCTTGTTTACTTCCTGACAATGACAAAAGGCTGGCTGATCTGCTTCATCTCACACTTGTCTAATACATTTTCCAGCTCTTCCCCCGCATTTTCTTTTTATGAACAAATAACTGCGCTTTAAAAAATAAAAAAGTGTCCAGATCGCATGTACTCTTTCCACCAGAGCCGGCCAAAACAAGGGCGAACGAGCAGGTGGAACTGGATTGCTGAAATGTACTCTTGCCGCTGTAACCGGTGGAGAGAGACGAGAGAAGAACAATTTGGTAAAAACCGGAGACCTTTGTTACCCCTACGACAGACTGTACTGTGTTTATTTAAAGATGGGCGGGGATTCGAACCTGAGTACTATTACAAGAAAGAAAAAAAAATGCACTTCAACATCATTATGAGCGGTTGACTCTAAGAAAAATGAGCGTTTTCAAATGCAAAAATTCTAGAACCTCAGCCGCGTTTGACCGCTTTCTTTCCTTGTTCGTGAATCCTAGTCCATGGATCATGGGTCAGAGGACTCCATCCCACTTTATTCATTCCGCAGTACTATCTTCAAGATGCACGATATATTCTGATCTGCCAGACCGTTTCCCTCTCTCCTCCTACTTTCACAGCAGGGCTCCATTTTTTTTATATAGCTCAATTTTTGACGCAGCCAATAACAATTTTCGTCAATGTTGCACAAAGTGGAAGAACACGGAATTACACCCTCTTTGGTCGACAACACACTGGAGTGTTGCTGTGTCGATTTCAAGGATCGGCCTCTTTGCCGCTTACATGCGCGACATTACGCTCTAGAACCTATTCTTCATTCATGAATTACAAACTAAAAGCATTGTCAACGATCATATAACAAACGACAAACAAAGACCAACGTGATGGGGTGGCAAGGTAAGGCACAGCATATGTTGAAGTAAACAAACGCGTTCTTCATCAGACATAAGGAACAGCCTGGGAACCAACCCATTGTGAGAACAAAAAAGAAACCAAAAAAGAAAGCTTGTTCTGGATGCCATGCTCAGAAAGGTAGCGATCCATGTAGTCTGGTTACGGTATGAGCAAGGTCAGAGAGGCGCATGATCTCTCTTCCACTTAGTCCCCACCTTCTCTCGCTGTCTCCGCTTTCCCCGGATTCTGCGGAGAAAGAGAGGGACAGACGTAGTGGGGTATGACATGGTCCTTATCTTTGGCGACACGTGTACCTTAAGATAGACTACTGTAATGAAGAGAGGGGAAAGGAAGTAATCCGACTTGCAGAATCGAATTAACGGCGGTTTGGGCCTTCTTTTTTTTGTGCATCTCCTTATGTTACTATTTGTTGTCCAAGTGAGCGAGTTTTGTCGCGTAATGAGTATACCGACATCATAAGAACATGCCGCCTTTTGGACTAGATTATTGCACCCTATTCTCCACTTCCCTCCCCCACAAACCCCCCCCCCCACCCCCCTGCACAAAGATGTACAAAAAGCAACGACAATAGCGTTTGTGGAGATCATTCAACAAGACGAGATAACGAACGATGACGATAGACAAGTAAGGGCATTTGTGCTGACAAAAGAGGAGGTCTTCCCACGCGTTACACGAAAGGGTATATCAACTCTAAAAGGCCATCGCTGTCTGTGAACGAGCGAACAGCTTCACTTTGGTAGTTTATGGTTTAGCGGGGGAGCTTTCTTTACCTTTCACTCTGCTATGTGTGTTTTTGTGGAGAAATTAAGGTTCATGAACGCAAGGTGCGGAGCAAAACAAATGGTGTGCAGTTTATCACGGACATAAACACACGGTCTCTCCTCTCAGACAAACAGCGCCTTTTGGGAATCGTACGATACAACGGCATGCTTTTTTCTCTCTTCAACTCCATCTACAACCATCATCCCATCCTCTTCAACAGCACACCAAGCTTTTTGTTTTTCAGGTCCGAAAGGAAAAAAGAGAATATATACATTTTTCTAGAGAGTCTAACAAAAATCCTGTGTACACTATTCATGCATCCCGCGGACTACCTTTGTCTCTTGTAGTCTGTCTCAGATAGCCCCGATGGCCGACAACGCCCTCTCCCAGACACTGCCTCCATTCGGGTGCAACGCATCCACGCCTCCCAAAGACACCTCAATCAACGAATCGAACGCCGCCTTACCAGCGATCGGCTCCACCCTGATCACATCCTCCTTCGCAATAAACGCATTCGACTTGCGCTGTGCAAACACCATCATACACGCGCCCGCCCGAATGCTGTTCTTCCTAAGTGTCTCCTCGCCATTGGCGCCACTGCTGCCGGACCGGATCAGGGGCGCACCCGTTGAAGTTTTTGCCAAATGGAACAACACAAACGTCTCCATCTCGAGCGTCATCGTTCTGGGCTCATGTCTCACCAGTTCCGTAAAGAGCTCCTGGTTATCGTCCACAAAGTTCTCATCCTGGCGACCCTGCGACGAATAGAACGAATCCGCCGTAGCATTGATTCCGGACCAGACGTGGTCAGACCCGAGCTGCAATGACATGTTCTTCACGAGCGTCTTGGCGATCTCCTCATCTGCCGTGAAGACCTTCGAGAGATGATAAGGCATTGCCACGTCCACGGCCGAGACGTCGTCGGCAAAGTGGTTGACGTTGCGTTGGACGAGGTATGAACCTGAGGGCACACAGATGTCGCCGACGGTAGCGTCGGAGAGGGAACCGCAGGAGCCGAGACGGATGATGATCATGGGGCCATCAACGACCGCGCGGCATTCGCGAACGAAAAAGTCCATCATCGACACGCCCATGCCTGTATCAAATGACAAGGAAATTCAGAAAGAAGAACAAAACCTTGGTTTGTGAAATATTCGACACAGTTTTTTTTTTTTTTTTTCCACGGACGCAATCAAATATGCAAAGGGCTTCTTTTTTTTTTTACCGATGGCAACAATGGAGACTGGCACACCCTTGTAGAGACCAGTGATGGTCAGGAACCCACGGTGGGAGGCGAAGCTGAAGAGGTTCGAGGGAATCGCCTTTGATGCCGTATTCTCGAGATTGACACCATCCAGCGATCGGGAGAGGATGATCGCACGGGCTGGATCACCGACCGTCAAGATCCTGTTCGCCAGCTCGCCACGCTTCACACCGACATGGCTAGAACAATTGAATGAAGAAGAATACGATATAGAGATGAGTTGTGAGTAAAAAGAAAGAGAGTTCATTGACTCGATGACATCAGTAACAAGAACTCTGCTTGAGCTGTAATGGGGCGATCAAGTAAGGTATCCTTTAAGGCAACTAGAACTACTTACTAGGTGCGACCCTCGGCATCCATAGGGAAGTTGGCGTTTGACATAGACATGATGGAGTGGAATAAATGGAAAGAGGAATGGGAGTGTGAAAAGAGGAATGGAAGGAAAGGACCGATGGAGTGGATGGGAGTCGAGAGAAAGAAGTGAGGTGCAACCCTGGCAGTGTTTGGACGACTTTTTATACTTACTGCAGCCCAAAAGGAGAGAGCCGTGGGTAATTTCGGCGTGGGACAGCCATTGATTAGCCTTGTCTCCCCATGCACGCACGTTTTCTGGGTGCCTGAAGGGCGTTATTGATCCATTCTAGAAACCCTATGAACGGCCCACTCAGCCAACACGCCCCCCCCCCTTCATCTGCTGCATCTAATGCTTATTCAAGATCTTTTTTCATTGTCATTGTCATTGTCATTGTCGTTGTCGTTGTCGTTGTCGTTGTCATTTTCATTTTCATTACAGCACAATATAACTGTTTACTGCCTCTAAAGCGACCTGAAGCATCAAAAAGACATGTGCATCTATTCGTTCAGCGCAATGATGGTCATCATGCCCACGCCAATCAACATCGCCACAATCTCCGAAGCGAACTGCCGAGCATCCTTTGCAAATTTGCCGCTCACCGTCAGCAACTCCGGAATCACACCCACCGTCGCAATGTACAAGAACCCTCCCGCCGTGAACGGGATCACCAAATCCCCCGCACGCATGGGAATGCTTTCGATCCCAAACAACGCCAACGCCTGCCCCCCAACGGCCTTTCCAGCCTCGCCCTCGCTCGCGACCTTGCTCATTTCCTCGATCGCAATCCCGGCAAGCGTCCCCAAGAACGCACCGATCGCCGTAATAAACTGGGACATCATCGCCTTGCTGCGTGGGAAGCCTGACTGGATCAGGATCGCATAGTCGCCAACCTCGTGTGGAATCTCGTGGAAGAACACAGCGACGGTTGTCGTGGCTCCGATCGCAGGTGAGGTATAGAACGATGCGGCCATCGCGAGTCCGTCCGTGAAGTTGTGAGTCGCATCTGCAATCAGGTTCAAGTAGGCCGATAGCTTGATGCTGTTCGAAATCTCCTTTTTAGCGGGCTCCTTGCTGTCCTTGTTCACGTCGTCCTGCTCCTTGCTACCCTTACGCTGACGAAGAGTCGAGTCCTTGCTCTCCTCATGGGTGTGCTTATGCTCATGCTTGTGGTCGTGGTCGTAATGGTGGTGGTGCTCGTTCTCTCCATCGACCTTCTTGCCATGGTCATGACTATGGCTATGGCTGTGTCCTCCCTCACCACCGCTCAGCACACGCATGACCTTGTCGATACAGAAGAACATAAAGAATCCGACAAAGATGCCTAGTCCGACTACAACATTCTTCTTCTCGTTCGCCGTGACCAAATCGCCCGAATGCACCTCGCCCAAGAACGAGTGCGGCAAGAGATGCAAGAACACATCGCCCAGCAATCCACCCACCGCAAACGCCACCAACGTGTTCAACGACTCCGGCTTAATATCTGGCGGAACAAAGTACAGCAGCAAATTTGGAATCAACGAGATGTAGGTCGTGCCCAGGAGAGAATTGACCATGGGCGATCCAGGGAACAAGAATGCGAAAAGGGCTTTCATCCGACTGCTCGTCACCGTGCCATCATCGCCAAGGTCTACGCCAGATCCTACGAGATTCCCGTCCTTGTCGTAGATAGGCAGCGCATGGTACAGTTGTTCCTCCTCTCCTGAAGATTTGCCAGCCGCGTGGAAGGGACACTCGCCGGCGTTTTTGGGGTCGACGTTGGCATGAGCGTGGTCCTTGGGCATCTGAGCTTGGGTGTGAGCTCCCTTGTGGGCCGCGACCAGCGTAACAGCAGCCAGCGCCACCACGGCCAGCATTAAGAGCCACCTGGCCCTGGAGCGATTAAAAGTCGCCATTCGCTTCTTTTTTTTTTTTTTTTTGGAATCCGCGTGTGTCTGCTACTGAATGTGCATGAAGAGCGCAGCGATTAGATGACAGACTCTTCTCAGACTGAGATCCGTCAAAGACCTCAGCAGACATGTATTTACCAAGCGATGGCGGTTGTTATCTGGCGAGTAAATCTGGTCGGGAGGCCAGGACTTCGGTAGGCACGAGATGAGTGAGTGGAATGGAGGGAGAGAGAGAAAGAGAGAAGGATCGAGGAATGGTGCAATGAAGGACCGTGGTGCTCTCCTCCAGTAAAAAGGTGCCTCATATAACCTGCATCGTACACAAGGGGCCAGGGAAAATAGGGACAGACCCAACGTGTCCAGTTCACGGCATAATTGGCGCGTCAGGGACATGGTTAAGGGGACCCTCTCCCCGCTTTAAAGAACGGTTCCTCTCCGTCGCATATATCAATCATTTGCATCTGGCGGATACGTTCACAGTGACCTCTATAAACAGGGCGAGTGGATTAATATTTATTGAGGGTATGCACAAACAGATATAGAAAGGGATCTATAAAACGTGCTATGCTACTGTGACAGGCACAAACATTCGCGGCTCCTGGGGCTGGGCCTTGGGCGTGCCACGATCTGGTACCTCGGGCAAGAAATGCAGCTGTGGGCGATACTGCAGACGCTGCGTATTGGACCAACGCGTCATCCAGTCTGGCACATAGTTCAAAAACAGTTTGCGCACCAACTCTGGAATGAAGCCCTAAAAACACAGAAAGTATAACAAGTAATACTTAATATCTAGTCCAGAGGTAGGTCAGCAATCGAAGAAGGCACAGCAATCCTTACCCTGTCTGACATGACTTTCCCAAATCCACGAGCATTATTCAACGCATCCTGTGCGATTTTTGATCTCTTGTCGAAATAGTTCTCGAAAATTAGAGTGATATTCTCCTGCGACGGAGAAGGAAGATCAGCGAGGAGGTTGCTGAGATGAACGGCGTCCAAGATGGCCAAATTTGCTCCCAATCCTGCACTGGGCACGACCTATCACAGCAAAAGTTGTCAATGTCATACATAAAAGATGAGTGCGCTGGATAAAAAACACCTTAGAAACCAACATCCAATGCGACAACGGCTGTGTACCTTGTGGCAAGCTATTTCCATCACGTAAAAAACAACGTGGGTTAGAATTTGCAGTTACAGGTAGACAAACTCAAGCACATTGCGCAACCATATATCGCGTACATACCATCACCAAGGAGAACAACACGTCCATCGTACCAAGACTCAAAATACTTTTCCTCAAGCGCAATCTTCGAGATAAGTTCCTTAGGGGTCTTGTCGATGATATCGCCTAGAGTGCCCTTGAAGGGACTGGGCTGGTGTCGGACAAAGTTGATCATTGTCTCACTGGCCTCAGAACCCCACTCTGACAATCTGCCCTCTCCAACCTTGGCCTCCGCCTTGGGAACATTATGAATCACAGCCCAGGAGACGCGATTGCCGGGCAATGGCATATAGATAGCCTAGTTCGTACGAGTTAATAAAATAAAAAGCATAAGGAACTCTTTCTTCAAGTTCCAATATAACCCACAGTTCCAATATAACCCACAGTTCAAAGCAGAGCCACTTACATAGAATGGGTCGGTCTTGGGAATGACAATCTCAAAGTCGGTTGTTTCTCTTCGAATTATCTCATGCTCCTGGGGGTCCAATGGCTCGCTGACGCCAACTGCGAGCAAGCAGCCAAAGAAAACAAAGAGATAGCCGGGATGTGTTACACATCAGATTAGGGTTCGGTACATAAATTGATTGAGATGGGGTTGAGCCATGAACAAAAAAGAACGAAGGCGGAGAAACACTCACCAAGGCAATGCTGGTCAAACGTCAAGGGCTTGGCATCATTCACAGAAAGCTTGCCTTTCTTAGCCAATTCTTCGTACATGTGCTTGCGAACAGTCGAGTACGCGCCATCTGCACCGACGACGATTTCGCTCTTGTAGGAGCTATCGGGATCAAATATTGGCAATAGAAAATTGATTAGAGTAACACATGGTTCAAGACGCGGACTCCAAACAATTCAGAACGCCGGCCAGCTGACGAGAGCCCAATCGATCAGGGACAAGGTCGGTGGGGCAACTTGGTAACATTACCTGCCATCGACACATCGCACTGTGGCGCTGGTCAGGTCCTGTTCGATAGAAGCCATCTTCTTGCCATAGAGGATCTTTTCCTTGGGCAGATTTTTGAGTAGGCATCGGTAGAATGCAGGGCGGTCGAGAATGATAGCTGGATAGCCACCACTAAAAAAAAAAAAGGTTAATTGGCTCAGTCCTTTATGGTAGAGATACAAAACGGGGGGTTGCATATGAACGTTGACTCTTGTGTCAATATCTTACATCTCCTCCATGCACGAAAAATCGACCCGGCCGGTAGACTGTATGGCCTCGTTGTAAAAGTTGAACCACCTCACGGGCTTGGACGCTTGCAGAAAGTCATCTAACAGGCCCAGCTGTTCAACGACTCGGAGCGTCGAGGCATCCAATCCGAGAGAAGCACCCAGGGCCGTGATGGTCGAAGATTTTTCGAGGACCAGGTATTCAATTCCCGCCTTTTCCAACATATTGGCCAACGCCAGCCCACCAATTCCTCCGCCAACGATAGTGACTCTGAGCTCGCGAGACATGGTATGATGAGATGAGAAGAAGCGAATGAGAGGATGAGGAAGGAAGAAAGAGGAATGAGCGGAGACTGAGAAGTAGAGGGTAAGGAGGAGAGTAGCACAAGTACCATCGGAGCAATGCATGAGCGCAACTACTTCTCTCTCAGGGTGGTACAATGCGACCGACGCCCCTATTTGCATGCAATCCAAGGTTTGGTCGACCCCACTCGACGCGACTAGATGCAGCCTGACATGTGTGTCAGTTGGTTCTTTATTCTTTTTTCATTTGACTAAAATGCATTACAAAGGGGTTCCCACTGCATGCGTGCTTCTATTAACACTTCAGGACGGATGCTGATAATCCACATTGTCGGTACTATGAAGAAGTAGTCATCGAGAAAATAGTGTACATTGGGAAAGCTCTTCAAATTCAGATATCGAAACAAAGGAATAGTCGATTGACTATGGTGATGACATCCCGAGGGCAAGCACGAATGAATAAAAGCGCATATTCATGGCATAAACGAGGACGCATCGCTCCCTGCTTTGAAAATCATCTAGGAACTCTGAGTGTGGCATAGGTGCAAACAGTGCGGCACACTCACTTCACAGAAAAACCGCGCAGCTCTTAGTAGCATCATGTACTGCGCGTGAATGACAAAAGTCGGTAGCAAAAACCCAACGGGGCAATATTCAAGTGCGTACCCTTGATATCACTTCGTCGTTAGTAGTGGGGTTCGACATAGAAGCACACCAGCCATGGCGATCGACGTCTGGTATCAGTAGGTCACACCCCTGTTGGTGAGTTTTGTAAATCAAAGTTATGGTGGCAAATCCGAAAGTTCGTGAGAGCCTTCACCTCATTCTCGCTACAGAACAGTGAGCTTCAGCAGTACATTTGTGGGAATGAGATGCGTCTTTGACCTGATTAAACATCAAAGTGATAATGGAAGGAGGTACCAAATGAGTCGACAAAAGGTTGCCGATTAGCAATAAATCGGGTAGAAATACTAAAGCAGGGGAAGTAAAGAATCTATTGGTGTATTACATGACTATGGTAATGTAAAAGACAAGACTAAGACCAAGCTAGATCCAGCATATCACTACAGATGCGTGCCGGAGGATTCGCGGATCATGGACATGGCTCGCTCGTGGGGACTGTTCTGTCTCGCATGTCCATCATAAGAATTTGATACTACGCGAGGTGTGGAGGCACTTCGTGCTAATGTCGAGTTGTACGTGCCCCTTGTAGACGGAGCTCTGACGATAGGCTGTGGGTGTGCTCTAGAGGAGGAGGATGAAGACCTTGCGGCCGCTAATCCGTAAGCCTCGATCCGCATCCTCTCTAGGTCTAGCTGAATTCTCCTCCGTTGCTCGGCCTCGTAGTAGTAGCCAGAAGTCTCGCGGATATCAGACATGGAATGTGCTCTGTATGTGTTCGGTGATCTTGGGAGAGGTGCCTGGTTTTGTTGTAAATGTGAAGTTGAGGACCGAGAAGGACGAGGATACGGAAGGTGGAAGTCCTGATGCGGATCAAAGGTTCGTTGCTGAGGCTGCATGGGAAGAGCAGAAGATGCTGGAGTAGGATATGGGGTATAGGGATGAGGGCGATTTGCCTTGAGTGGTTTTGAAGATTTGGTGCCTGTGTATGCATTATAAAAGAAGAAAGGGCGGTTAGTAGAGTGTTTAGAAAAAGGGTAGCATCGACTATTACTGGCTGGCATGCGCCTACCCATGTTGGAAGAGTGCGCGATGAAAGGGTTCAGGTGGGGAAGTGAGAAGGAGGAAGTGGACACCGGGGGCCCAGTAGACAGGTAGCTGCATCTTTATACCGGCAAGCAGCGTGTCCATAACACGCTGAGCTCTGGTTCTTGGTCAGCGCGGCAAATGAGTCTGACCGACTGCGGCTGGCTCTATGCTGAGCATTCTTTATACGATGACTACAAATGGGTAATTAACTACACATGCGCGTCGCTCCCCTTTTTACTTCATTCAAGCGACAGGGTGTTTTCTGCGCTTTATTTTCAAGGACCAGTACAGCAGATGCAGATCCTCTGCCCCCCTCAGCTCTTGTGCCACCAATTGCCCTCATCCACTCCCACTCCTCACGCTTTATTCCCCAAGTTTCTGGCTCCTCGAAACCCACGGGGCCGCCGCAGCTCACTTCACAGAGCGCAATTCGGTTTAGTACCAAGTGTCTCTGGTACAGGAAACCAACTCTGTCTATCTGGTGCTTCAACTTCATGTGGTATATTACTAGCAGCACTAGGATGAATCTTAGTCATGGGAAATCAAACGTGAGTCGGATTCTTTGCAATGCTATATCTTGAGGCTTGGGCTATCATCCGTTATAAGCAGCCTCGATGCCACCGACTTGTTTCCTAACAAGGTAAATTGACCATGTCCCCCTCACTGCCCTTCAGACGATAAGCATGCTAGAAGCACGCTCTCAAGGCTGAACACAAGATTCGCCGCAAAACCTTTCGCCACAAGACAGGTATTCGCTCTAATGCGAATGACATTTGTTGAGTTACTATTCGGGCACAAGTTCGAGGCAAAGAGACAAAGCGAAAGATCTTACACGAGGGCGAGGGCGTATGCTGAGCAGGTGAATCAGAGCACCCACACACAGCACCAAACCAAATGCATGTGTACCACCAATGGGAAACAGATTCATCAATCGACTTGCAAACAGAACGGGAAGAGCATGCAGGACAAAGTGCAAAGCATGGCAGAATAACAAACAAATAAATGAACATCGACACGAGCGGGCCTTCTGATAGGAATAAATGGGATGGACGAATTCATCTTTTTCCTCGGAGAAAAAATTCAGTGCCTTCATATTTCTTCGACCGAATGGATCGAATGGAAAGAGAGGAACACAGGAATGCAGCATATGTCCGACCGCTATCTCCCGTTTGCGTGTTTGTCCTCCGCCACGCTCGCGCCATTTGTTCCCGACCTTCTCTATTCCATGCAGCATTCCTGTTCATTTTTCAGTTCTCTTCTATTTATCCCTCTTCTTCTCTTTCATCTCTTCTTTCGTTCCCTCCCTTCACGATCGCCCTTCTTTCATTTTCATCCCCCACATCTTCACCATGTCCTGGTCTGTCGACTGTTCTGGTGCCACTGCCTCTGTCCCTGCACCGCACCACTTGCACACTGCACAGCACACGCAGCACACATCTATATCACAGCCCGTACCTGAAAAATTTCCCGTCTGTGATCGACACCTTAGAGAGTTCTGCGCCTCTCATGGCCCCTCCTCCGGTCTTCCAGACTTCAATGGCTTGGAGACAACCACTAACACCACAGTAACGGATGAATCTCATCAGCCGCTGAAGGAGCGTGTCTCCATCAAACCCATGGAGTTCGTCAACTATTTGCTCGATGGACTCGCCCTCTACATCCGCAACCTAAGGGAACCATCCACGATCCCAGGCAGGGGCTTCTGGAGCAAGCTCTATGCTATAGGCCTTCTTCCAGCGCTGATAGGGGTTCTGGTCTTCTGTCAATGGACCATCACGTTCGTTATCCTTTGGAGCTCATACACTACCCTTGGCAGGAAGGCATTCCAGCTATTCTTGAAGGATCAAATCCTGATGTTTGACACTACTGGTAGGGGAACGGTGCTTGCGAAAAACATATATATATATATATATCTGGCGAAGCTCGTTTGAGTGGCCATGCAGATCGACTAATGCAGATTTTCCTTACCTACAGATATAGTGGACCCTCACGGTACAGACGAGGCATTGAAGCAGCTGACCGACATGCAACCAAAGTCGAAACCATCGTTCAGCTATTATCTTGCCAACCTCATGCTCATCCTTTCCACTGTGACGTACGAGCGGGATGACAACCTCGTAAAAAGTGCATCGTTGATTATGAGTGACATGGAAAGCGAAGCTCAACGAGCCGAGGCAGCGGCATTGTTGCAGGCGAGTGAACAGACCATCGATGCGAAGGCTCAGCTGCTAGGAATGCGGTTCATGGGAGTTAGTGAGCTCAAGTCCCTGGGAGGACCCTATGCAGGGTTGTTTTACAACGACGAGTCCATCCTCTTGGTGTACAAGGGCACCTCGGTCTTGGCCTTCAGTAAGTTCCAACTTGAACATCAACAATTACAGGAATCATTACTAGGATGTGCACTGGCTGACAGCGCGCGTTTTTCTTTGTCGGATCCTTTACGCTAGATGAGTATCTGATCGATGGAATGATTCAACGTGTGGATGCTCGAGAATATCTTTATGGCGAGGTCCACAAGGGTTTCTACGAGTCCCTGTTCCCTGACCCAGCACCTTTGGATTGCTATGAGCGGGCGACATACGATAGGACCAACCCCTTTAATACCATCATGCAGACCATTTTCGAGACGGCAAAGAAACTGAAGCAGAAGACCGGCAAGCCCGTCAACCTCTGGATGACTGGACATTCTCTTGGTAAGGATATTCATCTCAACATGGATTCGATTACTTGGCTGATTATATGCATACATTCATTAACCAAGGCTGTTTTCTATTTCATTTTTTATTTATTCTCAAACTTTTCAAAGGAGGAGCACTGGCTGCCTTGACAATAGCCAGGCTACAGATGCCACTCCGTGATGAAGATCCCCTGTTCAAGCACTGCGATCCCGCAGCTGTCAGAACCCACAACAGCGATGGTTCTCCAAGGACCGTCATACAGGAAATGCTCTACCGCTTCAATGCCACGTCCTCTTCCATCGCATCTTCTTCGTCTGTGTCTACACTGTCATCGTCTTCCACTGCTACGGAATCGACTTTCCCGTTCTCCTTCTTCCATCTCGGTCACCGTCATCACGGAAACGAACACGAGCACGGACATCACTATAAGCACACTCATAACGATGATGACCTGATTATCCTCCGAGATTGCTACAGTTTTGCGAGCCCCAAACTCGGCGACTCTGAATTTGCACAGCGGTTCGATCAGCACCATACCCAATTCCTGAACAATGCCACCCATAAACCCGTGTATTACCGCGTTATCGTCGACAAGGATATTGTCCCGAGGATGCCTCCAAGTTGCAGCACAGATCCCGACGATCACCACGAGCGCATGTTCCCTTGCTTGAAATGCTCAAAAACAAAGGCCACAGTGGAGGAATCGCACGAGTCAGCCACAGCACCGTTGAGGTCGCAACGAAATCAATCGGCCAGCTATGGATCTGTTGACAGCAGTTCGAACACGAAGCAGTCGTCGACAGCAGCACCACAACATTTGAATTCGTTGCTGGACTACAGACATGTGGGCCAGATGGTATCCTTGCCCAACAAACCGCTCCCCCCGACTGTCAAACCATCGGATTTCCAGACAAACTTGTGTGCAGGAGTCTTGCGGACGGATGACAACATGAAAGAACTGCTCCAACAGATCGAGATCACCCTGACAGAAGCCTCAACAGATTCAGCCAGGGCTACTTCGGGATCGTATTTCTCATTCTGGAAGAAGTCGTCGTCCCAGTCTACAAAGTCTCGCTTCGATTCACAAAAGATGGCACAAGAAATCGATCGGGCGAAATTAAAATACGATCTGAACGAACAGAGTCGACTCCGAGTTCCCTGCGACGCTGAAAAGTTCCTGTTGACGTTCCCGAACGTGATTTCGCACTCGCCTGCGACCTATCAGCGGAATCTAGTCCGATCGCGGTACTTCTTTACGAGTTTCCCGGGCACGGAGACGGAGACATTGATTCGGGAAACGGTGCAGAAGAAGGCGAGCGACGCAAAGGACAGTGTGGTGGTCGCGATCACGGAGATTGTCCAGGTGGAGCGAGTGCAGCAGGAAGAAGAGACCTCAAAGCTGGAGAGACCAAAACTGGGCGTATGGGTCAATCGCGACTCGGGAGTCTCTGTTACGATGAGCATTTGAGGCGTAAAGTGTGGAAAAGTAATTGCTGGAGGCGCATAACAAACCAATCCATGGGTATACTGTTCTAGTATAAAATAAAGATAACGATCAAACAGCAGTTGGCAATCAAACAGCTGCACTTTCATTCTGCTTATTCAGAAACTCGAAAGGTATGAATATACGACCCAACCAATATGCCAAACGAACCACTAAGAATCTATTGTAATTCTACATCCATAACAGGGATTGCTAGTTGATCGCGCTTGATGTTGAACCTCAGCATGCCCATAAACCACACCTTCTGGGCGCCCTGAATATTGTAGGATTCACCTCCCGTCACTGGCATTAATACTGTATTATTTCCTTGCCCATATTTGTCGCGCCTACTGTCCTCAAATCGCAGGACACCTGAAGTGTAGCCGGCCATATGTGTATTGAAGCCTGAGGTGCAGAGGAGAAAGCCGTCTCGATCCGCATGCCCGGAAGCAGGGAAACTCTGCCACCCTGTGAAAAGTCCGTGCGAGGCTTCTTGAGAGCATGGGGAATAATTGTTGTCAGCTGTCAAAGACTTATGCTCTCTGAAGAGCTCGGCGGCTGAGTTCAATGGACTTAATCTATATCCGCTTAAGCCAGTGGGTCCTTGGCTTGTCTTCGGCCATTCCGGCTCCTCATTTCTTAGAGCTGCGACCCTACTCTCCAGTTTCTCAATTCGCGCAGACTGGTGGCTCGATTTCCTCCACGATGCAGCAATGGCGCCGATGAAAGTGAGCAAAACAAAGAGAACTGGATACCAGACTTCTGGTCCCGACTGATCGAGTTGTCCAGAAAGTTGCTTGAAGCTGGGCGCCATCGAATCTAGATGAATAGGAACCAATTTTTCATCAGCTTCAAAATATATTTTATTGTTGAATATTTGAACATTCGTTTCCTTCAATAAAAGGGAGATAGATGATCAGTAGCTTACCAGAAACGGTTATATAGAATCGAGCTTAGATTGGGGATGGAGAGTTAGATGGAGCTGGTGGGGAGCAGAAATGGGCAGAAATGCCAACAATTCGCTAGTTTTATAGTTTTTATAGTTCTTTCTGTCTATAGAGAGATCCCTTTCCATGCTTCCAAACGGAAGAGGATCTGTAAAATACAGTCGCAAGCAGAAAGGAAAGGAGGCGAGAAAGTAGAATTCGCCCTACAGAACAACCTGCTTCGCCAGGACTTCGAGCAAAGTAAATTTTATCCTGCAGAGCAACCTGCTTCGCCACGACTCTACGAGTGGAAACAAGGGGGTGAGAAAGAATATTTCGCCCTGCAGAACATCTCGCCGCGGCTGCGAGCAAGGCGGAGTTTACCCTGCAGAGCAACTTGCTTCGCCAGACTCTTTAATTGGATACATTGGGTTTTCACCGGAAGGAAATTCATCAACATCCAGAGGGCCCAATAGAGCTTTATCAACCATCAGCTCTCAACAATGGCTTCGCAGTTGTTCAAGGAGAAAGAGGAGGTAGGAGAGAAATAACAACTTCTACGACATGGTGCTGCTGCCGGTGATCAAAATCAATAGTCAACAGCGGTGGCGACACCGCAGCAGAATACCGGATCACATTTTAAGTAGTCCAAAGAAGCTGCACACTTCCGAAGGGCCAACGCCAACGGCACGACGCAGCTTGACTGCAGTAGTCGGTCATACAAACGGCGATATCGGGCCCCAGCTTCCAAAAACCCTGAGGAACAATTCATGGCCGATATGACGAATATTATAAACTTTCGGGCCTCAGCACTTTTGGTTCTTACGCGGCACCAATGCGTATACGGAAGGTAATGAATATGCGCTACGACTACGGTATTGTCTTTCTTCATACTACGATATATATATTTGAGTCAATTCATTTATATCTGCTCCATGGAGATCATGGGCATACGTCTTTGACAATGACATCTATGAAAGCGACAACCTTACGTCGCGGACAAGACCGTTTTTGTAAAAAAAAAAAAATGCAAGTACAGTGCTCGGAAGAGGATCTGTTTAGCGCCTTTGAGCGTCTGACAAGGGGTAAGGGCCTATTGAGGACACTGAGGATGTCAATCGGCTCCTATGTTAAAACCTTAGCATTCTTACCCTGCAATGCAGCTGCGGCCGATAGGGATGACGAGGAGGGTTGACAGAGGCAAAGAGATATGTGCACATGCAGCTGACAAGAGAGCGAGGACGATAGCGAGGGCACACATACAGCATGGCTCCAACAGGGAACAAAAGTTCATTTTATTTTAGTTTCTGGAGATTTCGAGCAATCTATATAAAAGAAGACTACACACATGGAGCCCACGCCACAGGAGGATAGTTCGCTAAGAGGTACGTATGTATGTCGAGGAAGCTGTAAAAGCTGCTGTAGCCATAGCATTTTAGCATCGCGGCGGCTTTAGCAACTCATTTGTAGATGAGCCTCCACTGGTTGTTCATGCTCGATATCGACCTGTCAAAGATGTTGGGAGTCCAGTGTAACGTTTACTGAGAAGCTAGCCTAAGATAAATCTTCTCCTGTGCTGCAGTAGCATAAAGCTTGACGTTTGACGATAAACTCGCATAGATCAGCAATGCACACCATAGCTTTCAGAGCGAAAAGAAAGAATATACCTTAGGACAGAAATTGGTTCTTGAAAGTTATGTACAGTCTATTGTTCCAACACGTCGATGGCGTTCTTTGGATAAAGTCAGGCTGCCACATGGTCCTCATCCCGTATTCAGTTCCCGCGCGCGAATCATATTCCATCGTCCTCCATACGCTTTCGTTTCCCTGCTTTAGAAATCTTTGTAGGGGAAACGGAAGTGACTTCGATGCTGCGAAGAGCTAAGCCAAATGCACGTCGTTCCCCATAGCTCAAATCTGTCAACTGGTCCAGGCTCCTATGATGCGCTTTCACCAGTCCAGCAAAGCTAACGCAGGTTTTCAGCATGAGGCCAAGGTACTTCTTGATCGACGTGCAAGAGTTTGGGATTCTGACAGTGGCCAGTTCATAGAGCCGATAACATCCACGGAAATCCATTGCCAGAAATGTCATATCCGACTCGTACACCTGGAGGCTGAATATAGCGAAGGGCCGAGGCTGCTTGCAGTCCTTGACGGTCTCCTTCAAGATGCGTGTCCAGGTATCCTTGAGATTTCGTGCAGGTTTATAATGATCCCTAGCTTCCTTATCACTTGTATTCTCAGACATCTTTGAACACTTGACAATGACAAGCTGTAAAGCTTCGGCTGTCTCCACAACTGCATCTGCTTGGTGACCTTGCGCCTGTCGCTCAAATAAGAGATCCTTACCGGCATTTCGGCGACCACTAGAACCGTACACGGGTACCTCAAATCGTCGAACCGCAAAGTTAGACAGGGCAAACGCACCCTCAAAAGCAGGAACCACAAGATCATCGAAATATTGCTGCTCATTGGGGCTGGCCTGCAGTCTATTGCAGCGTAAATGGCGGGCTCTATTTGCAAAATTCACGTATCGATTAAAGGTCATGTCGATTCCATGCTTATCACTTACTCCATACAGCTAATGATCACTTACATTCCAGTGAATACCTGCGAGATGTAGTAAACACAATCGTCTGTGTAGCCTAGCTTCCGAACAGCAAGGTGCATGTTCTCGAAAGTATCGTTTCATTAGCGAAAATGGTGCCCAGCAGCGAGTCAACCTGATTGTCAGGTTCGAGGGGTTCGATGTCCAGGACATCAGCTAGGGCGAGTTCATTTTCGACCTCCGTCAGTACCAGCGAGAACTCTCCTTCTTCAGTCATGTCTGCGATCCTATCCTTGCTGAGCGTATATTTCTTGCCCGCTGTCTGTTGCTCCTCTGCAAACTCATCAAAGCGAGACAGAAAGTCCTCAGGCCCGTTAAGCCATGCCGTCTTTTGATTCAACTTCCTAAAGTGGCCTATATTGAACCGCAGACCAAATATCAGAAGTAGCCAATCAAATATTAATAGATACGCTCATTTCATTATACACTCATCATCAACGACAAGTTGCATACGTACCCAGAGATGCATTTTCGCTATGCCATTCTGTCTGGAGGTATTGGTCACCCACTGCTACTTCCCGCTCTAGAGAAGTCATCTCTCGTGTATCCGTTCCGCTGCCACATGGAGGCGACGGAGCCATTGACCGCATATCGTTCTCCTGCTGGGCTATGGCACGGTGCTGAAATGACACATACGTGTTCTCCTTGATCACGCCGTTATTGGATGTCGCCTGAATCTTTGCCCGCATAAGGCGTATTCTCGGTTTATCGAACTCGCTGTCTAGATACCGTAGCTGAGTCACGCAAAAGCTGCGTATTATTTGCGAAACGGCTTTGTAATCGGAAATCGCTCTCAGTCCGCCCAGGAATTCATCGACCCGGTGTGGATATTGTTGCATAAACTTTTCAACTGTCCATTCAGCGATGTTTTGAGTATTATCCTTGAAAAATTGATGGACTTTGAGCCTCTCGGGGCAATTAAAGATGCCGTCGCCACGAAAACCTGGACCGATGTGGTTGCTCGTTGACATGTTTGATGAGGGCGGTGCTGGAAATGAGGAACAGACTAATGTAACCCAATGAGATTTCATGGAAAATAACCGAAAATACGTCACCGAAGACGTTCTTCCCGAGAGGACGTGCCACCACTAAAAGTGTGCTTGCGACCTTCGACCTTCATCAAGCAAGTATACTTGGCCCAACGTAAGTCTACCTCATCCTTGCCTTCAATGCACAGAAAAGAAAAGGTTGAATGAACCGGCTTGGCAGCGGTGTCATGGATCTCACATTTAATTGCTTTTGATGATCCTATCGCTGTACTCTCTGGTCGGCCGTGTGCGCAGAGAGATGCCAACGGGTGCACTGACGGCCGTGTTGCGGGTGCATCAAGGTATAGTATGAAGTCGCCATGCATCTGTCGACCTGGGTGCGGGATGCATGTGCGCGTTGCGTTAGTTTTTTTTCTTTAAACGTTTACTTCCTTGTGCTTCCGCTGATTGATCAATCTTTGTGTCTAACCCTCATTTCTAGGGACTACCCTCACAGTATATTAAGTTATTTCACAGCTCGGATTGCTTCAGCACCATCGAGACGAAATATGTGAAAAAGAATGCCTGCCGCTTCAAGTAAAGAGCACATTTTATTCCAAGTAGCCATAATACGCGAAACATAGAGCGATAGAAAGACATATCTGTTGGAGGATTGCTTTATTTTCGACATTTAGTATATTACGCTATAGGACTTGATTTCTGACTTACCTTGTGTGACGAGACACGACTGTGCAGACTTGCCGGGTATGCCAGACAAAATGAACCTAAGATCATGTCAAACAGAACGACCAAAAGGACGATTAGAAAACCATGATCCGATGTAATTAATGATGCAATGACAAATAACCTGACACTCTCCACAAAGCCCTCGCAGCCGCATCGGAACACAAAAAAAAAGGATCGACAAGGATGGTCGGGATAGTGGAGAGATCGAGGAGTGCAAAGGCCCAAAAGGTGGTTTTGTTGTCAGATAACATTTTCTCGTCATGCTTCACATATCTCGGAAGCAATAAGACGGCTTTTCCTATCAAGAATTTGTATAAATGTAACTTCATCATCGAAATCCACACAGCTCCTCCTCTTTCTCTCTTTTAACCCGGTGCTAATGTCCCTGAATCTTTTCTTTTGCTTGGTTTCAAGTCCAGCGTCTGAGAAAGCCCACCGCGGAATGTTCAATTGAAGCTGAAAGCATGGTGGTTCAAATTATTACCTTGACATCGTGTAGATCTTCGTAGCCCTTCACGGCATCTATGAACGCAATGTCGCGCACCAATAAATGCAGCATGAACAGCCTACTGTTGTCAATTGACATACAAGAATCATTGTTAGATCTTAATCGCACAAAGGTACTTCAGAAGAATTTTGGAAGAGACAAGTCGAGGAAAGATTTGTAATCAGACATCCAAGGAAGTTATAGCCAGCATCGGGAAAGACAAGATCCACAGCGCTCGACGATGGCATACTGCTCTCTGATCGCTTCACTGACACTTCCTCACAAGGAGAAAGAAGGAAGTGGCCGTGAATCGTCTTATACATGGTCCCTTCGGTGGAAACTGCGAATTATGGTACTTCATCATTAAATCAAATTTCCTTTTGTACAAAGTGGATTGAAAAAGACGCCAAACTCACCATAATACACTCATGGCTGGGTGTCCTCGCTTTCATCCGTGGTCCATCTATGGCCAAAAATCTCAAACCGAGTAATGAGACCTATGCATCGTCGACGAGATAAATGAAGTATGTTCATTAGAAAACATGCTTGAAAACATTATGAAAGAATAATTAAGGGAACAATCTTCTTTAAATGTGTGGTCAGTGGATTATACTGGCAAGTATGACACTCCTCAGCGAAGGAGTGTAAAGGTATCACCATGGTCGATAAGATAACATGAAGACAAGATATGGTTTCATCATTCACACAAGGTAGAGACAAGTCGAATTCCCTTTTTGAATCGCGGATCTACTCTTCTCATCGCGTTCACGAATGAGCTCTAAAGAACAACGTTGATTCAAAAGGTCGACTTGGTTGAATAGGTCTGGAGGGTAAAAAGATGAGGGGGCACTTACCATGGAGCAACCTGGAGACGAGCGATGAAAGGGGAAGGAAGGTGAGAAGTGGAGTAGAAAATTTTTTCACGCCCCCAAATTTATACCCCGCGCCGCGTTGTTGTGATCTGGGCTGCTAAGCGCCACTCGAAGATCGTGACCGGCGAGCGCCTTGGTCTGGGTCTCAGCAGATCGTTAATTGGACACCCAGAGCGAAGATTTTCGCGTCAGTTGAACACCAGAGTGCGAAGTTTTGCGTCAATCGGCAATATGTTTGGCCCTCAGGACCTTTAGGCATATCCATGGCTCGCGGCAGCTACTCCTGGAGGAGCTGTCATGATCAGTTCTCTGTCCTCCGAAAAGTGTCATGTTCGCGAGCAATTGAAGGTTAAGAGTGCGTCAGAGCCTCTGTTCTTTCATTTAACGAGAAGTTACGGGCAAGGCGCACGCTAAGACCTTGAGTCCTTTCTTTCAGCGAACGACTGAAGGCAACGCACACACTGTAATTCTCTGTCTTTTAACTCTGTAGCATCTACCTGGTGCATTGCATTCGAGCTTTAATGTTGTTTATTGTGCTAAATTATACAGCGTCCGTATTTAACTTCTTCTACAGTAGGAATTAGAAAGCCATTGCGGCGGCAGCGACGGCAGCGGCAGCCATGGCCATGGGGGCGGCAGACAAGTATGCGGCGCTGTTTGGGGTGTTGGCAGCGGTGGGCGCGGCCTTGGCGCCAATCGCAGACACAGTCGCTGGGCCGACGGTGGGCAAGGAAGAGCTAGACGCAGTCGCGGTAGAGACAGGGGTGGGCATGGCCCCGGTAGGGGTGGCACCGGTTGTGGACCTGATCATGAAGTAGTGGGACCACGAATCTCCGACGCGGATTGAGTACCAGTCCGCAGGCAGAGTCTTGGGGAGGCTAATCTGGAAAGAAGTGGCCCCAGCCTTGGCTGAACCAAACTTGTTGACAAGGGTCTGGCTGCTGGCGTTACCCTTGAAGAGGTCAACGGTGAGTGCGACTTTCTCAGTAGTGATAAGATTCCAAGTGACAGTGTAGTTCTTGCCGGCATTCCACTTGGTATCGCCAGTGGGAACAGTGGGATAGGCCTGGTCGGCCATTACGGCGCCGATGACAGCGGCAGCGATAGCGACGATGGAAAAACGCATGTTGAAGAAGTGAGTTAGGTAGGATGTGTCGTGAAGGTAAGGTGGGTAGAGGGTTGGGGGACGTTGAGGGCTAGGTACGTGAGAGAGAGAGAGAGAGTATGGGTGTTTAGCGGAAGTAATCCAAGTGAAGGGGGAAGTTGCAAAGGCTTGAAGAAGAAAGAGAAGAGGATAACCGGATGCAGCGGACCTGTCATTAAATACAGGTACCGACTTCGGGTCCTAGGGCCTAGAGCAGAGTACAAAAATGATCATGTAGGCGATAAAAATGGCTAGGTGGACATATCCAATTATGGCCAGCAGGAGCACCTTAAGAGCCACGGACTATTCTATTTCGGCGTTAGAATTTAATGGCTTGTGGGAATGGCAGACAATGATAGGAAGCTGCTAGTGTCATCGTGTGCCCATCCCGATTACCCTTGACCTTTGTTGGTCTGCCCTTGAATCGGTTCAGGGCTTCTCTATGTAGATCCAATCTACATCCTTTACACAGCATATGTGCAGTGGATTTCATGGACACGTTTGCAGACACTCTTTACAGTGGCAGGCGACCATATTCAGCAGTAGATCGAGGCTCCTCCAAGACAAATATGGCTCCGAATTTTATTGTCACCCTCACTGAGAGCACTGCCGTTATTTTATTTTTACTTGCGTCACGTTAGACTATTGAAGGGCTGCAGGAGCAAAGACTAGCTTGTGTGCTGGGTGAGGTACGAGAATGTGCACTTCCTTGCAGCTGAAATATCTTGTTCCGGTGCCAGGTTTGTCCCTGTTGTTACACCAATTGTTGGATACTGAGAAAAATGAAACCGCAACGGTTATCACGTCTGTGCAACATTCCAGCAATCGAACCTAATTTCATCTCCATCCATACCCTTTTCAGCATTCATAATGTTGAGAAGAAGGGAGTTGCCGGTCGTTATGGCATTGAATCATTTGATATGTGCTCTGTGACCTGCGCCTGCCTTATTTTGAGGGGTGACTATGCTTGTCGGCCCAACAAGGAGGGTCAGTTTCAGCTTCGGTATCCGTAATTACTACCTGCAACAGTGGATAAAGATGATCATATTAGGCACGCAAAGTGCGGAGAATTTCACAAATCCATCTAAATGTATGGCGGGGACTCAGATATGGAATATCACTCAAGCATGTCAGGTGCGGATTCAAGAGCAGTGAGTGTCAGTTTGGGAACCGGAGTGAGCGTCCTGCTTGTCTCTCCTTGTTTTTTGTTGCCACCAATTTTTTTGGCAAGAATAAGGTTAGATTGATGCGGCTTGGTGATTCCAACAGTCACCTTCGTCAACAAAACTTCAACAGCATTTTTTTTTTTTTTTTTTCCTTGAACGTACTAGGCGTTTGCTACTCACTTCATCCCCTCCCGTCCGCTGTTCCCCTGTGTCCGTTCCTCCTTTTCGCCTACCTTCTTCACATATACAGCCTTCGTCAGAAATGAGTCAGCCACACTTGCCACTCTTCGGCATCCTCGCCTCACTGGATGTCGCAGAGCGCAATGCCGCGGCCTTGACACTCATCAAGGCCCTTGCGGTCTTGCAGAATGCACATCAATGTGAACTTGATCCCTATGCAGAAGACATCACCGAGGAGAGGCTCGATCAGCTCTGCCACCCTGATGTTGTCTATGCCCTTAAGCGTCTTATTAGAGGTCTTCCTAGCGACCGTGAGGCAGCCCGCCAGGGATTTTCACTTGCCTTGACTGAGGTACGGCATATCAACATCTTATATTCTGGAAGTCGTCCTGGACCCACAGGTTCCAGTTGGAGCTATTCAATTTATATATCAGACAGCCATATTTACTAGTTGATTCATTGTGTTTTCCCCTCTATCTCCTTAGTTGCTGATCGGACTGAATTTCCTGACGGCCAAGATCGTACTCGAGCTGTTGTTCAGATTCACAGAGATCAAGAACTTTATGAAGGGCAAGGTAATTGGACATATCCCGCAGCATTTCGTCCGCGAAGGCGAACTATTTTTCATAGGGTTTCAATAGTTCTCAACGATCCATGGCTAAAGGTGATACTTAACCATGGAATCTCTCCCTGACCTGTGCTGTAATTAAATATAGGAGGAGAGGAACCACATGTTCGGACGGATTTTTGGATACATGAGCATCATCCAATCAGGCATGCTCACTCGGCCGAAGACAACAGAGGAGGACATCAAGCTTATCGTCAACGATCTGGCCGAGTACTCACAGGAAAAGTCATATCTCTCCGAGTGCTGTCACCAGGTTCTTGTAACAATGCTTCCTCAGGTATGCAAATGTGTGTTTGCACGCTCGTAGGATTATAATCACCTGGCATACGGAAAGGAGAACCATGATTAACATCGTCGATCTCAATCTACCTACTCTCTAGATCGTCAATCACCCCAAGTCAGTTAAATATATCGCCGATACAATCTTTGCGGAAGGTGTCAACACTCCAGATCAGCTCAGCGTGGCGATGGTATTAAAGGAGCATTTGGATGATGTCAACAAACACCTGCCCAAGAATGAGCAGATCAATTGGACAAAAATTCTCGGCAAATCATGGAAGAACCCCGTCATTCTTCATCCCTCCAACCTAAAATTCCTCGGTCTTCTGCTGAAAGAATCCTCGACTGAGGAGGGCACCCAGGCATCATCAAGCTGGAGACAGAACCTGCACCCCGTCTGGGACCGCATCCTCGCTCATTACTTCAGCACCATCACTCCCAAAACACAGATTGCTCCCTTCAATGACTTTTGGAACGTCGTTATCGATTGTAAGTCCTGAGAAGCTGTCTCATGAAACGACGGCAATACGTGATTGTCTGGTTATGGATGAAAATCTCGACGACAGATCGTTGGAGGTCTAACAATCTTGGTCTTTTTTGTTATCATGTCCATCTTAGCCACCCTCTTCGATTCCAGCTCATCACACGAGCGCAAGTTCTGGGGGTTCCAAATCTTTGAGAAAATCTTGCCTGTCCTCAGCGAGGATCAGATTCCGCTCGTTTTCACCACCAACTTTATGCGCTGCTTTGTCAACAACCTCTCGAGCGAGGATCGCTTCCTCAACAAGGCCGCCAAGCACACCATGGCCGCCATGCACGCCAAGGCCGACACGAATGAGGCTGTCCGCTTGACATTGATTACTCAACTTCTGGATAAGAACCCTAACTTCGACCGCTTGACCCGCTCCAAAACTGTCGAGACACTGCTGGGCGGACTGGATGTCTCTCACATTCAGCACTACCTCGAATATCTCATCGAGGCGTTCTTGCAGCAAGAGAGTCCTGAATCAAACAACGTAGAGCGCGGCAAGCGCATCGATATCAGCAGACAGTGGGCCATTGACCAGATGTTCTCTCTTTTCCGCAACCCCAAGGTCCCACGTGAAGAGGGCTGGATCAAATCCATTCTCGAGTTTTATCTTGTCCACGCCTTTTTCGACATCAAGAAGGTTGATACCAAGACCAAATACGTAGAAGCCCATGTTTTGCCTACACCAGCCCTCTCTGCCGCCACCCGCGAGCACTGCAGGAACCGCTTTTACGGTATGATGGCCGAGTTGTCAACCATGGCGCCCCTGACCGCCAAGAAGGAGAACGAGGAAATTGAGACCGTCAACCATAGCCGAAAGCTGAACGGCACGATGCTAGATGGTACCTTCTGGTGCTCATTTGCCCTGAGCATGATGGTCGATCTTGAGAAGAGCAAGAACTTTGACAACCTGATTAGCCTCGGTGACGACGCTGACAAGGCCAAGAAGACTGCTTTATCCTTTGTCACCAAGATTCAAGAAAAGTGCAAGAAGGCGTCCAAGGAGCTCAAAGCTCAGTACAAGGCATTTGAGTTGCTCTTTGTCCAAATGATTCTCCAGCTTTACGTCGAGCCCGAGGATTCGACTAGCATTCTTGGAGAGCTGCACGACTGTTACGACAAGGTCTTTGCGTCGGGATCCAAGAAGGCTAACGGCAAGAAGGCTGCATCGATCGAGGACGATGATGATGATGAGGAGATTCAGCCAGTGGAGGTCATCATCGATATCCTTCTCAGTTTCCTGATCAAGCCATCAGCTCTGCTTCGTCATGTTTCTGAGCAAGTCTTTGTGATATTTTGCGACAAGATGACCCAGACTGGACTTGAGTTGATGCTTTCGACCCTCCAGACCAAGGATAACAAGGACGATATGTTTGGCGAAGAGCAAGACGACGAAGAGGAGGACGAGGACGCCGAGGCTGATGCTCACAACCAATCGGATGATGACGAGGAAGAGGAGGAGGAGGAGGATTCTGACGAGGACGAGTCGGAGGATATGGAGGTGGACGAGGACGATGACGACGCTCCCGTGGATGAGGAGTTCAGGAAAAAGTTGGCGGCAGCTCTGAACGTCAAGGATGGTGACGAATCCGAGGACGAATCCGAGGAGGAGCTCCTGGATGATGACCAGATGATGGCATTCGACGAAAAGCTGAACGAGATCTTCAAGCAGAAGAAACTGGCCAAGGCGCAACAGAAGGATGTTAAGCAGACGCTGATCCATTTCAAAAACAAGGTCCTCGATCTGCTGGAACTCTACATTAAGAAGCAATCGTCAAACGCGCTGGTGCTCGAGCTGATTGTGCCGCTGTTGTCGCTTGTCCTCATACCTTCGGCTAGCAACAAGCCCGTCCACGACAAGATCTCGGCGCTGCTCCGCAACAAACTTGCCAAGATCAAGGACTACCCACGCGAGTGTGACGATGAGCACGTCTTTGAGATCTTGAGCCAGGTGCACGAGTTGGCCAAGAAGTCGCCCGATGCCAAGTTTTCTGGCCTGTGCGGCGATCTGTCGCTGTTGTTGGTTAAGGTGTTGATCGGTGGACAGGATGACAAGACTGCAGTTGGCGAAGTCAAGGCAGAGACGCCAGTTAAGAAGACCCGCGGCAGTGCCAAGAGCAAGGCTATTGCTGTCGATCCCGAGGAGGCTGCTCTTAAGGCCAAGCAGGATCATGTTGTTGCTCTCTATAGCGCCAGCTTGAAGGAGTTCATGACGCGCAAGAATTCGAACTTGTCCGCCAAGATGTTTCTCGAGTTTATTAACCGCTTTCCCCACCTTGCATGGCATCTGTCGAGCACATTGCTCGAATACACGAGCCCCAAGGCAGCTGTCAAGTCGTTCCGTCAGGCTATGGCATTCACGATGTTGTCAACCCTGGTCAAGCGTCTTGCCAACAAAAACACACCCGAGTTCGAGCAACTCTTCTTGGACACCCTGCCATTGATCCGCAATTCATTGGTCGAGACGTTCGAGGGCGCGTTCGACGAATCAACGGAGGAGCAGAACTCTACCAAGGGGCTGAATGTGGCTCGTCTTCGGGAAATTCTGAAGTTCGCGATTTTGTCTGCAAGGATGGTCAAGCGCTCTGAGGATCGCAGTGTGACCGAGATCTGGGAAACCGACAACTTGGGGCCCTTGCTGCAGAGGATTAGCGAGGACACACGGTTTGACAGCGGAGCACTGCGCTCGCTGGTCCAACAGATGTTGGTGTTGATTGGAAGCGAGATTAAGCTGCCAACGGGCTCGACTAAGAAGCAGGAGAAGCAGGAGAAGCGTAAGCGTGAGATGGATGCCAAGGCGAATGGCGGATCAAAAAAGAAGACACATCGGTCCAAGAAGCGCAAATTGACAGGCACTGCAGCAGCATCGACCACATCAGCGGAATCAACGGAGGCATAAGTGTTGAAGGAGGTTGATCCTCCACGTTGTTACTCACAATTCTACCTTGCATCTGGTTTTCTCTTTCTTTTTCTTAATCTTTTTCTCTTTCATTTTGTCATCTTCATTGTCAGATACACAGCGCATAAGAATACACTACCAAAAGACAATAAACGCATCAAATTTATAGATAAAGCTGTAGCATTCGATGGTATGCATGCACAGGTGCAGGGCTATGAAGAAAATATTTCTTGGTGCCTGGTGCCTGTTTCACCTTGCCAGACCACATCTGTGGCAATAATTCCCTAAACAATTCCCTTAACAATTCCCTTAACAATTCCCTTAACAAAATTCCCAGCCGTTTTCGATGTCTGCCTCCGTCATCGCAGCAGAAAAAGCCAAAAAATTCTTTGAATTCCCGCAAAAATAGAGATCACACACCCCGTGCTGATCATCTTCGATCATCACTCTAAACACACTCATCTAGCCTCGGATCCTTCCCTACTTTTTTTTTTTCGAATAATGTCCGGGTCATCAAAGTACAGACTGCAGGTCCGAGTTGACCCGCAGTACACCCTTCCTGCATCACAGCAGCACCAACAAACCTCCGCCTCCGCCACTTCGACGGAGAAGAGATTTTTAACACTTGCGGATGGGTTACTGACTGTGAAGGAACTGAGGGAGGAAATCGACAGTAACTTCAAGGCCCGCTATACTGAAGACTCGTAAGTGCGTGTTCAAAGCAATGGGCCGCTTTTTATCGCGTTTGTGCGTGCTTTTGTTTACAATTGCTCAGTTTATCGCGTGTCGGCCCTGCTGCTTCTGCTTGTTTCTGCTGTTTGCCCCTTTTGCGGCTGTGCAGCTAGTTGGCTCCTGCGCTGCATCGCACACAATTGCTCGAATTGGATACGTGCGAGCAATGAGATTAACCAATTTCCATATCGCGCGGCTTGGTCTATAGTAAAACTTTTGTGATTGAGGGTCTCCAAAACAAGGAGTTTTTTGATCTCGACGACTCTTTTCTCGTCTGCGATGTCTTTGACCAGCTCGACACTGTCAACGTGGTTGGCAGGAGGAAGAGCAAAGTTGGTCGACCAAAAGGAGCCAAGACACAAAACAGGACTGTCGTGAACACTACTGACACCGCCAGCACCAGCGGTGATAATAGTCATTCGAACAGCGAGAAGCAGCCCAGCAGCTCCACCTCTGCCGCCGCCAAGCCTGTCGCCGATGCCCCACAGCAGCAGAAGAGAAAGCGCGACGAGGATTCTACTTCCACCACCAATGTCAAGATCCAGAAGAAGAAGGACACCGCGGAGGACACATCCAACAAGAAGGTGGCTGCCAAGCCAGCGTCAGCAACAACAACCGGCCCGGAACATGACGCGGAGGAGGCCATCATGATGAAGATCTCAGAGGCAGCCAGAGCCAAGAAGGCCGGCGACAACAAGGAGCAGGCGGCGGTCGAGACTCCAACAAAGTCCCCTGCAGCGAACCCGTCTGCTCAGTCGTCCACAGCATCTTCATCCTCCACAGCAGACACCACTACCGCCACGCAGTCACCTGCTCTGTCAAAGAAGCAGTTGAAGGCCGAGAAAAAGCGCAAGGCCCAGGAGGCAGAGAAGGGGACCTTGAAGGAAGGACAGCCCGCAGGATCCAAGCCTGCCGCCGAGTCGAAGGCTTCCGCGGAATCCAAAGCCCCTGCACTCCAAAAGAAGCCTGCTTCAGCAAAGGCCGCTGGAGCTCAGCCCAACAACAATAAGGCCGACAGTAACAACAGCGCGGAGGTTGTACCCGACAAGAAGAAGATGAAGAAGGCCGCGAAGAAGGCACAGAAGGAAGCGGCCAAAGCAACAGGCAAGGCGGACGCTGAAGGTAAATGATCCCAGTTAAGGAATACCGGGATTACATGGACTCGACCTTGCTAGACCGAGAGGGGATACCGCGCAACCATGGATACAATAAAATGGGATCAATGTTTTGTGCTCTCCGCTCTGATATATTTGTACGCGGTCGAATCCTCTTCCTCGTCATTCGCCTGGAGTGTAAATGGCACGTATGGACTCGAAGCGTTTTAGTTTGCTCACCCAACTATCTCGTTCTACACTGATTTTATATTACACATTTGCAGGGGAAGTGGACTCGGCTGTCGATTCCAGCCCTACTCCATCTTCTTCGTCATCTGCTTCGAGTTCATCATCGCCTTCAGCCGATCCACAAGTTCTTCTCGCCGCGCTGTCCAGCCATCGATCTCAGGAGAACTCTGCACGAGCGTCGCGCAAGATCAACAATGACCTGTTGATCCAAGAGCTGATGTCTAAGGATCCCGAGGATCTCACGGAAGGGGAGCAGAAGGAGTTGCGCCTGGCTGAGCGTCGCAGGAAGGAGAAGGCTCGCAGGGAGATTATCCATAAAGCGCAGGAGGACCTCCAGTCGGATGATCCCGAAGTCGTGGCCGCCGCACGCAGGTTTTTGGATGAGCCCAAGAGGCGAGGACGTCCTCTAGTGAACAAAGCCGGCAAAAAGGAGGAGGTCGCACTTAAAAAGGCCGAGATGAGGAAGACTCAGCAGCAGGACAAGGATAGCATGCCGGAAAAGACCCAGCAGCAGCAACAGAAGAGCAAGGCGGCCTCTCTTAGCAAGGACGAGGACGCGAAGGCCAAGGGCAAAGATGATAAGGAGCAGAAGGATGAGTCTCATTCAGAGAAATCGTCGCCAAGGTCGTCACCTTCGTCAGCATCCTCGCCCTCAGACGATGACCCGAGCTCGTCTTCTGATTCGGACTCCTCCTCAAGTAGCAGTAGCAGCAAGTCATCCTCGAGATCGTTTGCCTCTGCCAGGTCATCGTCGAGCTCTTAATTGCGAAAAGGGATTCATATGCAAACAGGGAAGGAAAAATAATAATCAGACGCTGCCTTCTCCTATTGAAGCATCGCGTTAAATAACTTGAGGTACTGCAGTCGTGTACGAAAGACCATATTTACTCTTGACGTATGTGCATTCCGATGGTATTCATTCATTTAAACACCTTTTTGGAAACAATAGACCTGTTTCCGGGCAAATCAGATAATCTCCCAAAATAGAGTGAGCCATAGGAAAGCAAAGAATGTATGCGCATACCCATTACTTTAAATATGACCAAGCAGACACAAATGCACATCCTCTTCAGTCTACACAATAAAAAGCAAAATATCTATTCAGTGTAGTCTGTTTATAATTGGTTGCTTATCGCGCGTGTCCTTTGTATCCAAAGGACAGATATCACACCAGGTCTTCACGCTATTATTGGACACCGTTCATGAAGTATTCATCGCTGTTCTTCTATTCTTCGCGCCATCCGTTTACAATCAAGCTTTTGCTCTTTGAAGGAGACGAAGAACAGGTGCTTAGAAGTGTACGCGAATTTGCAAAAAATCAGGCAGGCCTCTAAACTGGGATTTTCCAGTCGTCCTCAGTCGGTGGCAGTAAAAAGGACGAATACGAGCGGATCAAGAGCATATACGGACGTTGGCTACTTGAACAGATCACCATCAATTTGGGTCCACGCCCTGTATCAAAACGATAGCAAGCGTTAAAATTCAGTATGGAGTGCCTCGAGCAGCATTGCACATTATAAGCTATTGGCTAGCTTATCCCCAGAATAAATACGGAGCAATCGCGCGTCATTGCGGAAATCGTTCTCAGAGACTCCTTGGAGGCGATGCCGGGCAATCGGACAAAGCTCTTTAAATTCTTATTGCCAAACCTTTCAAAAAAACCTGCTCGATGTTTTGCCCCAGCCCTCAGCACCCTATACAACCAACCAGATACAGGAATTGGTGCTGTCTCACGTTGCTAAATTCAATTTCCTTCCTGCCTTGCAATTAGTTGGGATCTCTCGGCTCGTCTTCCTGCTAGTGTTGCTTCGTGAAGGCTCCAACTAGGTCCTATCGCCCTCAAGAATGGTGGTCCCGTCTAGTACGATTTGGCATCTAGAGCTAGCTAATCTGACTAGCTTATGTTGTATGGGTTTCAATGTAGCCTTGCATATCACCTCGCATGCAACCATCGCGAGTACAAGAAAGGCAGCGAAGTGATCTTGAAGACTGCTATCGTGTGTGCTGCCAAGTCTCAAAGTTGACTTGCGACTATCTAATACTCGAACATAGGTTGTCCGCCCTTGAAAAGTTCTGTGGAAACAAGAATGAACCATCGTTAAGGCGCGGACAAAATTCATGGATGCACTGGAGGGATATGGTTGTCATTGTAGTCTAAATCGCATATGTGTTTTCTTGAACGCTGGCAGAAGTATGTGTAACATAAGGTGGATGAGCATTAACTACGTTACTGCGGCGAAGAAGCACGTCGGAATAACGCGTGTGGATTGAATGGAGGCGGAAACTGAGATCAAAAGAAGGTAATATTGAGCAGGACCGAAATGGAGGAACACCAACGTTCTTTGACACTGCGATATACAGGTTCAAGAGGGACCTCTTCGATACAACGTTTTAAGGCAAAAGATACCAGTTATGTGTCAAATACAAGTTTCCCGCGTGCAACTTTTTAGAAGCACAAAATTGCTTGACCATACGACGCGTTACTGCTTGCTTTAGCTCTTTGAGGTTGGAAAAATGCAATGACTGTTTACCATTGGTTATCCTTCTTCACTTGAACAGCGCGGATTTGCATCGAAAAGTCCTTGGAGCATATATACGATGACTCAAAGAAGGAATTCGCACAAATAGCCTACAGGATTTGAGTGAGAGAACAGTCGAGAGAAGACAGTTTGGGCATCTCAATGAGACATGGCAAGACGCGTTTCCTCAGGAATAACATGCTGAACTGATTGTCCTTGGTCGATGAAGCCCTAGCCCGGGTTCATCAATGGCCATCTGGATATATCAACGCATGCGCGCCATAGCGTATTTGTAAAAAAAAAAAAAGAAAAAAAAAAAGAGGCAATATAGAAACGGACGCGTTTGAAACGTCCTGTGTATGCGGATGATAATACGCATTCAGTGCCCAGTTGTGCAATTGTCTAATGAAGTTGCGTGCTCGGTCCCTGGTGTGTGTCTGTGCTCTTTCCCACATTCAACTTCGGCACTTCTTTCTCCGACACGCCTTCTTCTCCGCTACCTCCGACGCATCTCTTCCCCTCCTTCTCTCCATTGCAGCCATCCCCACCCCAGCATCAAACACGAAATGACAGTCGACGCCTCGAACCACGCCCATGGCCTGTTGCTCCTACACATCCCGGACCTGGACGCACCTCTTAACGACGCCTTCCACGCCATCCAACGGTCCCTCGTCCTTGTCAGCCGTCTCACCATCGCCGTCTCCAACTCCCCAGCCGGGGCTGGACCCGAAGCTGAAGAAGTTTTTGCAAATAACCCATCCAACACTCTCCACCCGAACACCAGGACCACAGCATCCACGAAAGAAGGTTCTAACACAGAGACACCGGCGCCGGCGCTGACGCGGTCGCCATCGATTTCAGGATCGGGGTCGTTCCACAGCGTACAGCGGTTGCTTTCGGCCCTCTACGTCAGTTTTACGAAGCAGTCCATGGCCTTGCGCCGGCCCCTCGTAGAACTCGATATCGTCTTTCGAGAATCCTGCGGGTATGAAATCGGCGCCGGATCGGACGATCAAGTCCCCTTCGATGTCTTCCTCGGCATGCCCAATAGTATGAACAAACAGCGCGGAGCAAGTTTTCGGTCACTCAGGGTAAATGTTTTTATCTACCCATCCCACACAGAATGATTCCTAATCACCCTATTTTTCATATTTCCTTCCGTTTCCTTTTGGGTTTAAATAGCAATCAAATCCCTAGAAGCCCTGAACGTAGCACGCTCGAATCGGGGATATCTCGCCCTCCCGATCTTCACTCTGGACCTGACACCCGAGATCGCCGTACACGAACATCTTGTCGAAGCTATTGATCCGACCGTGCCTTTTACTCGGGTCCGAGAGGGACAGTACCAGGATGTAGCCCTCGGCGGCACCTTCGATCATCTCCATGCGGGACATAAGATCCTTCTCTCCATGACAGCCTGGGTTACCAGTCATCGCGTCGTCTGCGGAGTCACTGGTAAAAGTCTTTCTGTATGGGTGTGTGTGTCTGCGGTGTAACGAATGAAAGCGATCGGCAGTGACTAATGAATCGACCATTTTGATACTTGTAACGACGTTGCGTAGACGACTCGATGCTGAAGACGAAGAAGTTCAAGGAGTACATGGAGCCGCTAGATAGGAGGATCCACGCCGTTGAAAAGTTCTTACGCACATTCAAACGTGAACTCATCTACGAAGTAATCTACGCTCCTCCACTGCTCTTTATACCTTCCCAACAAAAGGCGACTAATTTTAAATCAACTAACTCAACATGACTCCTGCATTCTCGCTATGATCTTAAGGTCGTCCCGATTCACGATATCTATGGACCTACGATCACAGATGACAAATTACAGGCCCTCATGGTCTCCAAGGAAACCCTCAAAGGAGGGGCAGCAGGTACCCTACAAACATCACACCGCACTTGCCGCTGCAGATTCGTTCTTTTTTTCAAAAAGCCGAGGATCAACTAACTCATATCTTATTCTATGGTATCTCTATGTAGTAAACGAGGAACGTCGCAACAGAAACCTGCCTTCGCTGGACATTGAGGTCATCAATGTGATCTCACCCACAGAGACACAAGTTGACGAGGTCAGCCTCAAGATTAGTTCCACATTTATCCGTCAATACCTCTCGGAACATGCAGGCAAAACAGCATCAACACCTCCAGCAACACCACAGCCACAAGGAGACTAGGTTCGCCCTCGTTCGCCTGCCCACCGTCTTCCTATAGGCATGATAGCATTTCGATAGACGACTTAGAATCATGGAAGCTTTGTAAATACATACACACTGAAAAACAACAACAACATCAAACGAGCAGATAAACAAAGAACAGAACAGAACAGAAAGCATACTTTTGTCCTTTTTATTTTGGTTGTTTGTTGTCTTCACATATTTCTATACTCGGTCGATGTTCGTTGGTATTTCTCCCTATTCTGTGCAGTTCTTCTGAAAGGCTTCGCCTAATTCTTGCCGCGACTGCGTGGAAGAACATTCTTGCGTCTGTAGATCGTGGTGAAATCCTGCACCACCGCCCTGACCTTGCTCCAGTTTCCTTCTGATGCAGCACTACATTTCACAAGAAGTAAAAAAAAAAAAAAAAAAAAAAAGACCAACAAGGTGTTAATAGTCGTGATATCGATTCCAGCATAAGTACATCTTGTAGCCCACACATTGTTCGAGCAATGCTTACTTGGTGAAATCAGTTACGGTCTTCTGCATCTCTGCAGGAGTCAACTCCAGTGCCGAGACCGCCTTGCCATACCAGAGAACACTCTCCTGTGGACAGAACATTGTCAGCGCCTTGATCAGTCCCGTGGCATCGCCATAAACTTCTGGCGGGAATGTGTAAATAATGCCTCGCAACAGATGGGACACGAACAAGTCGTGCTTCACAAACTGCGCCTTTACTATCGTCGCCTCGCTAGCTGAGATCCGTGGGCTGTTTGCCTGCGATGAGGCCGATGATGGATGTGGGTGCTGCAGGTCGTTCATGTGGTCGACAATGATTCTCGCGTGTCGAAGCACTGAAATCAGAGAATACTGCTCCTTGAGCTGCAAGGACGCCAGCATGGCGTCGAACACCGTTGGGAAGAGCGAACTGCGCAGGTACTCTCTTGGGCACACAAGCATCGCATCCGAGACCAGATTGAAGTAATCCTCGACCACTATTGGAGTTTAGCACAAGTAGAGACGCAGGTTCAGTAATCATTTCCTACACAAGCACCCCCACCTGCAAATGCCAACCAAATAACCAATTTTGTCCATACCATCTGGAATCTCATTGAACTGGCCAGAATACTTTTGCAGGATCTGCCACATCGAGGCACTCAATCCCTCCAAAAACTGGAGTGCAGCGCCCGGGTTCGCCTCCCCGAATTCCCGCACAACCCTCGAGCTCACCCACAGATATTGTCCTAATCCCGTCTGCTCAAAGCTCTTGACCAGTCGAGCCATCGTTACAGGTAAGAGTGGTCCATAGTGTGTCCTATAGCTGATAATGATCGAGCGCCAGCATCCTGCCAAGGGTCTCGCTACATCATCAATGCCGCCAACACGGTCTGCAAGCGAATCCATAATCGGCCAGAGTTCCTGCACGATCGAGATACAAGGGTGAGTCTCGCTCGGTGCCACTTGTGGGTTCACGGTCTCGAAAAAGATCTTGAGCTGCGAAATGTTGTCTACCATTGCGAAATATAATAGGCGAGTGTTAGCTAATTGTACAAATAAATTCGCGTATTTCTCTGTTACTCGTGCTGAGGCGCAATTATCAGTGTGACATACCAATGATGAGAGGGATGTTATTCTCAAGAGTAGCCTGATCTCCGGAGGCTAATGTTGCCAACTGCTGAGCAATAGGCAAGCAGAACATCTGAAAGACTTGCGCGAGCTCTGCGTGAGGAACGGCAGCAACCACATGAGCCACGGCCTCCGTCACCTCCAACAGATCCATGCCTTTCAGCTTCTTGGTCACACCCATAAAGAACATATGCAGCTGGTTGAGGTAGTTCAACAGGTGCTAAACATCAAACAAAGCAGAAAAAGAATAATGTGTAAGAAGATTGCTCTTCATCCAATAAAACATGCTTTTTCAATCATACTGTTCACTTACAGTACTGCACTCCTTGCAAAGCAACTTCATGGCGAGAGCCGATGCCGCAACCACGTCTTCGTCCTCGAACCCAGAAGAAATGAAGCTAAGCTGGTACTGGATGAACTCAGGGTGCTTGTCCGTCCAGCCTCCGTACCGGGCGATCACCAGCGTGGCCGCATACTTGATCTTCGGGTGATCTGGCAGCTGTGACAGCAACTTCATAATCTCCGGCAACACCTCGTTCTCCTCGGGCTCGACCTGGGCACCCATCGAACGCAGCGCCATCAGGGGCGCTTCAACTTCCTGCCATTTTGCCGGGGATTTGCTTGCAGCCTGCGTGATGAGCACGTATGCCTTGCCCAATGGAATCCTGGACCCCAGAATGAGACAGCAATCCTTGAGCACGTCGCCCATGACGTGTCTAAAGTCTTTAAAGTCATCTCGTTCCTTGGCAGACCACGAATCCAGATCATCGGGGTAGTGCAGATGTTTGATCATCACATCGACCAGATTCGCATAGACGTCCTGGTACATCAGTCTGGCTTCTTCGTTCTTACGCAGCTCGTCCGCCAGTTGATACCAGAAACGAAAGGTCATCGGGACAATATCCAGATCGTGGTATGATGTACACTCTGCAATACCTTCGACAATGCCTCTGAAATGGTCCGTGTGCTTGACGACCAGCGAGAGATAGCATTCTCCGGCCTCGACAAAGATCTTACAGTACCCACGTACGTTACCCTCGTTATCATCCTCCATGTTCTTAGCAATTTCCTGACGCAGAGGCAACAGGTTGGGGTAGATCTCCTGGATCACAGGCATGGATTCTGCGATATCCTTCGTCTGGTAGATAAGCTCACATACAACGTCGACTGCAATGTCAAAGAGCTCTGGCATCTGCAGAGCTTTGAATGAGAATGCGACCAGCGGGTTGTTGGACAAGCTGCTGGTAGCAATATCTCCTGATCGCAACCACGAGAGGAAACATTTAAATACTGCCTCCTGAAGATGCGCATCAGAGCCTAAATATCATGTTAAGGCTGAATCAATACACATGAACCGGAAGGTACGGCCTGTTCAGATATACGTACATAAACGAAAGCACCAAACATACCTGAGTTTTCCATGTAGACAATCAACATCTTGAGGATCTGGTTCGCGTTCTGTGTCAACAGTTCGTCTGAGCGAGTTCTATATTCGTCATCCTGCCATGATGTTCAATCACGTAGTGGGAGGGGTAAAGACAGGCGATGTGCGTTCCTGATCAGTTCAGTGCTGCCTTGTTGCAAAGCTTGTGAGGGTCGGGCTACAACGGTGTGCGTCAAACAGCGAGCTTATCATCGTCGCAACGGTGCCTCCATCTCATATTGTGAAAACTCCAATTGACGCCACTGCAGAGAAAGGTGAAGGTGATGATGACGATGATGATAGCGAATTTGCTGCTCCTACCGTCAAGCTCGGGCATCGACTATCGTTGACTTCTTCCGGTAAGACCGTCAGATACTCCAGGAGGTATGAAACGTCTGTGGTCGAGGATCCATAAATACTGATCATATGGTTGACTGGCTGCTCCCATTCCAGCATTCTCAGGGACAGTGCTGCGAGGGAGAGGCACAGCTGGGTCCTGATGATCTTTGGCGAGGTTTTATGCTGCATCGACAGGTTCAGGAGCGAGTCCCGAAGCGATGCTCTATGCGCCGCATCAAGATCCTGAAAGTCTTCCACAATCTATCGTTCGCCCCAACATTAAAAAAGAAGCAGGTGAGTGGACGAGATCTGCAGACTGCTGTGCTCGTGAAGACTTGTTCTCGATCGTTTTCTAAGGCCTAACCTTGCGTCGCATGGTTTGCGCTCCAAAAACTTGTGCCTCCTTGCCGACTGTTGTATTGGTAAGCATGATAACAGCTGTCTGCCATGCCTCGGGCTGACCATTATAATAAATAAAAAGCGGCTGCATGAGTACGAGGCTGCATATTGTTACGACAAGCAGGGTGTGGCATCAGTCGGGGGCGATGAATCAAAATAAAAATGCGTGGTTGGCGGCGTATACCTTTGCCTGAAAGTCCTCGAGCCAGAGATTGGCTTCCTTCTTATCGCTGCTGCTGGGTGAGGTGTAGAGAGCGTTCAGAGCAGCGACGGCCTGCTGAAACGAGTCGGCAGGAACAGTAGCCATGATTAGATTAAAAGAGGAGCTTGGAAGGTGTTGGTCGGGGTCCAAAATAGAACGTGGCGGAAAGAGGAGGAGATGAGTAAGTGAGATAAAACGAGAAGTGAAAAATATGATATCGGGTGTGTGTGTACGCGTGTGTGTGTATGTGTGTGTGTGTGTGTGTGTGTGTGTGTGTATGTGTTTGATCAGAAAGGGGTGCTGGAGGAAAGGGGGGGAAAAGATCAAACGAAGGAAGGGATGACAGCCAGCCAGGTGGAGTTCAACAAAAAAGTAGACCTTCTATGGTAATCCTCACCCACACACCACTCGAAGGGACGTCACCTTCAAGCCACTGGCCTCGTTTTTGACTTCGCCTAGAAAGGGACATGCAGCAGTATCCGCCGAGGAAAGGAGGTGCCCTGCCCCAGCTCCACTCGGGAGCACCATTCCCCCTTCACTGCCCACTAAGCGGGTCCATTCTTCATCAGCATCTCCTCCGTATTCTTGAACCCTTCCTGTGGGAGAGTAGAGTGGAGTGAGTGAAAGACCCAAGGGGATATTTGTTAAGGGTCAGACCGCGACGCCTTGTACAAAGTTAGTACTGTACCATTGGAGCTGATGCATTCTTTCTTCTTCGTTCCCATCAACAACATTCTTCTCTTTGTACATTACTTTCTACCTTACTCTCAGCATTTGCCGCTACTCTTAGCCACCCGCTTCAACAGATACCAGTCCTGGCGGTATAACACCCTTCACCCAACCTCCTCTCTCATCCATCATGTCAGAATGGATGGTGACAGCGTCCAGCGCCGTAGTCCTGGACGAATCAATCCTCCAGCTCTGGCTCCTCGGACACAACGGTAAAAAGAACAAACTTCCCTTCTTCCAATTGACCCAACCATGCCTATTATCTACCATTGCTACCGATATTGTTACTAACTCGCTTCCTTTCCTCTCTTCATGTCCTTACACACACTTGTCTAGTCGACCAGGCAACCATCCTACGTATGCCAGCCATCCAACCGCCCGTGCCCTCGCGTGTCCTCAAATCTTACATCACCTCACAGTACCGGACCTACGAAATGATGCACCACTACCTCCACCACCCTCGCCACTTTGCCGGACAGTTCATGTTCCCCCTCTCCCATAGCGCCAAACAGCACCTCATCGAGAGGTATGTCGATTGATACAGCAACGCAAGGACGATAATGTTGGACTATATCATGGATTTTTATCTCGTTGAATCAATCGGTTGACAATGGATCTCTCATTATTTTTGGCGCGCTTTTTCTGTAATAGGTATTACAGTTTTGATGAATCTGTGATCAGGGAGATTTTGGGCAAGAAACTCAATTCGAGAACAAGGAAGGATCTGGATGAAGTCCACGAAAAGACCGGCGTGAAACTGACTAGCTGTCGCAGACAAGTAAACGCCACCACCATCGTTGGTCGTCTGCGTCAATACTGAACTGGATGCATTCCTCCCAGGATAGACTCCCTGACTAACGACTGTATCTTTTTTTTTATTCATCTCGTGCATTAGTTCGACAATCTGAAGAGAGTAATGAAGAGGGTCGAAGATGCAGAAGGCAGGACATTGATACAGGATATAGAGCATCAATTCCTTTTGCCCCATCATCTTGCAAGGTCCGCCTCATATACTTAGTGATCCTTCTTTTATATACCTGCCCAGGAATCCCATCTTTATGGTCTACTAACCCTTTTTTTTATCATGTCTTCCATTAGCCAATACGCACACATCCTATTCATTGCTGACAATAAATTCGACACCTTCCGGAAACGTCTCTCCTGCTACCAATTCTCCGACTTTGAATACTGCAGCGCCATCCTCATGCAGTATTTCACCGCCCCCACTACGGACACCCTCCCTGAATTCGACCCCCAACTCGCCCAGGACCTCCGTGACCTCAAATCCCTCCTCCTCAACGACCGCGCCGTCCTTGACGAATTCCGGAACCGCGTCTCCAACGCCCTTGCTTCTGAATCTTCCCACCCCCCCGTGCTCGAACGGATACAGAGTAACTTCAAGATCATCTTGCGTAACATGCTCTCGATTGGTGGATTGATCAACCAGCAGAAGGAGGTCCGGAACATCTTTGGAGAGATTGCGGAGAAGATTGTCGATGCCTTTATCCAGGTCGGATGGTCTGTATTGGATATGGAGTGTTTCTTTGATTGCATGATCGCAGAGCTCCAGAATTTGACGACACTGGCGAGTCGGTATCGCAAGCGGTACGGGGCTAGTTGGATACAACTCGTTATGGGGATAAAGTTGTGTTCTATACGACTTTACAGGCAGCCTTCTCCGCAGTCGATCCTCACCCGTAGTTTTACCAGATAAAAACCAATCGCATCCACAACAGCTACAAGCTTGTTCCTGCCACCAACAATTTTGAATTTACCAGGAATCAATCTCTCTGCTTGTCTCTTTTGTACGATCGTAAAACAAAATGCCAACAGCATATATCTACTTCAACAGAAGCAAAGAAGCATCATCACGACCTTTTGTTATTTTATGAATGCATGTGATTACGAGTGGTTTTTATTATGCAAAGGTTATAACGAAACGATGGCCAAAAAGAAAACGAAGAATTGGTATATGTACGAGATTAAGTTTCTTGCCACCAAGTACGATTGGAACCCTTCGAAATTATGATGTTGAAGTATATTCTTGTGAGCTCGCGTTCAAATATTCCGAGTTCTACGATCGCCAATAAAAAAAAAAGTCGTGTCAGTACCTGTCATCCATTGATTTTTTCACACAACAAAAACATCATCATCTCATCGCACGTACCAAAACTTGATCCATGGTGGCCCGAGAGGCAGGATCAGGGTTCAAAAGCATGCAGATCAAATCCTTGGCGCTCTTATCGCGGACAGCCTGGTCCAAATACGGAATCTCTAGTTCCTGTGAACTCCTCCATCTTAACCCGTTAGGCAGCGCAGGCGTGTCGACCGAGGGATTTGCCAAAAAGTTGAGCAGCTCTTCGTCTTTCACAGATATCGATATCAACGGCCTCGTCGCAAATAGTTCCTAGTAAACGTATCGTCCAGAATAGAGAAAGAAAAATGATGAGTACAAAAGTTCGTGACCAAGTTCAGAGGGAAGCAGATATGAGTTGATAGCCGCCGCAACAGTGCGAGGCGACAGTTCTTGCAACTTACATAGAGCAGGCATCCGAATGCCCAAAGGTCCATACTATACTGCGCCGTTACCCCTGTCCTTAAAGAAGAAAAAGAGCCTGTCCCCTTCTCCGCTGTCGCCGATCGAAGTGCCGCCCGTGCCACTTCCGGTGGACAATACCTCATCGTTCCCACACCCGTCTGCTCCTCCTCCGCAACCCTCGACGACTCCATATCAATCAGCTTCCACTGCTGCCGCGGATCATCCCTATTCCTCATAATATTCGTTGGCTTCAAACCACAATATACTACCTTCTTCGAATGACACCACCTCAAACACCTCAGCACACCCTTCACAATATCTTTGATATGGTTCTCACCCAACGCCGGACCTGATCTGTACAGCGCCACCCCAGAAAGATCCACCGGCCCAATCTCTCCTCTCGACCTTGCTTGTTCTCGCAACGCCAGCTTCTTAGCCTTTCTCGCGTTCTTCAGCATCTGTGCTAGCGTCTCATCCAACCTCTCCAGGATCGTCAACCGGACCTTGGCGGGTTTGTTTGGATCATCTGTCTCGGACAGGACCAACGTCGCCACATGCTTGAGCTCCACCACACAAGGTCCACGCAACCGTCTCAGCATCCTACATTCTCGCTCCCAGGCTTCCCTTCTTGCGAACGACTTTATCACAATCGGTTGCTGCGTATCCGAGTCCACCGCGAATAGGATATCATTCACAGCACCGTGAATAGGACTCGGTGACTTTGAGACTAGATATCGCGCCGGCAGATTCTGAATCAGTGTCACCATCGCCGGGTGGTCCAGTGTCGTGTACGTCGTTGATGAATGACCTGTCGATGAAGATCCCGTCCGATGGATTGTGATATGGCTCTCTTCCTCTTCTTCATCGACCGTTGACTTTATGAAACTCTCGCGTCGGTAATTATCCCGCCACTGTGGAAAGTTCGTCCTTGGATGAAGATGCGCCGTCGATACAGCTTCATCATGTCCTGAAATCTGCGAATCCGCTTCTAGGCCAGAACACATCAGACTAACCCTATCCAAGGGACTCACAGAGTTGAATAGCGCCGCATCCCGAGTGCTAATAGATCCATCCCGACTCAACGATGGGGCATTGGTAGCTGTCGGACCGAGCGTCGTGGAAGCTGGACCAATGGAAGGACTCTTCTTCGAAAGAATTGATTGTGCACTTCCATCCCTCCGTGGACCCTTCGAGACCGAGTAGCTAGGCGTCAAGCTCCCTGTCGACTGCGCCATCGACCGTTGTACGCCAGAAATCCCTGAAGGCCTGATAGGAATATACCTCAGCGTCGGAACATGTCCAGCCTTCTCTCTCTGATCAAACGACAGCGACGATGCAAATGTCCATCGGTCCGCATCCTCTTCGTCGTTCTCTGCGAGATGGGCAGGGTAAAACGAATCCGAGGCAATAGAGCCACTTCTGGTTCCAGTCCCTTGCGATACCTGGCCTGGATCATTCTGAGATACTCGCAAAGCGGGCTGCGCATGCTGTGCACGTGCTTGGTCCATAGACTTGCCGGATCCTGCAAGCCCAACGTCCTCACCTGCTGGAGAATCGGTCTCGCTACCGGGCTGGGGTGTTGACATCGATCGCATAGGATATCCCTGAGGCGTCTGCGGGATGTTTCTCCGGGATGCGATAGCAGGCCAACCGCCGAGAGACGATCCTGAATCGCGTCCTGCATGGAGATGGTAATAACTGGGCTTATCATCCAAGCCTATGTCTCCTGACAGATGCCGTTCCGCATCTGACAAATAGCTGGCATTGTCCGATACATGCTTTGGCTGAGTTGCCGACCTCCTGGAAGCCCGTCTCTTGAAGACTAGAAATCCAACGAAGGCTGCAATCGACGCAAGACTCCCGCAGACGACTCCAATCGTCAGTGGTATTTTACTATTGCCGGGTGCATTGGTCGAGGGTTGTGGGGAGACAGGTGCACTTTTCACCACATCCCTAGAAGAACTCCATTGCCATGCGAGCGTGTCGAGGATATAGATGTTGGTATCATTGGCGAGTGGTGCACCATATCCTCCCCAGACGAGCATGTTGGTTCCATTCAGCAGTGCCGAATGTCCTGTTCTTGATCCTGGTCCAGCCTGCTTGTTAGTCTGCATCCTGTTCCAGACCCACGGGGATACAGAGGCATTCATGACCCATACATCATCGTCCTGCGGTCCATCCACTCCTCCCCCTATAACGCAGATCACAAGGTGCGCATGGTCAGTTGGTCAGTGCCACTATTCTTTTTGTACCATCTGTCGCGCTGTATTATCTACCATTATGATTTTGTGCAACCACTGACTGAACGAAAGATGAAGATGCATTTGGGGGGTGGGATGACACTCTTTTTTCAAAGCAAGAGGATAGGGTACCATACCGAAAACAACCATCGTGTCGTTAAGACAGGCAGCCGTGTGTCCCTTTCTGGCCGAAGGTACACCGCCATCACTACCAGGATTAACAGTAACGGCCAGCTCCCACACCTCCCGACTGAGATCGAACGTGTGCACAGTGTTGAACGTGTTGGTGGTGGTGTCGCTTCCGCCAAAGATGATCATCTTGTTGATCCCGGGCAGCTTGCACATCGTATGGTACATCAACGCGGGTCCGTTTGCTATCGATGTCCACACGAACGTACTATCATCCTACGGGTCAAAAAGAAAGGGAGGGGTGGAAGGAGGGGTGGAAGGAGGGGTTATAAACAATAATAGGGGGGCGAACAATCGCTTGTGGGCGTTTCGCCCTGTTATGGTTGTGAAAAGGAGGAATGTGGTTAACAAGAAATAAACTTGTGAAATGCACCACTAACCAGCTTTGACAAATCGTTCAGGACATTCGAAGTCGCATATCCATTGTAGTCATTAACGGCTGCTCCGCCGTGTATGAAGACTGTTTGGTTGGATACGCCGACCGCTGCGCCCAGTCGTGAAGCTGGTGCCGAGGCTGAATTAGCTGTGAAATTGGGAACATAATCAAAACAATAGAGAGTCGTCGTGTGAGCTGAGAGAGGAGAAATAACAGTGGCAGCAATTGACAAACAATAGAAAACTATAACATACGTGAATTAGGAATGGACCATGTCCAAAAGTTTGTATCCAGGACCAGTAAGTTGCCCTGAGTCGATGCTGTCGAGGAGTTGCTAACAAAGGAGAGCATCCTGCCTTGAGACTGGAGTGGGATAGAGGTCAGGAATTTTTGAGGGTTTGGTCCTGTGGAGGTCGAGTCGGTGATACTGGGTTGAGACCATTGTCGCAGGGTGGTGCTCCAGACCCAAAGATCATTGGATCCAGGAACACCTGCTCCATATGGGTTGGTCCCTGGATCTGTCGTGCCACCAAAGATGACCATGGATGTATCAACAATGGCTGCTCCATGAAAGGCACGCCATGTGGGCGTGACAGCAGCAGTGGCGACGGTTGATAGCGAGGGCAGTAGAAGAAGTGCGAGGAGAAGCGAGGTTGGTCGAGGGAGGGCTATTACTGAAAAAAGATGTGACGGGGCCTGAGGAGGGGATGGAGGTGATACGGAGCCCATGGATGCAGGTCCCTGAGTGTTGAAGAAGGGGTCCTCATAAAGAGAGTGCCGCCTCGCGGGGAGAGCGGCCCTCGCCATTGAGGATTTCGAATACGTTGTTGTGCTGGAAAGTGAGTGTGTGCCGAGGGTTCGGATGAGCTTTTTTTTGCAAAGGATCGGATGAGATGGTAGCTGAGAAGAGGGATGAGGGGGGATGAAGTGGAAGAGAAAGTGAGTAAAGTGAGCGTATGGATGAGTGAATGAGCGAATAAGGGTGGATGAGGAAGCTACCCGAGGTGAGAGAAAGGAAAACGCCTCGTCTGTGGGGTCGTATACCATGCTACATGCCATTACAATGGAATGTATCCAGTAGTCTATGGCACCCATTCAACATCCTTCCCACGTTGATTGTTCGTCCAACCAGACCAGGCACTTCCTTTTTCTCTTCGTCTCAACTGGTAAAACGAGTTCTGAACCGTATCTTAATATGCTGCTACAGCTGAACCTTTGTGCTATTTTTAATACGGGTGCCATTATTGCCGTCGACTGCAGGTGTATGCGTTGTTGTGTTTGAATATTCGAATGAGTACCGGTGACGGTCGAATGACCCATGGCTGCACAAAGTGAAAAACAGGAGAGGTACAAGCCAAGAGCATAGAAAGCAGATGCATGCTCCACATCAGATCTTCTTCTGAACACAGTCTGCCCATCATTCACCTCTGGGCTCGCATACATTTGTCCAAAAGAAAAAGGCGCGTCAATTATTGTTTTGTCCGCACAGATACCAACGTCTTTCTTTTTTCCCATGAAAAGGCTCTTCCACATAATAGGCACTCGTTTAGGCACCGCTCTACCCCTGTTCATTTGCCATGTCAAAAGTGATCGGTTGGTCGTTGTGAATTGCTGCATCCAGGGGTAAATATGCACAACCTTGGGCTCAGCTTCGCCTGTTATTTTTTTGTCAGTGCGAGGAAAATCCAATGGCTGGGTAGAGGCCGTCTGTAATTGCGCGTGTGCATGCCAATGACATTTGAATATTGCTGACGTATCTCCGTTCATTAGTTTTCTTGTGAAAATAATATCCATGTGAAGGGCTCCAGGATGTTGCGTGGACAAGCCCAGTAACCCTGCAGGAAGACGAAAGGGAGAATGATTACAAAATAACTCAATAGAAAGAAACACATCTTGCCGCGTGCAAATATTAAGGGGAGATGGTGAGTCTGATAGTTGCTGAAGGTGGTATCTTGTATAAGCCGAAGTGATACACATAAAATGCCCACAAAGTTTAATCTCCTATAGTCTACGGTAGACTACATGTCGGTACTCCCCAGAACGAGTCTACGTCTAGGAAGAGAGCAGCTGTTTGTCTTTTAGGGTTTAATCTTAGTCGCGCGTGTTGTGTCTGGAGAGCACTGTCTTGACCACGACAAATATTATTTCGTGAAACTCCATCGTCTTGGTCACCAAGCAAGCAAGGATCCTTGACACTTCAATCCCACTGCTTCTGGGCTGTTCGTTCACATGGCCCATTTTGTCAAGTTTGATTAGTACCGAATGAAGTCACTGTCCTCCTGAACAGTATAAAAAAGAGATCTCTCCCTCTTCTCTTTTTCCTTTTTCCTCATTAACTGTCTACCGTCCGAATCGAGGATTAGTTCCTTGAGTCCCTCTGTGGGCGGGGCGGGGGTTCCAATTCGACCTTCAAGCTGACCAAGGATGTAGTGAAAGACACTCCCATGCAAAGCAGGAATAGGTTTGAGCGCTGCTGCTCGCCTTACACCTTGCAAAGCTGGAATGGGTCGTTGTCCTGTGCTCCCTGCACCCCTTGACTACGCTGGAAATGGTTGAGCACTGGCTTACTCTCTTTCCCTTGCACTGCTGGAATAGGCGGAGTAACCTGTGATCCCTTCGATCCCTTGCATCGGAGAAAAGGTTGAGTAGCCCTTTTCCTCGTCTGCAAAGGCGAGAACCTTGGCTCTTGGAGTGATCAGCAGCTCTCCCTGACCTGATCTCAGAGGACATTAAAGTGGCCACTTCTGTGGCCCACATCCCTGACTTCTTTATTTTTTTACAAAAAAAAAAAAAGGCGTATTCGGCAAAAATAATTGTCTACGCGGCACTGAATATTGTTGGGATGTCTCTATGAAGTGGGGACTTCAGGCTTTTTTTTTTTTTTTTTTTTACTATTATTTTTTCTCCTAGTCCATGCCTTGTCATATCGAATCCATTTTCTGCGTAATTTTCGCCCAGTTAACAAGCTACGTTCCATTCATATACCTGTCAAACATAGAATATAGCTACATAAGTACAATAATGAGCGAGGCGACGAAGACGAATCTACCAGACTGGATAGTATTCATTCTCTCACCGACCGTTAGCTGATTGCTGGTGGTTGATAGTCCCCTTTCGTTATTTTACGCAAACATTCTCTACGGGAGGCAATCGATTTTCAAGAAGAAAAGCCATTATTCACGTTCACTAGGATGCATAAACATAACATCTGTCGTCATCAGTTCCCTCACAGGCTCTTTACATGATGCAGTGAATCAAGAAGTATTAGGTACGGAATCAGATTGTGACATTAAGACAGCTTTGCCCTCGCGTCGAACATGTCAACAGTGCCTCTCCGAAGCATCCCACCGCATTTAGAACAGTAAGCTGTAACAAATACGATTGCGTCGGTCTCTTTGATGATGTTCCGTTGCTGGCAGATCAAGGGTTTGAGCGTAAGAGAGAAATATAGGGGTTCGATTATAATCGCGTTGCTGGGAGATAACTCGGTCATCTTTTTGGATGAACCATCGACAGAGTTTGACTCGGCTGTGCGACGATTGATATGGGGTGTCATCAACCGGGTCAAGGTCAACAGGACCATTTGCTGACGATGCATTCGATGGAGGAGACTGATATCCTCTCTGACAGGACCGCAATTATGACATCGGGTCGCTTGCGATGCATTGGAACATGGCTGTATTTGAGGGAGTTATATGGATCTGAGTTTCGGTTGGACGTACCGTTGAAGTCTGGGCGATTCAGTTATCACTCTGCCTACGGTTGTCCTTGCAGAGTAGCATCTGAAGGTGTTCTAGGCACCATTTTACGCTGGCTATATAATAAAGACGCATACAGGTTTAGGATAAAAAATGGTGGAGACAATGAGTTAGTTACCCTGCCTAATTGGCGCGTTCTTTTTCTCCTTCTTCTCATCCGTCCTGAGGAATCATTCTTGAATTTCATATCCTAAAGGCATCATATCTGCATTGCGATCGAATTTTTGTTTTCCATTGCTGGTGTTGTTTCCTATTCATTCACTTCCCTCACAACTGACTCGCTTTTATTTCTGGTTGCTTTCTCACTCTCAAACGACGGACCAAACTGACTCACTATATTCTCCGGCGGCTTTTAATGTGTGAACATGTTCCTTGTTGTCAACTATCACTTTGTCTATGTGAGCATTCGATCAGCATAAAAGATAAAAAGATCCACACAGGTGCCCGGCTAAACTTTCCTCTTCGATTTAAACGCCGGCATGAATGTATCGGCGGAGCTTTTTCTGAGAGGCCCCCACGACTGTTGGAACAAGCAACCCTTCTCGGCCGTAATATTCCATATCGACACTCATAAAAAGAGATAATCCAGCACCGCCTTTAACGTGTAAAGAACAACAGTGAAATGTGTCAAGACCAACTGAGTCAAGGCAATTTTTCTCGATATGGTTGCCATCGCCTCTCTTCTGTAAACATGCGGCAAACGGTCGTGCATCCGGCAAATTCTTCTGAAACTTGAAGAAACTTTACACGCGCCTTAGTATATTTAGTCCGCAGGCCTTAGTCGATTAAAATCAGCTACTTCGAGCATCAACTTTGTAAATGAAGGTTGATCAGCTTCTTAACTTCGCACTCATCTTTACTGACGATGGTTTTTGGTGATGTGCTTTTCGATGGAAACCCCTACGATGCATCGGAAATACTGTTTTCGTCGCCTTTAAATTGCGTGGTGCCGATGGCTCCATTTGGAGCGACATCAGCGTGAAGAAAAGGCAGGTGAGACCATCATAAACGGTCTTGTAGGCTCGTAGATAATCCTTTCATTTCAAGGTTTTGGGAGCACAGTATTAGTTGAACGCTGCTTACTGCGGCTTTTCACTGCCTTCAATCATGCCTCTCAAGCAGATGCCGTTCCTCATTTCCTTAGCAACATCACCCCACTGTAACGGTATATTTCCAGATAGCACTGCTTGCTGCTGCTTTCAATAAACGCGCCCCTAGGTGAGCTTCCTGTGACGTACTTCCATGGCCGTCCACACAGGTTTCATGGCCTATCTATTTGAGTTCCTGTCCCTGCCAGAGAGTCTTCGGAGTCACCAGCAGTAACTGCGACGTGGATTCTAACGCAACTCCTTAGAGGCGGAAGCAATGAGGTGCGCATGTTACGCCATGAAATTGAATGGCTAGCAAACCCGATATATTTAACGCAACGATGTGGGAACCACTGTTTTTTATTGCCTGGCGACGCTTCAAGAGCACTATCCTGCGGCTCATTTGGTCCAAGCTTCCATTACTTCACCAATTTGTCGCTTTTATGACAGTAGTCTGTTCAAGGACGTCAAAATACGCGGGTCCATCATGTATGCTCATTCCTGCTGAGAAGCAGTGATCCCCTTCATCCCTGCAGGGAGACTATACCCGGTCTGAAACCGGAGGAGTTGGTGGTGCCTCTTACTATCAAACACCTTCAAATGTACAATTGCCTTTCACCTTTAATCCTTTTCAAGCAGTTAAATCTCATTTATCTCCAGCTTCAGCTCCCCGCAAACTTGTTTTGGCTAACGACCTTCCGCAGGTCGATGATAGCACTCAATATGCTGTATTGCCTCAGGAAGTGTACAGCTGACAGATCTCCCTCGAGGACGTAGAGGACATAGCACCTTTATCATCCATGCCTGAATAGTATATCACTGGTGCGATGTTTTAAGGTATTTTTGAAGTATATTATACTCTAAGAATGAGGCACTTTAAGTCGCGTTTGGATTTTTTTTTTTTTATACACCACTTTGGAAATGCTGCAACATGCTATCGGACGTTCAAGATGCGGGTTCATCAGCTCACATATCTTCTATTTCGCGTTTAATATGACGTTCCATACAAAGACCTACCTTCTCCTCCCGCGAGGGATAACGAGCAAGAAAGATACTGAAAGACAATTGATAAGATATAGCGTTTTCGCTTTTCCAATATAAAAGAAGGTAAAATAGTGCATGGAAATAAATATGACGTCTAAATAACGCTACATCGCACAAATAACCAACCAATGAGATTCGTTTTTTGGCTTGTTTTTTTATTTTGGCCTTGACCGCACTCTCTTGCTGGTTCCTTCTCTTCGCATTCATTGGGATCATGTAATATGCTGCTCCTTGGATCAATCTGTTCGTGACAAGGAGGCTGTTCAGGACTCGGCAATGGTTACAGGAAGATTTTTGTGATTCATGGGCTCATGAGTATGGACCAGGATCAGGATTCGACATTTTTCTGCAGGAGGACGAATTCAACATCGTAAAAGTCTGCCGAAACGCCTGATTTATCCTTACATTCTATTCGGAACAGCGCTCTCTGGCCGTGAAAAGCGACATATGGCACACCGAGAAAAGTCCAGCAACTTTCAAAAAAAAAAAAAAAAAAAAAAAAGCACGGCAGAACACCCGACAATTTTCTTCAGGATCTGATTCCGACCATGAGGAACCCATCATCTAATCAGTACCATCTTCCTTTTTTCGATTCGCGGCTTTAGTTCAAAATGTCGGCTGATCTTACCTGGTACGAAAAACACTATTTTTCTAGTTCGGTTTCTGGAGTTAGTCTTAAGGAATACTAGGCGAGCGAGGAAAACTGAGCGTTGACCCTGTTTTTTTTTTTTTTTTTTCCCGTACAGGCTTCTTGTCAAGAACAACAACTCCTTCTTGGTCAAGCGCTCCGGCGTCCAGTTCTCCTCGGAGCCTGGCAACTTGTTGAACAAGAACTCGTTCAAGTACTCCGGTCTTGCCAACAACAAGGTACGCTAACCTACCATACTGGACATGCAGCGCAGGGATATTATTAAGATTAGAGCACTCGAGTGGCAACAACGACTGGATATCACATTGGGCGCTCAATGCATCTTAAGAACGCGGCATCTTTCACTCTTTAGTCGTGTTCAAACATCAGCATTGCAGACATAATTCGACGCTGGAACTGCAGTATTGTTCAAAACAATTCAAGAAGGCTCAGCTTGGTTAGGACGCATTGACGAACAATGAAGTAGCAACCGTCCATTGCGTTCAGTCGCATGCAGTTGTACTCGACTGGAGCCAACTACATCCAATCACTGATGGAAGATGATAAAGAGCTGGTTGTCAGGATAAAAATTGCAACGGCGAAGGCAAAGGAATAAGGAAGCCAACAACGTCAATAAGGAATACATCATTAACGGCTTGCTCAACACCTCAACACTTGTCTGGCTAGACCATTGATATCACCGCTGCTCCTTCTGGTCGTGGCGTTGTCGTTGCCACCAAGAAGTCCGGTGTTCCCGCCTACAAGCCTTCCAAGGGCATCAACAAGGTCACCCTCTCCAAGGGTGTCCGCAAGTCTGCCCGCTCCGTTGCCGGACTCACCCGTGCCGGTTATCGTGCTGACCTTCGCAAGGTAAAGAGCGAACCCATTCTTTTGCAATTTTGCATCTGAATGCTCATACCGTACTTAACCTCTGCACTATCTTAAACATTACTTCCATATCTAGGCCGCTCTTGCCCGCGTCTCTGCCATCCTCAACAGCCAGAAGCCCGTCAAGGCTGCCCCCAAGAAGTCTGGCAAGGGCATCCGCGCCAACAAGCACTAAAATCAAAGCAAACTTGTTTGATCTTGCATGGATTTGAATAAATGGCCGTGATAAAAAGCAACGATGTGAACGCAAGCTTTGCTCGCCAGTCTTTGTTTTGATAAAGCGCTTCTAGCATGGTATATAACCTGAATGCGAATGCTCGTAAACAATAGTAATACAAGAAAAGAAAAGAAAGGAAAAAAGAAAAAAAAAGCGATTCTAACAATGGTTTTTCATAAAGCAATAAACCCCAGAAGAGTCTTCTCAAACGGCAATAGACGAATCGTCCTCATCCTCAGATTTCTTGGCCATCAATCGAAGAGTCTAAGGACATGGTATCGTCCTCGTTGTTGTCGTCTCCGTGAGCTGCGCCTCCGTTAGCTGCACCTCCGTCAGCTGCACCTCCGTTAGCTGCGTCTCTGTTGGCGCCGTCTCTGTTGGCGCCGCTCGTATTATCTTTGTGTTCATCATCAGCGTCGCCATTGTTGTTCCTGTTTTCACGAGGAGCGTTGCCGCAACGGTCCTTTCCGTAGTTGATCCTCGACATTGCGTACTCAGGCTTCGACTCGACAATGCTCTCGACAGCCTTCACCGCGAAAAGAACATTTACAAAATTGACAAAGCCGCAGTTCTTCTCCTTCAGGATATTGACCATCTCCACCTCTCCAAACTCAGAAAAGTCCTTTCGCAGCTTCTCCACATCAGCCACACCCTCCACACCGCCGACGTACACGTTTCGGGTCGCACCTGCGCTTAGTGCCTGGATCACGGGAACAGGCAGCGTGTGCTTGTTTTGACCCCACCCAACCTTGAGACGACGACCCTTGACTAGGCATCCCTTCGTCGAGGCCATCTGGTAAAATTTCCTGGCGGCTTCTGGGTCGACAAAAGTCACAAACGCAATGTGCTTCGCTTCCATGTACTTGATGCTGCTGAGGATGCCACCACGGATCACGTTGCAAATGTCCTCACAGGTTGTGTCCGGCGCGATACTGCCCAGATAGATCGTTCGATTGCCCTCGGCGGTCAAGACGCTCATGGACACACCTTCGTTCTGTCTGTGCCCTACTGCCATACCGCCCGTTCGTCCGCCAGCGCCCTGTCGATCGAACTTGGAAGAAAACGATACAGGTGAAACGCCGTAGGCCGCATAAGATGATCCATATCCAAAGGCGCCGGGTGGGGCGGAGACTGCAAACTTGGCACATCGATCCTTGCCATAATTGATTCGACGACCGCTGTAGAGTGTCTCCTGTGGCAGATTCGCGACGGCCTTCATGGCGCTGGCAATATGAGTAAAGTGCACAAAAGCGATCCCCTTGTCGCGCATGATCCTGATATCCTCAACCGTGCCATAGGCAGAGAAATCGGTCATCAAGACGTCCTCCGTAATGTTCTCGTCCACGCTTCCCACAAAGACGTTGCGAGTGGCGCCCTGTTGAACCGCCTGGAGGACAGTAGCGGGGACCGAAGACGCCTTTCCCCATCCAACCTTGAGATCCTGATCCCTGACCTGAAGCTTTTTCGCACCTGCAAGCTGGTGGAACGCTAGTGCAGCGTTGGCGTCAAGAAACGATATGAACGCACAATTCTTTTCAGGTAGCAGTCTGGCACTCTCGATGTTTCCAGTCTGGACAAAGTTCAGGATTTCATGTATCGTTGCGCCTGCTGGGACGTTGCCGATGTAGATAGTGCGGATCGCGACTGGGACCGTGGCCATTGGAGAAGGAAACGACATCTGGAACTGGGTCGAGTTGTAAGGCGCACCGAAGGATGCCGCAGGATACTGCTGGAATGATGCAGCCATGGCCATTGAGGGATCGGCACCATAAGCAACTCCAGCTAGCTGGCCGTAAGCGTTCATCATCATCGGATTGGCTGTATATGCTGCCCCGTACATTTCACTGACAGTTGTTCCCATGGAGGCTACTCCTGGGCCGGCCTGGTAGTTGTATCCCTGAGTAACTCGGGGTTTCTTGTAACCGTCATGGCCTTGAATGTAGTCGTTACTTCGTTTCATGCTCGAACGGCGGTCGTTGAGAGGAAGAGTGAGGATTTGAAACAGGAGTGAACAGGAAGGGATTGAACAACGGAAAAAGTAAAGCTCGATGGAACTAGACAGGCTACAGAGGGAAATATGGTGACAAAAGACGAGGTGAGAACCAAACATGAAGTGGCTGTCGAGCGATATAACCATGTCATGAGAAGAAGATATGTGCAATAACGCCGAGGCTTCGCCGTCTCTGGCTGGGCCTCGTAGGGAAATAAAGAGGTCAGCTCATAAGGCAGCTATGATTTTGAGTTATGATAAAAGCATATGGCATGATATAGCCAAGCAAGAGGAAACAAAGAGATGACTCTGAAATGTGGATCAGAGGTCTCATCAATAAGATGCAAACTAAAGCAGTAAGTTGATGATGAATCTGAAAGAAGAACGTACGCTCGAGCGAGAAAGATACAAGAGAAAGCGCTAAGACGATGACTCGAGTGGGGAAGATGCGACAATGTCAAGAGGGCAACTGGTCCAGCGAAAGTGAGAACGAGCGGCACAAGGAAAAGAGGAGCGAGAAAGCGGACTGGAACGGTTGGCAGAAAATGAAGGATGAATGATGAAGTGATGTACGAGTAATTAATAGAAAGGGACAAGGGAGAAGCATGTAACGAGACTCGCATGTAACCGTGACTGCTTGCTCTACTGCATCCCATTGTCAATGCATACGTTTTCGATATGGTTTTCTACGAGTTCGACGCATTTGGACAAACCAGAACGTATGCGCTATATACCTACAAAGGATGACCATCCGAAAAATTGCAACAGGCATGTATAAGTAACGATAAAACTCTTGTCGACATGGCAACATCGGACCAACCTCAACCTTATCCACTGGATTGTTGTATCAGGATAAACAGGAGCGCTCTAAGAATACGAGGATTCTAGGATTCGTTATAATTTCTCCTTTGGGTTCGAATAGCGATCGCAACATCCATGTTCTTCTGCAGGGGTCTATGTATATAGTCATGCAGCCATTGAGGTATTAATTCAAGGAGGAGCAATTGACTGGTTTTTTTTTTTTTTTTTTTTTTTTTACAGTCGAAGCTGTTTATGGACGCATTAGCCTATCCATACTTTTGGCATCGGCTTGAATATCTCGCTTTCGACATAGTTTTATCTAAAGAAGCCTTCGACCTACATAATAGAAGCTTAACACGGCACTAGTGATACTAGTTATTGTTTTGTCCGCCTCGATATGTGTGGAAATGCTTTTTTTTTTTTATGGCGAAGCCTTTTCTACCGTTCCTAATCTCTCTGACCTATTTACCCCCGCTGTATGTCTCATTAAAAAGAACTATCCCCCTCAACTGTAAGTTACACAGCCCATTGCCTCTGTCAATCTTTACTCTATATCGATTTATATGTTTATGTGTCTTTTGTTAGTTTTTTATATATAGTTTCGCTATTCTTTTTCTAGTGACTAGTTGGTATAGTCGTTATGTCCCACCCTTGAAACGCACTTTACGACACCCGTATCAAATAACACGACGGTGTACTGAATGCTCTTGTTGTTCGGAGCATAGCATGGTTGGCTCAAACCTAGACAAAGTTTATCTCCGCACGAGAATTGGTCCGCTGTTCAAGGATGGTGCCATAATGGGGAAAACGAGACATCACCCATGGCCCTGAAAGTCTTGGGATTATATAAAAGCACTCATTCTTCTGAGAGGTGGTAGTCTATGCCTGTATTTATATCTTGCAGGGTAAACTAGTAAATATCCTGGTTGCATGCAGAAAAGCCTTGGCTCTGGATTTCCCGTACTACTTTCTGCTTGCATTTCTTAGTTCCTCTTAGGAGAGATGTGCAGGCAATTTGATGCGCATACAGTAAACAATCCGATTCAATACCAACCACAAACAAGAGCTCGCGGACCTTGGACAGGAAAGGGTTTTGTTGCACGAGGCGGAAGGTGAAACCAATTGCTGTGTTTTATGCTGTGCGTTTTAGGTTGAGGTTTGTGCATGCAGAACAACAAAGAACAGGACAAAAACATATTACCCTGCAGGTATTCATTGCTACTCAATGCAGGGGGACTATATATAAGCTTGTACGCGTTGTGTGCGAGGGGTGAAAATGAGTGTAATCTTGTTTTTCTATACCAAATATATTGAGTAAACAACACATTGCTCATCAAAGACCTTGAGGACCGTTGCGGACCAAAATGAAAGAGCTGTGCTGTGCCATGTACTACATCGGACAGCGGTGCTGCAGTTATCGATTGTAGGAACCATCGCTCTCGCCACCACATCATGCATGCCACTGGGAATACCTCGCCCTGCATAAGACAGTAAAATCTGATCAGTGGTCGATCTTATATTCCAGCAAAGAATGAGATACTATAAAGCGACACATGCATCTGCGCTCGCTCCTTTCTTTCTTCCTCCCTTTCCTGTACTTCCGTCGGGTCATTTACAAACACTATCTCATCGCCGCTGTACCCTGTTTACAAGACCGTTCCACATAAGAATGTCTGTCAAAGGAGCCCACGTGGAGCCCGTTCGGATCAGCACCCTTGAGTTTCAGATCTACGATATTGTCTTCTCGAAACAGCTGGTCGCACTGTACCAGATTTCATACACAGAGACGGTCGTAGGAAGCCATGCAGACGAGGCACAATGGCACAAGGAGGCGTTCTTTCACGGCACAGGCCACTGTGGCTGCTTGCAAGCAAGGATTACCAACCCAGAAAACCATATGGTCCTTGCTCACCAGTGGTGTGGCAGCATGCGCTGTGCAACCCAGGGTATCTTGAACCACGGCCACCTGAGAACTATGTGTGCTTCCAACGGTAATTATGCCTGTTCTGCTGTCCATTTGTCTATTAGACTCTTTTCGCATCCTGGTCTAATAACATTTGTCCTGTTTATTTTCACTATTATGTCCGGGGCATGTACAGGACACTTCTTTTCGCCGTCGTTGACTATTCCACGAGAATTTGCAGCGAAGAAATCGGGAGTCCATCAACACTTGCCCATCTTCATTTGCCGAGCCCGCAACATCACTCGACACAAACCTGGAGGAGACGACGTGTACTACGTTGCGAATGACCAGGTAAAAACTTGTAAGGAGGTGTCCCATTTTCTTTTAATAGCGTTAGGTTTATCACGACTGGACATTAACCGGAAATACCTTTTTTTTTTATTCTTATTTTTATTTTTGCAGGACATTCTCCCATTTTACCTGGCAATCGTTCGACGGAAGTAACTGGCATCCATGGTCTTTCATTAGAGTCACTTCAGACAACAGACGCCCAGTACTGCGGTATTGCAATATCTGTACTACCAATAGTCCTTCAATGCAGCTCGTCTGCCAGCAATTTCAACAAAGGCAGCTTTACTTGATAATCTCGCAAAATGAAAAAACCTCTGTTCCTGTTTCCTCCAATGTACATAAATGTCTCCTGCGTTGACTTGCCGGAGGATTTTTTTTTCTTTCACAGAGCGCTTATTATACAAAGAAACCCCGCTCAAATGAAAGCGAGTAGCATCAACAGCACACGACATGCACACAGATTGATGATCAGTGCCAAAGGATCAGGACCTCAACAGCTACGAAGCGACTGTCGATTTTTTTTAAAAAAAAAAAAAAAAAAAAAAAAAAAAGCCTAGGCATGGTTTACAATCCGCATGCTTGTCAACAGCCCCAGCCCATAGTGCAGTAAGAAAAAAAAAAAGATTCAATATAGCAAAGCGCGCGGCCACAGCAGTCTTTACATCGCTATTCATCGTTCAAATTGGTAATAAATCCCTCAGGGGACTACAAGTGCTTGGATCTAGTTCAATGTCAAGACCTGCCACGGAACATGATACGGTATATTTTTTTCACCGATTACCGACGACCACAAACCGCTGTCGTTCTTCCTATGAAAGGCCCGCAACCATCCAGGCGAAGGTGATAAATTCTCAGTGCAACCAAGGTAACCCCAAAAAATATCCGAAACGCGCTATCTTTCGTTCCCTGTGATGGTCAATGCACTTCTCCGCCTTCCATTGACGCGTATCCAGGATATTCATCCACGCCACCTGGCCATTTCTCAGAGCAAGTATTCGTCAAGCGTATTTTCTTTCTTGCCGATTTTTGCGAATAAATCTGTCTTTACTCTATCAATTTTGGATCTAGATGGGATTTAACTACTCACTTTCGGACCCGATGACTAGATAGCGCTTCCGTTTCTTGGTACACACTGTGGAGTCAGTACCAGATTTTTGCAACGTAAACGACACGGATTACGATGGATACATACGACATTATCGTATATGACTATCGGGTTTAGTGGATCAACAGCGCGGTTGTGACATTGTATATTGAAAAACAATGGACGCAGTAGATGTTAGATAACCTGGCCATCTCTTGAAGTAAGACACCAGAAGGCAAAAGCGCTGGATGATACTCATCGCCAAAATAGGCAGAGGGACCAACGCAAAGGTATTTCTTTTTATCGCGCAACTGGCTACCTTAGGGCAGTACATCGTATCTGATGCTTTGACCAGTAAGGCGTACGCTATAATCAAATCATCCCGTCATGAGCGATATTCATCCTATGCAATCTGGGAATTGTTCGTCGCACCTAGTTCTGGACAGGACATGTCAAATTCTGACTGCCATTATATAGTTCTTTTTTCCATATCTGTCAATAAAACACGCGATGGAGCGACAATAAACACTTCTCTCTTCCCCTTCCGTTCTACTGCACAATGATGGTTCGCATTTGTCTTATATTAGCGACAAAATGCTCCTTTTTCAGTAATCGCGTTCGCGTTCGAGATTCATATCAGCGCGTCGTAGCGGTCTATTCCTACCTGCTGTTCAGCATCAATCACCGATTGCCAAGACGAATAAAGACACACGACATAGCCATGGGATATGATCAGGTTTGAAGAATCAACAACATCGCTGCTGCAATGATGGATCAATGGTCGTTTGAACAGGGCACATCGCCTCTTCTTTCCTAGGCCGCGTTTTCCATCAACTTTTTTTTTTTGCCTTTCTCTGTTCAGTCCCCCACTTCCAAAGCAAACACCGGTTCCCACTCAAGTAACAATGACAATACAAGGCCTGCACGTAACGTCCCTGATGCCCTCCTCCTCTGAGTTCACGGCGTACAACGGTCATTTTGGTGGCAAGCTCTTGAAGCTGTACCAAATCACATACCAGGAATTCATCCCGCGCAACCTTGCCTCTTCTGACTGGCGAACAGGACCTTACTTCCATGGCACCGGACACTGCGGCTGTCTCGTGAAGCGGGTCGAAGAAGGTGACCCCATCACGATCAAAGCTCAGGAGTGGTGTGGCAACCCGCAATGCGCTACCCAGGGTATCCTTAACCACGGTCATTTGCTGACTTGGAGTAGAGGCGGTAAGGGAAGCAAATGTCTCCTGTTAACAAAGTATTGAGAATAATCTATCTTACTGAATTCTTTCGTCGCTTACCGAAACGCTGTAGGACATTTTTTTACGACAGAAGTCCCTACAGCCACTGGGTATGCGACCAATAAGTCTGGCAACCATTTTCTGCTGTCGTACTTTGTGTGCAAGGCCCGGAACTTTGGAGCCGGAGGTAGCATTTGCTTCGTTCGAAACGACGCAGTAAGTTGATCTTTGTTTAAGAACGAGGCATAATACCCTGTGTTGGATCGTTGCCTATTATATCCATTTTTATTGACTTACGTTTGTATCTCCCAAGGATATTCATCCAATCCTCCTCGCCATCGTCCGGAGCCAACTATGACCGCGTATGCTCCGATCCTTGCTCCAAGTTCGGCTGTCATCGGACGTTCCGTACCGGCTACTGTAGCGGCGTGGGCGCAGCGTTGCCGCCAACTCTTTAGTACCGCCCAAAGAATCTTTTGAATAAAACATCGGCTCAATTCGTTTAGGTACGCATGCAAAATTTGCGAGGACTCTGAATACGATGGGTAAATTATTATTTCTCTTATTTCCTCGTATTCTTTGCACTTCTGCTCCCTTTCTTCGCCTTTCTTTTTTTCACGACTAATAAAGCAAATCGAACTCAGGCACCTTGGGTTGGAAATGAGGCGCGCGCTGAGAATACGAGATGATGGTTAGGTTTAATGGGGCCTGTTGCGTTCATGTGGCGATAGTCATTTGGGAGAACATCCGACGCCGCGCTTCTATCCCTTTATCTCTTCTTCCAGCACACTAGAACATTACGCAGCTGAAAAAAAATAAATAAATAGATGCGGACAATGAAAAATAACAAGAAACTCAACAGTCAACAATAATGACGATCCCAAAGCGTGCGTGCCACGTCGTATGCGCAAAGCGGTTCGACATCACTTATCAAGAAACTATCTCAAGCGACTTCGCATCCAAATGTCCAAATACTAGGATACTGAACATCCTGATTGACTCTCCAGGCGAACCTTCTCCAATGAACCATCGGCAACTATGATCCAGGAGTGGTGCGCGAACAAATACTGTGCGACTCATTTCTTGACAAAGGGCCTAGGAGATATGAACATAAAAGAGCGCTAAACGGCACTTTTTTTATTGATTTATCGAGTGTCGAGAACGTGCTACGCTAAGCTCCTTCCGTCGCTGCAGCTTACCAAAAGTCTGGCAACCAAAAGGGTCTGCTGCCGCACTTCGTTTGCATGATCCGGAAGGGGGCAGGGGAAGGGGGGACAATTTGATTCAGGGATATGAGTAAGAAGCGCGGTGGTTATTAGCAGTTTAGCCAATCTTTTTTTTTTCTTTCGTCTTTTCCGTCGTCGACGCGCGTATGCGTATGATGGTAAGGCTATTGTTCGACTTTTTTTAGTGAAGATTCGTCCCGACTACCCAACTCAAGGCTGCCTGTGCAAATCCTCTTTTGTTATCGTGTATTTTGGCTGAGTTAACAGTATCAAGATTGGACTATGGCACAGTCGATTAACCACCTGCCTCATTGCCACATCTTCAATCTTCATCAATATCTCAATCTATCAATCTACTATCTATCTCTAATATTTCTTAGGTCTTGGCTCACGAGTCGTTGTTAATAGATCCAGTGCTCCGTGCCTTCAAACTAGCAGCTGCCTTCAGGGAAGGCTCCAGCCTTTGGCACGCCTGCACACCTGGGAGGATCTGGCGTCAATAAAAAGGAAGGCTCAACTACATTTTCCACGGGGAAGGATCCTTCGCCATCCAATATACAAATATGGACGCTCTTGAACGTTCATCGGATTTCTTTCCGACCGTTTTCCTTCCCAACGACCCAACAAAAAAGAGTGTTAAAGATGGCGAAGCCAGTATATCGGTATAATATCTCAAAGTTTGTAAAGGAAAACAATCACGCTAGAAGTCCGTAGGCCCTCTATCTTTTGTCATAAATGAACACCGCGTGGTCGCTAATGAACCTTTGACCACTTTGACCAACTCTTCAAAGTAAAAAAAAAAAAAAAAAAAAAAAAAAAGGCAAAGGATTATAGGCTTCCATTTTACTCAAGAGAGATAAAAGAGGATTATGCTGTCGGTTGGTGCGAATGCTTTACGCCAAAGATATTTAGGAAAGCCATACCAGCTTTACCATGTGCAGAAACAATGGACCAGGACATGCATTGACAGTCTGTCCTCATTTCAGCCATTGCATTTTACCAATGAATCCTACATGAGATGCTCAGCATAAGCTCCTTCATGCTCTCTTCCACGCTACAAATAGGACTAATTACAGTAGAGAACGCACGTAGAGGGTATGTATTTCATCCGCATTTCACACTGTTGAGTAGTTATTTTCTTCTCTATGATTTTTCGATATCTCATGAGACCGATTGGGTCGTACAAAAAGCATTATAAAGTTGCCGTGAAGCGAGCGGGGAAAATAATATACACATGCGAAGGAGGAAAAGAATTGTCTAAGTCAGAAGTTGGATGAGTGGAGCGAAAGGCTAGAACCGACAAGGCCCATTAGACCAGCATTCAGAATGCTTGCGGGCACATTACTCAGCGGCATGAAGGAGGACAGCAGGTTCGCACGGCGTATATAAATATGGAACAAACACATCGTTTTTTTATTCCCGAAAAAAAGCTAGACTATTCGCTTGTCCTTTCAATGTTCGCTGGGGACAGGACAGCAGGATGCCTCTTCAGAGACATATTCTTCCAATCCTCCTCTCATCTCTCCTTTACCTTTTTCTTCTTGCTCTTGTTTTACTGTTAGTACTATTTCACTACTTAAATAAAATCATAGTGGCAAATGGCGAAGTAATGACTATTTAAAGGCACGCAAGTTTTCAACAAACCACCAATCCACACTGCCCCCCCATCCTCGCCATTTGCCCGAGCGATCATCGTACCGCCGACGATTCCAATCTCTCGCTGACACATGAGGCCATATTCATTCCTCTTCGATCCTCCATAGACTGCCCGAACCAACTCCCTTCTTCCTCCACCCCTTCGTGCCTCCCCGTGCTTCTCTGAACACCTTCCTTATATTTGCTTCAAAAAGGAACACTATATATTTTATTACTTTCTCTTTCCCGGCATGTTCTCTTTCTTCCCTCCAACAAAATCAGACCCGCCTTTGCACACCTGCACCAGCCCCAGAGACAACCTACAACGAAACCTAGTTGTATCCCAGCTAATTAGGGTCCCCCCAGAGATCCTCAAGTGCATCGTCCGCCGCCTCAACAATCCCTTCGACCTCCTCAATATCAGACATACAAGTGCCGTTCTCTTCCACTTAATCGATACTAGAGATTGGTTCGATATCTTCGTTTTCTCCTACCCAACCTGGTCCTTTAACATCACCCTTGATGACGAGCCAGACCTCGCCGATCGAGCTATCTCTTGGAAACGCATCGTCCTCCGCGATGCCAGTCTGTGCAAGGGGCTCGCTGCTCCGCTGCCTGCGCCTGCATTCGAAGAAGATTCCACCAGAATGGATATCGAAGGCACTAACGTGCCCAACGCTCCATCCAATCAGAAGGATTGCATGCGCCTCAGAATCCTCTTGAACGAGGCCCGGTACTTCCCTTCTAATGATACCACCCTCCATGAAGATTGGCATCGTACCGGTGCCTCATCTAACCACAGTGATAATGAGAAGTGCGACATTGACTGGCGCCGCACTGGTTCCCCAGTATATCACATTGATTACGAATCCAACACCATCATCTCGGCTTCAATGCTTATGAGGTCCGTGGCTTCGACCCCGCCTGCGGTCGCAGACCCGCTATTTGATCGCCAGATCCTGCTCTATATCCTGCCCGACCTCACTCATCCGATTGCCGTCTGCGGCAGCGAGTTCTGGACAGCCGAGCGAGAAGGTGGCCGGCCCTGGCATCATCCCTTCGAGGCCGCCCATATGCAAGTCGCTCAGGTTATGGACATCCGTCATTACCCCGATACCATCGTCAATGGACACATGCGCGTTGTGATGGTCCTTGCCTTTGGGGAGAATGCCCGACCGGTCGCCGAGGACCAGTCCGACACCCAGATTCTTGACATTTGGCTTATTGTTCGCGTGATCGAGATCTTTGTTCGTGTTCCCGCCACTTCTGGCCCCCGTGCCTCTCCAGTGGCGTTACTGACATCTCAAGGCCCCGACCCATGGACCGAGCCCTCCAGGCACTCAAGTCCATCAAGCGATCTTGTTCCAATCAAGGGACGAGTCGAAACCATTGAACCAAGTCAACTTGGGATGTTTATGAGAGGAAGGATCGCCAAACTGTATACTGCCACAGTCCCGATGATGGTACAGGGTCAAGGAAACGGGTCAAGTGGATCAAATGGATCAAACAGATCAAATGGAGCATCAGTCCAGGAAACATTAGATTGTATAACCCTGTTCGGTATTCAAAACTCAGATTCATCACCAGCGGTGGTTATCAAGAAGGTCCTGTTTCTAGCAGACAGAACCCGGGGCAACTCTTCATGGTCAAAGAAACAAATCAGTAGAGGCGTCAGCTGCATGACTCTGTTTCCTTACCACAGCAACTTTGAGAGAATGCTTGTGCTCTTTAACAGACACGGTCGAGGTATGATATGGGACTGGGTGAATGAGCGACAGGTGGCACAATTACATCTGAGGGTTGATGAGCAAGGGAGTGCCCAGGATACCGCGGAGGCAGCAGCCCTGCGTCGCCGACTCTATTATTGGGGCGTTCAAGTAAGCTGGGCCATTGAGGTGCCAATCCCTCCGCGGACAGACGCGAAGCAGCGCTGTTCGTTCAGGATTGTGACCTTGGCGGACGGCGAAGGAAGCGAATGGGAGTCTTGCTGGTGGCATGTTGACAGCACAGTGCTGGGAGTGAGTGACAGGGATCTGGAGGCCCCTCCGTTTATACCACCCGGTCAGGAGCCGCCCCGTCCTGTGGCCACGAATGCCAAGCTGCACACATTGTATGCACACGCGAAGCGGTACGAAAGCGAGACAATAGGATACTGCTTGCCGGAACAGAGGAAGGCGCATGCGACCGAAGATGAGAGACCACTGTTTTTCATCGCATATGTAATCTGGAATCACTTCCGCATCGGGCTTACGACGCGCCTTGGGCTCACGATCTTTGACATGGAGGACACAGGCGAACGGCCAGCGGAAATGGTGAAGGACCGGCAGTGGGTTGCGTTCTTGGAAGATACGGAGACGAATCCTCTGGTGGACATCGCGACGGTTGGGGACAACCTGGTGATTACGAGAAAGCACGGGCATATGCTCTGGTCCTTTCATGGCCGCAGATCATATTCATAAGTAAAGCATAAGCAAGGGGAACGGAAGAGTCGTTACGATTGAATATAAAAAAAAAAGTTTGAGACCCACACTCTCATTCTTATTTTGTCAACAAGGATGCTGGGAGTCAGATGCTTACCATTCTGTGCAGTGCATGGCGGGAAGGAAGGAACGAGAGGAGGGAGGAAACAATAGGACCAGCTCATGCAGCACTGCCAATTTATAGTAAGCAGGTACACATATACGTACACTGCAACCACAACACAAGGCGGCAACAACCAACGCGGAGAACGACAACAACAAACACTGCAGCATAGACATCAACATAGACTAGAGGACACGCGTCTTTCCTACGGATATTTCCTAGGGTGATTCTGTATTCATAGCAATGGCGATTTCTAAGACGCAAACAGAGAGTGTGTGTGTATGCGAAGAGCAGGAAATATGCCCCCATACGTGCACAACACGTATACATGCTTGCTGATATGAATAATCAACCATGCATGGTCGTGGTCTCTGCTTGTTTTATTTGAGAATACCTGCTCAAAGGCGCCAGATGAGACAATGGGACTCCACCGACCTCGCTAGCTCCTTGTTCTCGGTTCCTTTGTTCCTGTTGCTATCTGGTTTGCGACCCCCCTCCCTTTTTTCTTTTTTTGTCTTGTGAGCGATGGCTCGGGTTACCTGTTCCTGAGGAGAGATGAAAAGAAAGAGCCAGAGCAAATGACGCTCCTTTTAGTCCGAGAGGATCGAGGAGCGGTAGCAGCAGGAGCAGGAGCAGCAATCGGTTGTTGAGGATGAGAGAGATATACGCATTTAGATGGGATATAGGATAGTCTAGCATGGGACGGCATCGTTCCTTTCCTTTGGAGACCTTTTAGTGCCTGCCCTTTTTCAATTGTATTTTTTCTTGCTGTGCTTTTTCATATTACCTCATTCCATCCACCATCGCCCCTTTCCCTCCACCCTTTTCTCATCTCTTCATCCTCTTCACCTCCACCTTCTGTAACATCCTCTCCCCACCATCCCTTCCCTTTCGCTCCAGCTCTTCCTTTTCTTTCTTTATTTCTATTTCTATTTTTATTTGTGTGTGCGTGCGTTGTCCTCCCGTCCGTCCGTCCGTTGAGTGTGTGAAGCATAAAGTGTGACATTCCAATAACCATGGTCACCAACACATCCCCCATCCCCCAGGTCCCATCAGCCTCCTCCACAGCACCGGGATCAATGTCCTCCGAGTCGCCCATCACACAAGTCTCACCAGAGCCGTTCTCATCGCCCATCACCCAGGTCCAGCCCGCACCGGCGCCCTCACCCTCACAGTACTATACTCCAAGCTCACAACAGCATAGGTACCCTACCAAACTCGTCCTCGAGGTTCGAGGGGTCCGATTCGAGATTGAACGCGAGACCCTTATCAGTCTGCCTGAAAGTATCCTCATCGTCATGTTCCCGAGCGGCCTTATCCTCCGTCCACAACCGTCGTATTCAGGATCAGGGACCAAGGGGCTCAGAGGAACATCTTCTACCAACACCGCCAATGCCGCTGCAACTACTACTACTACTACTACTACTACCGCTACTACTGCTACTGCTACTGCTACTACGACAACGGCGACGACGACGACGACAGCTAGCACAGGAGCTGAAGGATCTGGAGCCGGAGTCGGTGCTAGAGGTGTCACAGGCGCGGGATTGACAGTACCGGGCGGAGGACATGGACATCAACCATCGGAGAGCACCTATACAGACTACAGTGATTACAGCGATTACAGCTACGAGGATGATGATGAAGACGACGAGGACTATCGGGACGATGATGATGATGAGGATGATGAAGACGATGACGAAGACGAGGAAGTGGTGGAACAAGTGATCCAGGTTGACTTTGATCCGGTTTGTCTGCAGTACATCCTCGAATTTTATCGCGAAGCTCAGAGAGTGAGCGAGACACAACGGAGATTGCGGTTGCAGGAGCAGCAGCGGATGTTGATGATCCAGCGACAGCGGTTACAGCAGCAGGTCCAGCAACGCCAACAACAACAACAACAACAACAACAGCAGCAGCAGCAAGCTGCCTTGAACGACGCCAATGGATCAACAGGGACGACGACTGTGACGCCACCAATTGCGCCAACAGCATCGAGCGTACCGGGGCCTACGCTCACGGCCGAGTCACCGACACCACGGCCAATACCCTTGAGCTCGATCCAGCCTCAGAACCCATTGTTGAATAAGCAGGCAATTATCGTCTTGAGAGAAGAGCTCGATTACTTTGCGATTCCACCTTCATCCAGAGGAAGCATCAAGAGCAAAGATATCCCTGCTACCAGTGCGGGCACACCCATACCGACATTATCTGCAATAGCCAGTACCACAGCATCTGGACGCGAGATCAAGAGAGATTCCGCTATCATGGGCATCGCTCCATCATCCTCGACTACAACCACGGTGACTTCTGCTACAGCAATAACAACCACGTCCACGGCTACCGCAACCGCCGGTGCTGCTGCATGTAATAACGATACAACACCAGGTCAATCTAAACCGCTGCCGACGCCACCAACACCACCGCTGATGATCAAGACGCAGTGCGGACGAATTCTTGAGAGGGACCGTAAGATCTTCACGGCCTTGCAACGCAATATCGACAAGGAAAAGAACCAGGCGGAACAACATCTGATGGACATGCTGTGTGTATCAGGGTTTGAGCGAGACGGCGAGTGGGGGTACCGGAAGCTGGAGTCGAAGAGGACGACGGTGGTCAGCGTTGCGATGGTGATGCTTCGGACGAGCGCTGCGGGTGTCTCTGCCACTCCTGCATCGCCTCTGGGCTCTGCCCGTGCGGCGAATGCAAGCTCGGGAGATCCAGCAGCAGTATCCACCGCTATGAGGAATACGAATGCGGACACGAGTACGAACACAAATACGACGGCTACATCAGCGTCGACATCGACATCAATAGATGCAAAAGGAGCTCAGGATACCAACGCCGCGGCAGCGAGTTCACAAGAGAATCTATTGGCGCCCCCGCAGAATGAGGACAGCGCTCGGGATGCAAGTCAGCAAAGCGCCACTGCGACATCGACACCAACGCTAGCAGGACGGAGTCTTCAAGAGCAGAACCAGATCCAGATGGCCATTGCTCAAAAGCTGCTGTTGTTCTGGCGGAAACCAGCGGTACGTTTTATTCTCATTTTCTTCTTCTAGTGCGCTCTACTTCATTATGACAGGGAGGAAGGATTGACGTCTTCAATGGCATGAACAGGGCGTTTTTCGGATCGCAAAGCAAACGAACCATGGACAACGTCCCAGATCTGGACGTTGACATAATCCTGTTTCTTTGGCTTTATGCAAATCTCTACATGTCATGCGTTTATGCAAAATGCGACCCTTGAGCTAATAATCTCTTTTTCTGCTTGCTTGCTTCCAACACTGCGTCATTCTAGAGAAAATGCTGGTGGGACGGTATTGAAGTCGAGATTGACCAGAACGTGCAGGACCAGGGCACTGAAGGATCTGTCAAGGTTCCCGTCCGGCTCTGGGCACGGCGCACTTGGACCCTAGAACTTGTGCTCGTTTAAAGCAACGGCTACGAACACGGATATACAGGACAACGAGGGAGAGACCGGAAAGGTAGATTCTCAGAGTCGTCCTTCCCCCATATTTGTTCATGTACCATACCATACTTTGTATCTTACATAAACCTAATAAAAAAAAATACATATACCAGGGACAGATAGCCGTGGTACCAGAAGAATCACTGCTGATATCCTTCAGTATTCAGCATCCTCCAATGTTCAATGCATTCAGTGACAGAAATTGCACAAAAGAAAAAAAAGAAAAGAAAAGAGATAATATATTTCAAAAGAGATGAGTGATTCTGTCGAGGCTACCTACATTAAGATTGAGATCGAGATTGAGATTGAGATGAAAAAAATAGAGGCACAACTATATATCCAACTGTCTGGGTCTTCCTGCTGATCCTGTTCCGGCCACTATTCCACATGTTCATATTCGCCAGTTTGCTGCCGCTGTAACGCCTCATTTGGTTGTCGGTCTGTGAAGGGAGAGAGTTCAAGCGATGACTTTTCGCGGGCGATTTTTTTTCTTTGGTCCCTTGGGACTAGATCAGGAACTGAGCCTTTACGATGAGGCAAGTAACCTCCTCGCCCTCCTCCTCCTCCGATGGGGGTGGGTTCACGACCTTGATGTTGGCCGTGTACTTGCCCTATTCAATTTTCACACAAGAAAGATCGTCAACGTCCAAGAAGTGTGAGTCAACTACCACTCAATGGCTCCTTTTTTCCCCATTCATTTTTTTTTTCTTTTACGGGAAAAGGCACATCAAGGAGCTGGGAGAGAACTTACTGGAGGGATCTCCTTGGGGAGGTCGACAGAATGCTCGAGGTAATGTTCACCCGCGAGGACGGGGCAGGGCTTGCCGACCTTGACAGACTCTGTGCAGAAATCGTACTTCTGGTTCAGCAACTTGATCAGTCCGACCCTGTGTGTTTTTTTTTTGAACCACGAGAACAGATAAAGGGATGGGTTAGGATGGTTCTAATGTAGAGGCGCCATTTCCTGGAGCAGTTTCATCGCCCAGTTCAAGTAAAAGAAAAAGAAGAAAAAACAAGCGAACGGGGAGTTTATCTTGAAACCCCTCAAGGATGTGCTACGGTGTCATGATCTTCATCGGGTGTATCTCCCTTTGTATCCTCTTATTGTCTCCTATCTCCGTCTTCGTCTTATCTCAGAAACACTGTCTTCCTTCCTTCCTTTTCAATACACATGTACCATGTGCGCATTCGAGCATTGTCCAAGAAGAAGTAGTGGACGGAATGTACTGTTGTATGTTTCGGTCCACGGGGCAAAGGCCCGTGACACTATTTTTACCCCTTGAGGAAATACATCTCGCTGCCCCCCCCCCCCCCCCTCCCGCTCGAATGAGTCGCACCTATCCCGCCCTGCAGATTCAATCGAATCCTCACAGGAGCATGGCAAGTGGAGTGGTGAGGGTAGTAGCGATGGTTAAGAATATGGACGACGACGGCACCAAGGGGACACACGGTGTTTAATTGTTGGTTTGTTGAAGGGTGTGTTACGTTATGTGGTGCAGGATGCGTGTATTGCCATGCTCTCATCTTCCCCCTCCTTTTGCTTCGCCAATGTTCGCCATCGCATGCATCCTCCTTCCTTTGACCCCATCGTCCTCATCACTCTCACTCCCCCCCCCCCCCCAACAAGAAAATAAATAAAAAAATTAAACTAAATACAAAGACAAGCTGGCCGACTGACTTACTTGACAACGACAAAGATTTGAGCTCCTTCCACAATATCCCCCGAAAGCTGGCCCTTGCCCTCAATCGTGAGGGTCTGGCCCTTGAGCGGAGGGTTGGGTGTGATATTGACGTATTCGATCTTCAACAAGTCCGTTTCAGGTCCACATTCCTCAACCGTTGCTGGGGCCGGTGCCAGGTTGAAGGGAATTGCGCTCACGACGCCCAGAGCCACGGCGAGCGAGAACAGTGCTGTGGAGATACGCATTGTTACTTTGTTTTGTTTTGTTTTTTCCTGTCTCTTTTCTAAGGGTGAGGATGGCGAGGCGTGTGCGAGAGTGCTTTCGGGCGAGACAGGGAGAAGGATGAAGGAAACGAAGGAGAGAAAGAGGGATGTGGGCTGGATTAGAATCGGGTTGTGAGTGTGAGTGAATGAGATGCAAAAAGTGAGGAGAGAAGAGGGGCGCTGACGACTCAGCAGATTTGAATAAGGTTGCAAATAAGGGTAAATGATGTCATCCTAAAGCGCGCAATACTCGTCCTTTGCTTTCATATCTACTTATTCATATCCAGGCTCAGTACTCCCTTCCAACGCACCCCATCCCCGCCTCCACCTTAGACACACTCAGCTCCCTTAGCTCCTCCGACCCTTCCAGCTTACCCAGTCCGCTCTCCAGTGTTGCATCTGAACAATCGCACTGAGTCTCCCAATCATCTTCCTTCTCCCTATCGTACACATAATAAGGGCTATGTCCCAATCGCAACGTTCCCAGCTTGACCATCGTGCAAGGCGCTCGTACATCCGACCCTGAAGCTCTCGTCCTTGGCCAGCGCGCATCTTTGCTATTACATCATCTCGATCTTTCACACCCGGCCTCGGGACACCCGTGACACTGCCTTGATCCTGATCGGCAAACAAGCTTGCTTCGACTTTACCAAATGCCCATCCGATGTAAGATCCGTTGTCGATGACGATGGGGGTACTGAGGTTGGGGCTGGAAGAGAGCGCCTACACGATATCCTCCGACGAAAAATCGTTAGATCCATCCACATCTAGCATCTCGAGCGAAGGGAGAGTATCTAGCCAGAACCTCCATTGACACATCCAGAAATTCTGCAGCGTAATCCACCATTACTCTTCTCCATCCCTTGTTTCGAACTGAGGAACAGAGCAGCAATTACTTTGTCCGCCAGGTGATCGCCGCATCGTGCATTTCTCGTTCTCCTGCAGCTCCTGGCGCTGCCTTTGTGCTTGAAGGTAATCTTTCTAAAACCATTCTGCCAAAGATTATCTTCTGGTACAAGTAATACAGGTTATCGATGTCGCTGTCAGAGGTAGAGAACAATGATCATGTGCCACTTCTTGTTGATTCGCGTACACTGGACCAGGTCGTGTCGATTCAGCTTCAGGCAGATCATTTCGTCGAGCTCCGGAATGTCAATCATGATATGAAGAATGCGTGAGGTTGTGCACAGTAGGTCTGGTTCAACGGTAGAGATAGGTGGGGGGACGCCTCAGTTTCTGAGACCGTTGAGGAAGCTCGTGAAGTAAAAGAAGCAGGGTGCAACTGTACAACCTCAACAAAGAGACGCGTTTCTGTCAAAAACGCGAAACGCGGGCGCGCAGACGTCGACTTGACAGTCACATCTCATTAAGTCGCGCCACCGTATATTTTTTTGTCAAAGTCAGTATCGCCGCCTCGTCCCACTATTGCCATTATATGTTGCGGTCGTGTGGAGTAAAACTGGGCAAGATTGTCAGCGGTATTCTGCCGTTGACCGAGATTGAACCTCACGAAATAAACATCAAAGCGCTTCAAAACCTCGTTGATGTGAAAGAATGCGACGCTCTTGGCACTCCTGACAGTGTGCGACATATTGAGACAAAGGCAGAAGAGGGTGTTCACTCCCAGATTCCCAAAAAATCCAATACCCAGCAATTTTTATTATGTGTTAGATTGAGAACAAAGACTACCAAGGTAACTGTTCAGGTGCGCTGCCGCAGAAACCCTTTCTTGCTTGTCATGTATATATCAAAGGGTTGGGTCCTCCGTTGTGTCCGTGTTCCGTGTCAATTATCATATCCATATTGATGAGGCTACTATGTTCCGTAAAGTACATGTAGCGCACTGTTCTGCTCTGCGCTAAGTCGAATCGAGTCGAGTCGAGTCGGACCTGAGTCAAACTGCGCTAGTTTAGTGCTTCTTGAGCTTCTCCGCGGCCTTCTTGGCCCTGAACTGCGCAACGTCAGCCTTGATCAGCACATCGAGTTCCTGCTTCAACTGAGGGCGGTATCCAAAGTAGAACAGCACCTCGTACACTACAAAGTAAGGAGCCAGCACCAATGCTACACGCAAAAAAAAAACAAAAAAAAAAACACGCGTTAATCCAATATCCATGGTGTACCATTGTATCTATTCAAAGAAAAAACGTCGCCTGTTTGAAGTTACCCTGAAGCAGGTTGTCAAGCAGCTTAGGTGCGCGCTTCTCGTAGACGCCATGTCCGATAAACTGTGCAATCCAGGCAGCGATATGGACTCCAAGGGCAATCTTGTCCGCGTTCGGGTTCGTCAGTTGGAATTTCGTGGCATAGCGGGCGAGCCCGAGGAACAATGGGGCAGTCAAGAGCTATATTCATTCCATTAGGCGCGTCAAGAGTCAAAGGAACGAAAAAAAAAAACGTTAGAAAAACCATACTCAGATTGCTATGCATTCTCAGCCCGCACACTTCTCACAGCACTTAATAATTACCCCGGCAACTTTGTCAAGCTTGATGTAATACGACGTGTAGGCCACCATGAGCAGGAGCGAGGCATTCGGTGGGCAGAACTGGTAAATCTTCGACAACGCAACCGCGGCAGGTGCACCCGAGGCCACAGCCGAGGCCGCAGGTGCAGCAATCAGTGGACCGGACTTTGCACCGAATACCAAGCCGGACCAGAGAATCAGGGGAATGCATGTCAGATGGATTCCGACGTTCCAGGGGTTGTGGTGATGCGAACCATACTGCAGAAGCTGGTACTTTAGGTCAAAGAGCTTGGACTGGGCCATTGGGATGTTGAATGAAGAAAGAATGAGGTGGAGGTAATGAAGGGGGAAGTGAGAAGAGGAAGTTACGCGAAGCGAGGCGAGGGCGTGGAGAGCGTGACCTTTTACACGCACACAAAACGCCCCACGCTCCCCACGCTCCTCCACGCTCCCCACATCCGCCTGCCGGGCGTACTTTCCATGGCCCATACGCGTGCACAGACAGCGCCAAGGCGTTAACATCGCATTAACCATCCCCACATCGGAGATGAATGCATTTATCGGCACACGTTGATATATATGAATCTCGGACCTTGGACTAAATGAAGCGAACGGCAGCGAACTCAACTAGGATGGGCCGAAATTCTCATGGGGAGCAACCATCCGTTTACTCTTTGCTGCTGCTATTGTTGTTGCCCATGTGCACAATCAGGATGACCTCCGGCTCCTCCTCAGCCTGCCAGTCGAAAGAACCTCCCTTTCTTTGTCAGCAGCTGCCCTTTCGGGATGTATAGCCGGAGTAATTCTTGTCAAACATTTTAGCGCTTGTCCCTCCACCACAAGAGAGCATTTTCCGTTTGAATCACTCTTTCAGCTTTGTTCATCGGCCTCAGGATAAAATGAACGGAAACGATCGATCACCCCATGCGCGGCTAATTACTCTATGCGTCCTGGTTTGAGCTGTTAACTGCTTCATTCTCCATTTGTCGGGAGACGGCAGACTAAAAAAAGGTGTCGTCGCGTTTCAAGTGAGGTGTTTAGACAGCTAACTAAAGGTTGATGTATCGAACTGCAGGACGAAAATGCACAAGCTGGTGACCGGGCTGCAGCGACACACAATTTGAAATCGAGAGTAGTTTTCCACCAGAGAAGCACGACGATGATAAAAACAAATAGCGTATCGATAATACGGAATGATGGATAATGTAGCAGTTACTCGCTCGAAAAGAATTTGGTCCGACTCGCTCGAGTGGTAGTAGACTATGAACGATGTGGATAAAGGAGAGCAGGGCGTGAAACAAACAAAGAAGTTGGCACGGTACTATCCCGTTTAGTCGATAACCATCCAAAGGATGAAGCGGTGCAGAAGTGAGTTGTGGAGGTGGTCCAGTGTTCGACATGTGCAGAGCAATGATGCGCCACGCTATGCAATGCAGCACAGAGAGCGACTATGAAATTAATAATGATCTGCTCCACAGAGCTGTTGACCTTGCTAATGCAGCTAGGAAACAGCTATATATGATGCTAAGGCGTAAAAAAAAAAAAAAAAAAGAGCACCTGTGTAGACAACAGCACTAGTTTGCAGGGGTAGGTAGAAAGTTCCTAGGGAGTAGTTGTGCAGGAAAACGCTGCAAAAGGTGCTTTCTAGCATACCGCACCACACTGTTCAAAGACAGGTCTGCTAGTAGTAGATCAAGATCTAGACAAAAGTACCATAAAACGCATCCCCACCTGGGAGCTCCTCAGTCGCTAATTGGCTATTCGGACCAAGGGACGAACAGGGTCCAGAACCTGCTCCAGGGAATACGATGTTTGTAAAGATAATTTATAGTTTTAGTGCTCTATGTTCGACTGGGGCCTGTTTTAGTAGGGAGCTCTCTTCTTCCTGACAACATCACCATTGATACCCCTTGGTTAAATCAATGAAGATCGCTTGTTTCGTCTTCTCTTATGCCGGTGCAGATACATCGATGCCTGCGGTTCATTATAACTAGGATATATGTACATTCAGATAGCTATCTGGACAGGCGCTGCTATTTCAGGCCAGATACCTCCCTGTCCCTTATGATGCCTGAACCCCGCAGGTTTCCTTTTCTGGACCCTTTGTTTGTTGTTTGTAGTTTGAGGCGGTGGTGATGCTGGCTGTTTGAGGACAGGTGGACCCAATGAAATAACGATGGCGTGAGCAGTTTGGCCAGTGGGCGAAAAATAACTGCCTCTAAAGGAAATTTATGTCCAGATCAGATCGACCCCTTCGCGAAAAGGATACAAGTGGCCGTTTGATTGGACATGTCCCAAGAGAACCCGCACGAATCCCACATCGTCGCATTTTCTTTTAAGCGATAGTAGTTGGATTGGAATGTGAAGTGGCGATCACTACTGGTCCGGGGAAGGCAGACAAAAAAAAACACCCCGATGACGGTGGATGCTCTTGTCCACAGCAACAGATAATGGGGCAGATATGACAGATAGGCGATCCAATTGATTTGTGTCTCGTCTTCTTCGTGCCTATCTCTTTTAGGAGCAATTGTTCAGAGCAAAAAGGGGACGACAGAGAACAACGGCTTCTCATTCGTTCGCTCATGTCCAACACATCATATGCCAAGGAACCTACTCGGGAACCGTTACCTATTCGATAAGAGCGAAATATGCGGTCTTTTCTTCCTCCCGATGAAGAAGAAAAAAAAAAAGTACCTGCGGCATGTAGTCTAAGAAAGTTGAGCGCTTCTTTCCCTAACAATTGATAGTAGAAGGTGGATCTGCCGAATGGCCTGCATACACATGGATCTCATACACTACTCACTGACGTGTGCTGCAAACTGTATCTAAGCCGGACTTGTTTAAAGCATGACGGAGCGAGATGCTGCATGCTAATCCAAACCTGGACGATCCCACGATGGCAGATGGCAGAACGTCTCTTACGCCCACGGGATCCATTCCGATGGGCTGTGTGGATATGCATGAATATATGTAGGAAATGGAGGGGAGAGTGAGAGAGAGAAGACGGCTTTTCGGTTGCTTGGTTGTCTCCAGCCCGGCAGATCGGAAAAAAAAAAAGAGAAAGAAAAGCAATGTCTGTGTATTTGTTGACGCGAGTAGATGAAGTGCTGTACTGTACGACATATACAAACACATGCCCGCTATTGTCGCTTCTAGGAGTCGAGTGAAATCCGGGGCAAAAGAAAAGCGCTGATCGACCCACGGATGCGGTGTTGTTTTGTTCTGCTTCGGTTGTCGATACTTTCGCACGGTGACTGAGTGATGATATGATGCATGCATGCCGATAGTCTATGTAGGCAACTGCATATAGGGATGCGCTTTCAATTACGTGGAGAGGGAGATGGGAATATAGTCTATAGAGCGAGAGTGGGCCCGATAATGCAAAGTCGCTTTTTGAGGGTGGCCCTTTTGCCCTTTTTTCGATATAGTGTCGATATGCGGCCAACAGTACCTGTACATACTCTAAAAGGGTAAAGTAAAAAAGGGCTGCTTATGGAGCATAACATAGTCTGTCAGTTTCAGTGCACTCGCCACCCAATAAGAAAGCCCAAGGGGCGAGTGATCTGAACTGCCATGGGCTATGTCTTAATGGCTGGCAGCCTAGCCATTGGATTGGATACAGCAGCACCCAAAACGTAATCCACAGCCAGTGCTGCTGCGATGGACGTCCTCTCCCTCCCCTCCCTCCTCTTCGGCCCCTTGGCCTCTCCCTCCACTCCAACCAACCAGACCCCTCCGGTCGTCTGCGCGTCCACGCGGACAGGGAAACAGGCACTCCGATGAAGTATAAATACAATCGGATCCCCCGCAGGCCCATTCCTCGTCTTCTCCATCCTCATCATCCACTCAAAGGCAGTCAGTCAGCCACCACTGCCACCGCACCATACCCTCCTTCGTCGCCATCCTCTCTCTCTCGGTGTGCACTGCAGTGACTAGTCCAGGTCCATCAAATCACCACCCCTCCCCCTTTGAGCACACAAACAGGTACGTTGCTGAAGAACCCCCTTTTCTTCCTTCGCCCCCCCCCCTGGGGCCTCTCCTTTTATTTTCCAGCTAACATTTAGTCCCCCTCTTTCTCATATCTGCTCTTCAATAGATCCATCCATCTCTGTCGTATCGATCGCCCAACACCTCTTTCCCCGGCTTTAATACAACCACAACCATCAACCACACCAATATGGATTCCAAAGAGGCTAATGCCGGCCACCACACACCCTCTTCCTCTTCAGGATCCTCTGGCATTGATCATGCAGTCTACCCAACCGACATGGAGAAGGTCACTCTCCCAGTCGAGGGCATGACAAATGTCGACGAAAGCGGTCTGAAGCGCGATCTGCACCTGCGCCACATGGTCATGATCGCCATCTCCGGTACCATCGGTACAGGTCTCTTCATGACCTCTGGAAAGACCATTGCCACCGCTGGTCCTCTTGGTGCTTGTAAGTTTGTCGTCACACACGAGTCCTGCACAGCAAAATTAACACCAAGCCAGCAGGCAAACAACGATCATGATGCATGAGTATGAATGCTCACCATCTATAACTATTCATAAACAACAATAGTGTTTGCGTACATGGTCATTGGAGTCTGGCTCGTATTTGTCTGCCAGGCCATCGGAGAGATTGCGACCTTGTTGCCCTTGCCCGGCGCCTTCACTGCCTGGGGTGCCCGTGTCTTTGACGAGGCTTTTTCCTTCCAGATGACCTGGGTCTACTTCATCAACTGGGCCCTGACCATTCCCGCTGAATTGTCTGCTTCCTCCTTGATCGTCTCCTACTGGTTGCCAGAAGGATCAACATTCCCAAGCTGGGTGGTCCCTGTTGTTATCATCATTGCCCTGGTCATCATCAACATGCTCGGAGTGGTACGTTTGCTCGCCCCGAACATCTTTTGCTGCTTATTCTCGTCCGTACCAAAGCCTTCTTCCTCTCTAACAGCACCGCTCCATCTCCCTCATCTCCTCTAATAGAAAGTGTATGGTGAAATCGAATACTGGTTCTCCATCCTCAAGGTCGTCACGATCATCGTCTTCATCATCTGTGGTATCCTCGTCGACTCGGGCGCAGTTGGTGGCCACGTCTATGGTATCGAGAACTGGAAGATCGCCGGTGCACCCTTCAAGGGCGGTTTCCGCGCTTTCCTCTCGGTCTTGGTCTCTGTCGGATTCGCCTATGGTGGAACTGAGCTCTCTGGCGTCACTGCTGCTGAATCCAGTAACCCCCACAAGCACGTCCCCAAGGCCGTCAACACTGTCCTGGTCCGCATCGCCTTCTTCTACATCCTCTCGATCTTCTTCCTCGCCAGCATTGTCCCCAATAACGACCCTCGTATGCTCAACGCTGATGGCACCGTTGTCAACGCTCCCTTCACGATCGTGTTCCTGACTGCCGGTATGAAGGGCGGCGCCAACTACATGAACGCCGTCATCTTCACCTCTGTCGTCTCTGCAACGAACTCTGATTTCTACGTCGCCACCCGCATGCTCATGTCTCTCGCCCGTAACGGCTGGGCTCCCAAGTTTGTCGGACGTACCAACGCTCGCGGCGTTCCTGTGGTTGCTGTCGCGATCACCACCGCATTCTCGTGCATTGCCCTCGTCATGATTTACGCCGGTGCCGCCGTGGTCTTTGACTGGCTGGTCTCGATCATCGGTTCAATCATCTTTTTGACCTGGTGCGGCATCCTTTTCTTGCACTTCCGCTTCCGTGCCTGCTGGAAGGCTCAGGGTAACAGCCCCAGTGACCTACCCTACATGTCTTGGGGTTATCCTTATGGCCATTACCTTGCCAGCATCATCGCCTTTTGCTGCGTGGTTGCCAGCTGGTATCTCTCGATCTCTAACAAGCCCCAGGCCAGCGGACCTCTCGGTACTGATGACCCTGCTTATAAGAGTGCGATGGACAAGTACTATCAGGGACTGTTGGGTGCTTGGTTCCCTTGGGTCTTTGCAATTGTATTGTACTTTGGATACAAGTTCACCAAGGGCACCAAGATCATTAACCCTGCTGAGGCGGATATCGATACTGGACGCTGGATCCCTGTACCAAGCACCATTGAGGATGAAAACAAGCCTCAACCAGCATGGAAGAAGTTCCTTTCTAAATTCACGTAGACACTCTTCGTTTTCTTCTTGTACTATATTAGCTATCTAGTTTGCACATATACACTGCATATTTAGCACACCACATAAAAACACTGTATTTACATTCCCTTCAATTTCGTTCCATTCCGATGAAATTGTTATGCGAGCATCTTTCATTTGCGCTGCGAATGTGGCCCCATATGCAAATATAAGCATTGAGCCGGTGTGCTGGTCCAGGCTGTACAACATACCAGCGCACATACCACTTGTAAACAAACAAACAAAAAAATACATAGAGCCGTTGAAGTTCCTCAGGGTGATACTCTTTGAAAGACCGGGGTACTACAAAACAGTCAACAGCGATATTCAATCCGTTTGGAAAAGAAGTTAGTGCGCGTAAGCACGCAAGCGTTGGGTCTGCGTACTTCTGCACTGTCTACAGCATTAAGAGGGGTGGTAACCTCGCCTCTTTAGTGGATACAAGAGGAGTTCGGATGCACAGGGCCCACACCCTGTCTATACACCAACCTGGATACACACAACGAATACACACATACACCAATATGCCCGCCCACCCCACTCTTTTGCGCTCTCATTATTCGTTATTCGCCTTCTATCTCTCCTGTAAGTGGCCAGTAATTCCTTCTGCTCCACAAACCCGTATGTATTTGGTGAAAACCACAAAGTGTAAAGAAATCAAATATGATCCGCTAGGAAAAGTATTAAAACAATAGACACATGGCATATCCAATTGAAGCAAGCAATCTGGGCAGGGTACTCCTAGTTCACCTTTACCGGATGGATGAAAATAAGGATCCGGGTGTCCCAGGTTACTATGCCTTAAAAACGCTATTTGTGGCCCCCCCCCTCCCTCTCCCTCCCCAACTGATATGCATAGGACAGTATGCACGCATTTAGGATCATCGAGTGTGTATACCTTTGGACCGGACACAGAACATCTCGGCGAGCAGAGGCATACACAATACGCTGTAGTGTAAAAAAAGAGGGTGAGGGTGTGTGTGTACTGCTGGCATCTTTTCGTATCTATCCTCTAACGGACAAATAGCATATGCATGCGCGCGACGTTGTGAAAATGAATGGAAAACGTCTTTGTGTGACAATGCATTGCCCAAAGAACCCAACGGACCAATATCCTTTCTTCTTTGTGCAGTTTCAAAAAATACCCCAAAGCTCGTAATACGCGTCCATCTCCACTCCAATGCCAACGGCCACATTGCCCAGCACCCTTTTTTTTTTTTGTATTTATTTATGTGTCATTATTATTATTTTCTTTTTTTGAAGTAGTAACCACTGCAAAGGTATCGGAATCCGTAGAACGCTCTCTTTGATTCGTTCCAGTTCTCAGTTCCCTATATTCCTATATCTTAACTGTCTTGATTTCCACACATAATACCACAGTGCTGAAACGGACGAGTAAAAAAAAAAAAGAACTGGGAACACACGTACACGTATCACGCATAAGTATTAAAGTATTAAGCATGAAGCATGAGGCGGTTTTTTCCTATTTTTTTTCTTATAGCTAGAAGCCTTCTTCGTTCACAACACCGTTGGCCTCACTGAACCACTTATCCGCCCTGATGTCCTGGTGTCTGAACCCAACCTAACCTGGGACCCTCGCGTTCTCCTTCCCGAAAACCACTCTCGATCCACCAAAGGCTTCATACCCCCATCTTTCCGCTTCTCGAGAGCTGGGGTGGAAAAGGCAGGGACAGAGAGAAAAGAGAGAGGTGAGGGGACCATGGTGGCATTCACGCTGCTTTTTTTTTTTTTTTTTTTTTTTCGCGAGTATAAAGACCCCCCCATCCACGCGAGTGGTGTCCAGGATGAGTTACGACCCTTTCATTCTTTTCGACCATACTCACATTCTCGATCAAAAAGTCAGTAAGAAAAGAAAGAAACGCGAAAAAAAAAACATACACACCTCTCCCTAGTAGCACAAGACCGCGACAGTATAGCCCTAAAGAGACATGCCTCCATCGCCTCTTCCCGCGGACCCCACGCGTCTGCTCAACTTCGCGCTGTCCTCCATCTCTGAGGCTACCCCAGCCTTTTTGGAGATGTTTAACATACTCTACCCCGAACACGCCCTCCCTCCTACTTCCTTCCCTTCTGGATCCTCCATCGGCCCCGCCCCGTCTTCGGGGAGTTCGGCCCCGGTCATGCACACGATGCGGTTGTATGTTGTTCGGCAGCCGATTCCGAGAAAACATCGTCGGTCCTATATCGAGGCCAAGGATATGCGGTCGGTCTGTGGGACCGCTGAAGAGAAGCTGGATCCGGCAATGGGTTTGAGTGAGGCAAAGTTGTTTATGAGGCAGATCCAAGAATTGGAAGGCGATGCTTCTGCCCCGGCTTTAGCGTCGTCTTCGGCATCGGCATCGGCATCAACCTTTGGGGCATATTGTTTAGCGTCGTCGGGGTACTCGTATTTGTCAACGCAGACGGAACAGAGTGGGACGAGTGGGAGTGATGTCGAAGAGAGTAGTGGGGATGGAGGTGGGAGTGGAGGGGTGACGGGTGGGTTTGGAAGCGGAGGAGGAAGTGGAGGAGGGGAGGGGAGTGAGTATGAGTCAATAACGGATGAGGAACTCGGACTTGTGGGCCTGATGGATGGAGAGTACCAGGGCGCGTCGTATATTGATTACCTGCGCATGTGTAAGTATCGTTACACGAAATGACCGCGAAAATGAACATTCCACGCGTGGATGGGACCCTAGGACTAATTCAAAATTATTATTTTTGATTTGAGGCAGACTTGATCTCGCACCCAGAGGCACACTTGGACGGCTTCATGAGCTGCCCTTCCTTCCCCGAAGACCTCTCTGTAATGTCTCTCGGCCCTTGGACTTCTGCCTCCAGCTCGACCCCTTCCGTCATCCCTCCAATTCTTCCCGCTACCACGGTCGCCACCACCACGGTCGCTGTGCTAGATGGCCCCGGAGACCTGAGCAACGGAACCGGCGATGACGATAGCGATCAAAGTCCAACCGCAGAGGCCTTAAACTCTAAACGGCGCAAGAAGTCCCGCATCAGCGACGCGTCTTCACAAGACCCAAACCGCTCCTTGCCAGATTGGTTCCGAGCCCTCAAGAACCAGGAGGGCGAGATTCGATATGAGTCCTGGGTAATCGGGTACCTGTGGAGGAGCGATTGGGAACCTTCGTCTGCGGAAAAAGCAGCGGAAGCGGCGGTGGTGATGGGGTCGGAGCCACAGAACCGGAGGGCGTGGTGGGGCGAGGTGCTGGAGAATTTTTTGGAGGACCATGTGTTGAAGAGGTTTGTGAGAAACGAGGTGGTCGAGGGGAGGATTGGGATTGACTTGAAGAAGGAAATGGATGAAAAGATACAGAGCCGTAAGCCGACCAGGAGGGTTATTCGCTAGGTGAAAAAAGCAAAGGTATAGGGAGGAGACGAAGCAGCGCAAGTGGACAAGGTAGACGATGACGGGGGAGGAGGGGAATGGTTTTTGAGGGGGAGGACGCGTTGAGGCCGGACGCGTAGAACTAGAGGGTCACAGCGGTGCTCTCGTAGACTATTCAGCATGATGCTACTGCATTGCTCTGTTGCTTCATTAAAGGACTTGTACTGTACATCCAAGCGTGAATTAACACAGCTGTTCCTGGAAAGAAATTAAAAAAAAAAAAAAAAAAAAAAAAAAAAAAAAAGGAGTGACGTCGTGGTATTAAGGAGCACATTGCAATGGGCGCAGATGTAATGTTTGGATTTGTTTTCCGAGGGACGGAGGGACGGAGGAGGGGTGTGACGGACGAGAAAAAAGAAAAGCGAATCAATCCCATCCTCCCTCTTTCATCAACTCCACCTCCCTTCTTCATCACCAAATGTTCCGTCTGTCTGCCCAGTCGACCCGCAAGGCTGTCCAGCGTCTTGCTGTTCAGGTACGACCCACCACTGCCCAATCAGCCAACCGGCAACCAGCAACCAGCACCCAGTCAGCACTCTCCATCGGATCACCTTATTTCTTGAAACGCGGAACTCTGCTCCGAATCCGAAATACTCGACCAACATCACATGCAACGATGCATCGTCTTCGCAGACACACCCACACTCACCCGCACTTTCAACCCTCTATCTTCTTGCCTATGCGCCCTCTTCAAATAGGTCCGCCACCAGTCCACCAGCTCCGCTGCTGCCTCCAGCATGGTAAATGCATTTTTTTTCGCGTTCCTCCGAACTAATCGGAATCAAGATCAAACCCTACTACATACCCTTGATACCATCCGAGCGTGTTTTTTTCTCTAACGAAAAGCCCCTCCTTCACAACTTTGAATAGAATGCCAAGAATGTCTCTATGGCTGCTGCTGGTGTGGCCACCGTCGGTGCTCTTGCCTATCTCTCTATGGAGTCCGTCGATGCCAACATGGCCGCTGACGGTCTTCACCCCCCAGCATTCCCCTGGGAGCACAAGAAGGCCCTCACTACCTTTGACCATGCTGCGTAAGGAACCCATTCTCATTTCTATTTGTTTTTTTTTATTTTTCAGTGTCTCTTTCTTTTTTCTTTATCGTGGACAGAGTTGATGCAGACGATGGCTGGATGTATCGCAGAATGAGTTTTTTTTCTCTTTCAACTCTCTCAGGATCAAGTGTTAGAAACAACGCGCTATCGGAGATGACACGGAAGCACACAATGTCCATAGGCACTGGAACACTGCCAGGAACCTGTTCGGATTGAGGACTGACAAGGATCAACGGAAGTGTGGGGTTCAGGATATGCGGCGTGTCATGCTATGATATGGTTGGGTCAACATGCAATGAAAGAATACACGACTTTAGGCGCATCGACCGAGCACGACGACCAAGCGCACTTGGCAGCGTGAGCAGGACATTTTTCAGCCAAGACCCTCCATAGTGAACTCCATCTTCAACATAGGAGTTACTCGAAAGCAGCACAATTGATTGACGTGTGTATTCTATTATCCTTTTCTACATGCGTGTACAGCATCCGCCGTGGTTACCAGGTGTACAAGGAGGTTTGCGCTGCCTGCCACTCTCTTGATCGCATTGCCTGGCGTAACTTGATCGGTGTCTCCCACACCGAGGCCGAGGTCAAGGCTATGGCTGAGGAGTTTGAGTACACGGATGGACCCAACGATGTTGGAGATATGTTCCAGCGTCCCGGAAAGCCCTCGGACTACATGCCTGCCCCCTACGCGAACGAGGAGCAGGCCCGTGCTGGTAATGCCGGTGCTTTGCCCCCAGATCTGTCGTTGATGATCAAGGCCCGTCACGGTGGTGCCGTAAGTCGATTTGCAAATTGCTTCTAGGATGGGCGATAGAATTGTATAGATCACGTATCCTTACAGGCATCTTTTTTGCCCACTGTTTTATTATGGTAACTACAGGACTACGTGTTCTCCCTGTTGACTGGTTACCAAGATCCTCCAGCTGGTGTGGAGATCCGTGAGGGATTGAACTTCAACCCTTACTTCCCTGGTGGAGCGATTGGTATGGCCCGTGTGCTGTACGATGGTTTGGTCGAGTACGAGGATGGAACCCCTGCAACGACTTCGCAGATGGCGAAGGATGTTACGATCTTCTTGAGCTGGGCTGCTGAGCCAGAGATGGACGAGCGCAAGATGATGGGAATGAAGGCCCTGACGATTTTGGCAGTCTTGACCGGCCTCTCTATCTACCTCAAGAGGCACAAGTGGGCTGGTCTCAAGACCCGCAAGATCTTGTACAAGTAAGTATTGCACATGATATTTATTCAAGCTTGAACGGGTTTGTCTTGTTGCTTTCTTTTGTTACGATTGTGGATATGGAGTACTGATGCTATGCTGTGGTTTTCGTTTCATTCATATAAACTTGATGTATATAGCCCTCCTACGCCAAAGAAGCACTAAATTATGACAAGACAGGACCTCGAAACACACCACCGACCGCGCACCCACCCTCTTTAGATTCATAATCATCAAAACCTCGAAGCTTCCCGCACCAGTTTTTCCCTTTTTTTTGCAGCCGATCGTCCTTACAGATACTCACACACTCACACACAAGACAACATCTATTAAAGATCTCTTTTTTTTTTTTTTTTTCTTGGTTTAATACTGTTCATGTTTTTCCTTTGTAATATATGATGATTTTTTTGCATGAACGAGTAGCGTTTTGAAGACGCGTCGTGTCTTGGTTAGGGGGTTTTTTTGGGGGGGACGGAGGCGAAGGTGGAGACAAGGTGGGCGAGGGCGGGAACAAGGACAGTGTTTACAGCAGCAAACTAAGCAGGGGTCGAAAACGAACGTGGTGTGCTTTCTGGGTGGCGAATTTGTTCGTTGTTTTTGTCTTACAGAAATGAAGCATTCAAAGCCAGGCCTGGACTTGGAGATAGGCTCATCGCCTTTTGGAGTTCCCCTTCCTCCTCTCGCCTTTTCTTTTCGATGAATAAGCATGGTGATGGGGGCATGCTCGGACGTGCCTTTGTTGTGTATCGAAACAAAAAGATGCATGCACGTCGACCCCTGGACATGCACAGGAACAGGCGCCGACACAGGTACCAACACAGGCAGAAAGATGACGCAGTCATTTGTGCGATATGATGATGGTTTGTTGCCATCGTGGCCTTGTATGGCTCATTCTTCATTCGGCACTCCGAGCCATGCTCTCTTTCTTCCTGTCGAGATGGCCAAGGCCAGGACGCAAGGCATACGAGACATGGCCCATGGTCGGTGTTCCTTTCCGATGGTACTGCTGTGTCTCGGTTGTAACACTAGTAGACACTACTTATTTCAGGAGGGAAGCAAACGACTAGAGCCGTCATCTTTACCATGGTCAGCATCTGCATGACGGAAGTGAGGCTCTTCTGCATATGCGCACACCTATCGCCTATTTCGTCGATTGAGGTATGCGCTCCTTTTTATTTTAATTTTCTAATTCGGCATGCTGTTGCCTGTTTTGCACAATGAAATCGAGGGCAATCGACCGCTTATCTCTCTCCTTCTCGGCCTTTTTTTCCCACACTGCACACCATCCTTACATCCATCCTGCATCGCGTATAAAAGAACTAGGAAACGCTCTCAGCTATGCTCGCATTCATCCGCTCTTCATCTCTTGTACTTCCAACACGCACAACCCCCAAAACATTCCCAACACTAATCTTTCTCTTCAACCGCACCATGTCCTCCTCTGCGTACGACGTTCCCTTCCCCATCATCATCGACGAGACCCTGGGCGAGCGTCTCCAACCGAACGAGGCCGAGCTCACTACCAAGATTGCAGACACAATTGAGTCTGTCATCCACAAAGAGTACAGAGAACCAGGCACCGCCCGCCGCGATGTCCATGCCAAGGCCACGGGCATCCTCAAGGCCCACTTCAAGGTCCACGAGAACATCCCCCCACAGTTCCAATCAGGAATCTTCATCCCCGGCAAAAGCTACGATGCCATCATCCGACTGTCAAATGCCTCCGGAAACCCGCACCAGGAGGACGGACATGCCGATGGCAGAGGGTTTGCGATGAAGCTCCTGAATGTCCAGGGGCCGAAACTGCTCGAGTCGGACAAGAATGCGACGACGCAGGATTTTGTGTTCATCAACCATCCGTTCTTCTTCACTAACAGCACGGAATCTTACCTCAAGGTCTTCCAAAAGAACGCTTCGGATTCGGCACTCCAGAAACTGACGATCCCGTTCACACTCGGTCTCAAGGGAACAGTTAATGCGGCGGTTCTGGGAGGAGGAAAGATTGCGAATCCCCTCCAGGTGCAGTACTATAGCGCGGTACCCTATCAACTCGGTCTGGGCGAGTCCCGTCTCGCGGTCAAATTCTCGATCAAACCGGTCTCGCCCATCAAGGATGAGCTCCCCAACCATCCCGAACACGAATATCTCCATCAGGCAATCAAGACCACGCTCGAGAAGGGAGAGGTCCAATTCAAGTTTATGATCCAGCCAAAAATCGGACTGAACATGGAGGTTGAGGATTCGATGACGGAGTGGAGTGAGGAAGAGTCGCCGTTCTTGGAGGTGGCGACGGTCACGATTCCAAAGCAGGATGTGGACTCGACGGAGATTCAGGCGCTGGGGGAGAGATTGTCGTTTAACCCGTGGCATTCACTGGTCGAGCATCGGCCATTAGGGGCGATCAACCGAACGAGGAAGGTCGTGTATGAGAGGATTTCGAGGGTGAGGGATCAGATAAACGAGGTCCCACGCGAGGAACCCACTCAAGCTTAGGCGTAGAGGCGCGCTCTCGCTTTCTCACACAGCACACATAGTACCGACATCGTGCCGATATGGTGCCGACATTTTGAGCACATGGTTACTCCATCGCCCACTCACCATTCACTCGATATCGACGTTTTCATTGCCCAGTGTTGTAAATATAAGACCAGTTCGATCCTGATCACTTGTTTTTCTCTCTCGCACACACACACACACTCTCTCTCTCTCTCTCTCTTTTTCATCTTCATAACTCCCCTCTCTACAGCATCCCCATCTTTTCTTCCAGACCAATAAACACTGCCTTTGTTGCTCATTTCCGTATCCCTTCTTTCTCAAGAAAAGATGATCAAAAGCTTGGACGAGGCGTTTGTACGGGGTTACCACTTCATCCAGCAACACATCGTCCCGGCTTACCAAAGAGCTCGGCACAGATACTTCCAGCTACCTTTCTGGGTCCAGATCATCGTGAAATGCTTCCTGTTCCTGAGTGTCTGCCCGATCATCTGCTTCCAATGGTTCTTGGCCGTAGTCATACTCGACAGCTTTGTCGTCGGTGCACTCGTCTTCATCGTCGTTGAGGTACCGACAGCCAGTGACATCATCGTGATAGTGAAACTTCTGTGTGTCTGTGTGTCTGTGTGTCTGTGTGTCTGTGTGTCTATGTGTATATGAGCAGAAATGCTGAACCGCATTCGATCTTTTTCTTTTTTTGTGGAATTGATCTGCAATAGGCAACGTTCGCCATGTTCGCGGGCGCATTCTTGTTGTTGTCTCTGTACGGGGCGTTGGTGATCACGTTCGGTATCGGCATAAACCTATTCCTACTTCAGAGCGCCTACAAAGTTACGCTGTATCTTGTTCAGGATCCCCGTCGCCGGATTAAGGAGAGAGGGAGTTATGCAGATGTTGTGAAGCACGGGATCTGAGGATGGGGAGGTTGGGGGGTCCGGGCACGGCGGTATAGGCTTTGTCATTGCAGTGGGCGCCTAAAGGTCGGTCGGTGTGGAGTCATGATGGTAGGAACGTGGGTGGATGTGGATGCGGAGGTGTAGTGTTTTGGTAGTTTTTTTTTGTAGGTTGAGAGAGAAAATATGAAATAAAAGAATGTTGCGTGCACTACAGGATCATGTTGCAACCGAAACAATAAGCGCCAGCCGTCTCGTTTTATTTAACCGCTTTTTTTTTCCTACAAGCGTTAACGGTCCATCAAGGGGCGGTACTTCTCTGATAAGCATGAAATACATGGAATAAAATGCATATCGACATATCGACGGAGTGCATCCTTCTATGGACAGCATGGAGAATTCATGATTTTTGTGGATTCCATATCATCACCAACATTGCCATATGGTCCCAGGCACGGATCATGAAATTTGACGCGCCGATGTTCTGGATCGGACGATCGGCTTTGTTGAGCCCGGACCAAATTGTCGCGCTGTGCAAGTGTATCTGCTTTGCGGCGGCAGAGAACTCATCCGTTCTTACAGTGAAACCTTTTTTTTTTAGCACAATATGGCAAACCCCCTTTGATACTCTTGGGGTTTTGCCCTTCGACATCCATTGAGGGAACAACAGCGGCCATAGAGCCTTCAGGGGACGGGACCGCAGTACATCGAGTCCCACATTGTTCTCTGTCAAGACGTTTTTTTTTTTTTTTTTTTTTTTTTTTTGCAGCTAAGCACAAAGAACTACGTTTGCATTTTCCAACAATTGTTAAATATTTCTCAAAGTCGAATAATAGCATCTTCCCACTTTCATCGGCGTCGGCAGTTCTTCCAGGTGTTATCGCAGCAGTTGAGTTTTTCTCTACTCTCCCACAATTTCTACTGTCTTTAACGCAGAACCCAACATTTGTGAACAAAAAGATGAGAACGGAAGGAACCTCTAGAGAATTGAGATTAACCTTTCTCAGCAACGGCTTTCTGCCTCTTGTTTGTACCATCTTCCTGTTCCACGAGCGATTCCCAGGTTATCTTCGAACTCGCTCTTCCAAAACAGATCTCTGTCTGAGGATGCGATATGAATAGGTAACATATTATCCTTCTCTTCGCCATCATATATAAGTCATAAGAAGAAGCTGTCCGCCAGGTGCAATGACAGTAACTCTTGGGTATCGTACTGCTTTGGTAGCATAGATGTTAAAGTCATTCACAGCACAAACAAATGTCCCGTAATGGACCCCTTCCACTGGCAATTCGATCCATACCTAACGATGGACCTTAAAGTGATCGAGGAGGAGTGATCTAGGAGCACCTGCCGCCTCTCTCTTGAACTGCGTTCCTGTATCTTAATGATAACGACGATCTTTTTTTTCCCAGCCATGGAAGAGGCTCAAATCCTCTTTGGATCCATAGAGGTCCGGAAATAGGGCTTTAAACTCAGTTATATCGGATAACATGGTACGAATTTTTACTCCCATCCATAAGCCATAATATCTTTTTTTTTTTTTTTTGTATTGCGGACGTGAGGCAGCTTGTAGGCGGATGGTATAATTGATGCAGAAAGAGATAATGAGTACTGCTTTTGTTTTTCTCAGATGAAGTTTATAAAGACATTGTTTTAAGAATGCGCTGTTTTTTTTTCTATTTCAGGAGGAGGATTACAGGATTACAGGATTACAGGATTACAGTATTCAAGGACAAAACCACCCAAAAACAACCACCCTTGCCTCTAACTCCAGTCATCTGTACATCATGCCATCCCTTCAATAGACCGAGCAGAAACTTTCGGAGCTGCCCCCCCTTGGAACCATGTGGCTAAAGTAGGATTCCACAAGGCGAAAGGTGGAAGCGAAGTATAGGATGCGTTAGCTTTGCCAAAACCTAACGGTATCAATAGTACTTGACATCGACACTTCTTCATTCAGTACTGATAGGCAACTTTCGTATCACACGTATGCTGAGGGCACTCAACAGACTGAAAGAATGGGCGGTTTTGGACGTGATTTAGAATTTCGAGCAGGCGCGTCGGGGTCCGTGCGAGGAGCTGAACCTTGGAAATAACACGTAGGAATCTCGCATACAGTTCGAGTTCAAGGCGGGCAATCCGCCACTTCCGAAGCTATTGAAACAAAGACATCAAGGAGAAGCACTGCGCGACTTTTTTGATCTTTGTGCGGACGCGATGTTGAAGATTCGATCAATCAGCGAAAGAGATGGCTGACTCCTCACAGATAACCTTGCACCTCACGTCATGTACCTATCTATCACGTACAATACTTCCTTTCCTTCAGCCCATCCAAACACCTTGCATCACTTCAGTTGAGAAAAAATAAAATGGACCTTGTAAGCGTAGGAACATTGTTCGACATCGCGCGACGGATTATCCTTTTGACCTACCGATGGATTAAGCGCAAATACTACTTAATACCTTGGTGGATCCGACTGAGCATGTTCTGCTTTGTGGTTTTGAGTCTCTGTCCGATTGTGTGCTTCCAGTGGTTCATGGCTGCGGTCCTACTCGACTGCATAGTCGCCGGGGCACTTGTCTTTGTCGTCGTGGAGGTAACAAAAAAACTCGAGGGCATCAAAAGCGCATGGTGACATTGGCGCGCATTACAAGGGTATAGAAACGCATTGGCGCACGCCTGTTAAACGCATTTCCTTATTGTGCCTCACCTTGTACCCATAGCTTATGTTCATTCTTTTCGCTGGTGCATTCTTGGCGCTGGCTCTCTACGGTGCGCTTGTGATCACGCTTGGGATAGGACTGAGCCTGTACCTGGCTGGGTGCGCTTATAGGGCCGCACATTATGTGCTGCAGGGTCCGGTCAATCGAACGGAGAGGGCGATCAATGTAGATGCATCGAGAAGTGACCTAAGCGGCAGGCCTCGTATTCGTGTTGCGCTTGTTGGTCAATCGGAACCTGGTCGCCCCACTTGGTCTCACAACGATAGGACGATATGATAATGGAGCCTATGAACGGGGACATGAGGCATTTGCTTTTCTATTTGCGAGTGTCTATTTCGCAGCACGCCGGTGATATAGGAAGAATAAACGATATTGATTGATCTATCTATATGAGCGAGATGATGTGCCCATACTAACGCAAATAAACAGAGTATTAGACATGCTACTCGGGCCTTCTCATCGTACTCCCTCATTCAGCATTTTCTTGTTGCCAGAACACAGCTCATTCATGGATTATTCAAAGCCGCAAAGTATTCACGCCTTTGCCACCCTCGAAGTTCGAACAGGGATGCGCCCACATTGTATTCAATTGGGTCATGTGGATGCACATCCAGTCGTCTCGATGGATCTAGTTCACTAGGTTCGCCGTGACAACAACCCTGGTCTCTATCCCAGTCGCTTGTACTTCAATGATCGTCATGCTGTTCATCATGTCTAACGGCGTGGTTGCCTGCCTCTTCGTTGTGGCCTTAGAGGTAAGATACACTAAAAAGCCTATAAAGAGAATTAGACTTTTACAATGTGATAGTATTCGTAAACATATACCGAAATGGATTGACGACGTTATGTTTTTCTTTGGTACCCATAGGTAATTTGCGCCTTCCTCGGATGTGTAAGCGATTCTCCTGATTGCTTTTGAGTCATTCTTGGTCGGGGTCGGGGTCGGCCAATACTTGGCTGAGTATGCGCAGGCGCGATTACAAGGTGGTCATATATGTCCATGGCAGGGCCGGGGGAAATGGAGCGAGAAAAGCGGTGTTTTTTTTTTTTTTTTTTTTTTTTTGGCCCAGAGAGGGTCATGAACAGGCGCGTCGTGGTCCGTGCGAGAAAGTCGGGCCTGCAGAATGACAGGACACAGCAATACTGCAACCGAGTCTGGTGCAGGACTCTTCATTATTATTATTTTTCCCGCTTCCTTTGAGACCTACTGCAGAAATGCGAGTGTGTTTGTGGTTTTTACAGTTTCGGGAAGTGTATACTCGTAGCTCTAGTTATTACATTGTATCTGTGAAATAAATATATTAGTACTTGCTTGATGTTAATCAATCTTTTTCTTTCCCTCGCCCCCTCTTCGCCATTTTTCAAAACCTTTGAACGACACCGAAACTGCAGTTGTAGCGGCTTAGGGTTTCAGGGGCAGTTTTTCATCCGGAATCAATTGGTGCACAACTGTCGACTGTCCGGACAGCTTTTCGACTTGTTCACGAAGGACCCACCACTAGAGGCAACAAAAGTAGAGTATTAAGGAAATCATTTGCACATGTGTGGATATATGTGTGACACTTTGTAACGATATATAAACAAGACACATTTTATTACATTGGATGCATGGGATCGGATGCGGACCGATATGGCAACCTCCGCATGAAACAAGGACAACGATGATGCTGTGTGCATGTCTATTTATGCTAGGAAACGACCGCCCTCTGCCTCGCTTTAGTCGCCTGTTGTTGTAGCTGTGAATACGTTTCATGTGTAAGTGGGTGGGTGAGAGCGTGTGTATGCTGTGTGGATATGCGGAATATATACGCGTCCATGTGTATGCATTCATACGTGTCTGTGGACGTGATATGGTTCTGACGCGACTTGTTGGATCCGCTGACTTCTTTTTTTTTGATTTCCGCCTTTGTCTGTCCAACAGAGCAGCCGCCCTTTTTCTTTTCCGCTTCGCCATCCCGTTTTTGGGGCCGCGTCCCTTTCCCTCTTTCCTTCTCTCTCTTTCTTCTCTCTCTTCCTTTATATCCTTCCCTTCCCTTCCCTTTAACTCCTTCCTTCGTTCTGTACATATAATACACATCGTCCCCTTCTTCCTCGCGCCCTCTTCGCTACCCCCTCCACAACCTCAACCCAGACAGGTACGTTTCCTCGCTCTGTTGACAAACAAGCCTTCTTGTCTCCTTTGAAAGACAAAGACGCCCATGCTTGCTCTTGTAGGACGTTCTACTGCATTGGACTCGTGTATCTGTCGGTCGGCCTGTGAGAACAAACTAACCCAAAAAAAAAAATACGCGCGCCACCCCTTCTTTTTTTTTTTTTTTTTTTTTTTTGGTTCCCATGAGCTAGATCCATCAACTCATCACACAACAGCCAATTCCACACACACGACCCAAATGAAGTCCTACCGTTCAGGCAAGCAAACACCATGCTAATTCACAGGGAACACCACACTGCCAAAGGGAAACAAAAGGACGCAGGAACAATAGATACAGCGCATGCTCGATATTAGCATTCTTCGCACTGCATTGCTGCCCGGCTACCTGTCCTTTGCCCACTTTTGACGCGTTCCCTTGCTAGCAACCTTAAGGTGGCGGCATCCCGCTAATAATTATCCTCCCCTTCAATGGACATCTGGCTTCTCTAGGTCGCGGCGGTTCCTCGCTTAGGGGCAAACCCAACAGCCCCAAGGTCTCGGCCCCACTCCCGGTCAATTTACCAAGCAGAAGGCAGGAGAAGGGCGGATACGATGTCTCCTTGGTCGCGTCAGGCTCGAACTGGGGATCACCTTCAACGCCATCGTCCGCTGTCCTAGGCACATCATCTTCATCATCGGCAGCCACCTCACCAGCGACAGGAGCCGGGGCAGGGCCCATGTTGGAAAACACTAGCAACAACTTGTCTTCAGGCGCTGCGGGTACATCATCAGCAACAGGACACGGAGGTAGTGATTCACCTCAATTGGACCCACCATCAACATCAGCCGCAGGATCATCCCCGTTCCAGAAGCCAGCCCCACGCGCTTGGGGTGTGGTGGCCCACACTCAGGAACACCATCTCGACGAATACCCTACAGCCGCAGAGGCAGCAAAAAAGACACTGGAGCAGCATGGTATGGTTCAATCTTGGCGGACAGGATGATGCGATCAAACACGCGATAGGGCACTGCTAGGGATACTAATCTTTTCTGATTTGTTTGCGTTTCAATAGAACTCCATCAGACCAATGGACAGGCACATCACAACAGTGCACACTCGGTAAAGCGGACCACTGTAAGCACAGCATCTTGGACACGACCATGCGACATTTTGATCAGAAATTAGGCACGAACTAACACGTTGTCATGGGACAAAATCATTTATAGATCCCGAGTAACACAAATTCTGGCGAACCAATGGCAAAAACCGTATCGACGTTGTCAGCAGGGGCTGACAATTGGGACGAGGTGTGTTTGCATGGCGCTCTATTATGCCTTTCTCCCCAGCCGAGCTTGGTCACACCAACGAACGTTTATTGATTTTTGAATCCTGCAATCAAATACCCCAATCTTAGGCTGACGAAGATGAGAGCGTTGATTTCCTTAACGCAGAGGCTATTGAGTTTGCTGACGGTTCCGTCATTGTGGCAGCAGCAGTGGCACAAACTGCGGATAGTCAGAAAGATGGAGAGGTACCGCAAGCAACATCTCCGAGTAATCACCGTGAGGAACGCGTTGTCGACAGAGTAGACGTCGATTTCAACCGGTCATGGCCAAGTCGCCCACAGCCCAATGCTGGACCGTCACTCTACCAACCAGGCCCAGAGCCATCATCACGATTCGGAGGACCCCAGGACCGCTCGAGCCACTCACTCTGGCAAGAAGGGCCAAATGACCGTGACCGTCGTCCCTCTGCAGACCGGAACGCAAGCCATTACTCAGTACAGCGGCGGGAGTCATTTGGAAACCGCGATCATCATCAAGGACCCCCTCGCCGTGATTCGGTCGGGCCAAAGGATTCATTTTCTGGTCCCCGCCGGGACTCTGGCAATTATCGAGAGCCGCCTTATGATCGCAGGGATTCGTTCAGCAGGTCTGGAAGCTACACCCGAGACCGTGAGCCCTATCACCATCGAGACAACGACTATAGCCTGGACAGGAGACCCAGCCATGACCGGCCCCCATATACCTCTGATCGCTTCCCTGACAGGCATCAGCGGGACTTTCAGCTTCTGACGCGACCCAAAGAGGCACTGAATGATCGAATGGGACCGCATGACCCACACCCGAATGAATATCATCCACATTCTGGTCCTCGCAGTCCTTACGATTCTATCCATCCCAGAGATCACGATAACCGAGGACCCGGTCATGCACATATGGATCTTCCGGAAGTGACGGAATACGACCGACCTGCCAACGTAACCGAGGATCAGCGCGAGACGATGAAACAGGCGGCAGAGGAGGCTCGCAAGAGACGCGAGGAGCAGGAAAGAAAGTATCAGGAGTCTCAGGCCAGGGCACGGGCCAGAGCCGAAGAGATGGCCAGAGTTGTAGAGGAAAAGCTGGTCAAGGCAAGAGAGGAAGAAGCTGCAAAGGAATTGGAGCGCCTGGCAAAGCAAAAGGTAGTGGAAGCGGACGAGACCGCAGAGCAGAGCAAGGAGGATGACAAGAGTGCTGCCACGGTGACAGCTGCCACGGCGACAGCCACCATCGTGCCAGAGACAGTACGAGAATTCGGCAATCCACGGGACCGACCTCATTTGAAGACCATGACCGAGGGGGAAAAGAGAGAGGCTATGAACCAGTGGAAGGCGTTGCCGGATCGGCTGGTCAAGGAAGAAGATGAGCGCATCACACGCATCCGGAAAGCACGTCTACAGAAGGCCGAGGAGGAGAAGAAGGCATTGGAGGCATCGTCGATGCCTGCGACTGGCGCCTCATCGACGGGCGGACCATGGAGACGCTCAGGAAATGCGGTCGTTGGAAGGAGTGCTTCTGATACGCCGATAAAAGTAGATGCGAAGAAGCCTGGTACTGATGGTGTTCATATTAGTTCACAGGAGGCTCGTGTGGAACAGGTCGACAAGATCATGCATAGGATCGAAGAGACACTGCATCCCCGCGGTAACACGACCCAGCCCGCGGAGAGCGCCGCCAAGAATGTCCCCGACAACAAGGATACGGTCGAACATGCTGCCCCTGCACCTGAACGCCCAGATATCACGCCTGTAGTCTCCTCAGAGAATACTGCAGAGGACGCTGCCAAATTCCTGCCGCCCAAAGAACGGACGCAACGCAATGGAAAGAACGGCCGCATGGAGAAGAATCAAGCCGAATCTGTACTGTCATGGCGCAAAGAAGAGCCCACACCTGTATCGACAGAAGCCACAGCGCCAGCAGCCGTGCACGAGTCGAGAGATTCTACAAACAAGAACGAGACATCAAACAAACCTGAAGGTCGTGTCGCGGGTGGCAGGATCTCAAGAGCGGCGGCGGCGGCAATTGGCAGGGACAACTATCCAGCCAAGCTTGACGGTGTCAATGGCGTGGCCAAGGTCTCTGACGTTTCCAAGATCCATGCTCGTCTTTCCCAGCAAGCAGCCGGCGATGTGAATGTGAGGCCAGCAGCGGAATACGAGCACGAGGACAAGGCCAAGGCCACCCCAGGATCGCACCTCAGGCCCGATCTGAAAGCCAAGCGGAACTCGCTGTTGAACTCAACTACAGCAACCATATTTCCCAGTGATGTCGAGAAGGCTGCCAAGAACCGCGGTAGAATGAGTTTTATGGTCGACAGTGAGATCGATAGCCCTTCGAGCGATGCAGTGAGCCAGGAAGCCACAATTCAGGATGTGCAGCCTGTCATGGTAACGGCCCAATCTGGGGAGAGCACTATTGTTCCAGTACAGCCATCTCCAAACAATGATGTCCTCGCGAATGACAATGCGAAGAAAGCTTGGGACTCTACGTTGACATCGGAGGCACCAACTGCTTCGAATGCCACACAAGGCATGCCGATGGGACCCAGTGCCATGGCGCCGTTTCCAATGATGATGCCTTTCTACCCCCAGGGCTTCCCCGTCAACGCACCACCTCACATGTACTATATGTACCCGCCCCGCGGACCGATGCCTCCGCCTATTGCGCAGTTTCCAGGTGGTGTTGTCCACCCACATGGATCTGTGGGTGTTTCCTCAAGGGATGGTACCGCTGGATCTGCACCTTCTGCGGGGTCGTCAGATCTTGCGAGCGGGATTGTGTTAGTGGAGACCAAGGCGGAAGACACAAACGTGAATGCCACAAGCAACAGCGCGTCATTCGCCCTTTCACACCCCTGGCTACCTCGATTCTCTGCAGCTGGCGATGCGCCTTCTCAATCAGCAGGCTTGCCGGCTATTACACCCTTCATGGTGCCTGTCCCAGCCTCACAGCAGGCCAGCATGCTTGCTGCTGCCAATGCGAACCGTGTACCTCAACCTCGGCCATACGGCCAGCATCAGCAACATTATCCCCGGCTACAGACCTCAGGACCAGCCTCGCTTGAGACCAGTTTCCAGGAAGGAGCCGCCTCTTCGTTGTCAAAATCGTCAACGGACGGATGGAGCGCCACTACCACGATTGTCTCGGCCAGTACAGAAACGACAGGTCCCTCCAACAGCGGCAGTCGCGGTCATGCTCAAGGATCACCAGGGCCGCCTTCCAATTGGGTTTCTGGAAACGGACGAATGAATACCAATGGCCATGCAGGGGCTGTGGGATCATATGCAGGCTATCAGCAAGCACCTCCATCGCAGTACGGCCATGGGAACTCGAACCATCGTGGTCGGGGAGGTTTTAACGGAGGATATGGGCATCATCGCGAGTTCCGCCCTCGTGGAGGGTATAGCGGCAACCACTCCAACCAGAGCCATCACCATGATTACAATGGGGCAAACGGCCAGGCGCATACATCATACTCTTATGGGCAGCAGGGCGCAGCTGGAGCGCAACAACAGGGACTGGCCCCTTCTGCCTCGGCCGCAACGGGCACAGTCGACTACCCCCATCAATCTCAGGTCCATGGCAGAGCTGTGAGCCAAGAAGGCAGTAACTCCTTCGGACCTTCATATTCGCACAGGTCATCGCATGGTACAACTGCTGCTGCGACCTCGAGCGGAGCTATTCAATATTAAGGTGTTCTTTCATGCAGAGTGAATCCAAACAAATCAGGAAGGTGGTCAGGGACCAGGATACATGGGAAACGTGTTGTTTTTTATTTCTTTCTTGTTCATCTTTTTTTTCTTTTCACTTGTAATCTAGCTGGTTTTCAACTGTTGCTTATCTTGGTCTCTTTGCGTGTTATCGAGTTATCCTTTTTGAGGGGGAGGAGAGTTTTTTGTTCTTTCAAGGACGGACTAATAGGGAATAAAAATGTTTCGTTACTACCACACAGTGTATTTAAACATTTAAGGAAGAAGACAAGTGGAATTGCTAGAGCTGGAGGAAACAATCTGTTGCCTGAGCTGGAGGAAACAATCTGTTGCTTGAGCTGGAGGGTGGTATGTCAAGATATAGTGGTATCTCGGTTTTGTGATTTCGGCATGTTCCTTCATGTACTTGAGCCTAGCTTCATTGTCCTTGAGACTGAACGCTGCGCGATATTTTTCTCAGCGGAATAGCTCATCAAGCACTCGATATTGCTAGTGGGGTTATCAACACTGCCGATGCAGTCGGGGAGGGCATCCTCAAGTCTTTGTTGGCAAAAGAATGATGCTTTACTTTCCGCTTGGAGCGCTCTCAGACATTTTGAGCGCTGAGAAACGATGTCAGCGGTGCGAAGATATAATGGATTGAGGCATTTATGCGAGAAGGCGAATGAAAAAGGAGGCAGGGTCGTCTTGTCCAGAGGGGATAAATGTGACTGTAAAAATCAGAATGTTTGCGCGCACGCGTTCTTAAAGAGAGTGCCGAAGCAGGCTCGCAATGGAATTTACGCCTGAAATGTACTTGTGGATACAAAGACCAGTAGTGGCATGATGTATCTCGCTTTACTTCCACAAACTGTTGTTGGCGCATTTTATCACCAGGCCCCAGGCTATCGACGCGCTAGCAATGTGGTGTCCTCTCAGTCGTTGCGGTACCTCCTTCCTCTGCATAAAAACGGCCAGCAGAAACACACGATACCTAGAACGAACGCGTTCAATTACTGTCGATCAGAGTTGGCCGAAGGCTCCGATGTTGCTATCCAGTGGTATGTGGAATCCATAATGTTCATTTCACCATGCTTCAATGCAAACCATCAATCTGCTTTTTTGTTTATCCGCTTCTGGCATACTTCTTCAAGATAAGAAATCCACTACCGACATACCATGGATTCCAAAAGGCCTGTTTCCCCAAGTATCTTGAAGAAAAAAATGATCTCCATTTGCTGATGATGAGAGATGCGGCCCTTTAAGTTACATGAACTCGAACAGAGATGAAATCAAAGGACGTTATCCTGCAGGTTGCAAATCATGCTTACCAGGTCTTCCAGAAAAAACTATGCTAATGAATTCGATGTCGCAGGGCGCAAACCAAGAATATATAGAAAAGATGACCATACTCAGTACTGCATAGACGGTCATTAAAACATCTTTATCAACGAATACACAGTGTCAGTGGATCCTCCTCGAACGCGGAAGCCAATCCCAGGACTTCCTGAAGAGGATGGAAAGGTGGGTTCTAGGTGCGACAGACGAGCAGGCGCATCATATGGGTCCTTGGCTTGATATCTGCCCGCGTGGGAAAAAAAGTAGAAGGTGTCCATAGTGAGCAAAAGCAATGGGTCTATGATAGTGATAGACGGATGGTAGAAGAACGGTTATGCGCCGTGTACCTGAAGTAACTTCCACATATCGTGTCTATGAGCATGCATAGCCACAAAGCCACGCAGCAAAGTCTCTCTTGGTGCCTGAAACTTTAATTCGGCGTCAGTACGGTGGTCCACATTTATTACCGGAGCAGCTGTGCTGACATCCAAAAAAAAAATAGAAACGAGATAGCAGTACGACGCGGAATGGTAAAATGTTATTTTCTTAAGAGAAAATGGATGATAGCCGAATGAAAGTGATTGTCCGCGGATATTGAGCCCCACGAGCTAGTTGTTTACATCCATCCGTCCTGCAGGCATTAAAAGACATGTGCATCATTACCATGCGCGATAGCAATTTCACCACAGTACCTTATTCATTGACTTCGCATTTCTGTGCTCCACACAATCAATGCCACGGTGTCGCTGTACGCGGCTTTGCGCTAGAAGGATAGTCTGCGGATCCCAAGCTTGCGGCGAGTAAGGTGACAGATACTGTTCATGACGCCCTCTCCCAAAGACATACCCACCTGAAATCTACAAAAGGCAAAGATGAATGCGAATTGGAGAGCAGTATCGATTTCTGTTTAAGTAAAAAGTCATGGAAACAGATGCATAAATGGGAAGGGCGCCCTATTCTGTTCTTTATTCCCTGCGGATAAAATGTCTCGTACGCCTTTTGTCGTTCCTTCTGAACATGTCAGTTTCATGTGCAAAATATTCCTATAATAGACTGAAATGCGATACTTTTTTTCAGAACTCGACTTATTCTCATTATGTGTATTTTATCAGCTATAAAAAAATAAATAGACCTAGAAAATACGTAACGCTGTTCGCCTCGATCCTCAAGATCTCTTTGACCTTTTTCCGTCGAAAACAGGGCGATGATACCCCGACCAGGCTGTGCGCATGCCGACGTGCGATGTAAAGTGTATCCAATCGGTGTCATTGCTCCAGTTTTTATTCTTCGGCGCATATTTCAAGTACAAGATGACCTTGACCTTTCCGTTCTACACGCCTAAAGACTCAGGATTCAGAAAAGAAAAAAAAAGCAGCAAGCTACTGTGATGTTAACAGAATCTCCTTGAACAACTTCAAGAACGGCAACTTTGCAGCACCAAGACTTTATTGAGCACCAGGAGCATATAAATTAAACAATTGCTCATTCCATAGGTGCGCATTCCGCTTCTCCCTCACCCTTCAATTCGTGCGATATCAGAAAATCAGCTTGTGAACGGCGCTATGCTGGCGAAAGTAGAAACAACGAATGTTCCAATACCCTGGTGGACATTTAGGGATCCGTCATGCTCCACGCTTGTAAATACATGAAGTGGAAATCCTAGTCGCCGCCGGAAATCGCTAGCTTTGCGCGATGTATTGCTTCTTCTTCCTGGCCATTATCGGATATCAATACAAGCACCACTGTACACTGCATAGTTAGATTCATTACTACTGCTCTTGCTCTACGAGAGGATTCAATGAACGCTCTCCTCGTTAGTGGCTTCCACAGGTTCCAATGGAAAACTCTCTCCGCCTCTTGCCCAGCACGCGGATCATCGATATTTGGCGTGATTAAAAGTATTGTAAAGCCTTCTCGCGCTCTTACACTGTTTTCCTTGGATGAAAAGCTATTCTAGCGTTTAAGAAACAGAAAAATATTGGTCCTCTGAGATATTGACTTTGAACATATATAGCATAACAGGAAAGGTCTGGCATCCTTTTTGATGGTCTTCATTTTTCAAAGCACCTTTCAAATCGAGACGGGTTGTCGTTTATGGTGCTACATCCCAACGATTTACAGGACGCTATTATTAGGTGCGCAATCAAGAACGCCTCTCTTGTGCATATGTGTTATTCACGCATCGCAGGGACGCTGTAGGTTAAGTCTAATTCATACGACTAAAGTGGGTAAATACATAGCCATGTTCTGCCAATACTTGATCGTATTTCTCAGGATATAATACGTGAGTCGCTGGCTCACTCGTGTACGTTACTGGTTACATGCGTCAAGGATTGTCTTGCCAACAATACTAGCGCCATCAAGAGAAGGAGCTTAGAAAGGGCTTTTAAAGAAATACCGATAAAAGCAGACTCTGTCTTTTTTTTTTTTTTTTTTTTTTGTCCGCAGCCGGTTTTCCAGGAGAGAATGCCAATCAGACATGTCCTTAATGATAGACCGTCCGAACCGTTGTTGTTGTTGTTGTTCACAAAAGTCACATAGAGCATGTATGTATCGGATGTTTTTATTACTTGTGTATGGAATGTAATACATGGATGAATCCCCCAATTACCCGCCTTTTTCCTTTGCCTGAAGTACACCTCCATCGCTACAGTTCCTTTTAGTAGCGCTCCTCATAAAAGTTGGCCTGGCCGTAGGGTCCCGAAGCAGGCGAGTTGCCATTAAACCGCTGCTGGCCATACAATCCACCGCCGGCCATCTCATCCTCGCCCAACAACTCCTTGACCTCCCACACGTTCTGCTTCGATCCGACCGAGAACTCCAGATCCTCTTTCGTGATCGAGTCCCAGTACTTGTAAACCATCATCACACTCAGCAGCGTCGCGATCGTGCCAAAGAACAGTCCGTCGATGTAGTGCTTCGCAAAGTTGCAAATGTTCAGCGAGAACACATACAGGATCACCTGTCCTGTCGCAAAGAAGGCGATGCCGAACACAATATCTCCCAGAGGCCAACGATCGTCCAGCGTGTTAACCACGAGCACAATCTGGAGGATCACATAGATCAACAGAGCGGCACCGTTGAAGATAAAGAAGACAACCCACAGTGCAACAGGGTGAAGAGGGTCGAATGGTCCCAGTTTCTCAAAAGTCGCGATCGACAGGAATGTCACTGCTGCAAACACGATAAACGAAGAGATGCGGATTGACTAATCAAGATAGAAAGAAAGAAAGAAAGAAAAAAGCAAGAGAGAAAAGCGTTAGCCTCTGCCATTTAACTTGACGCCTTCCAGTTCTTGGCTCCAATGTCATTCCGACTTACCCAGAGCGAAAGGGGTGTTCCGTCCTCAGCAAACTGGAATCCGACAAATCCGTTGAGAAGCAAACACCAGAATGTCGCAGATATGAGTCCCATATGTACGCCAGCAAAGTACTAAACAAAGGCAAATCCAATCGTATCGTGAACGCTATTAGAAAAATATTCCACAAAACAATTCTAAAGCGTGCAATTGTCCTTTAAGTGTCCTCGTCAACTGCTCCCGTAGGTCGGCTTACAGGATAGAGGGTGTTGGCGGTAGGAATGATTCCAGAGATGAGAAGCAGGTCCATGACGGTCACGAGCATGTACAGATAGAAGAACATAATGATTTCCTTGCGACCTAGAAGAGCCATGCAAAAAAGCCATGATAAGTGAGTTCAAGGACCGTGGCAAAAACATAAGACGAACATAAAGTGTTCCAAGGCTGCTGCTTTGTCCTTACCGACGGCGGTATATTTTGACCGGATATGGTAGATCATAATGGCCGTCATGACCAGGGCGATGATATGGATGATCAATGTTGCTGTAAGCATTCACAATCAAAAGCAAAAGAACTTGTATGAGAAAAAAAAACTTCCCGTTGGCATAGCCATAATACAGCCGAATCCCATCGTTACTGAGTTCAATTGAAAAAAGAAAACTTACAAGGCTGGAAAATCAGCGTATCCGCAATCTTGACGTTACGCGAGTAACAAAGAGGTTCAATGCCATCTTTGTCACCCACCAGCGGACACAGTGTGAGCGAGACTCGCGAGCAGATGTAGTTGAAGTTGCCGAAAGCAAAGTTGAGATCCAGCTGTGTCGTCGACATGGTCGTTATTCTGCTGCTGCTTGCTGTCTATTAGCTTCCGTTTAAGATATGCACTGCTTGTTGTTTGAAAGTGGAGAGCCAGCAGAGTGCCGAAATGCAAAATGATGCTGGATTCTAAAGGATTTTCGGGCAGGGGAAGGGGTTCTTGTTAGATACAAGGGTCGTTAAATGATAATGGATGGTGTAGGAGGGAGAGTAACGTGCAATATCCGGGTCAGGTCTAGAGGGGTATAGGATTTAAGAATGGAACGCCGGAATGCTGTTGGCGTGACAAGATGGACTTGATGCTTGATGAGGAGCTGAGAGAAAGGAGTGAGAAACAGCAAAAGGTGCAAAAAAAAAAGGCGTTGCTGTGTGGAGTAAGCTGAATACAGGTCGCTAGTCTGGGCTGGTTGCAGACTGCTGAGACCGATGTGATGATGCTGGCTGCCGTTGGAATCGGCTGTATTTAAGAGATGAGCGAGCTTACAAGAAAGGACCGACTGAGTAAGAGAGGGAGCGAGTGGATGGATACAAGAGGGTTGCCAGCCTGGGCGTGTGGGTCAGAATATCGGCGGAGGGTGGAATGAGAACGCTGTTTCTGCACACTCGGCAGGAGGGAGACATACAACTGTGACCGAAATCCGATACTATCCTGGATGAAGGCTGAAAGAGTGAGCAAAACGGTTGCGAGGGTGGGGTGCGGAGAGGGTGGAGGAAAGGAAAGGAAAGAGGCAAAGTGGAGCGAAGAAAGGGGGGGGAGTGAGAGTGGAGTGTATATAAAGAGGGCAATTGGGGGTCGTACCTGGCGGACAACTTTGATTTCTTTTGTCCTGAATATGCGTCGATCTCTCTGGTTTTTGGGTGAGACGTGGTGGAGACAGAGGACAGAGGGAAAGGGGGGAAAGTGAAGGAAGAGAGAGAAAGAGAGACAGCGAGAGAGACTATAATTACCTTTGCTCGGTATGGGGATTAAAATCGACCTCGTCCTATTCTTGGGTTTCGGTATCCGCATCGTCTCTCCCTTCCTCATCTCTCTCTCTTCTTTCTCTTCTCTTTCTTCTCGCTTCTCTCTCTTCTTTCGCTCCACGCTCACCTCTTTTCACTCCACTCCACTTCTTCCTCAAACAAACTGCAACGGAAATGGTTCCTTTACATTTATTATTATTATCACCAAATAAATTTGGCTGGTCTTGGGTTTAGCAAGCCTATTTATAGCCCATAAATAAAAAATAAAATGAGTGTGGCTAGCGCTAAAGGACGCCATTCGCGACTGGGGCCCATGCTCACCTTACAAGAGACATTCGTGTCATATCGCAGCATCTCCTTTTGTTCGTGCATCAACCACAACTAATGCACCCCATCATGCGGACAAAGAATCTGGTTGTGGCACATTCACGCTGCGTGGCACCTGTGCTGTACCATCATTTTGCCTCTTCATCTCTCTCACTCGTTTTCATCACTAACTTTGTTCGGCACTGCACATTCGACTTCATAAGGCTATGGTATCCAAATATACGTCCCTCGCCATATCAACTCATGATTTCCGGCAACAGATAACCACTTTAATAAATAACGATAATAAGAATAATACTGGTAATAAGGATAATAGTAAGAATTACTGTGTGTATATAAGGTCCCCTCCTCTTTCTCGTCTTTTTTTTCTTTCTCTTTTTGTCTCCATTTGAGATGCTGATAGTACAGAACACGACGGATGCATGGAAACGCCGCTACATAATAAGGCAGCAGCATCCCTTCTCATCCTTGGCGTCCATCTGGTTGCCGTAGCCCTGTCCCTGCTGCGAATATCCATAGCCTCCGTTCGACGGTTGGCTGTGCGCCTCCTTGTTGAAGCGACGGATCTCACGCACAAGGTTGTAGAACGACTCGTCCACATTGATCCTTTGCTTGGCTGACGTCTCGATCAGGCGAGAGTTAAACTGCTTAGCCAACTCACGACCCTCTATTAAAGAACAACAACGAGCGTATGGTGCCACATAGCCATGGTTAAATTCCCGAAACTAGCACATGTATATGCCCCGAAAAAGAAAAAAAAGAGTTGCTGTTCATACCATGGGTTGACACCTGACGCTCGTGCTCTAGATCACACTTGTTAGCGACGAGGATGATGGGGAAGAAATCCTTGTCCTTGACGCGCAGGATCTGCTGGTAAAATGTCGAGATCTCCTCAAAGGAATTGCGCGATGTGATCGAGTACACCAGCAAGAAGCCCTCACCCGTGCGCATGTACTGCTCACGCATCGCACTATCATACAATTATGCATACGATTGAAAAAAAGAAGAGATGCGAGTTCAATGTCGTTAGAAAAGCTATTCAACGTCTGTCTATTCCCATAACACGCGTTTCGTTCTACGCACTCTTGTCTTTTTTCGCTCTTGCTTTCGTCTCTTGTTTGTATATATCTTTTTTTTTTTTTTTTGCCCATCAGCTCCATCATTCGATTCTTTTATACGGCAAATAAAATACGAGAGAGAGCCCATCTCCATATCAAAATACGATATGAGGGCTGCAAGGTGCGAGCGGCTGCGGCCACTCACTCATGGTTGAAGACCGTCTTCAGTGCAGAGAGAGAGAAGGGGGAAAAAAAGGGCACTTCCAAGAATTCAGGCACACACTGTGCATCGATATGGACATTCACTCTCAATTTTCAATTGCGACCTTGCCCTAGGATCCTGTTGTCCTTACCTGTACTCCTCCTGGCCAGCAGTATCGAGCACATCAAGAAGGGCCACCTCTTCATCAATCACGCATTGCTTGCGGTAGGAATCTATTAAAAGATCACACACACACGATAACAATAAGAACAAAAACGTTCAGTAAAAAAAAAAATCCCATTTCATCTTTCCAGACGTCATGTCTACCAAGTGCGCAACATACCTTCAATCGTTGGATCGTATTCATCCACAAAGTGTGACTGAATAAACTGGATGGTCAATGCTGACTTTCCAACACCTAGTTTGCAAGCGACGTGGAAAAAAAAAGTGTCGGATGTTAGTTGCATATAGTTGGTACGGTTTGGTCAAAAACGAGAATTTGGTTGGGACCCAAAAGGGTGGATTCACAGTCGTCCATCAACTTGTGCAACAATCATCGGTCTGCATCTGGTGCGCATTGGCAGGCTATTGACAAATACTATGATAAAGCGAACGAAAAGAGGGCATTTGGGCAATTGTGAAGAAATGGAGTGCAGCTGGTGCGGCAGATAGGCAAAAGCTACATGCAGGAAAAAGAAGTAAAGGTGAGACGCCCAAATATGGCGAAGGGATGCGGAGGGGAGGGGGATCGCATATTAAGAAACGAAAGGAAGAAGGCCTCTGGGGGAGGGGGAGGCGTTATAGGGTAAGAACAGTGACAGTAAGGTAGCGAGCAGTAGTACCTCCTCCACCGACGACAACGAGCTTGTACTCGCGCATAAGCTGGTTGGGCTGCTTTGACGACATTGTGTGCAAGGGTGTTCTGTCAGGTCAACGATCAAGGATGTGCAAGGGGACAAGGTAGGAAGATATGGTTTTAGGGCTTTGCTGACGTAGGAGGGAAAAATGGCGAGAGAGAGAGAGAGGAGAGAGGTATAAGAAGGGAAGATGAGGGGCAAAGATGGTGAAGAGGGGGAAGGATGGGTGGAGCAGAGGGGAATGATGATGATGATGAAGAGTGGGTAGTGGGGAGGGGGAGGCGGAACAACAGAGAGAGAGAGCACTCAGCTCTTCAAACCATAAAAAAACCATTTTGTGTACCATGTTTACCATATTTACCATGTTTACCATGAAGACCTGAGTCTTGAATCCTGTTCTGTACAGTCCAGCTGTTAAGTTCTTCTTGCCTGCACAACCCATTTGAAGTCATTGTCAGACCTGCAACGCTACAACTGACTGGAATGAACGTTCGACTAGCATAAAAAAGGAGCGCGGAATCGTCGGCAACCAAGGTGGTAAAAAGAGGTTCTTCTGTTGCGCAACCCTGCATTCAAATTCAAGCTCCAGCAAAGGGGGAAACCAAGCATTCGAACATCACAATGTGTCGATAACAATGATGGAACGGCTACAGTAGTGTCAATGCCGTAGACAGCGCCCAAAGCTCAGTGACAGTCTGCTCCATGTCGACGAAAAATTGGTCGTTTTTTCTCTGTCCGCTAAATTATCTGCGCATAAATAGTGCATGGTCGCTTTCCCTTTTGTGAGCTGAGGGAGGACAAGAAGCATCGCGTAATCCGTTCTTCCCACAATGTGTATCTGTTACATGCACAGGCATCATCTCATGTGTGCTCTTTTTTATCGTTTAGTTGGCTTTGCTGCTATTTTACGTCTGGAAAACTAGTCAGGGGGGACAATGAGTATGGTATGAGCAAGGCGGTGGCGGTGTCTGAAGGGTTTCAGGCTGTGCATGGTAACCGCATTTCCTCTAGAGGAAATGAACCAAGAACCCGGTATAATATCATGGCACATCGGCAGTCCACTCCAACACGACGACAAAGAAAACAACATCGTCCTCACCGTCGTCATCTTCATCCACATTGCCATCTATCTGCGCTTCAATTCGTGAACGAGATCGACTCTTACATACAAATCGCAACGGCTGGTCCTCTAATATTCTGTCCATCCGAATCGACACCACCATGCGCGCCTTCCGCGTTTCGAAGTCCGTAAAGTTGTTGAAAAAATCGCCCGCGATCATCAGATCCGGATAGAACATCGTCTCTTGACGATGCTGACTTGACATGAAGAATCTTCTGCGTTGATATGGTGACAAATCCTTTTCATTTCCCTCATCCTGCGTCGTCTGTGCTCCCAAAGACCATTGGTTCGCTACTACTGGCACAGTCGAAGATGTCGATGTTGATACAGATGCTTCTGGAGGCATTGGACCTTCATACAATGGCGCACATGTATCACCTCCTGTGCTCGATTGCCTTTGTTGTTGTGCATGATTCGCGCCCTGGCCATGATCTGTCCAACCCCTTGTCTTTGATAAAAGGTTTACACCGGCCTCCTCTAATCTGCTCTGTCCAAAAAATCTCCACGAACCCACGTTTCTTGAACCAGAGATTCCTTCATTCTGCTCACCATTCCTATCAAGACCAGGTGCTGCTGCGGACTCTTCGACTGGCATCCAAACGCGCAATACATTCATAGCGGTCACCAGATAGCTCCCTATCCAGGGACGCTTCTTTTTGCTGATTGCATCTGCGATAAAAGATGGGTCGATCAAGCGTACAAATCTCACCGCGATTGGCAATCCTATTGGTAGTTTCACACCCTTCTCCACCTCGGCAACAAATAGAACATCGTTTGCGCTCCACAATTTGTCATGACGTACACAGTTTGTCGCCATGAACCGGCCTAAGAAAATATGAACGAAGATTGCTTTTGATTAAAATGGCATCAACCGAAGTATCATGTATGTGACCATGACCGGAAAAGAGCCCTCGAGTACCTTGCCACTGCAAAGAAAAGAGCCTGGAGCGGTCATCGAAGTACGAGCAGGTTTGGGAGCCGTCTTTGGGAGAAGCTGGGCGATGGTTGCGGATCCTGACTGTGATGTAGCCTTCAAAATGTTCCGAGGATACAAAGACCGGTTCCGAGTCTGTGTTGACGAGGCATGGCTGGAGGGACACAGAATGTCTGCTTGGTCCAATTTTAACGGCTAGAGGCATGTGAAGATACGTTTGCAGTCCTGGATGACGAAAGTCAAACCAAGAGGGAAAGAAAGTATGAGGGTGTGCTGGAGGAAATCGAAAGAGAGACAAAGTTACATTTTGCGCCGTTTGTGGTGAGCAGCCAGGGACGTTGAGCCAAAAAGCCCATTAAAACGAAATGGATAATTGCTGATAGATCTCTAATTGAAGGTAGACTAAACATGATCGAGAGACGGCGATCGGACTGCCGGAGGACCTTTCTGGTTCGAAGAGCAAGATAGGCCATAGTACTGCGTCGACTGCCCATGAGGCTGCAGCAAATGCCACAGTGAACAAATCGAACTTTTGTGCCTGCTGTTTCGTTATATAAAGATGTGGAGGATGGGCACTGACAATCTCAGGATCTGTAACACGTGTGTGTATGTGTGTGCACAGGGATCACCGAGCACTCAGAGGGCGGTGCCAAGCAGAGGATTCTTAGGAGCTTCCAACTGCTGTGTGTAAATATTATTGGTCAGGCAGAACATCGTCTTGCATTATGGCTCTGACCTATGAGATGGTATACCCTCCTCTTTGCATGCTCTGGATGGATCCGCAAGAACGAACGAACGAACCAACGGAAGAACGAACGAACGGACGAAGGCTCTCGTTGTTTTGATTTGCGTGCATTTATTTTACTAATGCACGTTTCGGTTAGCTATCGGTCGAGAAAAAAACAAATTGATGCAACTCCACCCGGAAAGGTTCGTGGGTACTGACATGATGGAAGCCGCAAATGTGTATGTTTGGAATGACATGAATGGTGCTTATCAAGCGGGTTCGCCGTGTTTCTACCAAAAGTGATCTTATGGACGTTCGTGTACTGTGCACTTTGCACGCTGTGCAATATGTCGATGTGTCGCAGTGCGAACAAATAAGATTTTGCCCGCTCACAACGTCCTCCCAAATTTCCGCGTGGGCGGTACCTGGTTTTAGCCCTGGCGGATATACTTTGAGACACTTGAATAGGGTTTATTGCGATAAAACCAAAACATGGGCTTGCATCCGATTGCGATGTGCATTTTACCTTTTGTAGACCCCTCTACAGCGCACCAACCTGCCTACCCAGACGGGAGGAAGGGACGAAAGAAAAAGAATCGAAATTAGTGAGCCTGCCCCATGCACGAAAACGGCCACTGGGGCCAAGGCCTGACCTGCGCATGATTGGTGGACGGTCTGGGAACCAAGAGGTTCTTTTCATTCTCGCAATCGGTGGGTGAGCTGGCCAAAGGGTCGAAAATGAAGAGAGCTCTTTCGAGGAACCCAGCGCCGTCTTAATGACTACTGTATAGCATAATTGTTTTCATGCACGAGAGGCCTACCCTGCCCCATCTTGCCTTATCCTTCGTCTTGCTTTAATTGCTCTTGATCTCTACTGATATTGGCTGCTTAAGAGTCATGGCTCTCAACTTCCCAAGAAACATTTTTCGTCTTTATTTTCTCTGTGCAGGAACAAAAATGTGATTTCTTAACACCGCACGCATAGGGGATAGACCGCGCATATACCCTACGACTTTCACCTGATGCTCACTCGTTTCTACTTTACGATTCAAACATGTCTGCCTTTCGATGCATCAAATGGCCCTTATTGTGTACGGTCCTTGTTTCGACCCTTCAAACACCACTAGCTCGAGGACAGTGTACAGTGTAACGGGGTCCATGTTTGTCAAAGGCGAGCCAAATACGGGTTGTTTGCCACTGCAAGTGTCTACTTGCAGAACAGACATCTCTGTGTTTCGTTTGTGTCCATATGATTGCTGTTAGCAGATTAATTAAAGGTGCAGGAAGCCCTTGTCGCTGCCAGTAATATGAATCCGGAGGAATGACTATCTGCAAAAAAGGTTGAAACAGCAAAAGCTCGCAGGAAGATCCCTGTATGATCATTATCACAACCACATCTGTGGGAACATCAGCCAACATCTCGGTACCAGATATGTGCAGTATATTATTGCGCGTTATAGTTTATATGTTTTAAGATGGCGTCGATCGAGATGATAAGATCTTCTCCTCTCTCGTCCTATCTCTTTGATGGGGCTGTTAGGTGAGCTGTGAGGCGAGGTGGACGCATCGCTAACAATTGCGGCATTAGCCATACATATATATATATATATACACACACGCTTTTCTTGCTACTCGAACCCGAGGAGCGAGGGGGCCACCGCAGGGAAGAACAAGGCAATTGATTTTGATGATGATGCTGATGGGTGAGCAACAACAGAAACAGGTTATGGTGAGAACGAAACGAGAGCTCGATTGATTGAGAGCATCAGAGAACTCTAATAGTTTTCGCAAAGTGTATTTACACTCTGAACGGTTGAACCCATCCTGGTCCGACCGACACCTCCGCCCATTTCTCTCATTCGTAGCCCGTCGATAGGCTGGCGGACTGTCTGGCGGAGCAATCAAAAGTTGCCATAGCATACGTTCTGGGGTGCAGCTGCAGCTAAAAAAAAAACAGCCAGGCGTTGGGCGGGCTAGTAGTAGACTACTGGCGCTGCGGGATGCAGCCACATGCACATGCAGGCTGCTGAATTGTGAAGTAGTGGGGAGGGAGCATTAAAGACAACATGGGGAAGAGGACTAAGAAGGGTATAGCGGAAGGCGAGCAACAACAACAACAACAACAAGAACAACGATGAAAGAAAGAAAGAACAGGTGTCTTTCTCTTCTCTCGCTCCCCCCGGCCCCTCTTTCCTTCTTCTCCTCCTTCTCCTTCTCTCTTTTCTCACTCCCTCTCTCTCTCCTTCCTCTCTCTCCTCCTCTCGCCCTCCCCGCTCCTTTCCGCTCTCTCCCTCCCCCACACTGGCCAATTGCCGCTTTGTCCTGTCTTGTTTCACTCCTGGTCATTCCTTCCCTTCCTCCCCGCCCCCACAAGCCGAGTTTCAGGAACAAGAACAAGAACAGCCAACGCCAACGCCACCATTCCATTCCTCTCTTCATTCCTTCATCCTCATTCCTTTCTGCTTTCTCGTATTTTTTTCTGTTTAATGCGTCTCCACCTGTGTACTACTACTACTGCTACCCCCGCCATTTCCACTGCTGCCGTCTCTGTTGCTGCTGCCCACTACCTTGCTCCTCCATCATCACCCGGCTTTCGATGAGCAGCGTCTCGTTTTATTTTTATTTTGCTGTGCGATTTTTTTTATCTTGATTTTCATTATCACGCATCATTGACCTTGGGCCCGAGAACGCTTCTAGGGATCTTATCTCCTCCTGCTCCTCAGCACGCGTTAACCCATCTCATTTATACCCGGAGCTCTCTCTCTCTTTCTTTCTTTCTTTCTTTCTTTCATCTTCCATACCCCTTTCATCCCACTTTTTCGTCTCAAACAAAAGTGAACCAGCGCAGCTCATTGTATAGACATTCATTCATCTGCCCCCGTTCACTGTTGCATATCTCACACCCACTCTCCATCCGCGAATGACATTGGCGTCGACCTCTCCCTCCTCCTCCTCGTCGTCTTCGCCAGTAGAAGCCTCAACACCAGCACAAATTACACGTGCTGCCCTCGCCTTAGGACCATCCCTTGTTCCAGGTTCTCACACTAACACCGACACGCTCCACGAGACACAGCATCCACACCCGCTGTCAAGTCCTTTTCATTCAAGTCATCCTCAAGGTCAACTATCGCATCCTCTGATGGGCCCTGTGCATCCTATTCACACCTCGCACCCGTTGCAGCCTGGCCAAACCCTGGCGGAACAGGCTGTTAGACCCGAGGTAGCCTTCTCTGGCTTGGCTATCCTCTCTCCGGTGTAAGTACAGTACAACTTTTTGTTGCTTTTAAAGGATGTTTTTAAAAAAGATATCGTCGCAGTTGTATTTCGGCGTTAGTTGCTATTCATGGGGTTAGTCCTGCGTGCAATTGCGCGTGCTTGGCATTGAGTGGTGCTCTTTTTTTCGTATTTTAATGGGCGTTCGGTGCTGCATTAAGCATTCTGCTCGTGATGCATTTATGAACAATGTTCTTATAAATCTGCTATTCATATCTGTGTTGTTGTCAGTGTGTGTGTGTGTGTGAGGATGTATGTGTTTGTGCGCGCTGTTGGGTGTTAGCCCCGAATTCTCATTGGCTGACCGGTTTATCGGCGTGGAAGAGATCATCATATCCATCCTCCAATCCAGTCCAATCCCAATCGAGTGTCCGTGAGAAGAGTCTCTTAAGTCAGATCACGGGTTTCCCTGTTACTTTTGCCACCAATCTCACTGGAAGACAACTAACGTATCTCCTCTCTCCCGCTGACTTCCTGCCACCAGGACGGACCGTCCCCCCTACCACCAGGCCCGGTACGATGCTGGATACCAGTCCACTGAGCAGGCCTATGCACAGCAGTTTGCCAGGTATGGTGCACTCGAGGGCCACCTCAGCAACGAGATGAGGATGACCATCGCTCTCTTTCTCTATCTACCTCTTTTGAATATGTGCACGTTCACTACCTTTGCAGCTCTTTTGTACCTGACCGAGCCATCTGCTTCAATCTCTCTCTCTCTCTCTCTCTCTCTCTCTCTCTCTCTCTCTCTCCCTCTCTCTCTATCGCTCTTTCTATCCCCGCAGACCCGATCAGGATGCAAATGGCCATCGCTACAGTCTGCCATCCTTCCCGCAAGGTGTGAGCAGAGCCGATAGCGACCCCTCATCGGCCTTTCACTCGTACGCGTACGTCCATATTTATTACGGCGTTGAGCTATTCACGCTAATACGATATAGATACGGTCCACAAGATTACTTCCGCGGTTCTAACCTTCAGTGCCCTATCTACTAATACTAGCTCTAACACAGATGGTCCTATCATCCACCACCGCAATTCAATTGCTGGCTCCACTCTTCCTAACACCGTCGTACGAGCACGCCGAGCTGGTTCCTTGGCCATGGTCGAAGACGGCCCTTTCTTTTCCAACACAAAGCAATTCTACAACATCTACAACATGAGCCAAACTCAATCGTACGTTGATACCCAGCTCACTTCTCATTCGTCGTCCACCGTGCTAACTGTCCTGACCATACTCTATGCCAAGGTGAATACGTTTTTTGTCACCGCCCAACTCACCGATACCCATATCTGCCCTGAATGTTTACAGGTTCAAGCTGCGCGTGATGGCAAGGATCGATCGCGGTTTCTTCACAGCAAACAAGATCTGGACCTGCTATCGTCGAAATTACTTCCAAGTCAGCACTGCCTACAGCATTCTAGGCTTTGACTACTCGCAGGAATCTGAAGTACCATGCCTCGTCGAGCTGAAAGATCCCATGCCTGGCCCTACCGACGACCCCCATTTGCAGGATGACTTCAACTCTCAACGTGACCCTGGTGCTATGATCGGATCTTTGGACAACCTCCGGCTAAACGACAACAACAGCGCCGGCACTGGAACTTCTCGATTAGCTGTGGTGACAGGGTTCTCCATTACCATCACTTCCAAGATCGCTAGCACCGACAAAAAAATCGATCTCATCCAGCACACGCCCAAGCGTGACAAGGGTCCTCAAATCGTCCCTGGTCTTCGTCCGATTCGGGGAGGGGGAACTCTGACCCTTGCTGGAGCAAGTACAAACCAGAACGTCGTCACTTTTGAACGTGTTCAATTCAAGACAGCAACTGCCAACAATGGGAAGAGACGTGCAGCTCAGCAGTTCTACATCCTAATGGTGGACCTGTACGCGCACACGGAGGATGGTCAGGTCTTTATGGTGGCCTCATCACAATCGGACTCGTTGGTCGTAAGAGGAAGAAGCCCAGGTCATTACATCGATACTCCTGAAAGAGACATCATCACGCCGGGTCCTGGTTCCGTAGGTGAAAGACGCCTTTCAACCATCAGCCAGCACAGCACCCACCCGTACCACGCCCATTACCCGGGGCCTCATAGTCGAAGCCATAGCATCAGCGCAGGCGCCGGTATGAGTGTCGACGTGAGTTCCCTGGGTCTTGGTGTGGACGGTGGACCACTCTCACCCATGTCGCCAGGCACCGCGAGCGAGTACAGCCCTACCACGGGACAGTCACAGTCATTCTACCATTATCCTAACCAGCATACCTGGACGGATGGCTCTTCCATGTCATCGCCTGCCTCTACGTACGACGGCTCTGCATTCTCATCGCCCACAACAGCCTATCCTTCGTTTCAACAGTACCCTGGTCAGCATTCACCTCAGGAGCATCCACATCAATCGTACTTTCCGCAGCGGCAGAACAGCTTCGGTTCCATCACTCCTCGACTGATGATGGGATCCACAGGACTCAGTCCCAGACACCCGTTTGACAGCCAACTGGAGCCACCGCTCGAGAATTCACATGAGAACGAGAATCCAACGCAAGGTTACTATCAGGCCTACAATGGTTCACCATCAGGTCATCCACCAACTTCCGCATTGCAGCAAGGACTCTCGGGTGGATACACGAACCTCGCGTACCAGCGCGGCAACCATCCTGTCCCTGGCGGCCATGACATTGCCTCTGGTGCGCTTTCAGACCACACTTTCATTAAGCAGGAGAACCACGACGGCTACTTTCCTCACCTAAACTCATTCGCGCACCCATCCGCCCATCCATTGAGTGAAGCTGGCATGGGCGCGGAGCCAACTCCTTCTTCAACAACCGCCTCATCTGTCTCGTCTTCGTTTGGGTACCAAGTCCATGAAATGGGGCCGGATGGACACCCACCCACCTTGCCCGAGAATGGCCTCTACGAGGGACCATATAGAAATGGGGCACCCATCCCACAATACGTTCACCACAGCGCGGCATAAGGGACCATGTGGTCCTTTCTCGAGATAGCCATTCCCGCAGCAGCAGCATTAACAGCAGTTGGGAATGAACACGAGCATCAGAAGGCTGTGGCATGGACCTCATTAGATGACTGAGGCAGGAATATCACATCTGTACAGGGCAGCCTTTTAATTTTCAATACACAACAATCTCCATTCAGTTTTCTTTATTCTATGCGTTCCAAAGAGCAGTTTGATGGATCTAATTATGCTGACAAGATAATGTTGCGGCCCCACATGCTGTGGTGGTATTCAGAAAAGGGCTGCACTTACAAGAGCAGCTCCACGAAGGTATTGTCGATCCAGCGATCAAATTTGTATCCGTTCTCCCTCATGGTACCGACCACTCTGAATCCGAATTCAGCAGCCAGGCGAAGGCTTGCCTCGTTGCCTTCACTGATGCTTCCTGTAGAAGAGAGACGTGTATTTGGGATATGTACGAAGAACGTTAGCAACAGTCTGATATCCCTGAATACAGATCGATCCATGCAAGAGAAGTTATTGCCCACTTACCAATAATAGCATGAAACTTGCGCTCATTTGCCTCTACCAACAGATCCTTGAGCAAAGACCTTCCCAAACCACGCTTGCGATGCTCGTGGTGGATATACAAAGAATACTCAGCAGTGCTATAAGTAACAGACAGTTGAGACACTCGTTAATCCCAAATGTCCTTTTTGTTCAAGGGCCATAATTGAAAATGGGCTAGCAGTTCAGCTCCTTACAATCGATATCCGTCCTTCTGTCTGAAGCTGCCCAACGATGAATATCCAGCAACAACATCCTTGTTATCGACAAGAGTTGTGGCAACCAGGATGGGATATCCGCCTGCGATCGTGCTCCTGAACCATGCCAGACCATCCTCCTCTGAGCGTGGACCGTAGTTGAAGTTGTTGACAGAGACCCCAATCTCATAGTTGACAATGGCATTGATTCCGAGGGAATCCGCCTCCGTTGCAGGGCGGATAGTGTACTTGGGTACGGTGCTGGAGATCTCTGCCATCGCCTGAAAAGTTGTTTGTGGAATGAGGAAAAGAGATCAACCTCAGGGTCCGTATTTTAATAGAAAGGGGAAGAAATTCGATTGGCTAAAGGTTCTTGGGGATGCACCTGATAAGGAGAAAGATGACTCGATTTGTATGCTTCCTGAACTCCACTCCATCCATCCGAATCAAATCCTCCGGGGAATCGCTATCATCAATCACCATCCGGAATTATAGCTATCATCATTACGAGTCAGAGGCTGCAGCAGGAGCAAGGAAAGCAGCAACGGGCGTCAAGAAAAGAGGTTGCATATCATGTTTGTCGACGACGGGTCATGGGCCTCCAAACTCCATATTAAAGATAAGGCTCAGGGAACCGCCCAGGATTTCATCGCCATTATCAAGGTTAGTTATTTTTATTCACGCACCGCCATTTTCAACAGTAAATCGACAAAGGTCGACAGCTCCATTCTTATCTTTTCACCTATCCCTTTGTGCAACTCCATCGTACACCCGACCATCGCCGGCGTCTGTGTTCTCCGCTATTATTCTCGCTCCCTCTCCGACATTTCGGATTGCTTGCTAATACCTTCCTACTCCACAACTGTATATTCCACGGCTTTTCTTCTAGGCCGCAAATATCGATGGGGAGCTTACAGAGGTAGGGCTGAAAGTCAAATAAAGGTGATTCATCAAACTATCTCTGACGCAGTATCACTCACTTGGACAAAGCGGGAATGATTTTCCCATCTCATGGATGGTATAGACCCTGTCGGAGACCGCCAGACACTTTTCGGTGCTCGAAGGGACCATGAAGAACACACGTCAGGTATGCAGCGGCACTCTATTACCATTCAGCCAGCGGTAGCACTGAAAGTCGAGCGCCACTGTCTTCCATCGAAAGTAATTGCTAAGTACTAATGATCGATCGACCTGTGTCTGTCCATGTTTCTAGAACGTAATCAAGTTGGCCCATGTGTTAAGACAGGTCCAGGACGCAAACTTCAATCTGCTCGATAACCTGCGTGCAACGGATCAGGCGAGCGAGAGTCTGCATCTTCAGCCTCCTCCTGTACATTTTTCTATGCCATAACTTTCCATGTAGAGCTGTATAATAATGTTGTATTAGGGAATAAACTGTAATAGAATACTTTAGGATGGCGATACATTCTTTCAATGGTTTAATGGCGCTTTGTGATGGCAGTTATACAAGCGGCGGGAAGGTGCACGCTGAACAATATGGGGTATGCTCTAGGGCGCCTCAGATATTGAGACATCGTTACACTGTCAACGCGTGCATGGCTGTTGGAAATGGCTAGCGTCGGTCAGGTACTCTGTGCTACTGGTCTCCGTATCCACGCGCGTCAATGGTATGAATGTGGGCCCCTTATGCCATGGCATTTTCACATACAGCATTCATGATCGATTCATGCATACGGTATTCAACTACATTGGGGCAGACATGGTGAAGTTGAAGAACATCCGGATCAAGGCTATCCGCGTATAATTGTGTGGCATGCATTTATATCTGCAGAGTCATCATTTAATCGCACATACCGGAACATCGGCCTCTGACAGATACCTTGCCCATGGACACAAAGACCCATCTGTATCACAATTACCACAGTACCATCTTCGAGTTCAGCAGCGGAAGTATACCTCCACAGCATAATGCAGCTGGTGGAAATATGGGGATACCCGCGTGGCGAGCTCGTCATTCATGGGGTTTGTTCGGGCTGCAAATTCGGCCCAACTTCAGACGAATGAGGATCGGATGGATGGCGAATTCGCATATATTTATCGTCATCAAGTTTTTTGATAAGATTAAAGAGAACCTTTGAAAAGAAACTGAAATGGCATTGGTACCGGTAACAGCGCTCATTTTGGCCAGAGCCCTTTTTTCCAAGGACGCTCGGGGTGGTCTGTACGACGGGGGCTGTGCTGTCTTAGGGCCGAAGTTTTCATTTACTCGCGCTACCTTTAGCGTGAAGTTCAAAGGAGGTAGCAGCAGATCAGATCGCGGATCGGAGGTCAAGACGCAAGTCGGGTATTACTGCCAAGTGCAGAGTATAGTGCTTTACATTCCATACAATACACAACTTCGTCGACTATAGCTTCAAGGTCGCTTTATTTCTATCAAACAAGTTTGATTTCGCTGCCTGGATAGGTCTCTGTTCTGATACCCCATAATGAAAACCAATATTAGAGTACGTTTTACTGCACACTACCCTTCGATGCTCCCTTGAATCTGAAGTGAGAGTTGCTTTTTTATGATTACCTAAACGTTTAACGTCAATTGAGTTTTGCCCCTACATGCTCACACAGAATATGCTGGAAACACGACCTACAGACATATGAGAATCGAAGCACGATAACCTAGCTGAATGGGTCTGGGAGTCGCTATTTTTTATTACTATTATTATTTTATCTGTTTGCTATGATATTGTACAGGAACATTTGTCCTCTCGGATTCAGAGGCAGTACTAATAACAGTCTTCTTGATGCAATTGAAAAACATTCAAAAAGAATAATCGCGTTCAAAAGACCCAGGAACTGGGACCTCAAAAATGTTCTTGTAGAGCGCTGCACGCTGAGTAGCGGTCCTGATGGTAGCAGTTTGCCTAGAGACTCCTGAACGCTGCTTTCGAGACTGGATTGGATGCCAGGTAACACGACCGCGCCAGTAGGGTTAGCTTCTGTGATGTTATATGGGACTGGAGAGAGGTATACAGTATTATATCAGTAACTAACAATGTGTGCCCTGACAATACGCCAGCATTATAAAGCGATTGATTGTTTACCGATTCCAATAAGACTATACCCATAGTGATAGACCGTATAGAACCCACGGAGCAGATGCAATCCAAGTGTCCAATGGCTCTTCTTTAAACCCCTCGACGGCGATGTCATCAACGCTGAAAAACACTTGCGCGAGCTGACTTACCGATGATATACTCGGACGGGCTCAGCTCTAATCGGACCTGCCCTGAGCGCGGGCCTGGCTTTTGTGTTTCCGATCCTGATCCAGTCTCACCACCAATTAAGAAGACAATCTTGCCGAGCGAAGACACCGTTGTACAATTAACCTGGCCAGTGATGGGATCTGCGCCGATCCAGATGTTTAAAGGTCGGATCGCGCGCTCGTCACCCCAAATGTTAGTTGTGCCGCTGTCAAACCATACACGATCGAGGCCTGTCTGGACGTATTCATCATCCGCTCTTCCTCTAGCATCGCTGTTGTTCCTCGAGTTGCTCGAGCCTGTGACAGAAAATGACGCATCGCCTGGAATCAAACTGATTTGGGGCGAGAGCTGGGTGACCCATCCCGGCTCGTCGGGCAAAGTCTTCATCCATGAAAGGGGCTGAGAGTAGAAGGATGGATCAAGTCCACCGAGGGTCAGAGTACCCCAGGTGGCTGTGAAGGCGAGCGAGAAGACAGGTGTGGATAGGGCGCGGACGGTGTCTGCAAAGATATGGGTGGCACAATCTGTGGAAATAAAGAAAAGCGCATGTTATTGTTAGGCGTCAAGCATAAGATCGCCTATTGCTGAAGCTACACTCTGACTTGCCGCTTTCGGATCCAAATTGTCGTTGATTGGCGCCAAGGAATCCTGGTACGAAAAACTCTTTTCTCAGCAGGAACGCGTCCCCGGAAACATCAGCCGTCAATCCAAAGGTTTCTGTTTCTCCTGAAGATGAACCCTCATCCTCCACGCGACTAGTGGGTATGCCCAAGACGACTCGATCGGAGACAAGCTGCGTGTTTATGATGTCCTCAGTGTATTTGGCCGTGATAGTCTCAGGTCGATAAACCAGTGTCGTGGATAACGATGGGTCGAATTTTGGCGACCTATTGCATAGAGAGATGCTGTTGACGGCCATCGTGAAGTTGGCGCGGTTCTCCAGACACTGAGTCGTTTGGATCCATGAAAGACTGGATCCAGTGCCAAGCATGAGGTTGAATGCTTGAGGTGGTGTGCCTATTTGCACTGGTGCAAAGAACTTGTTGTAGAGGAATGGGCTAGGGTATTCCTTGTATAACGCGTTTAATAATCCATAGTAGTTGACCTACCCACGGCCCGTTCATGAACAGAGGCACTCGATAGAGCGTATCAATGTTCAGAGGAGTATTCATATCCCCCCAGGCTGCTGCAATGTAGGGCGAAAATAAGCGCAAAGGAGTAGAATGTTGCCAAAGAGAGTAGGTCAATGGATAGAAGGGCTTTTCAACCTTCCTGCGTTGCTGTACGTGTCTTTTATTTTATTATATATTTTTGTGAGAGTCCTTGGCGATAGATGGTACAAATGATCGCCGAGCGAGATGTATAGACGGTGTTGTGCCGAGCTCCGATCTGATATCCAGAGAATCAAGGGTAAAGAATCGATTATGTACATGTGCTCCATAGGTTTGACAGAATAAGATGCATCTAGATTATGAATGGGTGTCAGGACGGTATGAGAAAGCAAAGGAAAAGGCCAAAAACGATGTCTTTTGGTCCTCTATCTCTTCGTCCGCATGGTGCATGCTGATTACCCTTTCATTCTTTCTTTCTGGGGCGGTGCAGAAGGGCAAAGGTTCTCTCCGTGTTATTCTTTAATCGTCTTTGTTCTCTCGTGACGAAGAGAGACTCGTAAGAGAGAACACTTTATGGCCTCCTGGGAACGATAGTGATGAATATATAGGCAAGTTGAGGCATAGGACAGATAATGAGTTGCTCTATAGTCATATAGTCATATAGTCATATAGTCGTAGTAGAAGCACAGTGAACATGTACACGCGAAATAGACGTCCATGCACGTACTGCTGGCATGATGTCCATCCTCTGAGGACGTGTATCCATGTACTGGATACCGTCCTCAAGATCCACACGTATAAAAACAAGGGTCTCCATACGCAGCAATTGGCACACAAAGAATTTGTCTGGGTTGCTTTGTCCTTTGTGTCTGCCCACCCCCACCCCCTTTTTTTTGAATCCAATCGGCGTGTCTGTGTCCCTTAAGTTGCTCCCCCTCTATGGTGCAGACTGTAGACGCACCCCCCTCACCCCAATTCTCTCCATGGGACACACCGACTTGTCTCCATCAACAGCAACAACAAACAAAAGCACATCCATCACACCACATCCCCAGCTTCTCTCTTTTTTATCAGCATAAAAACCAAAGCCCCTCATTCATATCCATCTTTTTCTTCTTTCCGCTCTTCTTCTGGTGCGCTCTCAAAACAGACACCCTTTGACCCAACCCAATCCTCTTGCCTTGTTCTTCTTTCTTTCCTCATTACTGATCCACTCCCTCCTGACCTTTAGACGCATCTCTGCCTCTGCTGTGGCATTTTGTCTCCTGTTTATCCTCTCGTCTCAACGCGACTACACATCTTACAACCCCACGCACAAGTATGACTCTCACACCGCATGAGCTAGCCGTCTCCCAGTTGGTAACAGGCCATGCCGTTCCTCTGGAGCGTATAAAGTCCCTTCGATTCATCAAAAACAACATTATCGGCAACAAGACGAAGAAGGACCTCTATATCCAGCTCGGTATCGTTTCAAGGTACTTCAGAAGCTATTGCGTTCAATGCACTGCTTTTGCTGTGTTTGAAAGTTCATGGCTATACACTTGCGAGAGCCGAGTGAGGAATTCAGGAGGGCGAATCAGCTGTATGCGGTGTCAGGAGAACAGGAACGAATGGCATTGTCCCCGCATACCGCACATGCCCTGATTCGCTTGGTCCTTTTAGTTTGTGTCGATGTCGCTCCTACGATCCTTCTCATACCGGACAATGTAGCAGTTGTAGACTATTGTGACCATTGAAAAGGATGAACCTTTCTTTTTTTTTTTTTTTTTTTTTTTTTTTTTTTTTTTTTTTTTTTTTTTTTTTTCCCCTTGATGGCATGCATGGCTCGTGCTTCAACATTCGGATGGTGCTGCCAATACTCCTGGTCCCTTTTTCTCCCTTGTGGGACTATTTTGTCTGCTCCCCCTCCTGAGTCTAGCCATTGTTAACCAATACTCCTTGATGCAATTATCTCTCCCGCGATAGGTTACAGGATATCATTTCCGCCAGGGACGAAAAGGACCCGCAACTAAAGACGCAAGCGATCATTGTCCTGGGAAGCTTCGCCTTTGGTACGGAATGCTGCCATTTGTTATATTTCTTTTGCCGTCTCCATAAAGGACCGTCCCAATCTGAACGATTCAACTGGTTATTACCTTGAATAGGTAACGAAAGCAATATCCTTGCTCTGATGAATTCAGGCGTAGCGGAGCCGCTGCTGAATTGCCTCAACCCCAATGGCGATCCCAAGCTGATCGAGGCGGCAGCACGCACTC